AAGAAGAAGAAGAAGAAGAAGAAGAAGAAGAAGAAGAAGAAGAAGAAGAAGAAGAAGAAGAAGAAGAAGAAGAAGAAGAAGAAGAAGAAGAAGAACAAAGTTATACAAGAAGATGAAGGGCAAAAGAGAAAAAGAAGTTGAAATAAAAGAAGAAGTTGAAGGAGGTGAAGAAGTAGAAAGATGGAAAACGGGAAGAAGAGGACAAGGGGAGAAAAAAGCCGCACGATCCGATCCGACCAACCCTAATGCCAAAACAACAACCCAGCCTCCGCCCCAGAAACCGTCCATGCTATGAGAAATGAAAAAAATTCCCTCAGCAACAAAGGAGATCTCTCAAATGAAGGGAGGGGCGGAATGACAAAAAACCCCGGTCCTTGGCTTTTGGAGAAGCCTTAGATGAAAGAACTTTTTTTGTTGTAGTTTGCGTGTCCCGATGAAACCAGTCCGGTCCCCATGAAAACGCCGCGCTATAAAAACCGGAAGACGGAACAACAGGCAAGCTGTCTACGCTGTGCGTGGTCGAGTGATGAAGAGGAGGAGCGAGAACACGACGCCGTTTAAGAGCTGCGATACCTGTTAGCTGCGTGTCCGCACGAATCGAGGATGAAAAACTTACTAGATTTCCAGCGGTGCGATCTGGTCCACCGCGTACAGCCACCCACCACCGCGCTCTTCGACCTCCAACCAGTCATAAGGCCAAACAACAAGGTGGCCCTGCACCATCTCCAGCAGCTGCTCGGCATCCTCGCCTGACAGCAGCGCCGTCTCGTCGTGCGCGTTGAAGTTCTTGGTGCTGCTCTTAGTGCCCGCGCGCTTGCGGCGGCGCTGGCTGCCCTTCGACTTGGCCGCCTCCTGGAACGGCGACGCGTTACCCTCGCTGTGCGCGCTGCGCGGCGCATTGACGCTGGGCGACCGGTTGATCGCAGTGCTGCTCGTGTTGAGCGTCAGCGGCTCCGTGATGGTAATCGTACGCGACCGGTCCGGGTGCAGCGTGTTATCCGTCGAGGGCGTGCGCTCACGCGCGCCGTCGTTGGCCGAACGTGGCCGCAGGGTGTCGTTGCTGCGCAGCGCCGCCTTCTCGTCGAGGTGGCCGTTGACGGGGAGGTTGGCTGACGCCGAGGTTGAAGGCTTCTTGTTCTCGTTGCATCGCTTCTCCTGCTCCTCGGCCCATTGCTCAACGCCGCCTTGCGGGTGCTTTCCGTCGTCCTTGCTCCCGCCCAACTTTTCTCCCAGCCTACCCGGGTGCAGTTTGTCGCCAATGGTCGTACCGGTGCCTGGCGGGCCGGTACGACCCTCGGCATCCTGCGCCAGACGCGTCTCGCTCTTACCAGCGCCCTGTGACTTGGCAAAGCGCTCTGAAAAGGCAGCATATTCGCGGTATTCCTTCCAAGTCCGAACCTCGTTGTCCGGCATACACCTGAAGACCGAACGGAAAAGCTTGGTGTTGTTCTCGGCCACGGCTTGCCAAGTATCAATGTAGAAGCTGTCGTTCAGAGGGTCGATCATACAGTCGGGGGTCACAACCGGGCGTCGCATCTCAGACAGTAGCTGGTTGATGAAGTTGTTGCTCCTGGCAGAAAAAGTGCGCTGGAGCGGCGGTCCGCCAATGTCCGTGTCGTCGGACATGGGAAGGGCTGGCAGCTGCGACAGCTGCGTGAGACCCAGCTGGTGAGTGTTCAAGCGAGGGAGATTTGTAGGTGGCAGTGCGGTGCTGCTGGGCTCCGGTTGATAGGGTTGATAGGGTTGGTGGGGTTGGTGGGGTTGGTGGGGAGCGTTGAAGCTGCGAGCGCTGTTGCGGCTGCGGGCGGTGTTGCTCCTCTCGCGTGTCTTCTTGGGACTGCCGTGCCTGCGAGGGTGGTCTACCGTACCCTTTCCTTCAGGAGCGGTGTCATGGACGAGAACCTCACGACCGTCCGTCGTGAGAGTCGAGTCCCGGCCATAACTCTGGCCACGATGCATATGCGCAAGCATGTTGTCGGCACCCTCGCCTCGGACATCACGTTGATGCGCGTCGTTGTCAGTCACACGCGAGTCTGTGGTCAGACCGTGGCGAAGAGGAAGGTTGGGGTTGTTTTCCTGAATCCAGTCCGCGTCATGGTTGAAGCTGTGCATCTGCTCTTCCTGCGCGATCAACTCTTCCTCAGCGCGGTGCTTGTTCTCAATAAGCTGCTGTTCGATGGTAGAGTTAGACTCTGCTGTCGAAGGACGCGACAAATCACTATCAAATACCTCAGACTGCTCTTCTCCGAGCATCTCGTCGGTATCGATGCCCAAGTGCTCCCGCATCAGCCGTACGCGCAGCGTGTGTGCGAACCTGGAAACCTTGTAAGGTTTGCCGGCCATCATCGAAGGAAGCATCTCCGTATCCCGAACAATAGCAGCGACTTCTGAATCCCTAGAACCAAGCATGGAGCGTTCATTGATGTTCGCAGAACCAATGATGACGATACGATCATCCACGACCATGCACTTGGCGTGGATATAAAGTTGCTCAGTGATCAACGACTTCTTCGGACCGATCTTGCCCCATGACCTGAGGGAGAAGAATTGGATGTAGTCTTCCGGATCGATGCCCGCGGCACGCAACCGCCCAAAGAGAGACGACTCGCCACGGCAGATGCTTCGGTACTGACAAGTCATGATCAGCCGCACACTTGTTCCGTCTTGGCTGTCAACAGTGTTTTGGAAGCCAGGCATGAGCGGGATGACGAGGACACAGCGCCAGTCTTCTCCGTTCTTGTGCGCGCGCGTAATGCGCTCAAAGAGAGCGTCGTTGATCTTGTTCTTGATAGGCGTGCCCTCTACGTTGCAAGTACTGACGTAGAACTGGTTCTCGATGTAGACAAAGTGATCGCTAGCCTGAATGCTCTTGACGTAGGCATTCATGATACTGCACTCAGTCCGTTCCGGAGTACCCAACGACCACTTGCAAGCTGAACGCAGCATTTGGATTTCGCAGGTACCGTCAAGGCCCAACGCTTCGAGGTCGGCAGGGATAAAGTCAGGCGGAGGAAGCAGGAAGGGCGTGGGACGCGTGGGCTTCTTCGACCTGCGGAGATAGTTCCATCGCTGAACGAAATGTCTAGTAAGATCCCTAGCCGGCTGACCGACTATTTGCATACCGATATCGTGCCATGGCATACGTGGGACCTTCTCTCTATCGTACATTTCTTCGTACGGTTTGGAAAGATCGTAGAAATCGTGCACTCTGGGGTTCGAGTAATCTTTGCCGGGCCACATTTGGCAGTGGTCCGCATCCTTGGGCTGATCATTGTCAAGCTCGAACCCGGTGAGCTTGTCATCATTCAGAACGTGCTTGGGCGTGTCCCATCTGCCGAAGCAAAGGTCGACGCCACCACAGAAGGCTACGGTGTGGTCGACAATGCAGATCTTTTCGTGATGCGCCCAGAAGAATTGGTTCTGCTTGATCTGGTTTGGCGAACGCTGAACGAAGACGTTCGGATGCAGGTCTAGCAGGGAGAATTTGGTGTATTCGGAGTCGATGGGGATGGCGGAGTTGATGTTCCGGTACATGATGACAAAGACCTTGACGCCTTCTTGGGCCTTGCGCTGCAGCAAACGGTCCAATCTCCACTTTTGACTGATCGCAGGAGGCCGGCGCAAATACAGCTCGGGACTGAGCCACCAATCGTGGATATAGATGACGTCCCTGGCCATACTGATGGCGCGAGAAACATTCCACATGTAGTCTCTGCCATCCACAAGCCACTGGGCCCAGACATTGTGTCTCACAGGGGCAAAGCTGTCAAATCTATGGCTGTTTGACCACTGCGTCTGCGCAGTCATAAACTTGACGGACTCGTAAAACTGGTGCAGTTGCCTTTCGTTCTTAGCGAGCAGTTTTATCCTCCGCTCCGAGTTGACTAGGCGGATTTGGTGATGCTTAGGATGCGTAGCCGAGGTTTTGGCCTTGCTGGCCAGCTCCTTGGCGTTTGTGTCTCGCAAACGGTTCTTCTTGTCATCCACGCGGAAATCGGGGTCGACAAGGAAGACATCGTAGATGTTCATTTCCTCAGGGGAGTCGACGCAGGCAATGTAGCTATGCCGGACGAGGAACCACTTGGGGGAGTGCTTGTGCGCGAAAAGTTGGGGATTCCAGCCTTTCCTCGTGTCGATACCCTTGCTAGACTGAATCATCATAAAGCCTTCCTTACCATGGTATCCACCTTCTTGAGCAAGGCGAACACCCAATGCTGAAAGTTCCAGGAACTTGCATAACCGGTTGCTGTCGGCACGGAACATCAAGAAAGTAATTAGCTGCTGCAGGTACTGTTCGAGCTTCTTGCGTTGCCGCTCAGCGTAGGTGTCCTTGCGAGGGCCTGGAGTCGCCGGCATCGCCCCAAAGAAGCTACCCGTTCGTGCTGTCATCTCGCCAACGATGCCGGGAGTATTTTGCGGGCTGCTGACGCTGGAGTTCCGACGCCCAACCTTAAAGGATGAGCGTCTTCGCGCCTTGCCCTTCCCTGGACGCCCTTCAGTGCCGCTGGCTTCGCCATCGGTGTGCGGACGATCAGCGCCAACATCGTCATCTTCGTCTTCTATATCATCATCCACCAAGCCACGCATGCCGCGCAGATAAGGCAGCGCGCTGCGCGGGAAGCGGGGCAGCTTGCTGCGGTTCGCGTCCTCGGCCATGCTGATGTACTTCTCCCTCTGACTCTGGAACTTGTACTTCAGATGCAGGTTGGCGAAGTCGCGCAAAGTACGATGGATGATCCATTTCATACGCGTCAAGCCACTGCCGTACTCGAGCTCTATCCGGAAAAGCAGATGGCGGTCGCCACCCTTGTTTTCAATCTTCGTACTGTCAAGGATTGAAACCTTGAGCTGCTCCATGAGGATAGGGATCTTCTTGTGGCCATGTTCATCACGCTGGAACATGCTTGCGAGGAACAGTGCCGCTGGTGCACCAGCCAAAAGTTCAGCAACCAGCTCCGCAGATTTAGCATGATCCACACGATTCTGTTCCTTCCTCTGCTTGCCGAGCATTCTCAGCCCGGACTTCAGCTGTCGCCATTTCTGCGCGCTGATGCTTGTGGTCCGCTCTCCACGCTGTCTCCACGTAGAAGGAGAGTCGGCGGCACCGTCTGTACGTGCACTAATGCCTGCCGTGAACCTCCGGAAATTGCTGGGCCGACGGGCATCTCCTTCCTGGGTGGACTCTCCTCTGCGTCCTGAAAAGCTAAGCCTGCGGCGGCTATGAAGACCCCTTCTCCACGCACTCTCCTTCGCAAGCATGTCTCGTCCTTCGTCCTCCGACATGCCTAATCTCTGGTTCTCCGGGATTTCTGACATGGTGCCGCGTCGCACAAAAGGAGGGCGGGGGTATTGAAGTGGGGATGAAGGGGTGTCGCCGGGGGAATCGTAGGCAAAGGCAGGACCGTTGATCGTCCTCGGTGTCGTGGGCGCAGTGTGAGCGCCAGCAGGGTCGAATCGCTTGGTTTTCCGCTTTCTTCGAGCCGGCCGTGATGGGCCACCCTCGCCTGCACTCTCTTCATCCGCCTCACTGCCCTCCTCGGTTATAAAGCGCGGTTGGGACCTTTCGGATTCGGGGGACAAAGGACCCGTGGGCGTAATCTGGCCAATAGTAGCATCGCCGATGGTGAACCCACTAAAGCTTCTGCTGTGTCCTTGTAACGGGTTTGCGATGGCCTTCAGCTTTGCAATGAGCCTGGACCGTTCCTTTGCCCGATGCGACTGCTCGGCGTCTTCTACTTCCTCCTCCAACGACTCCTGTCTCGAGTGCCCTGCCGTCGCATTGTCCTGTGTCGTGGAGCGCGCGAATTGTACACTGCGGCGAGGTGTCGCAATGCCGGCCTCGTTGGTGGGTTTCCTCGATAATTGGCCACGCGAGTTGAAGTCGGTAGGGTCGGCGATTTGGTTGAAGCTAGGGGAGGGAGCAAGGGTGCCAGGTTTGGTCGACGGGCCTAGAGGCTCACTTGGCATAGGCTCTCCAAAAGCACCGTTGGGGACATTGAAAGGGAAGCCAGGAGAATTCCTGTACTCGGGATCAAGTCTCGCAGAAGAGTTGCTGGTGCCCGGCCTCCGGGAGTCGCCGTTGGCTTGGAGGTAGGCGTGGTCGGTGGAATTGTCTACTCGTTGCTCGATGCGCAGAGGGGAAAAGACGCGGCCGTGGGCATCTGGTTCGGATCTTACGTTGGCGTTGGAGGGGGAGGAGGAGCGGGGACTGCGAGACATGGGCGACATGCTGGAGTCCCTGGTGTCAGGCATGTCTAGCGGCGGGACAAAAAGAATACGGGTGGTGGGCGATCGAAGTGCCGGATGGGGAATGTCCTCCCCTTGGGGCCTTGAGGGTGTGGTGGCGGTAGGAGGTCCAACTCTCCCCTGTTTCTAGGCCGGCATGCGATGCGGAGGTGGCTGCGGAGGATCGGGAATGGCGGCTTTCGAGAGGGAAAAACAACAAGACACGCCGGCCCTGGTCGCAAGTTTTTGACGGCGGTATAGGTTAGGGAGGGAGTCAGGGACTTTAGGCCTGCCGCGTCGAGAGATGAGCGCCGGAGATTATGCCATGAAACGAGTGCCACGCTGCGATGACGCCCCGCGGGAGGGACGTGTGGCGGTGCGGCGACGCTGCGAACCCCCCGCAAGCAAACACTGCCCGCATCGCGACGGGACGCGCGCGTGTCGCCCTCGCTACAATATACACCATGGCCACTCCGAACCCTCTCGAGCATACTCACTCCCGCGGCGCGCCCCCCGACCCCTCGGCCAAGACGTTCCACATTGGCGGCATCCTTACCACCGTCTACGGCCTCGACGAACTGCCCCCGCAATGCTCGTCGCTCGCCTGTCTCTGGCTGCTGCACCCGCGCCTCCAAACCCAGGCCTGCATGGCGCCCCTCGCCGCCCAGACCATTGCCGCGTGGAACGCCCGTGGGACCTCCAAGGGATTGCTGGCCGTGAGCTTCGACCAGCGCAATCACGGCACCAGGCAGGTCGATGAGCTCGCCAACGAGGCCTGGCGCCAGGGGAACCCGAGACATGCTCAGGACATGTTTTCTATTTATCGTGCGTATTGCCGATCGCCCTGCCCCTCCCCCTCGCGCCGCTAATCTCGCCTGTGCCCAGACGGCACCGCCCTTGACTGCGCGCAGCTCCTTTCCTACCTCCCCGCCTACATCTTCCCCGCCGGCCAGCCGCACCCCGTCGTCAACCAGCACCTCGCCCTCGGCATCTCGCTCGGCGGCCACTCCACCTGGCACTGCCTGCTGCAGGACCCGCGCATCACCGCCGGCGTTTCCGTCATCGGCTGTCCGGACTACACGGCGCTCATGTCGCAGCGGGCCGAAAAGTCCAAATTGACCTCCTGGACCTCTTCTGATCCTCCCGGCTCCCGCTTCCTTGGCTCGCACGACTTCCCTCCGGCCCTGGTCGATGCCGTCGCCCAGTGGGATCCCGCCGGCCTGCTGATGCGCGCCCTCGAGAACTCAGCTGCGCCCACCGATGCCGAGAAGAGCAAACTAGACGCTTTGCTGCGGAGCCATTTGCGCGGGAAGAGGATTCTCTGCTTGTCGGGTGGTGCAGACAAGCTTGTTCCCTACGCTTGCGGCAAGGACTTCTTGGACTTTTTGAAAAAGTTCATCAAGGAGGATGAAGCTCTGGGCCTCGTGTTGGAAGACCTCGTGTACGAGGGCGTCGGACACGAGATGACACCCGCCATGTCCAAGCGTGCAGTCGATTTCATTTGCGAGACCCTGGCTGCAGAAAGACCTGTGGTTTCGGCGGTGAAAGAGTCAAAGATCTAGACGACGCCTTCCAACGATGGGTTTGTCAGCATCAGAGCACTAATCGCATGCACGGACTCAAGCTATAAGGAACTGTAAAAAGGGATGGATACAAGGATACCCCTGAGTACCCTGAAGAGCGACATCCGGGATGGTTGCAGAACAACCGCTTTTGCCAAGAACTTCAACACATACTCGTGGGCTATAGGCATCTGTGCAACGTCATGGTAGGTATACAACGGTATGTTAAGCCTTCCCCGCATACAATCCCTGTCAATCTTCAAAAAAGCTACGATAGACCCAATTCCAGATCTATTCATGAAAATACAAGGGATGTGCTATGAACTTCCAGTACTGCGTACACATTCTCTCCATAATTGACTTTGTTCCAGTGTGCCGACACTTTACCGTGCTTCTATGTATATAACGTATACATGAACAGAATGTATATTGTCTCACTCCAGTCTCAGGCCTTCCAGGAACCTATGGTTTCTGTTTAAGAAACCGATGTGCCACTCATGCTTCTGTCCCCTGACATTGTCAGTGCATCGTGGTGTTTGCGTACCACTACAGCGACTTTCCAGATTCCAGCAATTTCGGTTCCATACGTCTCTCAGTTTAATTAGATAACGCTTATGCTGAATGGGTTTGTGCCGAAGGGGCACACAACATACATAGGTCCTGGCCTGATAACTTTTGGTGGCCTGTTTTTTTATTCTTTTCATCAACAGATGCTGTTCCCGAACTAGGAAGAGCACTCTCTTTCCATTCTAAGCCAATTACCCAGCCTCGGTGGCAGATGTGAAGCTTGCGTTCTACTCAAGTTTGGATCACTCGGGTATTGTAAGCTCTGCTTGGGGGAGGTAAGATTTTTACGTGTCCGAAGAAAAATGTCGGGTAGCCAGGTGTTGATCACATCGCATCAATATGAGGTAGTATAAAAAAATTCGAAGATGCTCTTCCTCTTGGTGGTTCTCCGTGTGATTCTGATAATTGGAGTACACGGTGGTTTCAGTATAGAATATAAAATATCAACAAAAAGTAGGGTAAGAATAGTTTTTAGAATTCAAATTTGGGCAGTCATCCACGGATTGCCGAAATTAGGTATGATCTGCATGTTGGCGGGAAGTCGCTTCCATCGATCAATCGCGTTCGCCAGATAGACAACGTGCTCACTGTGCTCGCTTGTCCTCAACACCTTCCACGTTTCCGAACCCCGAGTCCACTACGCTCCCCGGTCTACCCCCACAAAGAGCAAAGCTAATGTATCTTGACTCACACAATTGGTGCCTTTTCCATCCGAGATGCCCGGGACAACCGTTAACCCTACTACCAATGACGACAATCGAATGGGATGAACGGTAGCAACGTTCCCACTGACCAGGAACAATCAGCGAGCATGCCAAATATCGAGACTCTGGTTCGTCCGTTCCTGGATGCAGGATCTCCGATCAAGGGCTCCTTGCCGCATTCATTATATGTCCCGCACGTCATCCCTCGGGACTGAAGCTGCGGGCGTCGAGCTCTGCGTCAGCTGTTAGCTACAAAAAGCCAGCAAGGGCCGTTGGCCCTGCAGTCGTCGCTTTGATCTTCCTTGAGCGTTTCTTCCGCTGCCCATCATGAAATTACAGTTATTTATCTTTCTGACGTACATAGTCGCAGTGTCGGCCAAGTATACGGCCAATTTGAATTACCGCAGTCCTTCTGAGCACCATCCCTTTCTCGGCATTAGCTTGTACAAAGTTGCGAGACGTAACAATCCTAGTGTCCGATATATCGATGCGGATCAATTGAACTTTACCCATGGCGTTGCTTCCGGAGACCCGTATGCCGACTCGGTCATCTTGTGGACGCGATGCTCGCCGACATACGACAATGACAAGAGCAATGGTACGAAATATTATGAGTTACGCCCACAAAATGGCTGACGCAGTTCCAGCTACCGTTTCAGGAACAGTACCTCTCTTCAACCATGATACTCAAGAGTACATTCAAATGTCTACTGCTCCTGTCTGTGTCAATTATAACGTAGCAACGGACGAAACGATGGAAGACGTGGTTACCTCAGGCACAGCGTATACTACTTCGGACATTGATTATACAATTAAGGTTTGGATGATTCCGTGGTTTGGGGACAATTGACTTACGATTTTCAGATCGAAGCGACTGGACTTGAGCCTTTCACGCGCTACTACTACCAATTCAACGTATGTAATTCGGAAAAGCGCAGCCCAGTAGGTCGAACGAAGACTGCTCCGGTTAGCAAGGATGAAGTCCCAGATGTCTCGATTGCTGTGTTCTCTTGTTCTAACTACCGTAAGCGTCTGGCCCGCGGAAACCAATGACAACGTACAACTGACGAGCTTACCTAGCCTTTGGCTTCTTCAATGCTTTCGGAAATGTTGCACGCAAAGACTCCGTAGACTACATACTCCATCTTGGCGACTTCATCTACGAGTACGCCGAGGGTGCGTACGGCCACGGCTGGTCAATTGGGCGCATTCCCGAACCCAACAAGGAGATCCGTAGTCTTTACGATTACCGCAAGAGACATGCCTCGAACCGGGCTGATCTGGACGCGATTGCCAGCTTCGGCAAGTTTCCATGGATCCCAGTTTGGGATGACCACGGTGAGTCTCGGAAGAGATATGGAATCGACGAGAGGATACTGATGGGTTTGCAGAGATCGCGGACAACATATACAGAGACGGTATGGCGGCACAAAACAATACCGAGGCATCGTTTACGCAAGACGATATCGAAAATGGCGGCAATGGCGTCTCATTTGACCAGCGGAAGATGAATGCTGTGAGAGCGGTAAGTTGTGATGATAAGGACTCGGTTTCTTGGGAAAACGTACTGATGCTGTTGAAGTATTTTGAGTGGATGCCCATCCGTCAAGTCGAGATGGACGACAACCTCCGCATTTGGCGCAGCTTCTCCATCGGCACATTAATGGACATTATCATGCTTGATACGCGCAACTACGACAGGTCTATCACCGATCTCTACTGGAACACGGACTATATTCATGAGATATCGAATGATGCAGGTCGGTCATTGATGGGCAGTCGCCAAGAGAACTGGTACGTTTGTGATACACTCGCGATTGGATGTAAAAAGCAAAATTACTTACCGGTTGTAGGTTCTACAATCAACTAACGCAATCTAAAAACAGAGGTATGGTAGTCCTAGTGATCTGGAACCGCACAGAAAAACCATACAGCTAACGAGACGAAGGGGCTGCGTGGCGCCTCATTGGATCTCAATTAGTTTTTTCGCGTGAAAACGAATCCCTCGCAAGCGGCCCAGAGAATCCCGTAAGCTATCCGCATATTTTTCTTTGAGTGGTCTCGTGTAGTCCAAACTAAGTTATCTTCATAGTTTGATTATGATGCTTGGGATGGCTACCAAGCCAATCGTAATCGTACCTTCCAGCACCTCTACAACCACAAAATTTCCAACAACATCATCATGGCAGGTGACAGTCACCTGTCCTGGGTGTCGGATCTGGTATGGTTGGATGAGCGCCCCTATGATCCGACAACTGGCGCTGGCGGCATTGGCGTCGAGTTCGCCGGCAGCGCCGTTAGCTCGCCCTGTCCACTGGGGCAGAACATCACGATGGACACGGGGATCAAGGCTTCAGAATGGCTCGTGGCAAATAACCGCGAGCTGCAGTGGCACGACACGTACTACCGCGGCTACTACGAACTCACGGTGGGTTATGCGGGTGTCGAGGCCCGTTACTTTGGTATCCCGACGCTGGTGCAGCGCACGCCGCTGGAAGTCAGTCTGGCGAACTTCACAGTCGAACGTGATGCCAACGCACTGAAGAGGCCGGTCGGGGGAGGTGTGGTGGCGAGCGGCGCGCTAAAGGAAGGCAAAGTTGCTGTCGGCAATGTCACCAATGACACGGTGACGGGCGCCTGGAGTGTGCATAACCTAGCAAGCTTTGGGTACGGGCAGCTCGTGGACTAGACGTAACCATGGGAGCAAAACGTGCTCGGTATCGGGTAGATCTCGAGAATGCAAGAGACCCCGAGAGGTTGGCATCGGGTATGGCAGACGTGCCATGCTACTGCGTCTCCGGTGTCATGGGAATCCACTCAGCACGAGCTCCCCTATCATACTTTTCTCTATTTTCCCTGGGTTCCCTATCTCTTGCTTCCCCGTAACCATCTCTTCCTCGCTAGGCGCGTTGTCCATATCGTGGAATGCAGCAGACCCCGATCCGGCAGATGAATGGACTGTTTCCGGAATGCCGAGTGAAGCCGTCTAGAAGTCTGGGCGAGCATGGTGCCTCGTGACTGGTGTCTCTCCCTTGCATGCGACGCCGTGGCGGTGAGGCGGTGGTTCCCAGGCAAGGGGAACGATGCTTGCACTGCGTTGTCGAGGTCAGTCATGGAGTTTAAAAAAAAAATTAATCCAGACGGCAGCAGGCTGGGTCTCGTGCAACGGCCGCGGACGAGATACTTATATTGCTGAGGCTCGTCGTGGGTTGTTTCAGCCCTCGCTCTCAGCGCCGCGTCCAAGCTTCTCCGGGTGGCTTGATCGCCGCCGCGATGGCGTTTGCTCTTCAGCCAAGATCGCTCAGCTTATGTCCTCGACATAGCTTCTCTTTCCTCAACCACTGGATGGATGTCTTTGTCAAAGAACCCCTTTCCGCCCAGCGTGTCGCGTGTCTTGTCGCCGCCGTTCGCAGCGACCGCGTTCCTCTCCACTGAGCGGAATCCCATCCGGCCTGGCTCACTCAAAGCGAAAATGCGGCGAGGCTCTTACCGCTGAGGGCCCTTGGTCACCGGAAGGGGAGCGACGGTCTGGGCACTCCACCGGCACGGACTCAAGGCTCAGCTCAGCTCCACCGTAGCACGACGCACGACGGGATGGATTTCGGGTGTGCACTGCGAGGCAAGCGGCCATGGTCGAATGTGACAGAAGAGCAAGGGAACGAAGGACAGCATGCATTGCGCATGGGCTTGGCAAGCCAGCTGAAGGGGGAGCATCCACGGCTGCATGTGGAGTGACACGGCGAGTCCGAGGCGCATCTGACGATGGTCAAAGGCGAAGCATCACTGTGGCGCCGTCACGAGGTATCGAGACGAAGAAAGAGGGCCGCAAGAGCACCCCCGCAATCCGCAAGCGGCCAGTCCCGCCCCTGGTTCTCTCCACACGGCGCTAAGATCATTAGCCGCAAATCTTACCTTCGGACCCTACCGTCACCACGCCTGCACGATATCTCGGCTACCGCTCACCACTTCGCCAGTGCGCCTAGCCATCCTTCCACGCTGCAAGTACCCCGTCGGGCTGCCGTCACTCTTCCAGATGCTACCACCGAGCTTGCCGTAACACAAGAGGCGCCTCAAGGCCGAGAAGCCTTCCATTCATCCAGTACGTCTCATGTGACACGTACAGAGGCGCATGATGGCAGTTTCTGCCGCTTTCAGCCTTCCGTAGGATGTCTCTTTGGCCGGCAAAGCTGACTGGGGTCGATACGCCCCGTATTGGGAGCCATATGTGCCTTCAGCGAGCTTGGATTTTCTTCATAAAAGGCTTGTTATGCCCTCAGCCTTGCTGGCCTTGTTTCTGTTTTTCTTCTTGGAGCCATTGAAGCTGGACCCCAACTCCCTGCCACTCGTATCATCGTTTCAGCCCTGCCCAAAGCTTCGAGCAAGGTCACACATACGCTAGGTATCCCGGCGCCCGTTAGACTTTTTGGAGAACGGTGGTGAGACAGCTGTGATTGCGAGCGGGGTGTTGATGCCTATTGGTGTAAGTACCCGGTTGCCTATTTGCGTTTGTAAAGACATTGTCTCGCCGGGTGTGAGCCTCCGTCTTGGAGTAATATTTTTATACCCGCCCGTCCTATACTTGAGCTGATATCTCCACCAGTTGCTCTGAAGTGTAGTACTTTTCCAGACGTTTCTTCTACATCTACTACGATGTCGTCCAACAAACCTCCGATTGAGTAAGTTTTGAGGAACATCGATTGGCCGGCATGCGCTAATCATACATTAGAAAGCGCCACAGCGACGTTGTTGCTCATCATGAAGACGCCACTCAGGCGGCCATCGAAGATTCCCGGCGGAAGAGTACCGTCCATGACCTCTCACAAAACACTGCCGGGGAGCTCAAGAATCCTTTGGCCGACATTCCGGTACCGCAGCTTATGAGAGATGTCGAGACATTCGCCCACACGAATAGCATGACCGACATTCTTCCTCTGCTCCGCAAGGGTGCCCTTGTTGCCAAAGATCCGCACAGTTATGAGACCGTTCCCGATATCACCGAGGAGGAAAAGGAACAACTTCGAGTCGAGCGCACGCACCGCTTCAGGCACCCAAAAGCGCTGTATTTCACCATCATTTTGAACTCGATTGCAGCCGCGATCCAGGGGTGGGACCAGACTGGGTCCAATGGTGCCAACCTCTCATTTCCAGAAGCGTTTGGGATCCCGACAGACAAGAAAATTTGCGGACTCGCGGGCACATGTGAGAAGAACGAATGGATCGTGGGCCTAGTGAACGCTATGCCATACATTGCTATCTGGCTCTTGTTTGTCTGCCTATAGTTCTTGGTCATTGACACAGTCTGCTGACTCGTTTGTAGTGCCGCCTGGATTTCTGACCCCCTGAATGACCTCATTGGCCGTCGCGGGACCATCTTCATTGGCGCCATCTTCTCTCTTCTGTCACCCATTGGCATGGCCGTCACGCAAAGCTGGGGCGAGCTTGCAGGCGTGCGTGTTCTGCTCGGTATTGGCATGGGCCTCAAGGAAGTCACTGTGCCAGTGTTCTCGGCAGAGACCGCCCCAGCAAACGTTCGTGGTGCTTTGGTCATGACTTGGCAGCTTTGGACAGCGTTTGGCATTTTCTTGGGAACATGTGCGAACCTTGCGTAAGTTCTTTAGGCCTTTGTCTCTTCCCAGCAGACTGTTTCTGACCATTTCAGGGTTTACAACACTGGCAAGATCTCCTGGCGCCTGCAGCTTGGCAGTGCGTTCATCCCGGCCATCCCTCTGGTGCTGGGCATCTACTTCTGCCCGGAGTCACCTCGTTGGTACATGAAGAAGAAGAAGTACGGAAAGGCGTACAAGTCGCTCCTCCGCCTTAGGAACTCGCCTTTGCAGGCCGCTCGCGATCTTTACTACATCCATGCCCAACTGGTGCAGGAAGACACGCTCCTCGAGGAAGCCGGCCTGGCCGAAAGGAGCAATTTCTTCTCTCGCTTCGTCGAGCTCTTCACCATCCCACGTGTCCGCCGCGCAACCCAGGCTTCTGGCATCGTTATGATTGCACAACAAATGTGTGGCATAAACATAATTTCGTTTTATTCGTCGACGATCTTCCAGAATGCCGGGGCATCTGTTCTTTCGTCGCTCTTTGCGACGTTCGGATTCGGCCTGGTAAGTTATTTAGGCCCATACTACACGGTAGGCTCAAGACACAGAACTAACAGCAGCACACAGGTCAACTTCGTCTTCGCCTGGCCCGCCGTCTGGACCATCGACACCTTCGGGCGGCGCGCGCTGCTCCTCTTCACCTTCCCGCAAATGTTCTGGTCCCTGCTAGCCGCGGGCTTCTGCTTCTGGATCCCAGAGTCGTCGACCGCGCATATCGGGCTAATCGCCTTCTTCATCTTCGTCTTCGGCGCGTTCTACAGCCCCGGCGAAGGACCCGTCCCCTTCACCTACTCGGCCGAGGTCTTCCCCCTCAGCCACCGCGAGGTCGGCATGAGTTGGGCGGTCGCGACGAACAATTTCTGGGCGAGCATTCTGAGCATCACGTTTCCGAGACTGCTGCGCGCGTTTACGCCACAGGGCACATTTGGGTTCTACGCCGGGCTGAACATCGTGGCGCTTGTTATGAGTATGCCACCCACCCCCCTCTTCTACTCTACTCTACCAATCAATTAAACCCACGCTAACTAACGCCCTCGCAGTCTTCCTCTTCCTCCCCGAAACGAAACAGCGCACCCTCGAGGAGCTGGACTACGTATTTGCGGTGCCGACGCGCACGCACGCGCGCTTCATGGCCTCCAAGATGCTGCCGTGGTGGTGTCGGCGCTACGTCTTGTTCCGCAAGGGGGCGCCGCAGCCGCAGCTGTACCACTTCGAGGGCGAGGACGAGGCGCGCAGCGATGTGGACAGTGCGGGTGATGTGGAGAATGTAAGGATCGAGAAGGGCGCGTAGGTAGGTGGAGGTGTGGGTTGTGTGTGGGGGACGAAGGGAGGGGAGGGGGAGGGGTGTGTGTGTGTGTGTGTGTTTTGTTTAGTGTTGCTTGCTTGGTGGGGGTGTGTATCTACTCTGTGCTTAGCTTGGCACGGGTAATGGTGTGCCGTACGTACTATATGCAACGACTTTCGGCTTTGCTTGTTGTGTATGTTGGAGGTGTGCTTGTCCGCAGTCATGTGTAAAAGACCCAAGGAAAACAAGTGTAGAGAAAACGGCAGCTCAGAGTTTCCAGCTACCCGGCCATCACAAGGGCTCCGGATACCTTGCCCATCCGTTTGAACTTGTTTGCTACCATCAGCATTCACACCTATAGATGCACACCTTCCTTCCCCACCACATCACCTTCGCCCTCTCGTGCTTTTATGGGATATCATATCCTCGCGCTCTTGTATCTTCTTATCTTGGTGGCCTTTAAAACACGTTCATACCCTTATCTATTCTTGATTTTTTACCTATATACCATATCCGAGCGTCGAGTATTCTGATACACTTACGTTTATGTACTGGCATCTCTTGGTTATTGCGCGTTCGTAGCCGGCGAGTACGGAGTACAGCGTGTAACATTATTGCTTATTATAGCTCGTTAAAGCGATATAAAGAGTGCTTAGTGATACAGAAGTTTACCTGATGCGTATGTACCTATGTCGTTAAGAGACGGGTAAGTGATTCCGCACCCATTTCGAACCGTAATATATCTTCGCGCCCACTGTATCATAGAGGCAAGGCAAGAACATACCATCAAGGAAACGGAAGGCGACACACCGAGTTCTCGAACGACAACAACAACCCATCCCGTGCCTATCAAGACTTCAAGTGCATCCATGCACTCATTGCTAAGTACCCGCTTCCCGTAAAAGCCGCCTAGAGGCCGCGCTGAATGAATCTAGTACCTATATACGGAGACAAAGCAGCAGATCATCAGAAGAAAGTGGCTGGTGGAGAAAAACAGCAAAACAGCGCAACGAGAAAAAATAGATGCTTTGAAAAAAGACCTTTCTACGGATATCCATACATAAGCGCTGTCGGTAGCCGAGAGACTGGCGATCGCCTTGACTATACCCTACCCATACGGCGGTAACCGGGCAAAGACCTGGGCCCGATCATAGGCATGAGGCTTGTGGCGACTTCTTTTTGGTGGCTGAGTTATTACTGGTTCAGCTTTAATGCCAACAGGGGATTAGTCCTTTAAGGTTCCGGTCAGATTTGTGTGACAAAGCGTCGCTTTGCTAATTACCTATGGCCGTTCTCGATGCTCGTCGCTCTGCCCGGGCAGGTTTCCTGGAATTGTTTATGCGTATGCGTGTGCGGAAGACTGCGTCCTGTTGATGGTGGTGGTGGTCTTTAGCAGTACCTACAGCAGCGGATAAATACCACGCAGCAAAACTACTGTGGAAGTAGTGGTCTGAGCATGAATGCACCTGTGACTGTCAATTATTATCTGCGCAGAGGTGCCGAGTGCTGCTCGAGCAGTCGTACAGCGCATCTTGGATGGATGCATTGGACGGCTCCGGGCGTCTGGATACACTGGGTTGAGTAGTATTTAAGCCTGGTATGTTGGTTGATTGCGGCGTTCTTGTGCGGGTTGCGTCCGGTCTGCTGCAAAAGCACCAACGCAGTCTATATTGACGAGAATTTGAGCGAGCAGAACCCTTGCAAGCATCCCGAAACAGTCCATCGAAGTATAGACGGATTTAATTCATGTCGTGCAAGCGCTGACTTAACAGCTACTTCGACACCGTGAACGTTGTTATTCCATCCTCGGACTGAGATGGCTTTCTTGATGCGTGCGATAGGAACTGCTTGGTTGCCGCTGTAAAGCGTTGGTTTGAATGGCTAGCTAGGAAAGTGGAGATTTTTGGTGCTTTGATCGGTGCCTTCCATGTATGTTATAAGAGAGGGGGGAAAGGAAAGGGCGCTGCGAACTCTTGAGGCTGGCGTATCCTAGGACATCTAACTAGAGCCACACGAAGCAGAACAGCGCGGCCAGCATTCGTTTTCTTCCGTGGTTGTTGTTGGTGTTGGTGGGTGTTGACGACGCGCGGCCGCCAAAAGAAGAAGTCGTGGCCTCTTCTCGCTTAGGACTTGGGGGTCGAAAACGAAAAATTAAAAAAATAAAAAAATAAAAATAAAAAAAAAAAAAAAAAATAAAAATAAAAATAAAAATAAAAAAAATAATCGGAAAGCAAATGAATCCACAACCACTAATTTTACAGAAGCACATCTACTGGTGATAGAATCGTTTCGCGCCTGCCGCGCGAGAACACGACGCAAGCAGGCGCGCGCAACCATGGAATGGAGTCAATGCGCACACGCGTTTTTTCCCTTCTGCCGCCAGGCCGCGCGCACATGAATGAGGCAGTCACACCAAGCAAGCAGCGAGTATTTGATACCTACGTTCCGCCGTTCCGCCCGTCCGTACTCGTACGGGGTATGAGGTACAAAGTACATACATACATGGGCTCCAAGGCCTAGCCTATGTGCCTATGTAGCCCTTCGGCCTAGCCTAGACCTTCGGCCTGCATGCACATTTCCCCATTCCCGAGCGACCCGATGGCTCCCGCCCGCGCAAAGTACGTACGTACTGGACTACCTTGGTGGTTACCCATTGTTGCGGAGGGAGCGGCGACGTGCAGCCACGACGCCATGCCATGTGGAGAGTCGGGAATGGTTGGTGGGGGAGGTGATGGGGTGATTGAATGGAGGGGAAGCGAGGAGAAGGCTTGCGAGCAGTCAGTTCGAGGCTATTGCTACTTCCTCTTCCTCTCTTCCTTCTTCTTCTGCTGGGATGAATAGTTGATGGCCATCGAGGTAAGGGTCTGCGCGTGGCCGTTGTGCCGTTGCGCCGTTGCTAGACAGCAGGACTAGTGGACGGGATGCATGGAACCTCAGGCATGTTTGTACGTATGTGGCATTGAGTTGCCTGGCTGACTGAGCGTCGGTTGTCATGCCATGTGATTATCGACTGGCTGCTGTGGGCAGCACCGGATTGAGCACGACGGTAGGTCTCGTGGAACGGCGCCATTGCTGGGGGTGCGACGAGGCGGACCACGTCTCTCGAGCGATATGGGATGACGGGGGGATCAGCATGGCGCAATGGTGTGGAGGCAAGAGATGGGTGTGGAGGAGTGTGGAGAGAAGTGGGTGGGCTTGCGTGAGCTTGCTGCGACCGATGATATTGAAGGTGTATCTACACACGTCACGCCAGCACCAAAGCAGCGGCGACAGCAGCATCTGTACATATGTATATGTAAGCTGACTCTCCACACACACCCTCACAAACGCGGCTCCCACGGCCCAATCAGCCGTGCAGCTTCACCCTCGCTTTGCGCCGGCCCGCATATCGCGAGCTCGCATGCATCCAGCGCGTTCGACGTGGCTCCAGTGGCCCGGGTTGCTGTTTGCTCCCGCCATGCCTGACCGCATTATCTCTCTCGCGTCCTTGTCGACGTCCTCGCAAGCATATCTCAATCAATCCCATACCTTGGCCGTCTACGCCTCCGATGCGCGCGTGCGTCGTCCCGTCCGACTTTTCCTCCCTCGATCCAAGATAGAGTACGTGCAGCTAGGTAGGTAGGAAGGAAGGAAGAGCTTCCTGGCTCTCTCTCTCAGCCTCGCCTCACCTTCGCCGCCGCCGCCGCCGCCTTTTCCGCTCCGATATCGATCAATGTCAGATTGAGCACTGCAAACGCAGCAACAGAGGCTTTAACCGCCCACCCTCTTCTCCCACGCCACAAACCATCGTCACAATGGGTAAATAGAGCCCGTCCACCCATACTCACTCTCCCTCCCTTCAACCACTCTAAACAATTCCCCTCGTCCAGCGTACCCCCACCACAATTACCCTCACCACCCTCCCTACCCCGACCCGAGGCAGTACCCGCAGCAATACAGCCCGCGTCCGGCATACCTCTATCCTCCGTCCCCCGGCGGCAACATGGCGCTCGCGTCGTCGCCGCCGCCGCCGGCCCCGGTCCCGCCGCCCGCGCCCCAGCCCCCCGTTGCCATGCGCCGCTACGCCAATGTCTCCTACGCCTCGTGGCAGAACCCCTATGCCCAGCGCCAGTACCCGAGCGTGCCGAGCTACTACATGCCTCCGATGTATACGCCGCGGTACGGGTACGTCGCGACGGGGCATGCGCCACTGTATGTGGATGAAGGGACGTCGTCTTCGGAAGAGGAGGAAGATGAGGACGAGAGTGAGTGATTTATTTCCTGCTTCAATTCCCCCTTTCTTTGCCATGCTGAACATGGAACATGTTTTGCCATTGGCGCTGCTACTGATACTGACATGCATATACACAGACGCCAACACAATCAACAGCGTAAACACCCACCCCAAAGGCAGATCCAACACCAAAACCGACGATGATACTAACAACAACATGTATGACATACAGACAGCAGCAGCACCTCCGCAAGCGCCCATGCCCCCACAACTGGCTCCCGCGCCACCAGCCCCCGCCGCAATAGAAGCTCCGCCGCCGCCGCCCTCCCCACCGCCGGTAGTGCCACCAGCAGAGATCGAGGAACCGCCTCCACCGCCTCCGCCCCCTGCGGATCCGGAGCCCCCACCCCCACCTGAACCCCCTGGTCCGCCTGTGGAGGAACCGCCGGTGCCGGAACCGGTACCAGAGCCTGAAGCTGCACCCGCAGCGGACCCGGAGCCTGTGCCAGAGCCTGTGCCAGAGCCTGTGCCAGAATCCGCGCCAGAACCTGAGCCAGTAGCAGCAGAGCCCGTTCCGGAGCCCGTGGCAGATCCCGTCCCAGAACCACTACCAGCAGAGCCCGCTCCGGAGCCAGAGCCAGCAGCCGAGCCCATCGAGCCCACCGACGACGAGGAAGCACAAGACGGCGGCGTCGCCGTGGCCATTGAGCCCGAAGCCGCTGCGGCACCGCCACCACCGGCACCCGAGCCCCCCGTCGTAGAAGCACCTCCACCACCAAGCACGCCGCCCCCGCCAGCAAGCGCAGCCTTCTCCATCGCGCCACCTGTCCCTCCCTCGCCCTCCAGCGAAAAAAGCGTCCACTTCCCTAGCGACCTGATCGACCCACCCCCCAAAGCCAGCAGCAGCAAGCTCTCCAAATCGCACCACGGCAGCCACAAGGCCAGCAAGTCCAGCAGCAGCAGCAGCAGCAAAGCAGCGCCGAACATGACAGCCAAGCGCGCGGCGCAGCAACATCAGCAACAACCGAAGAAAGCGCTGCCCCCGATGGCCATACGGGAGAGCAAGCGCGAGCGGGAGCGCGAGGAACGTGCGAAGCGGGAAGAGGAGCGGAAGAAGAAAGAAGAGGAGAAGGAGAAGGAGAAGGAGCGGGAAAAGGAGAAGGCGAAGAAAGGGCGGGTGGGGGGCGTGCTTGGCGGGCTGGGGCTAGGGATTGGCGGCTGGGAGAGGGAGCATAAGAAGAAGAAGGAGGGGAAGAAGGGCGCAGTGAAGAAGGACAAGGGGAAGAAGGGCGCGGATGCTGCTGCTGCTGCTGCTGCTGCTGCGGATGATGCGCCGGCTGAGCCTCCTGCTCCGCCTGTGGAATCTGAACCTGAACCCGCTGCTCCAGCTGGTCCAGAACCACCGGCTGGTCCAGAACCACCGGCTGGTCCAGAACCACCGGCTGAGCCCGCTCCAGCCGATCCGGATCCGCCAATTGACACTGCCCCGTCCGCTGAGGCCGACCCCGCTCCGCCAGCCGAGACAGACGCACCCGCTGATTCCGCTCCGCCCGCTGAGTCAGAGCCCCCAGCAGACGCCCCAGCAGACCCCGAACCACCAGCAGCAGCAGCCACCGACCCTTCCGCTGACCCTCCCGCTGATCCCACTCCGCCTGCAGCAGACCAAGAAGAACTCCCCACTCCCGCTCCACAGGCCGCTGACACAAACGCAGCACCAGCGGAACCAGACCCAGCATCCGAGGCCGAGGCCGCTCCGCCCACAGACGCACCAGCCGACCCACCGGCAGACCCAGCGCCGCCAGCCGAATCCGACGCCCCCACTGACCCGCCCACGGAATCTGAGCCTGCCCCCTCGGATGAAGCTGCCGTGCAGGACCCACCTGAGGAGCCAGAGCCTGCTAAAACGGGAGAAGGCACGGCACCACCACTACCGCCACCGGAGGAGGAGGAGAAAGAGGGCGCACCACCATCTGCCACACCGGACGCCGCGCCAGACGCCCCGCCAGGGGAGTTAGAGAGCAAGGCCACGGAGCCCGAGGACCAGGCAGGCGCTGGAGATGAGGCCACGGCCGAGGAACCTACGGAGGGCAAAACCGAGGAGGGGGGCGAGACCGCTACGCCTGCTGCCGATGAGCCTGAACCCGAGCCCGAAGTCCCCACAACCTCACAGGACACAGACACAGACCCGGCCGCTGGGAACGAGCCTGAAGCCGAAGCCAAAGCCGAAACCAAAGCCCCTGACCCAGCTGCTGCTGCCAACGTCAATGCCGCGGACGACGGACCCGCTGCAGCGCCGAAGGCAGAAGAAGAGGAAGAAGGAACCGCACCACCTGCCGCCGAGGAAACGGCTCCCTCTGAGCCTGAGCCTGAACCAGAGCCTACCTCTGCACCGGAGCCAGAGTCGGACCCAAAACCCGTGGAAGAGGCGGCGCCTCAGGCCAACGACGCTGTAGATGGGGACGCCACTGAACCTACTACAGGCGACGCACCACCGACGACGACGACGACGGACTCTCCTGAGGAGAAGAAGGAGGAGGGCAAAGAGGACACCCCCGCGTCAGAAGAGGGAAAGGAGGCCGTAGAGACAGTTGCAGGGCCAGAAGCAGAAGCTAAGGCGACAGAGGATGAGGTTGTGGAAACCGCGAGCGCTGACGCGGGAGACGAGGGCGCTGCTGCTGCTGAGGCTTCTGAAGCGCCTGTGGAAGCAGAAGCAGAAGCTGCGCAGGACGAGCCAAAGAAGGATGATGATGGCGATGGTGACGGCGACGCCTCTGCGCCTGCACCTGCGCCCGAATCAGAAAATAAACCCGAGCCTGAACCTGAGTCTCAGCCAGAGCCAGAGCCAGAGGCTACCACCCCCGACCCCGCATCCCAAGAGCAAGAGCAAGAGCAAGGAACCGAGCCCGAACCCGAACCCGAATCCACTGCACCCGCTCCAGAAGAAGACAAAACAGAAGCGCCAGAGCCCTCGAAAAGCGGCGCCTCAGACGACCCGGCTGACGCGCCGGCTGATACGCCCGTTGAGCCTGCTGCGCCTCTGCCGGAGGGCGAGGGGGAGGAGGAGAAGTCTGTGCCTGAAGGCAGTGGAGAGGGGGAGGGGCAGCAAGCGGACGCGGACGCGGGCGCGGATGCCGATGCCGACGCACCGAAGAGTGATGAGGCCGCCGCTGATGAGAGCAAAGAAGGCGATGCCGCTGAGACGAAAGACGAGGGGAAATCTGGTGATGGAGAGGGCGCTGCTGCTGCCGAGACTACTGCGGCTCCCGAAGCCAAACAAGGCGACGCACCCACAAGCACTGACACCAACACCGACGCCGAAACAAACGCCACTGAGAACACAGCAGCAGCAGAGGAGGCACCCAAACCCGACGACAGCGCCGCCGCCGCTTCCACAGATGTAGACGCAGACCCAGCCAGCCCAGCCCCGTCGGCATCGGCCTCAGAGCCCGTCAGCGAGGGCCCGTTCCCCACGGATTTGGACTCGATTGATCCGGGGGATGATGCGTGCAGTAGTGATGGGTCTGGCGAGGGTAGGGGCAAGGACGAGGGCAAGGAGGCTGCGCCTGCGGCGGCGGAAGAAGGCGAAGCTGAAGTAGGAAAGGCTGTGGATAACGCGGAGGGCGCGGAGGCAGATCCAGGAGCGGGAGATAAAGCTGCTGAGGGCGCTGGTGCTGGTGCTGATGCTGCTGATACGCCGGCTGAGAAAGGAGAGAGTGCGGACGAGAAGTTGGATGCTGAGGCCGAAGCCGAGGCCACGGCGCCAGAGACAAAGACTGAAGATGCTACCACCGCAGCGGCTGCCGAAGATGAAGCAGCTACATCTTCTGAAGAGCCTAAAGACGAGCCCGCCGCGCCCGAACCCCCAAAAGACGAAGCACCCGCCACAGAAGACAAGAAGAGCGAAGAGCCCGCCGCCGCCGCCGGCGACGAGGCGGCCGGCACTGGTACTGGCGCCGACGAGCAGAAAGAGCCAGAGTCTTCAAGCGCAGAGAACGCCCAACCTACCACTGACGCGCCTGCCGATGCATCGCCACCACCTGCAACTGAAGACGATGCGGCTAAAGACGATGCAGAGGAAAAAGAAGAGGACTACACGGACGCGGACCGCCGCATTGTCGATGAGATTATGAACCCGCCACCGCCGCCACCGGCGCCCGCGGAGCAAGAAACAGAGACAGAGCCAGAGAAGGCAGCTGATGCTGCGCCGGCTGCTGAAGGCGGTAATGGCGATGGCGCTGGCGATGGCGCTGCTGATGCTGCAAAGACGGCTGAAGGCGGCGAGGAAGGCAAGGGCGACGATGTTGCTGCTGCTGAGGGGGCGGCCGAGGCCACTCCTCCGGCACAGGAAGAGGGCACTAGTGAGAATGACGCGCCAGCTGAGGGCGGTAGTGCTGATGCTGGTGCTGCTGAAGGTGATGGTGACGGTGAAGCCGGCAAGGGTGGAGACGGCGAGGTGCCGAAAGAGGGTGATGGTGATGGCGGTGGTGACGCGTCTGCACCAGCCGAGTCTGGTGACTCTAATGAGGGGGGCGATGCTCCTGAGAAGACGGGAGATGGGTCCGGTGACGCTGGGAAGGAGGACGATGGAGGGGAGGGGAATTCGAGGGCTGATGAAGAGCTTAAGGCTGAGGAAGAGGCTAAGACGGATGAGGAGGGTAAAGGTGATGCGGAGACCAAGGGTGATGACGCCCCTAAAGAAGATGAGGCTCCTAAGGAGGATGGTGACGCCCCCAAAGAAGACGAAACCCCCAAGCCGGAAGAAGGCGGTGCTCAAGGAGAACCAGCACCCTCCGACGCAGCAGCACCGGAGGGCGAAGCCAACGCCAAAGATAACGACGAAGAAAAAGATACGGCTGACACTGCGGCTGCATCAGGCGAAGAAGGAGCTAAAGGCGAAGAAAAAGCAGAAGCAGAGCCCGAGAAAGCGGCAGAAGACGCAGCACCAGCCAACGCGGACGAGCAGGCGGAACCAGCAGAAGATGGCGAGAAGACGAGTGACGAGCCTGCTGTCACTACTGCTGCTGCTAATAGTGATGCTGCTGCCGCACCCGCAGAGGCCAAGCCCGAAACCGAAGCAGAAGATAAGTCCTCGGATGCGCCTGCAGAGGGAGAAGCAGCAGCAGCCACTGATGCTGCTGCCGCCGATGAGCCCACCGACGCCGCGGCGCAAGAAGCCGCTAAGCCCGCGGACGAGGCAAGCAAAGACGAGTCTAGCAATGCAGTCGAGGAAGCAGCCAAAGAAGAAGCAACGGACGGCGAAACAGCAGCGCCTGCTGCCAACGTCGACGAAGAACCCGCGCCCGCACCCGCACCTGACGACGCTCCCGTCACTGATCTCTGCCCGCCAGCAGAAGAAGGAGAAGAAAAACAAGCAAACGATGCCGAGAAGGCCGCACCAGCAGAAGAAGACGGAGAAAGCCCCGCCGAAGCTGTTTCCCCCTCGACTAGCGCAGAACCTGCAGAACCCGCAGAACCGGGGGGCGCACCCACAGGCACAGCCATGTCTACCCCCCCAGCCGCTGCTCCCGCTAGCGACGTTCCTGCTGCTACTGCTCCTACTGACGCTGCGGGTGCTGCGGATCCTGCCGCTGCTGCTGCAGCTACTACTGCTACTGCTGCGGACGCTGCCGCTGCTGCTGAGGCTAGCGCAGGAGGTGATGACGGCGCTGACGGCGGGGTTGGCGGTGCGGGTTGTGTGGGGGGTGCTGCAGAGGGGGGTGCTGCCGTAGATGAAGCTGCGCCAGCAGAGGACGCTGTGCCAGCAGAAGATGCTGCCGCATCAGCACCACCACCCTCAGTCCAAGGCAAAGACAAAGACAGAGCCACAGAACGCCCCCGCCACGAGCGCCACCACTCCCACAGCTCAAACGGCACGTACCTCGTGCGGCCACGGCGGGGCAGCTTGCTCCCCGCGTCTAGCAAGGCCGAGGAACAAAAAACACGGGATTCGGACCGCGAGCGCGAGAAGCGGCATTCTCGACGCAGCAAGCACAGCAGTGGACGCGAGAAAGACAAAGACAGAGACAGAGACAGAGACCGCGAGCGCGAGAAGGAAAGGCCGCCGGGGCTGCTGCGGCGCATGTCGCACGCGCTGAGCGAGAGCCGGGACAACAAGGACAAGGACAAAGACAGCGAGAAGAAGCACCGCACGCGCGGCGGCATCCCAGGTCCAGAAGAAACACCGTCTGAGCACGAAACCCGCCGACGCATACGGCACGAAGCGCGCGCGCGCGCCGCGGAAGAAGAAGGCCGTCGGCAGGCCCAAGTCGCAGAGCAGATTGGGCGAGAAGACGCCGAGCGGCGGCGGCGAGTGCGACACGACGACGACGAGGCCGCGCGCCGCGAGCGCGAGGACCTGGAGCGCAAGCGCCGGCATGAGGAGCGCAGGGCTGCGCGGCGGGAGGAGGTAAGGCGGAAGGCGGAGGAGGAGGAGGCGAGGCGGATTGAGCGTGAGAGTAGGGCGGTTGAGGCGGAGTTGGCTAGACGGGAGGAGGAGGAGAAGAAGGTGAGAAGGGAGCGGAGGCGGAGGGAACGAGAGGAACGGGAGAGGCAGGAGGAAGAGGAAGAGAGGGCGAGGATGCTGGTGCAGGAGGAGGAGAGGGTGGAGAGGGCTGCTGTGCGTGTGGAGGAAGAGGAGGGGGAGCGCAGGCGCGAACGCAGGCGCCTGCGGCATGAAGCTAAGAAGGCAGCGGCAGCAGCAGAGCAAGAAAAAGACACATCCACGCCCCTCCCTTCGCCTTCTTCGCCTTCTTCCCCTACCGCCCCCCGCGACCACCTCCGCAGACGCAACACAGCCGCGTCCACGTCCACGGACGCGAACACGAACACAAACAAGCGCGCCAGCATCGCCTCCCTCCTCTTCACTCGCTCGAATACCACGCCTGTTTTCCCACTTCCGGCCCATCAAAGCCCTGTCGAGCAGGACTCGTCGGGCCCCGAGCGCAGTGTGGGGAGTCGGCGTCGGCGGCGGCGTGAGCATGATCACGACCGTGAACGCGAGCGCGAGCGCAGAGACAGCGACGCCACTGCCCGCAGTGCTGGTACTGGTGCTGGAAGCGTTCATCGGCGGCATCATCGGCACCACTATCATCACTACCCTCAGGACCAGCGTGACGACGACATGATGGGGCCGGGGAGCCCGGTACTCGAGCTAAGGCGGCAGGGGGGGTTTGCTGTCGAGGCTGAGGATGAAGAGGTGCAGGAGCGGGTGCCGGAGGCGTTGCGGAGAAGGGAGAGCGTGAGCGTGGGTGTGAGTGCGAGGGGCAGTGGTGGGAGTGGGAGTGTAGAGGGGTATGAAGAGGCGAGGAGGCGGCATCGGCAGAGGGGTGAGGGTGAAGGGGAGAGTGAGCGCCGGTATCATCGCTATCATCAACAACGTGGGGATATGGAAAGGGAGAAGCGTGATCGCGATAGGGACAGGGATAGGGAGCGCGAGTACCGCGATCGTGACCGCGAAAGAGAGCTTCGTCGCCGCGACGGCGACCGCGAGCGCGCCAGAACAGCAGACGCTGACGCAGACGCAGAAGAAGCAGAAGCAGAAGCAGAAGCAGAAGCAGACCACGAACGCATCAGCGACCGCGTGATCCGCGAGGCGAGGGAGCGCGAGCAGCGACGAGAGCGCTACGAGCAGCGCGAACAGCGTGAACGCGAGCGTCGCCGTCTCGAGCGCGAGAGGGAGCGCGAGCGCACGCGCAGCGAGCGCCATGAGCATGAGAGGGAGCTGCATATGCTGGCGGGGGAGGGTGGGCCGAGGGGGAGAGATGAGAGAGAACGGGAGAGGGAGAGGGAGAGGGAGAGGGAGAAGGGGTTTTGGGGGGGTTTGAAGAGGGCGATTGTTAGTTAGTTTGGGTGGTTTGGTGGGGAGGGAGTGTATTGCTAATGATTGTTGGTGTGGTGTGCTGTGAGGCTGTTTTTTTTTGCTTGGTTTGGCGTTTTCTGCTCGAGGGTGGTTTGGTTTGGTTTCTTGTTTGGTGTTGGGCTGGTTGGTTGGTGGGCGTTGTATATTGCTTGGAGGGAGGAGAGGGTAATTTGTTAGGTATGGTACCTATGGTAGACAGTTGGACGTGGAGGGGCTTTATGTGTTTGGCATAACTAGTTGGTTAGGTACATACAGACTGCATTATACGAAATTTTTATTTCTGCTCCTTCTATATTTTGTATAGGGAACATGAGACATGCACCTCCACATCCAACACCAGTTTCGCAGGCACCTAGGAATCCAAAAAGCGCGGTTGCAAAATGGTGTGGAACTGGAACGGGTCTTCGCGACTAGAACAAACAGGCTTGATCAGTGAAAGACTACTAAGCCGAAAGTCTGTGATGGTGATGATGGGTGGTGCTGGATGGCTTAGTTCCTACGAGTGGGTGATGGTTGATGGTGCTGAACAGTACCTATGTTCAGCGGTTTGTGGGCTCTGTCTCTCGGCTTACCATTGCTTACGCTGAAGAACCATTGCATATGAAAGATCTCGTCGTACCCCTTTGTGGAAGTTGGCATGTTTGTTGGTCAAGGAATAATACTCTTATGAGATCAAATGCTGAAGAAGAAAAAGAAGACATTATATTTCAGCCGTGTCTACCGCGCGTGTACATACCCACCCCTATCCCCATTACTCCACCTCCCACCTACCACGTAAACAGCATCAAGTTCGGATTCAAAAAGATGGGCAAAAACATATGCGCAAACACAATGGTGGAGAGGGGGTAAATAGCAACGAACGTCTGGATCCTCCACAGAGGCGGAAACACCGTCGCGCCCGCAACCATCATGACGAGCGCAGCGACGCAAAACGCAAACGTGTACTTGAAGCGCTTAAGCACACGCGGGATCTCGTCGAAGAAGGTAATGTGCTCGACCTCCTTGGCCGTGGCGCCCCAGCTCATGTCGATGGAGAAGAGGTGGCACAGCAGCGCCTGCGCCACGTGCAGCGAGATGCCGCCCAGGAAGAGCGTCAGTAGGAAGACCCACGAGAAGCACTCGACCAGCGCGGGCAGCAGCGGCTTCTCGCCCGTGCGGTAGCGCAGCACGCCCAGCGCGAGGTTGCCCAGCGCAGAGAACACCACGATGATCGCAAAGTAGATCTTGAAGCTGTCGATGTAGTAGTGGTCGTAGTAGCCCAGCAGCCAGCCCACCAGGAAGTAGTTCAGCAGCGTCAGCGCCCACGCCGACCCGATCGCGTAGTACGTGCCGATGTAGGCCATGATGGTGAGTTTAGAGTGCAGCGGCATGCTGGAGGCGATGAAGCGGCGGAAGAGCTGGGTGAAGGGCCCGCGCGTGGGCCAGTACCGTAGAGGGTGGAAGAGCAGCTCCGAGCACCCGTACGCGTACTTTTCCCACCGCGCCAGCTCGTCGTACACCGTCAGCGACACGCCCTCTTTGTAGCCTTCGCCCGTGTACGCCCCCAGCCGCACGACGTACCCGACCGTCTGCAGCCGCAGCGCCATGTCGAAGTCCTCCGACACCGTCGCCTCCGACCAGTACTTCTCGCGCCCGTCCAGCGCGCAGTCGTACGCAATGTTCTGCACCGCCGACCACCGCAGCACCGCGTTGTGCCCCACAAACGGCGCCACGTCCCCGCACGCCACCGCGTACCGGATCTGCGTGTAGATCAGGTTCGTAAAGTACGTGATGCCCTTCTCGAAGAAGCTGTCCGTCACGTTCATCACCCCCGACGAGTACTGCAGGATGCCCACCTGCGGCGACTGCTCCATCTCGCTCACCGCGTCCAGGAAGCAGTCTTGCGGCACCCGCGTGTCCGAGTCCACCAGCAGGATGTAGTCGCCGACGCGGATGTTGCCGTCAGCCCACGTGCGGCCTTCGTCTTCGTCCACCACCTCGCTCAGCGCCTGCCGGTACACCGTCGCCTCGTCTTCCGGCGTCCAGTACTCGGGCCGCTCGCCCTGCGCAAGCTTGTCTTCGACCCGGTTGCTGACCCACAGCGCGTAGTTCATGTTCGAGGCCTTCTTGAACTTGCCCCGTCGGTGGAATGCCACTTCGCCCTCGGCGGGCTTGGGGTTGTGCTTCGGCCGCGCGACCCACCCGACGTTGTGCTCGTCGTAAAAGTCCTGTCGCTGGCGTGCCTCCTCGTCCGAAATCAATTGCATGCCGTCGTCGTTCACAAAGATGTTGGCTGTGCCGCCCTGCATCTCATACGTCGAAATCGCGGCCTTGATCGAGCGGATCGTGGGCTCAATGACAGTGTGTAGACCCTCCTTGTAGACCGGCATCTGGATGGTGATGTGTGGAAGCGGGCCGATATCGCGGTTTAGTCGCCGCGGTGCGATACCAGAGTAGTACTTGGTGTTCTGGTTGACCTGGTCGATTGGGCCAATGATTTGAGACACGTTACCGACGAGGGCCTGGAAGAAGAAAAGGGCAAGCCACATCTGGGGAAGTACGACGGCGATAAATGCAAGCCGTATGTAGCCACCATCGACGGCAACCTCGATGGCAATCTGTCGCCAACCAGACCCAATGGCAGCAAGTGTGAGGATGAGGGTGCAAGCGGTCAAGAGAGGCTGGATGAGAACTGTTTGGCGAGGTTTCTCCTCTGCTGATTCGGCGTCACTTCCATCGTCCTCGTGGACCTGATACATGGCTTCTTTCTTCTCATTCTCATCTGGATATGCGGATTCGTCTTGCCATATCATATCCATCAAGGCATGCTCGATGTTGTTGACGCGCTCGAGAAGCTTCTTCGGCTGATCTTCCCAGACGACCAAAATGCCTCGGTCAGCGATAAAGGCTGCAAACTGGTGTTTCTGAGATTGCGGAAGGTACGACATGTCCGGCAAGACCTGGACGCGCAGTCCCCTTTGGATCTCGATGTATGGTAGGCTGTTGTTGTGCAGAATGATTTTGATGACGCGCGTGTTGACAGTCATTGCAACCTACGGCGCGTTAATTTTACGCAACACATACTTTGGACGAGCAAACTTACTCGGACGTTAAGCTGCTCGACAGCTTTGAAGAAGCCAGCGGGCTCATTTGCCAGTTCTGCGGGACAGCAGGTGTACTGGCCACGGCCTTTTTTCAAAACAATACCTTCTTCATACTCGCCCGAACTCCACAGCTTCTCTTCTTGCTGTGAATGAAGCCAGTTGACCATGACATCGCACTTGATGTCATTGATTTCGTTCAATGCCGAGTTACGGAAGTCGCCGGGAGGATATAGAGATGCTGGGCGGGATCCGCTAGGGGTACTGGAGCTGTGTGGGCTCATTGTGAGAGGTGGGATGGGTACTCCCGCAGGAGCCTCTGGTTTGACTGTTTCTTTCTCATTCTTGACCTCTTTTTCTTTTTTCTTATTGCTTGACCTTGGTGCAAAGTACGATTTCAGTCCCATCTTTTAGCCAGAAGGTGACTGACCAAAGACTGGTATATTTCAATGATAGTCTGTCAGTATGATGTATGGTTATCGTTAGGTGGTTCGAGTTGCTGTATCAAGAGCTCTGGAGTACCAGTCGTCCAAAGATAGGGTCGTATGAACGAAAGTACCCTTAGCTTTAAGATGGAACGAAAGGCTAACAAAATGGCAAGAGAGGCCGCAATTGAGAGTGAAAGGCGAGGATGCGAGCGTTGATGAACACAATGGAAAGCGTGCAGACGAGACTCAAGTAGTATTTTCACCAGACGCACCTACCTCTGCAATTGTCCAGATAGACGCCACTGAAAGCAAGCTAAGCGGCCCGTTCGTAGCTGATAGACTCGCGATTCCGTTGCATGTTTTCTTCGCATGGGACCTGCAATATGCGAAGGCCCGTCCAGGCCAATCCAGCCATGAAAGGCTCTGCTCGAGGATCGTCCCAAGACAGCAATCGTGGATTTCCGGCTCCTCCATTGGGCGTGCGGCGAGGCCAGCGGTGCTCGAGTGACAGGCGAAGAGCGAGCACGCTTGTCCAATCATCCCATCGGCCATCTCCTAATTGGGCAGAGGCGAGATTGAGCGCCCCGGCCCGGACATCACCGTCGTATATGCAGGCACTCTGATAAGAACTGTCCGTTCCCGTACAGACGGGTTCTAGAATGGGGACATGACTTCAGCCCAAACTCTTCCTATCAAATCTTCAGCAATTAAATTCGCCAGCGGAGGGTTTTAGGCTAGATGTTTTTGCAGTTGAATACTGCTCTGGTTCAGAATAAATTAGTTTCGCGTCGTTCTCTTACCATTGGAGACTCATAATGAGAACAATTACTCCATAAAACAAGTCGCGCAAGATATTGCGTGCCACCAAATCGCTGTCTGCCTATGGATAGGCAACAACGCTGGTGTTGCTATTCCTGCCGTGCGTGCCTGTTATCGTGCAGAAACGACACCACACGCTCCTACATACGGATCGCAAGCGATATGCTGCATCATGGCAGAATCCCTGGAGATGCATATAGATGTATCGAGTCAGCCAAAATTCTTCTTAGATCAGTCCACGATGTATCAGTCATCTCGTCGGATATGGCAGACGTCGGGTTTCAGCCGGCCGGTGGCGGGTCCGATAGTGGCTGGACGCGCTCTTGTAGTCCGTAACGGATGGCGTGCCTGGCGCTAAAGAATGATCTGCGGAGGATTGGGTTGAATCCGCGGGTGTCTGGTCGGGAGATGGACAAGAAGGGAGCGATGTGCGAGATGGCGGAGGAACGTTCCCGCTGAACGCGGCGGTTCGCAGCAATCTGAGGTTGTGACGCCACAACGACTGTTGCGCCGCAGCTTGCAACACGGTCGCAAGGTATCATCCCGTGGTCTGTTCGTCTGCCGTGTTGCTCTCCCGTCTGGCCATCAACACGCGCTCAACAGCACCACGTCGTTGGTGAACCGCTGCAGCCCTCTCCACCGGGTCCGTGGGAGCACGACATTGACAGCGGTCGATCGGCACATGGGGAAAGGCTTCGTTGCACGGATAAGCACATGAAGACGCCGCTCTCCCGAGGCAAATCTCGCCAATATTGCACGCTCCCGTTGAAAAACGCCACGCCTCAACGGCTAAAGGACAAGATACGGATCGTATCTGATGATAACACATCGGTTCCGAGGGGCGACAAAATTCAATTGGAGAGGAGGCAGTGGCGCTCGCTTCTGTCCGTTGTGGTGCCTTGTACCTGGTTGGCCAAGTCTTTTATCTTGCAGAATTCTGGCGTGTTGTCAGTGAGAACTGGAAAATTGAGGCTGGAAAATATTTTTGTGAGCAAGTGCGGCACCACCCTCACACACCGACGCGGAACCCGGAGCCTGGCCTTCCGCACAACGTTTTTCCGACTCATCGCTCCCACGGCAACGGGCTCAGCTCAGTCCAGAGCCATCCAGACTTATGTATGCGTTGGATTGTAACAAAACTTCCAGCCAGGCATCAGGTAATTCAACTCGTTCGACACAACGCCAGCGGCCAACTCCGAGATCCGGTTCGACTGATCGTGGACGGATTGCGACCGCGTCAATCGAAATTCACCGTCCAGCGAGACCGCCGGGTGAATCTCGCTTGACGGTGATGGATTGCCAGCAACCGGATCTCCGCACTGGTGTCGGCTCCCTCTCAACACGGTTCGGACACGCTTCCGCACAGCTAAAGATTAGCGTTGACTGTAAACCTCCATGCTGCTCTCACACCAAAGGCCACCCAAATCTTGTTCTCTCGATGCCCATGACGTACTCAGTATACGAGGTATTGCATGTGGGTCTGACCACAACTAGTCCGTATTCCTTCTCGCGTGGCGAGAGCCAAGAAGGATGATTCATAATGAAGCTGATTACTATGAAGTTTGCTTCCAAGTTGCAGCGCAAACAGACGCATCGGTTCGTAGGAGCAGCTCCTTTACGCGGCCAAGGGAATCAACCCTGACAATACATGAGTACATCTCTCCTTGATCTCGCCATCTCCATTGCTTGCGATGCTTTGTCGTTGTCCCAAGGTTTGTCACCGTGCGGGGAGGAGCCACTCAGCGATCAGCGCTGTGGCGCTGTAGCCTCTACGTAGGCAACCGCGAGGCGCAGCTAGGCACCAATCCGGCTCGACTATAAAACCATCACATGCAAGAGCTTCCCTTCTTTCTTCTTCCAACACAATCATCCAAACGCTTCTGAGCAAATCTCTCGAGCTCTACCAAACTTCAACCCGACAGAACCCTCGATTGGCTTTCGAGAGAGTGAATACCAGAGTGCAACCTTCAACGTGCGTTAAGGGAAGCTACCTATTGTAAAAGTCCTGGTCTACCACACCAAAGCAAATCAGTTTTCTACCAGAGTCATGGCTTTCTATTCTGGTCAGCATATTTGCGGCCTGTACTACTTGTCTCCTAATCTTGACGCTTTCGGCAATGCGAAGAAAAACTATCTTCCGCAGGTCGTCGGCCTGAAGTCTCACACATCTATCCTCTCCAATGTCTCCAGGACGGTGCTCACTCAGACCTTTAAAAATCCCTCGAAGGACAAGGCCATTCGAAAGGTTAGGTACACCTTCCCCCTTTACGACGGTGTCTCCGTCGTTGGATTCACGTGCCGCGTCGGCACCCGCATTATCAAGGGTGTCGTCCAGCAAAAGGAAGAGGCCAAAGCCACATTCGACAAGGCGGTCGACCGAGGCGAGACTGCCGGCTTGCTGGAGCAACTGCCTGACGCATCCGATGTCTTCACCACTACTGTGGGAAACATTGACCCTGATGCTACCATTGTGACCGAGATCACATATCTCGGAGAGCTGAAGCACGACGCAGAGGTTGACGGCATCCGCTTCACAATCCCCACATCTATCGCACCGCGTTACGGTGACTATCCAGGTGAGCTTCAGGGTCATGCCTTGACCTCTCAGGCTCAGGCTGGCTGCGGCATGTCTATAACCGTAGACGCCAGCATGCCCGATGGTTCCATGATCCAAAAGATGCAGTCTCCTAGCCACCCCATATCCATCTCCATGGGAACCACGTCTTCTGAGCCCAATGCAGAGCCTTCCATGACCAGAGCCTCTGCAACCCTTAGTCTTGGCACGACGGAGTTGAAAAAAGACTTTATCCTTCAGATTGTCGCAAAGGATACTGGTGTGCCAAAGACCCTGCTTGAGGAGCACCCCGCCATTCCGCACCAGCGCGCTCTAATGGCTACGCTGGTTCCGAAGTTCACGCTTCCGCCCATCAAGCCAGAAGTCGTTTTCGTTTGCGATCGCAGTGGAAGTATGTCAGACAAGATTGGCACTGTTGTCAACGCCCTGAAGGTATTCCTGAAGTCTCTTCCGGTCGGTGTCAAGTTCAACATCTGTAGCTTCGGAAGCTCTCACTCGTTCTTATGGGACCGAAGCCAGAGCTACAGCCAAAGCACGCTGGATGCCGCCATTGCGCACGTGGAAAGTTTCGGATCGAACATGGGAGGTACAGAAATCTTGGAAGCGCTGGAGGACACCATCGAGCGGCGATACAAGGATATCGAGCTTGAGGTTATGCTGCTGACGGATGGCGAGGTTTGGGACCAAGACTCGCTGTTCAGATGTTTGAACGAGCACATTTCGGAGAAGAAAGCCCCTATCCGAGTCTTCACGCTGGGTGTTGGCGACGACGTGAGCCACTCTCTCATCGAAGGCATGGCCCGTGCAGGAAACGGTTTCTCGCAAGCCGTTGCAAACAACGAGAAGCTGGACAGCAAGGTTGTGCGAATGCTGAAGGGGGCGCTGACCCCGCACATTACGGACTATACCTTGGAAGTCAAATACTCGAACGATGGACCAGGTGCAGTTGAAGAAGAGGATTTTGAGATTGTAGAGAAAGTTGCGGATAGTCTGCACATGCATCTAGACCTCGACCCGCCTGTCGAAGAGCCCAAGGCTGAGGAGGTAGGTCTTTACCTACAGCAACCATATTCTTCGAGCAATACTAACATACAACAGGCTCCCAAGAAGCCGATTTCTCTTTTCGATCCAACAGCAGACGTCAATGGCCCTACCAGCAGCACAGACAACGAGGCTACCAACAGCAGCGACAACAAGACTCCCTACGCCCACCTCCCCTCCATCCCTATCCCGTCTATCCTCCAGACCCCGCACAAAATCCCGCCCCTATACCCCTTCATCCGCACAACAGTCTATCTGCTCCTCTCGCCCAACTCTCGCACAGCCCCCCACACACCCACATCCGTCATCCTCCGCGCCACCTCCACCCACGGCCCCCTGGAGCTGGAAATCCCGGTCCAACCCATCGGCACCGGCGCGACATTGCACCAGCTCGCAGGCAAGAAAGCGACGCAAGAGCTCGAAGAGGGCCGCGGCTGGCTGCACGACGCGCGCGACGAGACGGACCACGCGCTGCTGCGCGAGAAGATGGAGAGCAAGTTCGCGGACATGGTGGAGCGCGAGGCCGTGCGGCTGGGCACGACGCTGCAGGTTGCGGGCCGCTGGTGCGCGTTTGTTGCTGTAGAGGAGAGGGGCGCGGATGCTGCTGCGACGGAGCGGAAGCAACATGCTGCGTACTTGGACGAGGAGGCCAAGGAGGCCGAGGAGGCCGACCCCGAGCCCGAGCCCGTGCTCGGTTACGCCGCCTCACCAACGATGGTACAGTCGTTTGGCACTAAGCGGAAGGCGAAACGTGTCAGAGGCGTCGGCCGGCCGGCTCCGTTGGGTAGGGGCGGCATGTGTTACAGAAAGGCACCGAGGAGTTCGGGCTATAGTGCGACGAGTCCGGATTATGCAGCGGCCAGCCCGGGTTATGGGGCGACCAGTCCAGGATCTGGAGCGGCCAGCCCTGTTTACGAGCCGACGAGCCCGGTCTATGAAGCGACCAGTCCTGGATACAGCCCGACCAGTCCCGTCTACAGCCCGACCAGTCCCGTCTACGATGACGATGGCGACGAAGACATGGGCTTCGCTCTAACGGACAGTCCGCCAGCGGCAGCGCCAGTGGCAGTGGAAGCGTCAGCATCAATGGCAGCGGCGCCGAGTCCGCCCGCGCCCGCGCCCGCGTCCCCCGCGCCCACCACCCCAGCCGAGCGGCTCCAAGCCCTCATCAGCCTACAGCGCTTCGACGGATCATGGGGCTGGAGCGGAGAGCTGCTTTCGCTGCTGGGGCTGGGGGACGACGCCGCCGAGGCCGCAAAGGCGGCCGCGGAGAAGAGTAGCGCGGATGTAGACGCTGTGGCTACGCGGTGCGTGGTGGAGTTTTTGAAGAGGTGGGCGCGGGATCAGCACGAGACGTGGGAGTTGGTGGTTGGGAAGGCGGATGGGTGGTTAGAGGGAAGGGGTGCGGGTAGAGGTGAGGAGGAGAGGGAGGAGAGGGAGGCTGTTGCGCGGATTTTGGGCTTGAGCGGGTTGGGTTTGGGTGGGAGTGGGGATGTGGTTATGGAGGAGTAGTGAGTGAGTGGTTTGTGTGGTGGTGATTGGAAAGAGGTTGGTGATTGTGGTATTGGTAGCTGTGAGTAGCGGCTGCTGGTAGTAGTGGTAGTGGTGGTGTAGTGTCCACGAAATAAATAAAAATATGGTTACGCATACATGCTTCTGCTTCCTTCCGTGCACATGTGGATTATCTACTGTGTGTACAACATGATAGCACAGAGACAGAAAAGACTACTTATTCCCTCTTCTTCTTCTTCTTCTTCTTCTTCTTCTTCTTCTTCTTCTTCTTCTTCTTCCTCCACACCACAAACACATCACAAACCCTCAACCATCCTCGCCAATTCCACCGAAGTCAGAAACGAGACACTCGAAGTGGTGAAGGCAGCACAGCACTAGCACCAGCAAATCGAATCTACAACGTTAAAGGACTGGTGCTGAATACGACGACGACACAAGCCCCGAAAACGCGTGACGGTGATGGACGGTGCTGTTGCTTGGTGGTGGTGGGTAGTACCGTTGCTTGGTGGTGCTGGCTAGCACGCGTCCTCGACGAAGTACTCCAACCCACTCTATACATAGTTCAACATAGCCCAACATAGCCAGTTCCCTTCGAGGCCAACGCGCGCAAGACGCGCTCCATCATGCGAGTCCTAACCCGATTCTCCTCGAAGACTCGGCGTTGGTGGCAGCCGTGCGTGCTTGGGGAGACGGCCAGCGAACATGGCTTGTGCGTAGGCGTTGTAGGGTGATGGCGCAGTGTGTGACGCAGTAGCGTACAGCAGCGAGCGAGGACGTTAAGCGCGTGGATATAGTAGGTAGTATATTTAAATGGTAATGAAGGATAAGCGCAGGCAGGCAGGCAGGCGTTGCGTGAGAAGGAGCGGCGAGAAGAAGAAGAAGAAGAAGAAAATGAAAATGAAAAGAAAACCATCCACGCTCGCCCCACACATCTCCAAACCCTACCTACTTCCCACACACGCCCGTCCCCGCCAACTTCGCAGTCGGGAAATAGACTCTCGGCAGCCCATTCGTCATGGGCACGGGCACGCCCTCGCCACCAACCGTAACATCGCTGCACGCAATAACCTCGGTAACGGCGGTGCCGCTGCTCCAGCCAGTGTTCCCCAGATTGAGGGTATACGCATCGCCATTGGCGCCCTTGTTGCTGAGCACGGTAATCAGCTGCGCGCCATCGTAGCCCTTGCGCATCGCGAGCGTCGTGCCGTCGCTGTAAATCACCCAGTTCTGGTACGTCAGATAGCGGTTGTCGGCCGCGATGGCGGCGTTGCGCGCCTTGTTGACCGCGGCGGTGAGTTTGTACAGCTCGGCGTCGGTGTTGTAGCCGGACAGCCAGGTCGCTTCGCGGTTGTTGGGGTCGGACGCCCCACTGTAGTGCTGTTCTTGGCCGGCGTAGATGATGGGCACGCCGTCGGCGAGGATCGTGTACGCGATTACGTTCTTCGCTTGGGACATGTCGGATGTTATCGCCGCGAAGCGCGTGATGTCGTGGTTTTCGCTGAAGCTGCCGAGTAGCGTCGAGTCTTTGCAGGCGGTCTTCATGGTGTTGATTTCGTTGACTAGGTCGCTGATGCTGCCGCTGGGCGAGGTGAAGGCGCGCGTGAGCGGGTAGTAGCTGTAAGGGGGGGGTGTTAGTTGAGTGGTTTAGGGGGTGGTGGGTTGGTTTTGTGGGGGGGCCGTACATGGGGTAGTTCAGCACGCTGTCCAGGTAGTTCTGGTACGGGCAGGTGTAGGCCGGGTTGCCGTCAAAGACCTCGCCGGTGATGAAGACGCCGGCCGCCTTGTTGAAGTCGGGATAGAAGGACTTGTCGACATGCTTGGCCGTGTCGAGACGGAGCCCGTCGACTGCGTATGCCGCGTCAGTGAAGTGTACATATATCACGTGGCTTGCTCGATCCGAGGGACGTAGGTATACGTACTGGAGTAGTTCTGGACGAGCTGGGCGATCCACTCGTTGTACTTTTGCGCGACAGCCGAGTCCTCTGTCTTGAGGTCGACGAGCTCGACGTTGGAGCTGCCGAGCCAGCAGTCCTCGACCAGGTCCTGGTTGTTGTAGTCGGTCACCTCGCAGTAGTCGTGGTAGTACGACTTCTGGTTGAAGGGGTTGAACTTGCTGTAGTCGACGCTGTTGGCGTCGCCGGCCCAGCCGTTGTGGTTGACGACAATGTCAACCATCAAGTACTGCACGCATACAATATACAGGTCAGGCACACGCACGAAAAAGCGCCTCGGGAGTAGTGGGGGTCGGACGCACCATGTCGCGGTTGTGCAACTCGGTGGCGAGCGCCTTGAGGTCGTCGGCGCTGCCAAAGTTCTCGTTCAGCCGGTACAGGTCCTGCTGCCAGTAGCCGTGATACGCCGTGCCATCGCCCGTGTTTCCCTCGAGGTTGTACGTGATGGGCGAGATCCAGATCTGACACATGACGGTAAGCACGGGGACTGCCAAACAACACCGCTTTCGCGCAGACTTACGGCCGTGAATCCCATGTCCTGGATGTAGTCCAGCTTCTTGATGATGCCCTGATAGGTGCCGCCGCAGTACGCACGCGCACCCGTGTCACATGAGGCGCCGGTGCCGCCATCATCGCGTGCGAATCTGCGCCCAGACGCGTCAGCCGGTTGTCTTGATGTGCGTGCGAGAAGAAGGGAAAACACACCGGTCAGTCAGGACCTGGTAGATGGAGCGCGAGCGCCATTCAGCGGGAGTAGCGGCGCACGCGAGCCCACTGAGAGCTGTCGCAGTGACGAGCAAAGACGACTTCATGGCGGCGATGAAAGAGAGCGAAAGCGAGAGTAGTCAACTGCCCTGGCGAGAGACAAGCACAAGATGCAGTCATGGAATCCGGTTTATATATGTATAACCTACATGGTGTAGATCACGGGAGTCAGGCAGCCTCAACGGCCACCCCGCTGCGGGCCGGGAAACACTAAAAGATGACCGGAGCATCGACCTGCCCAGTTAAGGCCTGTAGCTCCGACAAGTGACGAGTGATGAAGAAGGAAGACGAGCGTGTGACTTCAAACAGCCTCGGTCGACGCGCGCGCGCACGGCCTCCCGCTCCCGGGTCTGCTCTCTCCTCACTCCACTCCACTCCCTCCGACCTCTGTGCCTCCTCTCTCCGCGCCGGCCCTTCTTCCAGAACGAGTTGGACTCGTCCATGCCCGCCTTCTGGAAGCCTTCGCCCATGCAGGGGCACGCCCTCTAGCACCCCGGATCGCCGTCCTCACATGCGTGCGTGCGTTTTCCTCTCTACCCACTACGCCCTGTATGCCCCCGGGCCTCCTCACGCGTCACTGAGCTATATCTGCCCTCGCCCATGACGTCGCCGGGACGGGATAGACCTTTCTAGGCCGCTGCTGTTGCTGCTGCTGCTGCCACGCGTCTTTCCACGCTTCCATCTATTCGTCTGCCAGCCACCAGCCCAGCATAAACAACCCGATGCCTACCTACATACCTCGAAACAACTGCGGCATTTTCAGTCCTCGGCGCAGAAGCATCCATCCATCCTGCCAGCCGGGCAGCCATTGACTTGACCCCTCTCATCTCCTCTCATTTCCTCTCTCTCTTCTCCCCTAGCATTAAAAAAGCCACCAAGGCATGCATGTACGTGCCCGCCACCGCCAGCAAACAAGAAACAAACCAAGGCAAACAACCCAACCACACCCAATCCCATCCTTCTCCCTTTCCCGCACCCTCACGCCAGAGCCGCTCGATTCGCTTCGATTCGACGCACCCCGCACCCCGCACCCCGCTCGCGCGTGGCGCATCAATGGCTCGACACCACGTGCCAAGCGGGCCGCCCCGGCCGTGGCTGAAAGTTATGTACGTAGGCACGCCCACAGTCCACCACCTAAGACCTAGGGAGGTAGGTAGCTTAGCACCCACACCCTTCGTCCTCAATTCCCAATCCCCATCCTCAACTCCACAGACCTTCTCCACTGACGCCATGACACCTTTCCCCCCCCTCCCTTTCTCACCTCTCCAGACTTCTTCACCGACCGGGCACACCCGCCCCCTCGCTTGCGGAGCAAACATCCCGCCCCGCGCGGCGGCGGCGGCCGTGCATGCGTACGTAGGTAGGTGCATATGCAATAGCGGCGCGCGGTATAGCGGACGTGCGTGCGTGCGTGCATGCATAGAACGATGGCTGGATGGGTGGGCGGGCCACGTGGTGTTGGCGGTGGTGGCTGCAGACTACTTATGGCAGGCTGGGTTCTGGACTCTAGACGCTGGACTCTGGGTGTGCTTGCTTGGGGACAGTTAGGTAGTCAGTTAGCCACGACGCTTCTACCACGGCTGTCGAACACAGTGCACGAGCGAGCGCGTCCTGGTCCAAGCCCAAGGGAAGGGGGAAGGAAGGGAAACAAGGGCGCAGTGCTTGCGTAGGCGAAGGAGCGGGCGGTGCACACTACCTCCTACCGCGTTGGGGAACCTCTCTCTTGGTCTTGAGCCACCGCGCCGGCTGCTTGGGGTGCCGCTAGCACGGCGTGCGTGCGTGTGTGTGCGTGTGTGTGTGTACGGCTGACTGCTTGCCTGCCTCTACCTACCTACCTACTACATACAGGCTGTTTACAGTCGGACGCGGACGTGTGGCCGTCCGTACGCACGTACGTACGCGGGCGGGCAGGACGGAGACGCTAGGCGTGTGGAGTGGAGTGGTGTGCAGTGGTGGTGTATTGCGTGTTTGAGCAAGCGAGCGCCGGCGTGCGAGCAGTCTGTTTGCGTGTATGGGCGTGTGGGTAGACAGAGGACGAGCCCATCGTGACCAACTGTAACGGTTGTGCAAGGCCAGACTGCGGGCGTGAGTTGCGGGCGGTGGGGGGCGGTGTTCAGATTCTGAACTGATGGAAGAGGTGTCACGAACGGCATGGCAACCATCCACCCGCACCAATTGCCCAGAACAAACATGCGCGAGACGCGCTCACCCCCATTCAAAGAAGCAGAGGAAATCGGCCATCGCATTCTACATGAAAGACTACCGTGGATGCTGGCTGGTTGGTTGGACACGTACGCAGCCCAAACCAAGCCAGTCGATCGAAGAAGGTTCTCAAAAAAGAAGGTTTTCAAAGAAGAAGCGGTGGTAGTAGTCATCATCACGAAGCAGCACTGCCCACCACCACCACCACCAAAAAATCATGCTGGCCGGCTTCGCTGGGCAATGGTGATGTGTAGTGTCACTAAAGATACCTATCCAAAACTCCCCTCAATCAGTACTATTACATCACCTTACCTTTACTAACTCGTTCGTCTACCCGTAACCCTGCCAGGTTGCGAAACTGCCCTTTCTGGCCCTGTCCGCCCGTTCCGCCTTCCGGGCGGGTGGCGGCGGAGTCGTAGTCGTAGCCGCCGAGTCGAGTGGAGTCGAGTTAACAGGGACGTCGTAGAGACGACCAGCGTTGGTTGTTGCCCTGGTGTCTACCTACCTAGCATCTTCTTAGTTCCTTTCCTTTCCTTTTCTTTCCTTTCCTGATGGATTGATAGGATGGGATGGATGGTTAAGGCGTCTACCTACCTGCCATTAAGGTACAAGCACAACTATTTGATAGCCATCGTGGTGTATACCTATATGTAGATCATCTCATCATATATGTACCTAGGTAAACTCTATGTGTGTGCTCTAAATATCCCCGCCTATCCTACTCGAAACGAAAAATCACATACACGCAAGTAAGTAGGTATCGTGCACAAAACCACACCACACCGCCGCCCCACGCACCGCTACAAACGTCAAACCCCCCCACACACCCCATCCGCACAACCCCCCTAATACAAGAGGCCATAATAATCATACACAATGCCATTACTGCCATGCCTGCGATCCACACCGGTAAGCAAACTCAGCGCCTCCGCCCCCAACGGCACCGGACAGCTGACCCCCCTCGCCGCATCCACCGCACGCGCCAACCCCTTCAAAAACCCCTCTACGCACGGGTTTTCTGGGCGCTGTCCCTCCTGCGCCGCAATCATGTCCGCGCCCTTGCTCGAGAACATGCGGCTGCCGCCCGCGGCGGCCGAGGCTAGACGGTGGAACTGGCGCAGGTCGAGGTGCAGGTGGCGCGCGAGGCTGATGGCTTCGGCGGCGGCGCAGAGCTGTACGCCGCGCACGAGGTTGAGCACGTGGGTGAGGTTTTGGGTGGTTTTGGTGCTGTCGTTGTTGTTGGCGTTGTTGGCGTTGTTGGCGTTGTTGGCGTTGTTGGCGTTGTTGGCGTTGTTGGCGTTGTTGGCGTTGTTGGCGTTGTTGTGGATGGGTGGCGGGTGGTACAGGCGCACCATGCCGGCGTCGTCGTGCGAGCCGAAGTCTTGGGCTAGTGCGAGGAGGTAGATCTGCTCGGCTGTCGTGGAGAGGGGCATGGGGAAGTTGACGTGCCGCGCCATGGACGTTATGATGCCCTGCAGAAGAAACGCATTATCAGCTACTTAACCGCACGGCGCAAAAAAGCACAACCTAGGTAGCAGGAGGAGGGCGGAAATAGGTATAGGTATAGGTGTACTTACTACGTCCTTGAGGATGATCGTCAGCGCACTGACGCCAGGGAAGTAATCCTCGTCCAACATGCGAGGCACGCGGTTCTCAAACATCCAAAACCAAGCATCAGAGCCCACGACAGCGTCAAACGTCGTCTTGGCATCGAGGCCGAAGCGCGCGGCCAGCCCCATCGTCTCGCTCGCCAGCAGAATGTGTATCGCGGCCAGCACCTGGTGGACCATTTTCATGTTGCTGCCCTGGCCCACGCCGCCCGCCACCACGTACAGCCCCTCTGGGTCCGACATTTCCTTGAGCAGCGCGTCGGCCTTTTCGAGCGCCGCGTCGCTCCCGCCCGCCATTATCGTCAGCGTGCCGTCGGCTGCCCGCTTGGCCCCGCCTGAGACGGGGCTGTCGACGAAGAAGACGTCGCTTCGTCCCATGTCGGCCAATTGCTTCTCAACCGACTGGGCGTACGCCGAGGGGACGGTCGAGCAGAGCAGGAGCGTGGCATTCTGGGGAAGGGCTGCGAGAGGTGTTTAGAAACGTGCACTTCACGAGCAATGGGTCCTCCATACATACCCTTGACAATGGCGTCCTCTGCATCAAACAGCGCCGACTGGGCCTGCGGCGCCGATGCGACCATGCAGACATAAAACTCGGCGTCCGTGGCCGACTCGCTCAGGCTCTTTGTGCTTTGGCCGCCGGCTTCGGCGAAGCGCTCCAGGCACTTGGCGAAGACGTCGTAGCCCTTGACAGTGTAGCCCTGCTGGACGAGATGGGTGGCCATGCCGAAGCCCATGGCGCCAAGGCCGACGAAGCCGACGGTCGGCTTCGGGGAGGTGTTGGTACCCATGGCGGGGTAGCGATTGGTTCGAGTGAGATCCAAGGGAGCGGAACGAGGTTCAGGCTAATGCGGGCATGAGCCTTGGTGTTTGGATTATTCCTGGGGGCTGAAAAAGCTTCGGGAAAAGCTTGGGAGGTGAGAGCGAGGAAAGAGAAGAAAGACTGGTGAGGTAGGGTGAGATACTGCTGGCGTGGGGTGACCGGCTGCGCCGTCGGGTCCTGATACACCGAGCCCCCGCACCGACTATGACGTGGGCGCTTCCTCGGCAGGTCGGCTGCTCGTGGGGGTACGAGTACGTCCATAGGTACACATTTCCCCCCACATCCAATTGACTCCCCCTCTCTCTCTCCCGCAGCAAGCCATTGACCCCTCTGCGACCATGGAGAACAATCGCGCGCTATCCATCCTCAACAAGGCCGCCGCCGCCAAGTATGGCATCCCCGCCGTATGCGCCTACAACACCGAAGGCATTCTAGCCACCATCCGCGCGGCCGAGGCCAAGCGGTCCCCCGTCATGATCCTGCTCTTCCCATGGGCGATACAGTACGCGGGGGGACTGCTGGTGCACCTAGCAGCCGAAGCGTGCCGCAACGCCACAGTGCCGGCAACGGTGCACCTGGACCACGCGCAGACGCCGGAAATCGTGCGGCGCGCAGCCGACATTGGCGGCTTCGACAGCATCATGGTCGACATGAGCCACTACGAAAAAGACGAGAACCTGCGCCTGACGCGCGAGCTGGTCGCCTACTGCCGCGCGCGCGGCATCGCGACAGAGGCCGAGCCCGGGCGCATCGAGGGCGGCGAGGACGGCGTCAGCGACACTGCTGACCTCGAGGGTCTGCTGACGACGCCCGAGGAAGCTGAGGAGTTCGTCCAGACCGGTATCGACTGGCTAGCCCCCGCGTTCGGTAATGTCCACGGCAACTACGGCCCGCGTGGCATCCAGCTCGAGTACGACCGTCTCGACGCCATCAACCGCCGCGTTGGCCATCGCGTGCGCCTCGTCCTGCATGGCGCGGATCCCTTCGATCGCGACATCTTTCAAAAGTGCATCGGCCACGGCGTCGCCAAGTGCAACGTCAACAAAGTCTTGAACAACCCGCTGGTCCAGACGTGGGCCGCAAAGGCGGGCAAAGCGCCTTTGACGAGCGTCATCGAGGAGGGCACCGCGGCCATGCAAAAGTCCGTCGAGGAGTGCATTGACATGCTGGGAAGTGCGGGAAAGGCGTAAGTGGGGTAGAGAACTAAGTGAAGTGGAGGCGCAGCAGAAGAGGTGGGATGGGAGCGCCAGCGCCACCCACCAACGAGCCAGGCGCAGCTGCCCCGCCACAGCAAAACGGACGACTAGGAGCGGGAACCGGATGTCACATGCGTCCCCATCGGCCCCGGCCCCGCCTCCGCACCCATGTACATAGAACCAGGCCAAGTGCGTTCGTATGGTAAATAATTCGATTCATGGTATCTTTTGTCTATCCCGAAAACCCCCGTCTATAAACTCTCAAACTCGCCTCTCTCCCAACTCATCCCTTAGGCCTTGTTGGCCTCGGGGATAAGCACGGCACGGTAGCGGACCTTGCCGGCGTCGAGCGCAGCCATGGCGTCCTCGACACCCTGCACCGTCATGGGGTATTGCTGGATCATGGGCTTGATCTGGTGGCGGGCGGCGAAGTCGAGCATGCGGCGGTGGACGGCGCGGTTGGCGACGATGGTGCCCTGGATGCGGATGCCACCGGCCAGCAGGGGCATGTACGGCACGACGAGGTTGCCCGACTCTACCGACAGCGGGAACAGGATCGAGTTGGGCGCCATGATGGGGAAGTACGTGTTCCAGTCTGCGCGCCGAGCATTAGAGTTAGCGAAAAGGAAGAAGCGAGAGCGGGAGTAAGCGGGAAGCGGGGGCGGGGCCAAACGTACCGATGTGGGCCGACGTGCACACGAGCAGCGCGTCGAGCTGCTTGCCAATGTTGAGCTCGCTGAGGCCCTTGGTGGCGTAGAACTCGTTGGCGCCGAGGGCCATGGCCTCCTCGCGCTTCGAGTCAGTGCCGGAGAAAACGACAACGTCGCTGCCGCGCTTGGCCGCGAACTGGATGGCCAAGTGGCCCAGGCCACCGATGCCGAGGATGCCGATGCGAGCGGTAGGGGCCAGGCCGTACAGGTCAAAGCACGAGTAGACCGTAGCACCACCGCACATGAGCGGCGCGGCGTTCGCGTCGGACATGCTATCGGGGACCTTGAAGAGGAAGGCCTCGCGCCAGACGGCGCCCTCGGCGAAGGAGCCCTGGTCAAGGTCGGCGTAGCCGTACAGAGCGCGCTGGGAGCAGTAGATGTCGTGGCCAGTCAGGCACAGCTCGCAGTTGCTGCAGCAGTCGTGGTTGTAGCCCCAGCCGACGCGGTCGCCGACCTTGAGCGTCTTGACAGCGGGGCCAACGGACTCGACGACACCAACACCCTCGTGGCCAAGGGCCATGTCGGCCTGGCGGAAGTGCAGGTCAGTGCCGCAGAGACCCGAGGCAGTGACGCGGAGGTAGACCTGGTCGCCGATAAGTTCGGGGCGCGTCGTGGTGGCCTTGGTGATGGCACCGGAGGAGGAGCCCTTGAGGACGGTGAAGGAAGGCATTCTGAAAATGAGAGGACTTTGAGGTAGAAAGTGACGCGATTGGGGGTATCTCTGAAGGAATTGACGGCGGCGTGAAAGAGAGAGAGGGCGTTCCGAGTAGGAGAGACGGAGCAAGAGGAGGTAAAAGATATTTAAGACAACTCGCCTCCACAGAACCCGCCCATAAAATTCCGAGAAAGCTCTGATAATGACGTGCGCCGCTTCCGAAACCGCTAGGCCAGCTCAAAAGGAGCTCTCGCCGTCTCCCAGAATGAAGATCCGCCCAGCTAGAACACAATCGCTACCCTAGAACACCCGTCGAACGGCTCGTGCGTCGCCTCTTCCTGAAGTTTCCGGCCGAGGCATGGCGCAACGTTTGCCATGCGGCAACCTGCGGCGTCCCATTGTGGAGGAGGGCCCATTTGTCATGTTTAAGAGTCTGCAAACCTTGCAAAATCCGCCCTATCGCCGATGCGCCGCTAAGGAGTCGGTTCCGGGAACGTTAAGACGGCGCGATGAGACCCTGCCTCGGCATACCTATTTACATATCTTTTGATCTTCATCGGGCAGATACGCGGGTGGACGAGCCATCTGGCAATGAATCGCGGAGACTGGAAGGAAAAAAGAGATGTGGAGAGAGAGAAGAAAAAAAAGAAAAGAAATTACACACTTCGCATTCGAAACTGCGGGAGAGGTGCAGAAGTCGGTTGGTGCGAAGCCCTTGAACGTGCGCGTGTCAAGAAGCGACCGGGGCGATCCGGGTGCGCGTACACTGTAGAGCCTACCTACATCTACCACGGAGTACGTATACCTTCGTGATGTCTCCTGTCGCGCCGGATGGGATCTGGATCTCGCTCGGAAACGGTCTCGGGAGTCGGAGATGAGGCAAAAAAAAAAAAAAAAAAAAAAAAAAAACAAAATGGGTTTGGTTACGTTACGCTCGTGGAGGGTGGAGAAGAGAGCGTTGAGTAATCAGGTCGCGACCTTTTCTCGACCTCGTCGTCCTTGTCGGTGCGCTGGCCTAAGGCTAAACACTACTCCGGCACCTAACTGCAAATTCGGCCGGTAGCCGCGGCCCGGTCGGCCTTGTCAAAGCGACGTGTTTCCGCGGAGGACGTGCTGAACAATGGTGCGGATAGGGGTCTGTCGGAGGGTCGGAGGTTCAGGAGGGGATGAGTCGTGCGTACTCGTACGGATGGCGACGGTTATGGGTGTTGTGTCGAGGCCAGGGTCTAGGTTTGATTTTTTTTTGGAGGTGGGAGGCTGGAGGCGCCCACTGACGACGTCATGAGGGGCAGAGTGGAAAAAAGTTTGTTGTCTCGCTCGCTTCTGCGCGCGCGGCGCCACCCGCTGTCCAGCTGGCGATCGCTTTGACAGGATACGTGGATGAGCGAAGGATGTTGCGACGACAACAGCGACACCGTCCTCCCCATCTTGTTCACCGTCTCCATTCGTTGTCAGCATCACCACCGTCACCGTCACCTTCAAACAAACAGAAACCGAAAAGAGTCAGGGGGTACCCCACTGCCATTGTCCGTTGACGCAGAAACCGTCAACAAAATCCCGCGCTATATACTAGTGGTACCCGCTGAGAAAAAAAAAAAAAGAAAAAAAAAAAGTAGAAACTGAAAGTTCCAGAACGTCTCGTCTGGATTGCCCTCACCGGGGTATTTGGGTATATCCGCCGCTGGTTGTGATCATTGCCAAAACCAAGAGCCAAAAGCCAGGAGTCAAAAAAAAAAAACATAGGAACTGAGAAGGACAAAGGGGAATAAGGTGAAAGTAATGAAACGATGATGATCGTTTGAGCCCTCTTCGCAAGGTGGGTTTTGTCTTTCCGGTCTGGAAATAAAGCAAAAAAACTCCTCACCGGGTGTGGTATCTTTGAAGACGCAGGTTTAACTTTTTGGGGCGGCTGTCGCGCCTATTGTGGTTGTGGTAGTGCAAGAATGCCGTGTCGCGCCCCGCAAAAGCGCTAATTTAGGAAACAGATCCCTCAAGGCGATGACGGTTGAGGGTGGGTATAAGTGGTTGTTGAAGAACCGAGAGAAAAGCTGGTTGCGCCATGCTGCCAGCCTGCTGGAGACCCATGAAGGGCGGTGGATGAACGCCGAAGCTTCATGATTGAAAAAGCGCGGGTGAATAGAGCGGAGAAGAGAAAGCGGGGCAGACGACAGGCTGGTAGCCAGTCAAGCGTCTACCGCGCAGACATGGTGCGGTGAATCCAGTTGCGCGCGCCCTCGTAGCTGCGGCGGGCGGCTTCCTTGGCAGACGCGGAGCTCCTGGTGGATTCGTTGCTGATGGTGGAGCCGGAAGAGCCCTTGCGGTTGGGGTTGGGGCGGGTTTCGTCGACAATGTTGCCAGTGCCGCCGCGGCCAATGTGGTAGACGGGGCTGGCGTGGTCCTGCAGGCGCTGCTGCTGCTCAAGCTCCTCGTCAAAGCTGAAGATGGCCTTTTCGCGGTGGACGTTGCCTGCACCGCCACGGCCGCCCAAGAAGGTACCGTTGGTGGGGGGAGCAGGCAGCTTGATCTTGGAAGCGGGGCCGGTGGCCGTGGGGCCGGGAGTGACTTCTTTGCTGCTCACGCGGGTGACATTGCCAGCGCCGCCACGACCGGAGTGGAAGAAGGCGTAGTGATTCGACGGCACGGAAGGGTGCGGCTCGGTGATGCGGAAGGGCATGGTTATGGCGTGATGTGTGAGGTCGAGCAAGCGAGTGGTGGACTTTGTAGATCCGGGGCGCGGTGGACCTTTTGTAGGTGTTGTTGTTGTGGTGGTGAGCTGTGACTTTGGCTTTAGGGGTGACTTGTGCCGGCGCCCGCGGCGTCTTATAGCGAAAGCAACAGAAAAACTCTGCAACAGGATTCAAGTCACGATGCGCTGCGTCAGAGGTACATGCGAGCACGAGGCACCAGGGAGGTCACGCAGCCTGGTCTTGGCTGTCAGCTGGTGAAAGATGGCGTGCCTGGATCCTCTTTCTTTCTCGTAATGGCCCGCGTCGTGTGGCGGACGCACTCGTCGACTGGCCGATCGTCGAGGTTTTCTGGGGGTAATAGTTTGCTCCCGCGCCTCAGCGTCGGCTCGTCCCTCGCACAAGCCCCCGTCGAACGCGTCGAGAAAATCCCACAGGCTGGTTCGATGCGATTAATGCCTCACAGTTGCCCTCTCGATGCGCCGCGTTTCAGCACGCATCATGGCGACATGTCCCCTCAGGAGGCAGCAAATTGCAGCTGCGCCTGCACGGCCGACGCTCATCTCGCGGAAGGCGCTTGCGACATTGCGACTGTTGCGCGACCACGACCACCAGTGGAGCTGGTCGAGGCTAGCCACGCCCGTCGATGCGGAGTTTTTTTTCTGCGTCACTCCTCCTGAGACGGACAGCTCATCGCCGGCGACACGCACACCGTGATGGCTGGGGAAGCTTGGCTGGCGGCTCAAGGGCCACGATCGGCGGTGCCCATTGCTACAGGAACAGAATCTAGCGCCCTTCCCCAGGCTTCTCCCCCTCGTTCCCGCGCGGCCCCTAGTCGCGCGTCCCCCGGCGTCGCATCATGCCCCGTCGCCATCCGACGGCAGCCGCCCTTCCCTCACGTCCCCATCACGTAAACGCAAAATTGAAAAAAGCACTCGCTCCATTACTCAATAACTGCACACCCAAACGCCTGGGTATTCTGTCCCACTCCTACGTAAATGCGGAGAAGCGACGAAGGCGCAAAGGCCGGGAGCACCGCGCTTCGGGATTTGGTAAGAGAAACATCACCAACTGCCTTAAGCGAAAATGCGGGGAAACGGCCTCGCCCAGGGACAGACCTCCGCCTGGAATCATGTGTTCTCACCGACAGGACACGTAGATCCCTCCAGAGCCTCCCGGGGCACCCGCACCGTAGGTCGTCTGATGGCGAAAAGGGGCCCAGTGAGCTCGCACGTGACGACTTGAACCGCCCCTGGCCTTCCGGTGAAAACGTGAGACCGAATTTCCGAGAGGGGGGCCGGTTGGTGACAATGATGAGGCTTTCAAGCGAATCTCGAATGGATAATGTCCGGGTTCTCCTGCCACTCATCCTTCTCCACCCACATCTGTCGATCATTAGCGGTAATTCATTGCCAAGGGGGGCTGAGGCAAGGCTGACCTTCTTGAACGTGCTGAGGCCCGCTAGGATACTTCCACCCGTCCACGTGGTGTATTTCCTTTCAGGAGGCGCGAATATCTTGATCCTCATGTCCTTGACGGCCAGACGCTGCACCTCGTGCAGCAGTCTGTCACCGAATCCTTTCGTGAGAGTGGACCCGCCAGAAAGCACAATGCTGCCAAACAGCGCCTTGCGAAGGTCTAGGTCTGTCCTGTTGATTGCATCAACAACCATCTGATGCACGCCTTGATACTCTGTTCCAATAAGCTCAGGGTTGAAGAGAATCTCGGGGGCGCGGAACCGCTCCGCCCCAATCTAGATTGCGTGTCATCAGCAGCCATTATTGCGACTTCAGCAGGCCGACTCACCTTGAGCTTGTGGCCGTCAGGAAGCGTGTACTCGACAGTCTTCTCGTTCGACCGGGTGGCGCTGCCCGACCATTCCTTCTCCTCCTTGATCGGGTCCAGGCACACGTAGCTGTGTTTCTCCTTGATCGCTCGCACAACCTCCTTCTCGGCGCTGGTGTGGAAGACGTAGCCGCTCTTCCTCAGCAGTGTCTGAAGATGCTCCGTCACATCTCTTCCCGCCACATCTATCCGGCGAATGCTGTTGGGGATCGCGAAACCTTCATATACGGGCACGGCGTGCGATACGCCATCACCGGCGTCCAGCACGATGCCGGTCGTGCGGCCTGATGCGTACAGCGAGAGGACTGCTTGGATGGAAGTGTAGAGAGCGGGGACGTTGAAGGTCTCGAAAAGGATCTGTGCGGCGGTGTCGCGGTTGGTCCGCGGGTTGAGGGGGGGCTCGGTCAGAAGCACAGGGTGCTGAGATCGTGTCAGAAGGCGGAATCATGAAGATAGATAGCGCGCAGTGTCGCAGAGCGACTTCTGCGCATACCCCATGGTGGGCGTGACACTCACATCCTCGCTGACAGTCTTCAACTCCTCAGTATACACATACTGCCATATCCTCTCCATGTCATCCCAGTCCGTGACGATGCCGTGCTCCAATGGGTAGTTAATCTTCAGCAAGCCTCTCAGGTCCTGCGCACGTTGTCCGATGAAGACATCTCCCTCCAACGCTCCTGCTAGCGCTCTGACATGCTTCGGCCGGCCGACATACGAAGGAAAGAAGCACTTGGGCAGGTCCTGGCCCGCGAAACCGGCTCTGATCGTGCCACTGCCATTGTCGAGCACAATGGGTGCGTTGAGCAATCTGGAGCCCATGGCGGTGGGCTAAGCGGAGGGCGAGAGGGCGTAACAGCGTCTGGTCGTCGCGGTCGTAACGGCGTTAGAAAATTGCGGCGGGAGATCTACAACGAGCTGCTGCAGTATCTCTCAGGCGAAGGTGTGGGACGAAGTGGGCGTGGCCTCTGAACAAAGCCTCGTTGTTTGGGTCGCGTTGGACGCGTGCAGGGATTCTCCCACGTAGCTGCCCCGCCAAGACATTCTGCACACTCACCGTAGACCCAACAACGAAACCACAGAGCTGCTCTCGCAGGATTTCAACCTTATGATCTGAGGGTTCTCTCTGTTACCATCTCGCTAGTTAAATTCAACCGCAATCTTTGGGCAATGACATACACCTCGACTTGGACATTGAGCCGACACACGAAGGGATGCTCCAACATGGAGGGGAACCTGGAACAAGAACTTCGACGACTTTTGCATCGCCTATTGTTTTCTTCAGGAAATCATCCGAATTCCTCATTTCCCCGTATCATAGTCAGCAGATCTTCGTACCATATCCATGAACCAGGCGACGATGGCTGAAGAGACAAACAGATTCATGACTGGTCGAGATCGCTATGTCGGGCATCGACTATCTGGTCCATCTAAAAAACTATCTCGCCAGCAATGCCCTACAGCAATGTCCTTTTGGGCTTATCCTGCATCATCCTTCAATGAGGAATTCAGCCTTCAAGAATCGCAACTTTCGATTACACATTGCGACTCAACTATGTTAATATTGCTCGAAAACACGAAAGGCAATCTCGACAAGCCACATACCATTGAGCAGTTTGCAGAATAGAACACCCACAAGATTGGATATCCTGCCTTCCTGACAAACAGCAATTGAGCATCCGCTAAAGTGGACTGATGGCATTTTACACTGGTAAGAGAAGACTTGTTTCCTGGATCTACACAATGGCCTTCTGTTCAATTGTCACTAAAGTATGTTTATCTCTAGCTTTCTGCGGTGATGCAGATCTCAATCTCGACATGTTTCTCTTAAGAAGAGTACTCATCTTTCAAACATGCCATCCGTCATGGTGTGTGTCAGTCATGACTTTTGCAAGGCTAGCAGAAACATCCAACAGGACATTTCAGGGTTTCTGGATGCGGTAAAGAATGTACTGCATTGATTTTCACGTCTTCTGTCATTTTATTCTGCTTCTTGGTGAGTTTCCTTCCGAGAATTGCTTTGATCTGCATATAACAGTGGAAATATTAAGGCGCCAACTTTTCCACGACCAGCACTTGCGTCTGAGCACTGGACTATTCCAATGGTTATGATATGACCCTCTATTCTGCGCGCTCTTGGGCACAGGTAATCAAAAGGCAATGGTTTTATAACCCGGTCTATATCTAACATATCAACACTCAGTTTTGGCATGATTTCGTCCGATCACTTTATGTGACTGCAATCAACATCGCTTCGGAGTTTCTTAGAGGCTCTCGAACACCCTGTTACACGGATGTTTTGCTGATGCTAATGTTGGATATCAAGTTTCACAGCAAGACATTTCTCTATGCCTATTGCGCTTCAAAATGCGTAGCAACGCCTGCATCAGAGCCTGCATGCAGTCTCATTCCTGTTCGATGAGGGACATGAATCAGAAGTCCTCTAATCACATATACCGTCGATGAAATTGCCAGCTCCACAACCGGACTGATAATTCCTGCCGCTACGCTATCCACTGCAACAGTCATCTGAGGAAAACAATACAACTGGGGATGAACAAGGTAGACCTCAAGTTAGCTTGAGCCCTTTTTAACAACGGAAGTTCTCCACTAGAACTCCGACATCTCTATTTTTCCACTACTTGAATTTCTTTCAACATATTTCATATACTGGCCGAATGGGACGACCAGGTTATAACGACTCCTTGGACAAACTACCTTGGATAAGTTTCTGAGCATTACAACTTTCATACTCGACACTTTTCAATACATCTGCCTTCCGGTCTGCAACAAATGGGGCTTTCTATCTCTTCGGTTTGTTCGGTTTGTACGTAAGTACTCAACAACAATGTTGCTCTTGCAATTACTGCACAGCATCGAGTTCCCTGTGTATGCCAAAAACAACCCTCTGGTCCCATACTAATTGTGTGGGAAAGGGTTACGCAGTGAATTCTAGCAGGTGAAACTATCCACCAGGGCGCCTAACGCAATGCATTGATGCATTGATGCATTGAGGTCATCTGCTAACATAACCAAAATGGAATGCGAGAACAACGCAGGTCAGCATTGTTCAATGATAGATTGCCTGCGCAGAGTGAAGGCTCGGCTACAGGTAATCATCCCTAGTACTTAGCCGTGCTGTTACTTTGTGTTGGGCCTCATCGCATATCAGCTTACGGTGGCTCGAATTGAGATAAAAATACAATGGAGCTGTAGTGATTGGCCCGCCTCAAAAATGGTAGGGAACTAGCGGGGTTTCTAGTCTAAGTCGTCTAGGATCATGTTGACCTTTCTAGATCTCGCTCTGTTTGCCGAGTGGCAGTCGAACACCAAAGCGTTCCCTAGCGCACTAGCGCTGCGCTTTAAAATGTTGGGCTTGCTCTCAGCATGAACTTCAGCTCGTTGATTGCCGAGAACAGCTGCATGCAGGTGTCATTTCGGGCATCCATCCCCTCCTGCACCTGCACGGCACGAACCAACCCCCACGGAAACCTCTGCGGGGCGTCCCAAGTGGCTGGGACTGCGGCGGCTTGGCCGTTATTCCCGGGCATGCCTGCATTTGTCCCCCAACCCATCGCTTTATGCAATCGCTCCAACATGTGTTCACTTACTTGGACGACTATCGAGATCTCGAGTGCAATCCCTGCATATGGCTGCAAGGAGCCCAGCCTTAAGCCGGGGAAAAGTCGACCATCTCCACTCGTCACCAGGTTAGGAAATTGGCGTGAAAGAAGAAACGCGCGGAGGTCGTCGAAAAACAACAAATAGAGTCGCGCAAGTCGAAGGTAACACGACAGCATGAGAAAAGTCGTCGACGTGTCCATCTGAGCTCCATCCAATGCTGGGAAAGATTGTCTGGAGCTACCACTTGATACGGACGGCGTTGAACCTGTAAAAGGTATATTCGGTGGCGACAAAGGACATGGATAATAGGCCGACGCCGGGCTCTCTGGACTCGGATACGCCGAACCTGTGGCGGCATCCAAGAATTGGCCTCCACCGAATTCTGGAGGGACCATATGGCCACTCCATGGTACTCCGGTATTGCTCTCGCCTGGCCACTGAGCACTGGAGAAAGTCTCGACAATTCTAGTGAGCTTCTGGGCATTCTCCAGTATCTGACCGATCGGGTAGTTGTGTAACCGCGTATAGACTCCCTGCTGGTCTTGGCTGGTTTGCTCTCGCGTCCGCTCCACTTGGCGGAGCAGCTGATATAGCAACAATCCTAGATTAGTGAGCTCCCGAACACATCCGTCCGTAGCGTCACCAAACACTGATTCCTCCCTGGTACCTGAGGCAGCCGTATAGGTAACGCTCGGTCCAGCCGAAGACGTTGTACCGTCGAAAAAGAGGCCCTCGAGAGGAAATTCCGGTGCGCCGAAGCTATAATCCATGTCTATCCCCGTAGTGGGGACACTGGGGAAGCTCATGAAGCTCATATCACTGGTGCTAATCATCCCTGGATTCATGGCCATAGCACTTTCTGATGGGAATTCGAAAGGTCCTTGTGCCGCCGCAGATGACAGCGGAGAGGGGTGGTTGAAATTGTTTGCTGATCCGCTTTTTCCCCTATTGTTGGCGGCTGCTTCGGCTGTCGTTGGTCTTCCCATTCGGTTGGGCGGAGAGTATGTACACCTGGCAGACAGGCGGAGGCAGCGGTCGCAGTCGGTCCCAGCCCGTGAGTTGACAGTCCGTAAGCACCGCAATTTCTGTGCATGGCAGCGGTCACACGCCATGCGACGGCGTGGTTCACCGGCACTCGAACTGGAGGGTCGTCTCTTCTCATCCCGAGGACTATTCGTCGACATATACGGAGGTGAGGTCTTCGAAGACATGATATGGAACTCTCGGATGCGGCAGCTGGGTGGGTTTTTGGGGGAGATGCCACTTTAGCGGGTCGCGGAATCCCCATTATATACTGGAGCTCAGCGTCGGGCTCCAATCAGTAAGAGACGCCTACCGTTCAAGCCCAGAACGATAAAGCGATGGAGCACTCAAAGCGAAGCCATGCATCGGCCAAGCCGTGGTTGATAGAAATGACAGCTTGACGGAACAGGTCTAAGCCTTTAAGGCCTCCCGCCCGCACGAGGCTGATGACGGAGAGGCGCACAGCTTGAAGGAGCCAGCGGCATTGCTGTCTGGGAGTGGCCAGACCCGATACGACAGCCACTGTCCGGGGTGTAGTTTTATGCGAGGGCCCAAGGCCCAAGAAAGAGCTTTGCCGAAAAGAACGCCGAGTAGATCGTTAGTTCGGTCCACGCTCTGGACTTTGTTGGTACATTGCCGATCAGTCTCGACAAAACGGTTGTTTGCCGAGGTGGCATCCTATAGTGTTATAGAGGGGATATCTGAAGGTAACTAGCTCCCTAACACACTGAACCCCTTTAAAAAAAGATATCCCAGGGATTAAGTTGTCCATCATCAGCAAAACACTAGTACAGCGAAGATGCAGCCACCAGTCTTCACAATTTCTTCAGGCGTCGTCATTCTGCTTCCTAGTGCATCACTAACTGGGGCGCAGTGATTTAACTCCGCTTTGCTTTTTTTACAAGGCTACACTATGAAGTAACGATAGCCTGTGCCAGGCTTACACCAGAGTGATCATCACCACGGAAGGATGCTCCGTTGGGTGGTGAAAATATTAACCCTCTTCCAGAAAAGATTCACTTGGGTATGGCGTGTCTGTGGGGCACTACGGCACTACCCTGTCGCAGGATCTGTGATCAGCTCACACCCGCATCCCGCCCGACCCGCACTCGCATACCCTCATGACCAAACTGTCACTGGACGAGCCTGTCGCTCCACCATCCTACCCGCTCGACGGGACAGAGAAACCACATGCTGGAACACGCCCCAGCCTAAAATGCGGGAGGAGATCGTGCGCATAGACCGGCGACATCTCGCTCAAAAAAGACATCAAGAAAACCATCGAACCGTTTGCAAGGGACATGCCACAACCGAGATCTTGATGCCTTATATTTCACGCCACAAGGGTCAAAACGATGCCGTTTGTGCGCCCATGGCCCCCAATCATTTACAAGGCACTGGCGTCAAGCTGCATGAAACTTCTTAAATTAGCATGAGCTTATTTGAGCTGAAAGCCCGACCTACCGGTATTCTGACGATACACTATGCAGGAACAAGGCTGCTATGCCCGAACCCACATGGTGGTCACGGGTCCTGTGGAAGACCACGCTTAGGAAACAGCTCACGACCATGTCTTGGAATGCATACTGATCAGCTATGTTTGTCAAAGATTCCACGCCTCGTCGGGCCTTCACAATCATTTAATTCATTTTGGCCGGCTGCATGTGTGCGCTGTACAGTGGTCCCCGGCCCAACGGAGTCTGCTGTGGGCTCGAACGTAAGATTTCCGTCGAAGTGTAGAGTGTGCAAAGCCGGCCATGACCAATTAAAAAGGATACGGTGCTCGCTTATGGGCGACAGGGGCCCCAGACAACACCGTGGCGAATCCCTATTTCAGGTTAAGACCGAGGAAAAGTTAGGAAAAGGCCACACCAGAACCTCGGATCCTGCTTAGTCGGACCCTTGCGTGATCGTCAGAGGTACGGCGTGCAAAAGAGTCCCTTTTCGACGGGAGCGCGCGATTCGCTGAATACCGAGGATGTGGCGGTATAATCCTAGATGCCCTCTATAATGAGGCTTGGGACCCCACTGCTGCCCCCAGCCTTAGCCGCCGCTGCGTATCACTTGCATAAGAGATCCTGCAAGTGAGGCGACACAGCCCATTCGTTAGGCACCGATTCTTTAATGCACGGGTGCCCTTGGTACTCGGCCTGACCCTTTGATCTACGAGATATCTCGGAACGAGGCACCCGTCAACGCGTGTCGAGACGGGATGCTGATCATTGGGAGTGTCGGTTCACGCAGGTTTCCAAAGGATTATTTTCCTCGACACTAAGGGGTAGGGCCGTAACCTGTCTCCTTTCAAAAGCACTTGCAGTTTCTCGGGCCCGTTGGGCACCGAGAATGCCTGGATGGTCCACTTCCCGGTCTTCCATAAGGCTGCAACTTGTGAAGGCCCATCAGCTATCTCCAGTTTCTGTCACATATCATTTGTCGAGCTACACATCAGCCACTGTCGATGTTCAGCTATACCGGGACGCTCTCCGGTTCTGGATCCTTCCCGAGCACAATGATTTCCAAGGCCTGTTTCGCCACCATTGTCGTCTGGACCGCGGCAGCAAGATCCTAGCTCACTGTGGCGGATTTTGCCCAGGCCAGTGGCACTGCAATGGATGGCGACGGTCTCTTGGGTCGCGATCCAGTTGCTGGCGATCCTAAGTTCGTTCTCGGCCCCGTCAGCAACTCTCTCGGTGCAAACATACCGACAGACCTCGCACCTTTCCTTGAGCCGAATATTTTTGAGGCGGACACGTCGCGGATGGACGGAGACCGGAACGCTGGACCCGCCGAGCACCTGCCGTCTTGACAACCATGGTACCATCTCCGTATACGAGCACCATTGCTGAGTTTTCGCCTCATCACCCTACAGAGAAATCAACAACGGCCCTCCAGGAGGTTCTGGATCCAGCTGCGCAACCAAGGAGGTCCGAGTGTCAAAAGGAACGCGCCATCAAGCCAGAGTGTGCCGTTGGGAAGAGCGAGGGAAACTCGGCCGAAACGCTGACACAAGGACGTTACAAAAGCGTCTGTCGCCGGCACGATCACCACCCTGAACATGCCGGCATACTCCAGACCCCATGCTCAAAACGGTGCCGGCGAAACTGTACCCACCAATGGGTCTCAGCTTGAAAAGCATGCTTTCGTCCTAAAATGCACGGGAATTACCGGTGCAGCGGGCCTCTCGACGATGATCCTGCCCTCCGCGAGTGGGGCCGCAGGCTGCCAGTCCAATGTGGTTGCCTTCGTTTTCACGTCAGTGGGCCCAGAAGGTGACTGGCCATGTGCCAGTGATCACTGTCACGCAACTAGCGCTTGTAGCACATCCAGCCCCAAGTGGAGTCTATAGAGCAGCTGGAGGTAAATGTCGCGAATATCCGCTCGATGAGGAGGAGAGGTAGGATTCAGGGGATTCACAAAAAAGATGCCGTTTTGCTGCACTAGGAAGGAAAGCCAACCCGATCTCTGGACTCGGCATCAGAGGACTCTAGGCTTATGCCGTTCAAAGTAAGATCTAGAGGATGGGTGTCCACTCTCGCTTGTGCTCTCCTTTTTGGTAAAACAAGGGTGTAGTTAAGCGCCCAGGAACAGGAAGTAAGTAAGCGCAAAACATCCTCATTGACCCAAGAGAGCGAGTAAGCGTACATGCATGCTCAACAAATGCTAGGAAGCAATTAACTAGTAAATATATTGTTGGAGACGACTACGGAGGCCTGTGTGTTGGGGCTGAATTCACTCAACATTCTGAGTGAGCAATTAGTAAATGGCTGACCTCAGATGGCGACACTACTCGTATGTCCTGGTACATAAACCAGACCGTGGGTCAGTATGATGACGATGCAGCTAGCCAAAGGCCATCATTCCTCAGCCACGTAAAAGACGCCTCGATCGTACTTAGCATGAAGGCGGATCTTTCCAGTCAGCTCCTGGGAGCCAATCCTCATATCCTCATGCACTAGAGCGGAGCAGAGCTGATGGTAAAACAAGTGGAGATTTATGTTGACCAACTTTCTGCGAAGAATGGACTGCATAATTTAGCAGTGACTGCAACGACAGCAGTGGAATATCACTCGCAAGTAAGGTGTATAGACATGGAAAAGAACTATAGCACCAGAGTACTAACTGTGATGATAGATATCACACTTGGTTCTCCGGACGGAGATAGCCGTTCGTTCTCCGGAGGCATCCGTCTGATTCGGACTAACTAACATCGAAGGTGGAAAGGCAAGGCGAGAATAATACGAATTATGAAAGATGCATAGTGAATTACCAGTGGCTTTCGAACAAGAAAGCGATAGCGAGCGGGCCGAACACGAATCCGAAACAAAGCCGGTGGGTATTAACGGATGAAGTGTGAATAGTCTCGTCAGTGACGAGAAGTCCTCGCCTCAACGGAAGAGCCAACCTAAAAACAAAGCAAAGAGCTCATCTATCAGCAACCTTATCCTAACAAATAGAACGGTTCTCACCTTTCCCATCCAAAGCTACAGTAAAAGCCGCCTTCTCCGCGGATATCAAGGATGTAGCGTCGTCAATTGCAAAGGGCTGCCCAACTCCGCTGCACAGCAGCAATCAACCTTAGCCGCCACGATAACAGCTATTTAACAAACTTGCACCGCATACAAGAGCAACCACAAGGGTGGACATCAAATCCAAGACGTCAGGTGTTCTCGCTTACGGCCGTGAAACAGAATGAACTGGGATAAAAATGAAAAAAAAAGCAATACGGCTCGAAAGGGTGTTGTAAGACGGTAACGCAAAGGACGCGCCTTGGCTCTTGAGAAAGAAATAAGAGGCGGCATGGTGCGGCTGACAGACGCATGCATGCAAGCAGCAACCCTACCGGCCACGATGCAAGATAGAGAGAGAGAGAGAGCGAGGGACGTCAGGCCCGGAAGTACCTCCTGACCTCACGATCGTTGACGTATCTACCCACCTACGCGACCCCCCAAGAACCACTTCCACACCCAACGCGCAGCCCAAATGCTAAATCGGCGAAAAAAGCACACCTAGCAACCCCCACGCGAACGAAGGCGCTACCTACCCAACCACGTGTGTCCCGCCCCCAGCCCGCTCGACCACCAACCAACCACCACCTCAACAGCCAGTCCAGCCAGCCAAGCCAGCCAAACCAGCTGATAGCCCTCCCCTCCCCTCTGCACCCACCCACACACACCCACATCCACCCCCCTCCACGCACACCTGCATATGCCAGCCACGCGTCACCCATCCCTGCCTCCCACGGCCCTGCCCTAAGCCTTACCTACCCTACCTATCATCCGACGGACTCTCCCGCCCAGCCCTACCCCAACCCAACAACAGCGACCAAGCAAGCAAGCAAGCCCAACCAACCAACCTCCACCCACCCCATCCACATCCCCATCCACCACCTTCGCCTTCATCCTTTCCCTTTTCCTTACCCCGCTCCAGTAGGTAAGCCAGCCGCGCGTCCCGCCCCTCTCACTCACCCACCTCACCCCCACGCCCTCCGCCCCCGCGTCTGCAATGCGCGCGCATGCACGCAGGGCGCTGGCCACGAGGTAAGGCGAGACAATGCAAGGCAAAGCTGCCCACCGGCACGTACGCGCGCATGTGCGTGTGCGTGTGCGTGTGCGTACATGTACAATATGCTGGGCTGGGTGCGCATGCGTGCGCTGGTGCGATGGAGACTCACGTCATCGGAGATTGTGCTGGATGTAGGACGTGTGTGAGTGGGTGTACTGAGAATGCGAAAGGGGGGTGACGAGAGGGCGGGACGGGACGGGACAGGGCAGGGCAGGGCAGGGGACGTGGGAAGGGTGTGCTTGGGTGCTTGTTTGACTACCAGGTACGGCTGCGATACCCGGACGAATGAATAAATGGGATGGGATGGGACGGAATGGGTTTGATTGTAGGCCTGAACGTTGGGCAAGGCGCTGGTGATGCTTGTGGCGAGACGAGAGGGAAGAGGAAGGTTGCTTGTACTTTGGGTCGCAATTGATAGATAGGTAAGGTAGGTAGGTAGGTGAGAACGTCTTGATTGCGGCGCTGCGTGGACGGCGAGCGAGAGCCCAGCTGGTCTAAAGATAGTTGGGAAAGATGGTGTCTCTTCTCCCGAACGACTGGCCTGCTGACGTTCAGCCCAGATCAGTACGGCCTTGGCCTCGCGCACCCACAGCCCCCTTCCCTCCTCTTTCCCCTCCCTGCCCCAAGAACCACAAACTCCTCCATCTCACTGCTCGAATCCCATAGCTCGCCACGTCTCCCAGTCGCGACTGCTCGGCACCACACGCGCACACCATGCGCACCACGCACGGTTCGTGCCCTCCCGCTCCCGGCGCAGATAGACGCCACTCTCGCGCTCGTCCTCGTACTCCTTGACCACCGCGCCGACCTTGACGCGCTTCTTGAGCTTCATGACGCGGCGACCTCCAATGCCTTCAATCTCCTGCGCGAGGTACGACGTGCCGCTCCACTCGTCGCGCGGTGAGCCCGCCATCGCTGACGAACCACCGTTGGTTGGCGGCGATGTGCCCGTCCGTGTCCCGCTTAGCGCGGCAACCTCTTCTACCGTGCCGCACTCTTCGCATTCGACCTCGCGCCCGCCACGGCACGAGGACCCTAGCCCGCATTTCACGCCTTCGTGGCCCTCGCCAATGCCCGTGCCCAGGCCGTCCAGGTACGTCGAGTAGCGCGAGCGCCACGTCCAGCCCAGCATGTACGTCTGGTCGGCTGTGCGCAGCGTGTGGCCGCAAGGTCCGCAGAGATAGACTTCATTGGGGCAGTTGCACGGAGTGCGGAGGAATGCTGGAGCCGTAAATGCTAGAGACCTTTCTGACTCGGCTGAGTGTGCTGCACCAGAGGCTTCATTGGGAACTGAGGTGCGTAGCGGTGATGATTTCAGAGGGCTGCTTGAGGGGGAACTGCTCGTAGACCCAGGTGTGTAGTTAGGGAAGCCCGATGTGGGCGGTGTGCTGCTAAGACTAGAGGTAGAGGATTTTGGTGAAGTGCCGGGAGAAGCGGCTGGATGACGGGAGCGGGAGGCTATCGAATCGCAGATGGGAGCGGGGCTTGTTATGGAGGGGGAAGTGAGAAGCGAGAGGGGCGCATTGGCGCATGTCTTGCAGAGGCGGCGGACACGACCTGGGAGTGCCACAGGTGGCGGAGGTTTGCTGGTACAGTTCTACAGCACAGTGCTGTCAGCGTCTTCTCTCGACCAATGCGATGCCATGCCACTGTACTTACCCTACAAACCACGATCCCGCATTTCCGGCAATTGCCAACCATATCTCTTGCGCACTTGCCGATCTTTCCACTCGTAATTCGCTCGCCCATCCTCTGAGAGCCGCCATTCCAGGAGGCTCTGATCCCAGCCAGTCCCGAAGCGAGCTTATTCGCCAGCGGTTCCTCTTCGTTGGAGCATCGCAGCGTGCGCGTCACCAGTTGATTGCGGTAATCGAGAAGGTTTGCGCGAAATTGGCGGCAGGTGCGGGAGAGGGCATGAAGGGTGTTGAGGTCGAGCAGAGAGGCTAGCGAAGACACGATCCTTGAGCGGAAGGGACCGGATCAGTACGGAGAGGTTTCCAATGCAGGGGCGACGGCGGGCTTACGGGTAGCAGTTCAGGATGGCGGAGAAGCCATTGAGGTTGGGATTTGGTCTCTCGGTCTCGCAGTCTTCAGGCGGCTGCTCAAGGGTCTGCGGGGCCTCAAGATCTCGTCGGGCGTCAGCAGAAAAGGTACCACCAACCCAGGGCTGCGACGCGTCGCCGCTCGTACGAGGATCGGCGCGGTGAGGGTCGAGGAAAGGGTCGTCGTCGAGATCAAGGAGCACCACCATGGTGAAGGAGGCGCAGCAGAAGCGGTGGCTTCATCGAAGCTGACAACGGATGGTGCGTGGTGATCGTACCTTCTTGGTCTTGGTGTTGCGGTGCTTCAGCTTCTAGCCCCGCCTCGGCGGGGTGCCACCGTTCTGCATCATGACTCGATAGCGGCTTTTGCTGCACGCTGTCACCGCCAAATATAGATGCGCATTCGGGCGTGAGGAGCATTGTCTGTTTGACTGGCTGATGATCTGATAAGATGGGATCTGATTAGATATGATCACACCAGTTGTGTCCACCCGGCTTTTATATCTCGACCATCGCGTGCTCTGTCCGAAGAACGGAGCCCGTTTGCTAATGGCTTCCGACTCTCATCTGCTCTCCGTGAATCGGATCGCCCAGACCCCACACATCTCAAGCCGCCATGAAGCCTTCTCCGCACATCGGCGCATGTCTTGCCGTATGCATCGAGCTAAGGCGCTTAGAAGCGGTTCCGGGACCGGTAGCCAGGGGCAAGTGACAGAGTTTAGCTACCTCTCCTAGTTTAAGACATGTAGCACGGCATGAGGCTTGCAAGTCTTGTTCTGGAATGAGGCAGACTCCACCGAATCTTGCTCATACGTGTACTCTTTATTCCATAGGAGGTGCTAACTCTCCATCCTATATCCATCCATCCCATGGACAACAACGACATCGGGACGACATTCACTCCAGTCCATTGACACAGACGCCAATGACTCCATACAGACACTTCGTCATATCCTGGGGTTGATGCCGGCCTTCTGCCATGCGTGGGGTAGGCGGGATAATCCTGTATTCCACTGGGTACCTGCACTTCAAACCTGTTTTTACCCATCAAGCCACAAAGTATGCTTATGGCTACGGATCTGGGACGGCCATGGTCCCCGGCGCGGAGCCTCAGGGCCGCCTTCGTACTCAATAACACCTAATATTAACAATCAGGAACTTCAGTAAATCAATTCAATTTGACGACTATCGCGCGTTCCTTAACGCACCAGAGCGCGGCCTCTATTTACCGTTCCGTCCGTTCTGTCGTCGTCGTCCATCCGTTATTGTTTCCCGGTCCAACCCCGTTCACTCCAGGAGTTTCCTTGCTCCGTTTTTGATATCCCGTTTCAAATGCAAATACCCTTTAGACGAAGAGCACCGCTCTTTCCAGGATGCGAATCAGCATGCCGCCTGGACTCCTTTCCTTCACTAGAAATCTGGCGAAGCCCCGGTAGCTGCCACGAAACGCAGCGCTAATAGTCTGCCGACGGATTAATGGACAGTGAAGGAAATGACTTGATAAAGACAGAGAGGCAGACAAGTTGAGCGATCCGTCCCCCACCGCCCTTCGCCTTTCGTTTCCTTCGTTGAAGCCTTCTTCCCGGTTGGCGCCAGACGCCTGTGTATATGTGGTGCGCTTCCCTACCTCTTGCGAGACAAGAAAGCAGGAATGACGAAAACGAAAAACACCAGCCTGACGAGAAAAGAAAAAGAAAAGGAAAGGAAACAAAAGCAATGAGCTTATCTACAAACTCAGTCCAAGTAAACCATCCAAGTTTTGCGCCACTTAGAAGAGAGTGAAAAGAGTAGGTCGGTAGAAAAAAGTACTATACAGATCGTATGAAGCTGCAAGGTGGGCACCATGAATGAGATTGATGTAACCAGATGGGAGCGACCACGCATCTGGACATCGAGTGATGAGCCAACGGGGGATGTGGCGTGTCTCCCTTTGGCGACGGCATGTTGCCTTCAGCAAGACCCGCATGAGGCATAGATGGAACGTCGACTTGGCTTGTGAGTTTCTTCTACGCTCATGCAAAGGATCTCGCGCTGGCATTTTCTCACCTCCTTTGCATCGATTGTTGAGGCGGTTGAGGCATGCCCATACCCATTGGCGGCACGCCATTCGGCGGCATGCCCATGCCATATGGATGAGCATGATGGTTTATGTCACCAATAAAGTTGGTCATAGCCATGCCACTGATGCCCTGTGCTTGAGAGACAGGGCAGTCCTTGTGTGCCAACAACATCGTCTTGAGATTAACAATCTCTTCGCGAAGCTGAGTAATTTGCGCTGAGAGGGCATCGTTCTCAGTGCTGAAGAGCTCGACCTTGGCCTGAAGGTTTGCCAGCCACTGCTTCTTCCTCTGGCGACACTTGAGGGCGGCGACTCTGTTCAGGGGTTAGCTGATTTGTAAACGTATGCAAGGGCACTACTAACCTGTTGCGCTCCAAGAAGTTCTTCCTTTTCTCTTCATCGGTCATCTTCTTGCCGTCACTGCCTTCCTGCTTGACAGAGTGGTCCTTGTGCTCGTCATCGGAGTCATCGTCATCGTCCATCATGGCATTGCCATTGTTGCCCTTGGCCTTCTTGTTAGACGGACCCTTGACGGCGCCATCATCGGCTTTCCGTCTTCCATTGATGGAAGTTCCTTTTCCATTAGCAGCTTTCTTGTTCCTTGATCTGGATGGTTTGGCATCCTCGCTGTGCGCGTCCTCGGAGAATTCTCCGCCGTCAGCGGAGCCGGACATGCTGGCGATGGAGTTTTTGCCGGCACGCTTTAGAGAAGTAGGTGAGGTATCTTGAGAACGTCCACCCATATGGGCTTGGACATGAGCAAGGTTCGTGTTGATGCCATGTGGCGGCTGGCCAGGTATCGCAAACTGGTTGTTGCTGTTCTGGGCTGCATCCGCACGGGACAAGCCAAGCAATGACGTCACTACATTGGCATCGTGCTGACCAAACGGATCTTGCTGTGGGCCCTGTGTAGCTGGTTGCGGTTGTTGAGGAGCAGGGAAAGACTTGTTGTCGCCGGCTTGAGTGCTTGGCTCAGGCGGCTGAGATGTAGGTCCGTTGACGTTCTGACCGAAGTTGTTCATCTTGAACGCAGCACGGTAGAATTCACTTGTGCTTGGAGTGGCACCTCCGCTCTGCAATTGACTGAACAAAGCCTGTGAGTTAGGGCTAGGGGCAGGGAACATTGAACCGCCTCCACCAGGAGTAAGGCCAGTACGGAGCGATGACTCGTTCGGCGTCGGGAAACCGCCTTTCCAGGGCTCGCCAAAGTAGTCACTACCCCCAGCGGGGCCAGTAAGCATAGCAGGACTCAGAGGTCCCGACCGTAACGATTGACTCCAACCGGGAGTGCCGGCAGGCAGTAATGAAGAGGGCGATGTTAGGCTTGCAACGGGAGGGAGTAGGCTCTTTCCTGGAGTCTCCACCGACGAGTTTCCGAACGATTGTTCGAAGGGGTTCGGCTCCAGGTTGAAGTGGTTACTGCCGTGCGCACCACTAAAGTAGTCGGGAGTATCAGATGTGTTATTTTGGGTGGGTCGAGGAGGGGGCGCGAGCGGTGCGGTAGTTGTGGGTGCAGTAGTCGCGGTGGCGTTGTTCTTCGCGTCGCTCACCGCTGGTGCATTATCCGGGGGTGCTTCTACTGAATGTTAGGCGTTGGCCAAGATATGGGATGCATCGAATGACGAGTGGAGATGGACTGATAAACATACCTATCTTGGGCGGCGATGGATGCCGGGTCTCATTCTCAACCTTCTCGTTCTCTGGGACGATCAACGAGTGTTAGCGACGACATTGCATCACACACACGAGTACAGCAAGAGAGCAAAGGGGATGTGACTCGGCCATCAATGCTTGAACCAAGTGCAGGCAAGACGCAGGGCTACTGACCTTCACCTTTGGTAGGTATGTTCCGCTTCGGATCTTGGGGGGAGGACATGATGGATTGGATTCGAAGGAGCGTTTGGGTTGCTGTGGTGGGAGTCGAATGACGTAGCGCGGTCGCTGAATGTGGTCCGTCGATCGTTTAGGTGTGCACTCGCAACGCCTCCGTGTTCCGCCTCCCCAAACCAACTTCTTCCGGGGCACAACTAAACGATGTGTCTCAACTAGAGATAATGCGCGCCTTTGTCTGTATCGCGAGGGGACATGCGTTAGTTGCGGAGGCCGGCGGTAAGCAGCTAGGGCTGATGGGGGTGTTGTTGTTGTTGTTGTTGTGCGCGCGGAAGACGACCTCTTGCGGTCGCAAGGGGACGCAACGCAACTGTTGCTGTCGCGGGTGGCGAAAGGGCGAAGAGGCTTACCAGCGCCGACACCGCGCAACGATGGTCACAGGACACGCTGCAGTGGGCTGTGGACTCGCTAGGCGGCTCCCGCACGATCCGTTGAATGGGCTCACGGCGGGCTGGTCCTTGGGTCGCGTTGACGGCGATGTTGAAAATTGCCTGGGACTCGGGGGCACGAATTGCGTCACTCCTTTCGCGGGCAGCAACAGAGCGGCAGCGCAGCAGCGCAAGGGACGAATCGGGACGTTTGTCTCGGCGGGGGTCGAAAGATACTCCAGTACAACGAAGCCAAATGAGGCTGATGCCAATGCCTGTTCGTCCGGTGCAGTGGTCGATGATGAAAGAGGAAGCAGTCGAGTGACGTAGGAAGCGAGCGGGCGGATGACGACGGTTTTCTTTATGGCGCTAGCCAGGAGAAACGCCAGTGTGCTTTGCTAAGCGGCCCACGTGATTAGCCCGCTTCCCGGGATCACACCATGCGCCCACCGATCGGACATCACGCCGGACTGCCGTTGCGTTTGCCGTCGACGGGTGTTCAAAGAAACTCACGACCGCGCGAGCTCGTTCTTCAGGCGCACCTTTGCGGGTGGAGTCGCCCGCTTTCCAGCGCGCTGGGCAAGTCCACAAATCTTTGCGTATCAGGCAGGCGCGCGACCCGTGTCACCGATCATCAGCTTGGAGCATCGCCATTTCTCGATCGGGTAAGAAATGCATGCGTGCTTGGTGCCACCGCCTCTGCATGCCGTACCACATTATTGACGCAATGCATTCACGCCTATCTCATGCACTCGAGCAGTAGTTAATCACCCACTCCCCCCTCGCCTTCCTCCCCCTACGAGTAGTTACGATCCCCGGTACGTCGTGTAGTTGAACGGTCCCAGCAGCAGCGGGACGTGATAGTGCTCCTCGCGACCCCTCACCATGAACCTGACCTCAACCTCGGGAAAGAAGCTTTTGATGCCACGCTGGTCCCAGAACGCCTTCGTCTCGAAACGCAGTGCCCACACCATCTCGGCCTCTTCCCCGCTCTCCTCGTGTGCCCGGCTGTTCTTGAATATCTCCTCCAGTGTGGTGCTGTCACCCACCGGCGCCGACCACTCGGTGACGCGCCCGTCGCTGTTGGTCGTCGCGGATAGAGGCGTGCTTGGGCCGTAGGGAGAGATGAGCGTGAGCGACACCGGAATCGAAGCGGCGGGGCGGCCCGTCGTTGTGTCGAGGACGTGACAGGTGATGGGCGGGCGTTGCGACATGTTTGCAGGCGGCTTGCCCGATGGGTTGGATGATGTTCTATCGGTCGCGACCGTAGACGTACTGGTCGAGGATGGGACGGCGGCGAGCTGTGAACTGATGACGCTTAGGCGGTGGATCGCTTGGGATTGTGTAGGCGTGCACATAGGGCAAGCTCAGAAAGAGAGAGGTTGCAAAAGTAAGCAGGTGACGCGCTTGAGTAAGCTTGTTTTATGGAACGAGGCACAAGGATCACCGTTGATAGAGCTTCCTCCTCTTGCGTTTGTCGTCTGCTGCTCGGACCCTGGCCCTGACCCCGCGGCGGGACCTCTCAACACCGTTGGAACCGCCGTTTAAAAAGCAATGACTCGCATTTGGCCCGCCATTCTGAGATTTCTCATTCCATCGCTTCAAATGTTCTACTCATGATTGGTCGCAAGGAGATAAGCCGTTGTCTATTGGACTGTCAAAATATCTTTGTGTGCCCCGGCTCCTGTCAGTACAACAGCATTTGCAACACCATCGCACAGGAGCTACTTTCAAGGGCGTTTTCCACCGATGCGAGCTCGGTTTCACTGCTTCCTAATCTCCACGACTGTTCCCAACCCGAATCCTCTGACCCCGTTACTGACCCAAACCTTCTCACCCGTATTCACTGTGTACTTGCTTATTGGCTCCTCCATACACAAACCTGCCTTTAAAGCCCATCTCCTCGTCGTTCCTCTTTGCCCTCCGCTACCCATCACAGCCTTTGGGCTTCTCACACTGTGACCCCATCGGCCAGCAAACGGCTCACGGAGCTCCCCTTCGTCCACATAAGCATTTTCTGACGTCGGTCGGGGGGGCTCCTCCATACCGTCCTTCACTTCGTTCGTACCCTCCGTGGTAGCCGCACCGGCCTCTGGAGGTACCGGCACATTCTTCGGTTGTCCAACAGGAGGTGTCACCCACCTCCCGCCGCGATAGAAGTATGCACTAGTGAAACTACCTTCGGTGATTTCTTGGACTTCGTTCCAAAGCAGCACTTCATGCATCTGACCATCTTTTTTCTCGGCAGCCGGCACGGACCGCGCACGAGAGGCATCATAATGCGTTCGGTGGGTTGTCTTCAAAAGAGTGTGCGGTGATGTCGGTGTTGGCTCAGTATCTAAAGTTATGATCCAAGACGTTGAAGATGAATCACTCGCGAGTGAATCACTGGGTCCGAGTGTGAGTGCACCACCAGTTAGCGGAGAGGGGGTGAATGTTTTCGCAGGTTTTGGCGCCGGTAGGTCCAGAGTCGACGGGAAGAAATCCTTCAGTGATGCTGGCGGGACCGGGGCTAAATCCGTTTGCATTTGTCCAGAGGGGTTAAACAGCACTCGGACCTAAGCAATATCAACGATGTATTCGGGATGGGTTGAATAAGATATCGGAATACCTTCAGTGGGACATCGCCGTGGCTACCAATCTTACGCCACGATTCCACTTCTTCCAGGAGTATTTTTTCTAGCGCTTCACCATCCATAAGCTTTTGAGTCACTGGCGTCCATTCAAAATGCTGTGCTGCTTCCAGCATGCGATCCCGATGATACCGGAGCATGTAGAATGGACTTGGCGAGGAGAAGCTCAATATATCGGACCCATTTTGTGAACTTTGGAGGAGTAGTGGATCGTAGCGCAAGGATGTGAAGAGCGAGAAGGAAGTAGAAGCAGACATTGCGATAGCTGGAGTCAAGGTCAGAGTCTAGCCTTGTGTAGGAAGATGACTTGGTGTCTGCGTAGTTTCTTGATAGGATATTTCTAATTAAACACACCGGGGCTGAGAGGAGAGGACAAGACAGTCAAATAAGACTTATTTAAGACGCAAGGAACAGAAGAATCTTATCAGTGGACTGGTGGCAGAGCTGGTATCCAGTCACGTGCGCGGCGCAGCTGTAAAAGAAGTGTACTGTTGTATGTGGTAGAATCTTGTAGTCTGGGCAGAAGGCAGAGGCTGAAACCGTGATCAAGACATAAATGGCTAGAGGGTCTACCTGGTTTGAGCGATGGCTTGTGGTGAAAGTGCGGTGGGTGTAACCGGCAACTGGCAAGCTCCGCGCGTCGAGTGCGAGATGACGGCGTTAACAACGGTCCGACAGAGGATCTTCAAGTTGGAGCTCGAAAAGTGCAACCCACGTCGCGTCACCTCCACCTTCAACCTTTTCAAATCCATCCACTCCCCATCGTCACTTTTTCTTTCCTGCCCACAGAGGCTCCCCCGAGACCGATCCATATAAAAAGCTCCGGTTCGCAATGTCTAGCAATCCTGAGCTTCCCATCCCGCGCCCGGCGCAACCGATTTCGCTTGACACTTCCGCCGCGGCCGCCGGCAGCTCGTCGCTATGGGATAGGATATCCTCATGGGCCTCGGAGCACAAGGCGGTGGTTTACACAATCGCTGGTGTCACAGTCTTGGTAACGGGTGCCGGTGCCGTCTACTACTTTTCGGACAGCGGCAAACCTACAAAGGCCGAGACTGCAAAGTCCAAGAAAAACAAGAAGGCGAAGGAGCGCAGGAAGGCTAAGCAGGCTGCGGAGGAGGAGAAGTCTAAAGAATCAGAGACCCCATGTAAGCGCCAACTGGAACTGCCAATATACATGGGAACCCGCTAATATGCCATTAGCTACGAAGAAGGCTTCTGCTGCTGAGGAGAGTGAGGAGGAGCTGCCTGAGGTTGATGAGAACACCGCGGCCAATCTGACCCCAGAAGTAAGTGTTTGACAATACCAGATGTCTTCCGCGAACATTTTCTAACCGCCGACAGGAACGCAAGGACTTTGCCGCGAAGCTCAAGGCCGCTGGCAACAAGGCATACGGTTCCAAGGACTACAACAGGGCGATTGACCTGTACACCAAGGCGATCTTGTGCAAGCAAGACCCTGTCTTCTACTCGAACCGCGCCGCTTGCTACAATGCCATGTCCAACTGGGAAAATGTTATCGAGGACACCACCGCTGCTCTTAAGCTGGACGCCGAATATGTCAAGGCCCTGAACAGGCGCGCAAACGCATTCGAGCAGACCGAGAAGTACAGCGAGGCTCTTTTGGACTACACCGCTAGCTGCATCATTGATGGCTTCCGCAACGAGCAAAGCGCGCAGAGCGTTGAGCGTCTACTGAAGAAGGTGGCTGAGGCCAAGGGCCGCAACATCCTTGCTGGCAAGGAGAAGAAGCTTCCTAGCCCGACTTTCGTTTCCAACTACCTGCAGAGCTTCAGGCCCAAGCCTGCGCCTGCGGGTCTTGAGGAGGACGCCGAGCTGGACGAGGAGACGGGCAAGGGTCAATTGAAGAAGGGCCTGATTGCTCTGAGCCGGAAGTCTGCGGAAGGCTACAATGAGGCTGCCCAAGCTTTTGAAAGGGCGCTTGAGCTGGGCGATTTGGAAGAGCACGAGGCTTTCGCTTACAACATGCGGGGAACCTTCAAGTACCTTATGGGCAACAACCAGGCCGCGCTGGCGGATCTCACCAAGAGTGTGGAGCTCGACCCTTCGTTGACCCAGAGCTTCATCAAGCGCGCAAGCATGCACCTTGAACAGGGTAAGTCTTCAAGGTCTTCAAGACCAACGGTTTTATGCGATCAGGTCTAATCACAGCAAGTAGGTGAACGCGAGGCTGCCGCAAACGACTTCGAGCAAGCGATGGAGCAGAACGCCAACGATCCCGATATCTTCTACCACCGCGCGCAGCTCCACTTCATCCTCTCCGAGTTTGCCGACGCCGCCAAGGATTACCAGACGTCCATTGATCTCGACAAGGACTTCATCTTCTCGCACATTCAGCTCGGCGTCACGCAGTACAAGATGGGCAGCATCGCTTCTTCTATGGCTACCTTCCGCCGCTGTATGAAGAACTTCGACAAGGTCCCCGACGTCTACAACTACTATGGTGAGCTGCTGCTCGACCAGCAGAAGTACCAGGAGGCTATTGAGAAGTTTGACACCGCCGTCGAAATGGAGAAGGCCTTGAAGCCGCTTGGCATGAACGTCCTGCCTCTCATCAACAAGGCATTGGCTCTCTTCCAGTGGAAGCAAGACTTCAATGAGGCCGAGGAGCTGTGCAAGAAGGCTCTGATCAGTAAGTTCCCTTGTGAAAAAGACGGCCTTTGTTGGCGATAATGAATGGATACTAACTCATGGCAGTCGACCCCGAGTGTGACATTGCTGTCGCCACGATGGCTCAGCTCCTCCTCCAGCAGGGCAAGGTCCCCGAGGCCCTCAAGTACTTCGAGCGCGCCGCCGAACTGTCGAGAACCGAGGGCGAGATTGTCAACGCCTTGTCCTACGCCGAGGCCACCAGGACGCAGCTCGAGGTCCAGGAGAAGTACCCGCAGCTTGCCAGCCGTCTGCAGGGTATGAGCGGCATGGGTATGGGACGGTAAATACCCAAATGCACGAAAACAAGCAACTGCGTATTCTTTTATGTTTTCACTGGTTACCCCAACCTTTCTCTGCGGATTTGGTGTTGCCGTAAGCACTTTTTGTGTGTTGTATCTACACATTCTCTCTGTTCTTTACTCCCTGCTCTCTTATCATCATCCTCGCCACGGTTTTCTCGAGTCGAGCTAGTGTTGGGTTCTAGGGTCGCAAAAGGGCAGCTTGAGGCGGGGCATAGAGTTCTCAAAGCCTTCGGGGGGTGCAATGCGCCATGTGGTCGTGCTGAGGGCGGCGGAGCCCGCCATGTACAATCAGTAATACTTGTGTAGGTAGGAAAAACGAAAAGAGAAAAGGCTAGGATATCTACTGTCATGATTGCGCTGTGAAAGTGATTGATTGCTACATACGCTCATACGACAGGAAGGGCCCTGTTTCGTCATTGATTTGGATGGGGTGGCAAACATGTTAAGAAGGGAAGGTTGCGGTGCTTTGCAATAGATCACGACTGTTTAACTTAGGCAGAAAGAAATGTTAATCGGATAGAATTGTCTTAAAGGCCTTGTGGCATACAAACGTTATGGATGTTGCCTTGATCCCAATACATAACGGCTTGAATACCTTTCACAACTGATTGCCCTTATTTCCATGCATGTATAAATATACTTGAGCCTGTTAGGTTAGTTCATAAAAATCAGATAGCATACTTTTGCAACATGACTTGGTGAGGACGAACATACAGTGTGGAGTTAATTTTAATGAAAAGGCAAGATTCTCTACACCCCTGCCTTTAGGTAGAATGGTTGACTGTTAAGTTGATGATAGCCGATAGGAAATGACACTGACTTTAAGTAGGGGCAAAGCGAATAACCGATACCATACGATAGGGACTGCTAAGTCCAACGCGTACCATCGGTGATAAATAATGAAACTTAAGAGCACAAAATGGGTGAGCTTGGTATCTACTACTTGCAAATACTCAATCACCTAAAAATGACAAAATACGGATAGTCACTAAACCATCAGACCTTAAAGTTGTTTGTACTATCTAAACTACCGCTCGGATACGCAACTCTTGAGTTTTAAGCTCAGTGAAAATAATTAAAGATTTAGAGTAACTATTAAAGGTGAATAGTGTGGCTGAAAGGAATATAGTAAAAGATTAAAGTTAGAAAAGTAAGTCCCCTAGATAAACTTTAGTAGAGGCACCGCACTCTAAGCCGTGCACCTGTATAGCGCATGTACGATGTATATACGCCAAACAGACTAGCTTTTATACTTATTACTGTCATCTATTTTGAGGTAAGAACTCTTACTACGCGTTGAAGTCATACTCCCTCAACCTATCCAATTTAACTAAGCCCTCAAGGTCATTGCTATATATGACGTATAATCGCTTTATAGCTCTGTGGGTTTGTCTTGACAGAGACTCAAGTTCATCTCTAAATTATCATCCGTAATATCACATTTGCTCCGTCACCAAAATGGCTTGAAAACTTACTAAATACTCCTAATAATATCTAGTTCGTCCCGTTCGAGCTTATTTAGTCTTATAGAAAACGAGTTGGACTCCAATCCTATCTAACAAGGATAACACGTCACTGACAGGCAAACCTGTTGGCTTTTGTAATATTATATTTAGGTTAAGGAAGTTCTGCGTAGGAAGCTAAGCTCATGACAACGGATTTTACTAGCAACTATGTAGCAGGCGTGCTATTTACCTAGGTAGGTATGTACCGCGCGGTAAAGAGTAATGCCGTCTCGGTATGTGCTTGCCTGTGCGAAATGCTTCCTTCCCCTTTAGATCTGTCGGACATGGACATCGACTATTCTTCGAATAGCAGGTGCTCTAAGCTGCGCTTACCTCCTATCTGGGCAGACATGAGACCCGCTACCGGGGAGGGGTACCTTAGGAGCAGTAAAGGATAGTCTAGTAGGAATGCTCGTGTGGGCCATTAAAGCTGGGTAGCGTCGGCAACACTTCTTCTTTTCAACCATGCTGTTAGGTTTATCTAGTAGACATCATATTAGATGGGCACACACCTGAGCTGCTATCTTTCTGTACATGAATGTTGATTTGGCTATGCGTTCCTGCATAACTTTGCGTCAGCAGTTGGCAATTTCAGTTGCAGCGGGAAGACATGCTGACGCGTGCTTAGAACCGCATCATCGAAGCTAGGGAGCTTGTGATCGTGAGAGAAGATGGTTGAATGCAAGTTCTATATTTCGTGTGTGATTAGTGATTTTACAGAACCTGATAGCAAGCATATTAGTAACTTTATTAAGCTTGTTGAACAATTCATCGCAGCCATTTGTGGCTTCACCATAGTATACAAAGTCCCTTAGAGCTTTGAGGTATATCCTACATAGTAATTCGGCTCTGTTAATACTTCAGTAGCTATTTTTCTGAGCAACATGGACCGTTTCCAATTAGACAAAGCGTTTCAGTTCCAGGAGACGAAGAGGTAGTAAGATGACCTCACAAATGGACATGATAGGGGTTAAGACTCGGAATTGACCCGTCCGTACACTATATTAGTACCTTTCGAATCTGCTACGTGTAGAAGCTGATTGAAATTGCGGTAGATCTTCAAGAGTTATCCAGGTAAAATGTCACAATTCATATCCTTATAAAACGCATCTGGATGAATCATAGCCAGACAAACACCATTTTATCCATGCAAAGATTAATAAGGGTACCTGGTTACCTTTGTACCGAGAACCAGTGATATCCGGGATCGAAATCTTGGGCGAGCATCCAGGTTTTATAGTGGGAATTTCCTATAGGAGACATTCTGCCCACCATCGACAATACCGACAGAAGCAGTTGTCGCACAACACCTCAACATGCGAAAAGCGATAGGTACGCTTAACCATGCCTGCGGAAAAACGGCCTGCACGAGATTTGACAGCAGAAAAATCTATACCCCGCGCACCTTGAAAGGACAAAAAAGAAAACGCGTTCACGCACACCAACCAGCCAGACAAGGCGCAAACCTTGCACCGCAACAGCACATAATAGGACACAGCGCGCCCGATCTAATGCAACAACAACCGAGTGCGCACACCACTCAAGCCCACGAAACCTGATCTGATGCGCTGCTAGGGATCGAGCTGATCGGAGTGCTACTGCTGCTGCTGCTGATGATGATGATGTGCATGGCCGGCAGCCGGGTTGCCGGTCGCGACGGGGTGTGGGACAGGGTAGGCGGCGCTGTTATCGCGACGCGCACGTGACCTTCTCTAGACTGTTGTTCCAATCGCACACAGCTGTGCACTGGGATCGGTGTTGCATATATGTGTTTTGCTCTAGAGGGCCCGATGATTCATAGAAAGCTCTTAATTATTTCAAATAGCCGGAAACCACAAACAAAATCGAGCGATAGGGCCGTCCTCGTCATTATCACCAACCACCATGCAGATCAGCGAGACCACCACCACAACCACCACAATCTCACCCCCATAAACACTACCAGCAGCAGCCTTAAACCCATACATAACGTAGCACACAGCCTCTAACCAAGCTACCAAGAAAGTGACCAGCACCACCAGCACCACCACCTCCAATACCTACCTACCCACCACGCAAACCCCCCTTCCTCCCTACCCTCCCTCCCACCCCACACCCATCCCCCACAACCAACCACCAACCACCCACTCGCCAACCCCACGCAACACAACACGCGCAATCGCGCACGCAACAAGCACGCAGCAGCGCACCACAGCAGCGCACGGCCCCCCACACCCACGCACGCACCCGCCGCCACGTCCCCGTCGTGCCGTCCCCAACCACCCTAAAAGCCTCCCCACCGCCTCCCGCCGGCGCGCCACACGCACGCTGCAAGCGAAGGAACTAGAACTACAACCAACTAGAACTAGATAGAAAAACGGCTTGAAACGGGCGGGAAGGAATCCAATAGTCCGTACTGGTACGTATGTAGAGAGACTAGAGTCGAGTACCCACCCACCCGCCTACTTAGAGTAGCATGAGTAAGTACAGTACTCCGTACCTAAGCGGCCAACGGCCGGCAGCAGCCGGGCGGGCGGGATGGCTCCGCGCGCGGCTTGGCTCGAGCACGACGGCGGCGGCGGGGGGCGTAGTGCGTATAGATAAGGGAAACAGACCTACGCAAGACAAGGCAAGGCAAAACAAGGCAAGACAAGGCAGCCGACGCAAGGTAACGCCGGACATGTGGCATGCAGGAGCATAGATAGAGGAGGAAGGCACGGGAGGGCAAGAAAGGCGAAGCCTAGCGTAACACGGCGTCACCCAGCCAGCCAACGACAGCGACGGACGGGGTTTCCTGCTGTGCTCCGGCGCTTCTGATGCCCACCCATGCTGGTAAGCGATAGGTAGTCCGTAGAGCAAACCAGAGCAGACCAGAGCAGACCAGAGCAGGCCAGGCCAGGCAGGTAGGCAGACAGGCAGGCAAACAGGTAGGGCAAATAATAAACAATCAATCAGTCAATCATAAAGATACAAAGCCAGTTTAGGACGAACAGACAGACATGTTTTGTTATACATGAATGATTTCCGAGTAAAAGCGGTATTACTTACGGATGGTACGACTCTGAGGTATATAAACAACACACTAAAACACACACAGACGCAGGCACAAAAGCAACCTAAACGACAAGGATGGGGGTGTGCGCGCACGAGCAAGAAGAGAGGGAGAGCAAGAAAAAGAGAGGGGAAAAAGATGAGAAAAAAAACCAGAACCAAGCAAAAAGAGCCTCCTAACCATCCATCAACCATCAGTTACCCACCGGCCAGATTCGCTCAGACATGTAGCGAGACCGGATCGCGTCTCATCGTTGCCCCCCACCCAGTCGTCTCGTCATCATCCTCCGCGATTTAGCCATTATTCCCTCCATTGTTGGATTTCATCTACAGCTTCTCGACTTCCTCGATGCCACTGCAAAAATCACCAGGGAACTTAAGCCTTGTGCGAAGTGAACTTGTCCTTCAGCTTGGCGAAGAAGCTCCTCCGGTTCGTGTTCTTCTTCTTCTTCTCTTCCTCGGCAGCCGCAGCAGCGGCCTTGTCGCTCTCGGACTTGGAGCCATCGGCAGAGCCACTGGACTTGGGCGGGCCGTCCGTCTTAGCCTCACCGGCAGGGGTCTCAGTGGTAGCGTCCGGGCCCGACGTGGCCGGGGCGGTGGTTTCACCGGTGCCCGTCGTGACAGTAGGCTCGGTCTGCTCGGTGGTCTGAGGCTTGCTCATGGGGCTAACGTCGCGGGACTGCTCCTCGGGGTCAGGCTGAGCAGCCAGTTGGCCAGCCTCGGTAGCCACGGACTGAGCAGGCTGCTCAGCCGGAGCGTTGAGGCCAGTCTTGGCGGCATTCTCTTCGGTGGTAGGGTCAGCAGTGCCAGTAGACGTCGCGGGAGGCTCGGTAGCATGCTCCGCCTGACCAGTAGGGGCCACGCTGATGGTGGTAACAGGTATTTCGGGCTCGGAGGACGACTTAAGAGGCTCGCCGTCAGTGAGGGACTGGGGGCCCAGGGCAGACGCATCAGCATCAGCGGGAGAGTGAGTCGACTGGGTGGTAGCTTCGGGAGCCGTAGCGGTAAGCGCGGCGCTCTCGGTGGGCGCAACGTCGGCGATCTCATCAGTCGGCTGGACGGTGTGGGCAAGCTCGTTCTCCATAGCCGACTTCTGCTGAACAGCCTCGGGGTTCGTGACAGCCTCCGCGGGCTGGTCGGCCTGTGCAATCGATTCCTTCACGACATCCGGGACGGCCTCGGTGCCGGCAATGGCAGGCGCGTGCTCACCGGTGGCGTTGTCCTTCGGCACGCTGTGGAGAAGCTCTTCCTCCATGTTGTGCTTGTCGGCAACAGCCTCCGGGTTGGTGACAGCCTCAGGGTCAGCGTGAGCCTGGGCAATCGACTCAGCGACGACCTCGGGAACGTCAGCCTCGGGAAGGACGGCGCTGGAAGGTGCCGGCTTGCCCGTCTCGTTGGACTCGGGGACCTTGTCCAGCAGCTCGCTCTCCATGTCCTTCTTCTCAGAAACAGCCTCGGGGTTGGCAGCGGCTTCGGGGCTGGCGTGAGCCTCAGCGATGGAGTCAGCAACGGGCTTGGGGACGTCGGAAGCAGTCTCGGCAGAAGAATCAGAGGCCTTCTCAGCGAGCTCATGCAAGTTATCGGCAGGGCCACCGGCGTTCATGTTGTCAATGGCCTGTTGCACCGTGGGCGCAATCGAGTGCTGGTAAGTCTCAGCAGCCTTTTCGCCTGCAACGGCGGCAGCACCAGCAGCGGCAACGCCGGCGGTCGCGAGACCACCAGCAACCACACCGGCAACCTCGGAGGCAGTCTCAACAGCAGTGTTGTTCTCAGAGGTTGCTGGCTGCTCAGGAACCTCGTTCAAAAGCTCGTTCTCAACCTCACTCTTTTCCTGCACAGCCTCGGGGTTGGCAGCCGCCTCAGGCGAGACGTGCGCCGCCTCCTGGCTATCAGAGACGACCTGGGGGACGCCACGCGGCTCCTTCGGGACCTGACCGGCGAGCGCAGCAGTAGTGCTCTCGGGGTGCGAAGACTGAACGGTAACGCCAGGGTCAGCGGCAGAGGCGCCAGCGGCAGAACCCATGGGCAGACTCGACTCGGGAATCATGTTGTTGGTCAGGCCTGGGATGTCGAACATGTGGGCGCTGCGCTCCGCGTCGGGAGTAACGACGGGACCAAGCTGCGGGGGCAGCGACGCGCCCTTCTCGTATGACTCCTTGTCCAGCGTGACATTGCTGTTGACGTCATTGGTGGTGTATTCGCTGTGGTGAGGCACCTTCTCGCCGGGAGCCAGGCTGATAGGGTTGCCAGCAGTGTTGGTACCCGGCAGCGGGCTCACGCCAAAGGCCTGCTCCTTCTCGGCGTCCTGCGCCTTGAGCTCCTCGTCGTCCTTGACCGTCGAGTCGACAGTGTTTGCATTGATTGTGCTAGGGTGAGGGACTTCCTCGCCAGGCGCCAGCTTGACGGGGTTGGAGTCACCTTCAGAAGCGGGGATGGGATTGACAGAAAATTGCTGCAGCTCGTCGGCAGGCGTCTCGAGGAAGGCGCCGGGGATGTCGGAGGGCGTCTCCTTCGGCTGCTCGCCGGCCAGCTCTGCAGTAGTAGCTTCGGGGGCGGCGGAGGACATGATGTGTGGGTTGTGGGAGGGATGGATGTCAGTGGGGTGGAGGACGTTGTTGTAGATTCCGTGGCCGTCGTCTTCTTGAGGGGCAGATCCGTTCGTCACCCAATTACCGTCGACGACGAACTGTGCGAGGGTTGCGGTCAGCAATGCGGTGTGTGCGGTGATGGCAGAGTGGGACGTTGTCCGAGCGACAGGCCAATCCGGTTTGCTGGAGGGGAAGCTGAAGCCGCAATGGCGCGCAAGCGCCGCGGGCGGAGACGCACCTTATAAAGCACCTTTTCGTCACTCTTAGGCAGCTCAACCGTCTTTGTGAAAACGCCGTTCTTTTGCACCAGACGGACGCTCTTTGCCCAGTCGTCGAAGGTGCCGGTCACGTAGACATCGCTTGCCGGATGTTCCCTATGGCAATGCCGTCAGCAAGGCGGACACGGAAGAAGGTCCGTAGATGGGCCGCACCACTTGAACGTGTAGCTTCCCATAGTTGCGGCAGGATCGACTGGGGCGCTTGACTACGACTGGCGCGCGGGCTGAAACCAAGCGATGAAGACAGTGCGCCCGGGGGGGAGCGTTAGCTAGAGGGCTGAATCGTAAAGCTCGCGGCGCTAGCGACGGGCACAAGCCGAGCTTCGCGCAACTGGCGATAGGGCGATCAGGCAGGCAGGCACGCGGATAACTGGAGTTTTGGGGAGAACAACGGTCGGCAAGTGAGTGAGGGGGTGGCTGAAGGTGGAGGTCAGATAGGTATGTAGCAATGCTGCAATCGCGCGCCCGCCCGTTAGAGTTAGGGAGTGTGGTAGGTATGGTGTGTATGCCTGTTGCTGATTGCTGAGAGAGATGACGCAGTGCGGCCCAGACCAGTGCGGCCAGCCACGAGTGTTTCCGCTTCCCTTGCAGCCACCACGCTCGGCCCGACAGCCTCCGGGGTGCGCCTCGCTCAGCCAACCCGCGCAAGCTTTCACCAGCTTCTGTTTTCGTTGTTGCGCGTGACCGGCTCTCGATCTTCGACTGCCGGACAACAAAACAAATCTGCTCCACTTGTATCGACGTGGTCGTCGTGCTCCACCTGCGTCGAACCATCCCATCGCCCTTTCTCCTCGTCTTCTGCCCTCCGAATGCCCTCCAAGATTGCTCTCGGCTCTGCGAAATTGTCAGTACGGGCCCCCACACATGCCTTAATCTTTGCCGTCGGCATCCAACGCTGCGAGAAGCTTCCACTAGCTCCTGCAAGGCTGCAACAAGTCTTGGGCTGCATCTGTCGTGCTATGTGATGGGAGCAATAATGCCCAGGCCACGCCAATTATGACGACCTGCGCAATTACGCCCTTTTCCAGAAGCAATACGTGCTTTTGCTTACACATGTGCTGACGGGCTGACCTTGAGGGCCGTGCTTTCCATGCTCCGAGGCTGTTCATTACGATGTTGGGAAGAACCCAGCATCGTGGTAGTCCCAGATCAGGCATTCACTTCTCCTCCGTTACGGCCATATCATGAGACGCTTGAACTCCGAAAGATCCCCTCGTCCAAATTTTTCACGACCAAATCTCCTTCCAACGAATTTTTATTTTTAACTTTTTTTCCAGCTTCATATATTTGATTTCTTAGCATCAAAACCTAGGAGCGGGTTCGTAGAGTTGTTCGTGCTGGTACACCCATCGGACACTATTCTTAGACATGGCTTCCACTCCATCCAGAGATGCCATGTTGATGTTTGCGCTCGCGCAAGTCTTTGCAAGAGCTACTTGCTGGCTTGATGCTGCACATCCAACTACTCGGTTATCACCTCTCATGTTCCTCTGGAAACTAGCCCTTTTAAATGTTATAAGACAACAACTCAAAGTATAGCTTCTTGACAAGCGACATAAAGATCCTGATTTCGTTCGTGACACATACAACTACATTGACACAGTACTCGTACTTGCACATCCTCAAGTCCTTCAACCACCAAAAATACGCCTTACGCCCAGACTCCAAGCGTCCAACTTCCTCTATCCCCTGCCCGTCCGCCAGATGGCACGCCCAAGCTGCTCTGTCTCTGCGGCATGACACTACGATCCTCCCGGCTGGCACCTGTGAGCCCGTGACTGAGGAAACGCTCCTTGTCAATCTCGACAATGCCCTTGATGCGCAAGCTAGAGACCAGGCTGGCCCCCGTCCACGCACCCAACGACTCGACGCCCCGCACACGACCTTCCACGGAGGGTTTGAGGTGCTTGGTTGCGTGGTAGTGAAGTTTGCTGGATATGGGATCATCTTCTTGGGAGCGTTGGGAGGCGGGGAGCATGGGAGACAGCTGAGGCTCTTCAATGATGTGTGAGGCGTGGCTCCCAGAGCTGGGCGTCCTCTCCGGATCCGTGTCTTGTTCTCCTTCACCGGAATCTTCGTCAATGTTCTCTGTGACTTTTGGCACTGGCGTCGCTAACGGCAATGGCGATAATGTGTCCATGGTGGTGCTATTCCGTTGATGGCCTGACTGTCGTGCCTGTCTCTCATGCTCCTGCTTTCCCGTGGCACTGCCATATCTCTTGACCGGGTCCCAGCCGCGGTGCGAGATGAGATATTCGAGTTCCGACAAGATACGACGCTTCACGCCCGGCACTCGAGAAACACCACCCGTGATAATAATGCGACCCATGCAAAGCTTGCGCGCATCGATCGGCAGAGAAAGGAGTGCATTGTAAGCGAGAAGTGGGATGGGAAGGTCGTGGTCGTCAAGCTCGTGGGCGGGGCAATCGCCAGCAAAAAGTGCGCTTTCAGCGGGCTCTGCGAGTCGGGAAAATGGAACTTTGAGAGTCAAAGGCGGAGATGCTGCTGGCAGAGGAATTTGTATCGACGGATCCACTTCGGCAGGTTTCGCCTCGCTGTTACCGCGTTCTAAGGCTTCTTCGCGGCTCAAAACCCAGACAGCCCGCATCATAACATCTTCAGCTTCCTCGAAGCTAACCCTATCGGGTCGTTCGAGATCTTCGGGGTCTCCGCGCGCCTTTTTGCACTCATCGTTCAAAAATTTGGCCACATCCTCGCTCAGATATTTTCCTGCTCGGATGCTACTGGAGTGATGTATCTCGCGGTACTCATAGACGGCAGTAGCGGTAGCCTCGGCCCATCCCAGGTCAATAACCAGAGCAGACCTCAAACCGGCAGAGACGACATGAAGAACAGGCGAGGACAGAACGGTAATGCTAATTGCCTGGAGGTTCTGAAAGACCGAAGATAGCATGGCAGACAGGAGTGGGCGTGACAAAAGCGACGGCACAACAACAGTCGCCCGGCGAGGCCTGTGGTCGAGCAGCAGGTACTGAGCGACGATTTCCCGGACAGCCCTCTCGATCTTGTCCTCGACCTGGCCAATGTCGACCTCACGGACATTCAATCTCCATAGCTCATGCTCTTGGCCCCAATCCATGCCGCGCTTCCTCTTCCTGCGCATTGAGTCGAAGCCAGGCATCCATCGCCGAAAATCGCCCACTCTGCGCTGGTCTTCAGGCCCAAATCCCCGGGTACAGCGCGGCTTACTCTCGCCAGCAAAGCCGGCGCGTAGGAAGCGGGCGCCAAATTCGAAGACGAGGTGTTCTTCGTCGGAGCGGAAGCTCGACGAGCCAGAGCCATACAGGCCGGACAAGGACCGAGCAGAAGCTGGGTTCGGCGACGTGGGCTGGTTGGAGGAGGTGATGACGGAAGCGGACGGCCTGGCGCGGCCAATGGAGAGCCTGTTGGATTTGAGGTCAGGCGCGCCGCCCGAACTCATCGTGGTGGTGGTTGTCGACAGGATTCTTTGTGGCCTCTCATTGTTTGCTGGCTGCGTTGTCGCCGGCGCGTTGCTGGGAACCGCGCCTGGTTTCTTGGCGCCAGCCCGGAGGCCGGAGCAACTGATTCGCCGGGTGATTTTGCAGCGAAAAGCATTTGCGGGCCAACGCCGAAAAGAAAAAGCTGCGACCGCGACAAGCAGCACAAGTCACCCTACCACACGCCTGCGACGGGCATATTTACCCCCTCTCCAATTAAATATGACCCTCTTTATCCTCACCGAAACCAGCGCTGGTTACGCGCTGCTCAAGGCCAAGGACAAGAAGCTGCTCAAGCGCGATGATCTTGCCCAAGAGACTGAGACGGCAGAGGGCACCTGCAACCTGTTCGTTCACCATTGCGCTGCTCTCTCGCCCTCATCCTACTGACTACGGCCGGCAGCCTCAAGTTGAAGAAGTTTGAGAAGTTCGACAGCGCCGCGACTGCCCTCAACGAAGCGGCGGCCCTCACCGATGGCAAGGTGTCGCCCATGCTGGCTTCTCTGCTCGACTCCATCAAGGACGAGAAGAAGGCGTCCCTCGCCGTGGCCGACCCCAAGCTCGGCAATGCCATTGCTAAGCTTCCTGAGCTGTCCATTCAGCCCATCGCCGACTCGTCGACCGCCGACATCTACCGCGCCATCCGCACTCATCTTCCTTCCCTCATCCCCGGCCTGGCACCGGAGGACATTTCTACCATGTCGCTGGGTCTTTCCCACTCGCTGTCGCGTCACAAGCTCAAGTTCTCCCCCGACAAGGTCGACACTATGATTATCCAGGCTATTGCTCTTCTCGATGATTTAGATAAGGAGCTCAACATCTACGCCATGAGAGTGAAGGAGTGGTACGGTTGGCATTTCCCGGAGATGGCTAAGATTATCAACGACAACGTTGCCTACTCGCGTGTTATTCTTAAGATGGGCATGAGGTCAAACTGCGTCAACACCGATCTTGCCGACGTTCTCCCCGAGGAGATTGAGGCGTCTCTGAAGGTGGCCGCCGAGGTTTCCATGGGTACGGAAATCACCGACGAGGATCTTGACAACATCAGGGCTCTGGCTGAGCAGGTTGTTGGCTTCACCGAGTACCGCCAGCAGCTCTCCAACTACCTCTCCACCCGCATGCAGGCTATTGCTCCTAACCTCACTGCCCTTGTTGGCGACCTGGTCGGTGCTCGCCTGATCGCTCACGCCGGTAGCTTGATGAACCTCGCGAAGGCGCCCGGTTCCACTATTCAAATCCTCGGTGCCGAGAAGGCCCTGTTCCGTGCCCTGAAGACCAAGCACGACACTCCCAAGTACGGTCTCATCTACCACGCTTCTCTCATCGGTCAGGCGTCCGGCAAGAACAAGGGCAAGATTGCCCGTATGCTCGCCTCCAAGGCCGCGCTTGGTCTGCGTGTCGACTCTCTTTCCGACTGGGGAGCGAACAGTGAGGGCACCGCTGTTGAGCCCACTGACGAGGAGAAGTCTGCTCTCGGTAACTCTGCCCGTCTCGCCATTGAGAGGAGACTGCGCAACCTCGAGGGCAAGCCCATCCAGAGCAAGGGTGTCGCCATTGGCCCCTCTGGCCAGACCAAGGCGCCTAAGTGGGACATCAAGGAGGCTGGCAAGTACAACGCCGATGCCGATGGCCTAAGCGGCAACGAGCCTGCCGCCACCGCTCCCCCCGAGGCCAAGATGGTCGAGGAGGTTGACGGCGCCTCGAGCGACAGCGAGTCCGAGGACGAGAAGCCCAAGGCCGCGGCCAACGGCGACTCCAAGGCAGCGAAGAAGGCCGAGAAGGAGGCTAAGAAGGCGCGGAAGGCGGAGCGCGCGGCCAAGCGTGAGGCCAAGGCGGCCAAGAAGGCGGCGAAGGACGCGACCGACGGTGCGGTGGATAAGAAGAGGAAGCGCGACGATGACGGAGAGAAGGACAAGAAGAAGAAGAAGAAGAGCAAGGCGTAAAAGGCGGGCGTGCGCATTCTTGTTATTTGGCTCGCATCGCATGTCTTAATGTCGTTTCGTCTCTCTCCACCTATCTCGATCCTCTCTCCGCGTCGTCGTCTCCCGTCGTGGCAGGCGTCTCCCGACCGAGGACGGGAACGTCGAGCGAGTCATCCACGGGCGTTTGGTTGGGCTGTACCATTGGGCGTAATGAGGTTGGCGGAACATACCTGGGCGTTTTTTGTACGCTTGTGCATATGAAGTTCAATGCCAAAAAAGATATTTTCACTTCTACATCTGTTTGACTGTTGGACTACTTATGTGGTGTGTGTTTGCCTCCCTAGTGCCATCTCAACGCCGGTTCTGTCTTTTGTCTTCCCGCTTGTGCGTTCTCATGCTATCCCAGAGAATAGATATAAAGACCTAACAGCCCACCCCCCGTTCACCTGTATACACAATGAATTCTTTCGCAATCGTTCATTCTTGCCACGAACATCCATCTACTTTACTCTGACCCTGGTTGAGACAACGTTCGATTTACTTTCTCCCTAGTATGAGCTTACGTCTAGACTATCCACCAACGCTCAGTTGACTCGTCCTGTTTAAGGAGATTGTGCAAGTGGATTGTTATGAAGTGTGCATGCGGCGATGGGTAGTAAGCTTTTTTTCGTACAGGGAATACACGATACGCGCATGTATATGCACATATACTATCTATCTACTTACAACAAGCACGTATCCTTGATCCAAAGCATCGCTCAGTCTCTGTCGTCTCGTCTCCACGAATCAGTTCATTCGTTCTCATTCACACATAGTAGCCTCATCCATTCGCTATACAAGCCGTTGTTCAGCTTCCACGCACATCCTGACATACTCTACGTACTCAATCTTATTCCCCTCACTCTGCTCTCTCTTTCCTGTTCTGAACAAAGACAGCACACACACACACACACACACATACAAACGTCATTCACACAGCAGGAGGCACCTAGTGGACCATAGGTAGTAACGCAGCGCAGCGCAGCTATTTCATTTCGGCAAGGCGATTTCTCCCGTCCTGTCTACGCTCACACCCCAGCGCCGCCGACTAAACAAACCCGAATCTAGATCCCAAACCTCAAACCCCACCCGCATCCCCATGCCAAATCACGCATCCATCCACCATGCACAAAGCCAACAGCAACAAACGCCAAAAGCCAAAAGCCACACCCAACCCACCCAGACGCTTACTCGATCCGCTAAAAACGCTTAACTAGAGGGACGGGACAGGACAGGACAGGACAGAAGAAAGAAAGAAAGAAAGAAAGAAAGAAAGAAAGAAAACGAAAAAGCCGTTATGCCTGGCAGTCAGTCGGCAGTCGGCAGTCGGCAGTCTGTCTCTCTGTCTGCATAGTCTGCCTAGCTAGTCTACATAGGTACCTAAGGTAGGTATCGCACCCGACCAATCCAATCCAACTAAACCAACCCAAACACACCCAGACTCAACTACACCACCCCACACCCATCCCGCTCCGCTCGCTCTTCCTATTTCCCATCTCTATCCCCAATATCCATACCATGTTATATCATACCCATATCATACCCATACCATAACCCAATCCGTACGTCCTCTCTGTCTGAAAGTAAGTGAGGTAGTGAAATAACTGAAATGAGTGAGTACGCACGCGCTCGCGCGCAAGCAAGCAAGCAAGCAGGTAACCAACCGCACTAAATCAAACAAACAAGTAAACAAACAAACATTCAAACTTTCATTACATCGTGCCATGCCATCTTATCTTCGCAAAAACCCCAACGCCCTTCCAACTCCCCTCTACACCACATCCACAGCCCGCCCACCAACCCCACACCCACCCTACTCCTCCTCACTAACCTCCTCTTCGCTATCCGCCCCACCCCCACCAGCACCAGCACCAGCACCTCCCCCAGCCCCACCACCGCCACCTCTCAACTCCTCCTCCGCAGCACTCGCCAGCGCCTGCTGCATCTCGGCCTCGAAATCAACGTCGAAGTCGTCGGCCTCGTCGTCGTCGTCTTCGTCCTCTTCCTCCTCTTGATGGTGATGCCGATGCTGCTGGTGGTGATGCTGTGACGTGTGGTGATGTGCGTTATGGTGCTGCTGAGGAAGTAACAGCTGCGCGGCCGCCACCGCCGCCGCCGGACTGCCCAGCACCATAGGCTCGACGTCGCCGTCCATGTCGCCCTCGCCCTCGCCGACGCCCTCGTCGTCCTCGACATAGCCGTCGTCATCGTCTGCGTCTCTGCCGCTGACGCCGCCAATGCCAATGCCAACACCGCCACCGCCACCGCCACCGCCCACCATGTCGACGTCGCCCTCGCCCTCGTCCTCGTCCTCGTCGCTGCTCCCCCCTCCCGCACCCATCTCGAACTCTTCTTCCCCACCACCACCACTTCGCCCCCTACTAGGCGAGCACAGCCGACTCGGCCGACTAGCCGGGCTCGCCGAGTCGGCCGCCGACCGCAGCGATATCGGGCCCGACCCCGCGCTCGCGCTCGGAAACGCCAGCGCAATGCTGCGTTTGGGCTTGGGCTTGCTGTCGCCAAAGTCGATCTGCAGGCCGTTTTCGCCGTCGTCGTCGTCGTCGTCGTCGCTGCTGTCGTGGCCCGAGGAGTCCGAGGGCGTGGGCGAGCGCGCTGATGAGCGGCTTGAGGGCGCTGGTGGCGCTGCTGTTGTTGTCGTTGTGTGGGTGGGATGGGCTGGGGGCGACGGCGAGCGGTGCGTCGCTTTGCGGTCGAGGCGGATAGCGGGGGGCGCGGGCGCGGTGCTTGTGGTGGTGATGGTGGTGGATTTCTTCTCGCTGGAGCCGGCGCTGGCCTTTTGCGGTTTCGTGGCCGCGGATTTCGACTTCGCCGTCGTGCGCTTCGGCTCCGCTGTGTCATCCTTTTTCTTCCCTGCCGCCGCCGGCTTCGCAGCTCTAGGCGCCGGCTTCAGTGTCGCCGTCTCCTTCTTCACAGCCAAACCAGCTCCACCACCACCACCACCACCGACACTGCTGCTCAGCGGCGTCGACCGCCCCGCCGCCGCAGCAGCCGCCGGGTTCGGGCTCGCGAACCCGCTCCCCCCACCCTCATGCACCTGCGTCAAGAAATTCCGATAATCATACGGATTGCCCTCCTCGGGCTCGTCGTCCTCACTCGCAGTCGCACCAGCACCAGCAGCACCGCCATCTCTCTCCCCATCATCCGAGAACAAGTCGTCCTCGCTCTCGACCGCCCCACCCACCCCTCCCTCCCCCCCCGCAGCCTCCTTCAAGGCCTTCGCCTCCGCCGCCCGCACCGCCCGCGGCCGCACCTGCTTATACCGCTTTCCCAGCGCCGCGGCATCGCCCTCCCCCGGCGCACTGGCCAGATTGAACCCGTATTCGGCGGCTAGCGGCTGCAGCGTCGCCGTGTGCTTGGCTGCGTCCAAGAGGAGCACGTACGCGTGCGTCGGGACGCCGCGCTCGCCGGTGTACGTGTAGGTGGCGCCGTCTTGGTCGCGGAGGTCGAGCGCGCAGGCTGTCGAGGGCGGGGGCGTCGTGTCGTGGGCGGGGGCGTCGTGCTCGCTAGTAGCGTTCGTGTTATTGTTCGTCGTCGTAGTCGTAGCAGGAGGTTTAATAACAGCGCCAGCCGTCCTAGTCGGCTTATGGTTGACTGTCTCGTTCGCAAGTAGGGTCAGCTCCATCCACATTCATATCCACACCCCCAAACCAACAAACCAGCAAACAAAACAAAACATACACTTAACAACCGCGTACTCCACGTTAGCTGCGCCAGCAGCAGTGGGCTCATCGCCCTCCGCAGCGCCAGCGCCAGCAATCCCCTCCCCCAACCTAAGCGTATACACAGCCGCCTTGTGGGGATCGACGGCCTTGGGCCTGGCCGCGGGGGTGGCTTTTTCGCGCGGAGGCGGCGATGCCATGGATGGCGTTGCGGACCAATGAATGTTGCGAGAGCGAGAGAGAGAGAGGAACGGGAGAGAGAAGGGGGGGGAGAGGGAGATGTGCAGGGTCGGTGTGTGGTGTGTAGGTAAGGTATGTAAGTAGGTAGGTACAATCTAAGTCGGCCGATCACGTCTCCCGCTCCAGCTGGAGGAGCGCGCGAGCCGAGCCGGCGCTACTAGGTAGGGACTAGGGTTAGCCCCGCCCGGCTGGGCCTAACCTGATGGAACCTGAACCTGCAACCTGCATGGGACCAAGAGAGCGCATGCATGCGTGCTTGCTTTGCCTTTTTCCTTCCTTTGTTTGCTTGCTTGCTTGCGTGGCTCTTTGTCTGTCTGCTACCTACTAACCTTCCTACCTAATCCAGCCAGTATGTACGACGTACAGTACACACACCGCACACCGCACGCATAAATCTACTACCTATACCTGTCCATACCTAACCATCCCAATCCCCTCACAAAAAACGCCCGTGGCCAACACAACAACGCCACGCCCTCAAGCCCCCTCCCCCCCATCACCACCACCACCGCGCTTCAGGCCCTCCAACGCGTCCAGCTGCCTCTTCAACGGAATGACCGCGCCAGCACTAATGCGACGAATGCCGTCCTTCTCGGCCTCGCTGCCCCCGCCGTCCTTGCTGCGCTCGATAATGTCCTTAGCGGCATCGATGGCCTTGTGCAGCAGCCGCGGCCCGCTCGCCCCGTGGTACAGCCAGTCCATCTCGGCCTCGAACGGCGCCGGCACCTGCGACAGGCCGTGCATGATGAAGCCGCGCGCCCGGAAGTACGCCTTCTCCGAGTAGAGCGCCGACGGCAGCGCCGACTCCTCGGTCCCGTGCCGCACTTCGTAGCCTGCTTCGTCTGTTGTTGCTGCGTGTTAGCTGCTTGGTCTATGCTCTCTCTCTCTCTGTGTATCTCTCTGCTTGTGCCCAAAACTTACTGTAGTACGGCTCCTTGACCAGCACCAGCCCCAGCAACGACACCAGCACCTGCAGGATCGTGCTCTTGCCCGGGCTCCAGTTCTCGTTGCTCTCGTCGGCATGCCACGTGCCCAGCAGGCTGAGGCAGATCTTGCCGTCCTCGTAGAGATTTGGGTTGACGGGGCCGAAGCCGTTCGTCCAGCTGTGGAAGAAGGCGTCGGGCGCCGTGTTGGGGAAGTTGGAGCCTAGGTGGAAGTCGACGATGAAGGGCGCGTACTCGTAGGGCGTGTCGACGGGGCCGATGATGAGCACGCGCAGCAGGTCCAGCCGCGACTCCCACGTCCGCACAAAGATGCCCGGCGGCAGAGATGTGCGCAGGATCTTGTGCTCCTTCTGTATCCGCCGCATGCGCGCTTGCGACGTGTCGCTGTGGCTGTTGATGTACCGGTGGTCTTGCGGCGGCGTAGACTCCAGAATCGCGAATTGTTCGGGGGCGTCGGGGTACTCGGAGAAAGACTGCGGTTCGGCCTTGTTGTTTGCGCGCGCAGCTTCCGCGTCGGGGTGCTCGACAGCGGGGGCCTTTGCCTGTTGCTCCTCGGGCTGGGCCTCTGGTGTCGTCTTGGACGTATCGATTCCACCCGGTGCGGCATCGGCCATTGTGACATCGCCCTCGGCGGATGATGCATCCTCTTCATCCTCGTCGTCTGTAGCCCATGCTTCGTCCTCGTCGTTGCCCTCTGCTAGCACGCGCTCGCCGTCCTGACCGGGGTACTCGTACCACATCTCGACGAACGGCCCATCGTCACCAAGCTCCTCCATATCCTCGTCATCCATAAACTCACCGTCCGAGACATCATCCATTTCGTGGTCGTGGTCCATATGCTCATCAATGTCCGTGCTGTACGCCAGGATGACGCGCTCAACGGGCACTTTGATATCCCGCACAGGCTCCGCCGCGCCCAACCTCACAGTGAGCAGTCCGTCAAGGCCGAGATCGACAATCTCTCCGAACCAATCCACCGGGTTGTCGGCATCGTCCGAGCTTCCCTGGCCGGGAAGCGCATTGTCCAGAACAACGACGTAGTCTCCGCGTCTCCTGTTCAGGGATGTCGTCGTGCGGATGTCGTACAGACTGACCTTCTCCTCGGGCCCTGAGGCGACGCCCGTCTCAGAGCCAGGAAGCAAGTCGTTTTCCATGAACTTGACTGACGCGTCCGGGAACCATCTCACGGTGGCCATGCGATTGAGGCCGTCCACCGTTTGTACCACGCCCACCTTCGCCGGCTCGGTATACCATGCAGTCGGTTCTGCCTCGCCGTCGGGCGCAGATGCGCGGGGTTTCTTCTCGTTTGTGATGATGATTTCTCCGGGCCAGACCTCGTCCTCGTCGTCGACGTTCGGGTCCGGAAGGAGATTCGTGGCGGCATCTTCAGTGATGGACAAATCCTGCCACTGTACGACGGCCGTCGTGCGCGTGTCCTGAACCGTGAAAACGTTCGTATCAAAACCCAGCGTCTCGGTCCTCTGCTTTTTCGTGTAGTTGTACTTGACGCACGCCCCCGCGAGATCATTGAACCTCACCCTCTGGCCAGCAGTGAGGTCGCGCGACGTGCGCGACACTGACGCTGCCTGCGCGGGCGCGCCCTGCGGCGGTCTGCGCATGTTGTCGTAGACGTGGACGCGGCCGCTGTCGAGCTCATCCAGACCCAGCTCGGCAGGGGGCTCCGACGGGAAAGCACCCGGCATGGCCGCTGGTCCGCCCAGCCGCCGACTCAGCCATGCCACGCTGATCGACACGGTGCGCACATCCACCACGACGCCGTTGGGCTCCACGTTGGGGCTGAAGGCGCCAAACAGCCACCGCCCTCGCCGCAGGTTGCCCTTCTTTGTCCTGACAAAGTCTCCAATCTCGTGGCGCTCCAGCCGGGGGTCGACAGGCACCAGCTCGTCCTCGTTCTCGACGACGACGACAGTGCCGTTGCTCAGGCGGACGGAGACCTCGTCGTATGTGTCGTCGACCCTCCCTATCCAGTTGTCGTAGATGACCAAGCAGCCCTCGGGGTACTGGCGCACAGTATCAATCTCCTCGGCGGGCACGTCGGCGAGTATGCGTCCCGTGTCGTCGCCGACTTGGGTGTGGTAGGCCTGGCTGGCGCGGATGTCCTCGACCGAGGGCCACATGCGGACCGGGGCGACGCTGCACTCGAGGCGGGTGCCGATGACGGTGCCACTCATGTGGCTTCGGGCGCTGCGCTTGACGACATCGCCGACGAAGAAGCTGCGATCGAGTATCTCGAGCTCGGCCGTGGGCAGCAGCTCGGTGGTGAAGTCGGTCTGCCAGGACACGAGGACGGTGCCCTGGGGCGGCTGGGCGCACATGTCAGTAAGGATGTGGACGCGCGCAAAACGGGCTCGGAGATAGTAGGTACAATGCCGGAGCGCAAGAAGCGCTCAAAGTCGGCCTCGGACACATCCTTGTGGCGCTCAATCTTCAAGTTGTATTCGCGCTGCGGGTCGGGCTCGTGGGAATCGACCTTTTTCAAGTTTTGCACGCGTCAGTCAGCGGTGCGGGCGGCGGGGAAGTGTTGGGAAGCGCGCACATCGTGGAAAGTCCTCTGGGCGGGGAGGGTTAGCAATGGCAGAGAGACAGGCACTTCCAAACACTTACATCGACGACGCCGATCAGCCACTTTTTGGTGCGGAGGCGGCAGGTGTCCTCGACGCAGAGCTGCGTGGGCTCGGCCATGGTGCTGGTAGAGAGAGAAAGATGGCGTAAGGTAGATAGAGGCTGGGGGAAAAGAAAGGCAGAGCAAACCAAATTCCCGCCGCCGCCCGCCCGCGTTAACTCAACACATCATGGCCGACCCCCTCTACCATCTGTTGGTCGCGCCCGATAGTGCCGCCGCCACGGCCTACCTGAACCACCTACAAGCCCTCGACCTCGCATCCCTCTGCGACACGGAGCCGCAGTCGCTGGCCCAGCAGCAGGCCTCGACCAACCGTAGCCTGCAAGCCCTCTCCAAGCGCTCGCACAAGTCCATCATCGCCTCGTCGCAGCGCCTGGCCGACCTCTCGACCGCCCTGCCCGACCTTCAACGCGCAACCGCCGCCCTGCACCATGCCCTGCCGGAGCTGGAGACGGCCAGCGCCGCCTTCGAGCAGCGCTACAGCCGCTCCGCCGACAACGCCGTGCTCGACCGCCGGCGCAAGGCCATGCTGGTCGCGCGCAACATCGACCGCGTCGCCGACGTCCTCGAGCTGCCCACGCTGCTGTCGTCTGCCATTGCCGCCGGCGCGCCCGCTCAGGGCTCCGCTGCTGCCATGACGGCGACGACGTCCACCGCAAACTACACGGCCGCCCTCGACCTGCAGGCCCACATCAAGCGCCTGCGCACCCTGTACCCGGCCGTCGGCCTCGTCGACGACATCGCCAAGCAGGCCGACGCCGAGATGAAAGCCATGGCCACGAACCTAGTCGCCAGCCTGCAAGGCCCAGGCATCAAGCTGGCAGGGGCCATGCGCACCGTCGGGTGGCTACGGCGGGTGGCGCCCGAGCTGGACGAGGGGTGGAGCGGAGGCAGCGGGGGCGGATACTCGCGCCGAGGCGGCGGGGGCGCCGGCGCGGGCAAAGGCGCTGCCGCCAACGCCGAGGGCGCCCTGGGCGCGCTGTTCCTCGTCTGCCGACTGGCGAACCTGCTCAGCACGCTCGAGGCACTAGAGCCGCTGCGCGAGCTCGCGGACCAAGAGAGCGCGAAGCGCGCGGCTGGCGGCGGCGGCGGCGCGGCCAGGACGCCTTGGGCGGGTGGGCAGCAGACGGAGCGCTACCTCAAACGGTACATTGAGCTGTTCCGGGAGCAGAGCTTCGCCATTGTGTCGATGTACAAGAGCATTTTCCCGTCGGCGCTGCCAGCGCCAGGGAGCTCGGATGAGGGAGGCGCGGGAGCAGACGCTGGGGACGGCGCCGACGAGCCCGACAACTTGCAGCCGCTGCCCTCGGCGCTGGCGTCGTTCCCGCTGCACCTGGTAGAGTTGCTGGCTGAGACGCTGCGCGCGTACATGCCGAATGTGCGGGAGCGCGCGAGCCGCGACAGCCTGCTCACCCAGGTGCTGTACTGCGCGAACAGCTTGGGGCGGCTGGGCGGCGACTTTGGTATGGTGCTCGCGCTGTTGGCGGAGGAGCTGCAGGAGGAAGGCGAGGGAGGGGAGGGAGAAGGAGAGGATGATGAGGAGGAAGAGTGGGTCGAGGTCATGAAGAAACATCGCGTTCAGGCAAGTAGGCTGGAGCTGTTGGCGAGTGGTGTGGGCGCTGGGAGGACGGCGCAGGCCGCGGGCTGAGCTGAGTTGAGTTGAGTTGAGTTGAAGTGAGGGGGTTGTAGAGGCGAGACGGGGGCGCTGGTGTTCTAGCTGGACTGGTCGCTGTAGCGTCTCGAGAAACAGAAGAGAGAGAGAAAGAGAGAGGGAGACAGACAAACAGAGCGAGAAAACCGCTTCTCCCGCTCCCGCATCGCATTCACCACCCCAATAATAAAGCCATAGCTAGATATGTAGCAGCGCACCACCCCAATCTAATCCCCCCCAAACCAACCACTAACCACGCACTCCCTCCTCCCCTACATCCCTCTCCTCTCCCTCACTACACGCTCCAATCCGTCCCCCCCTCCCTCTTCTCACCCAAACCTTCACCCCCCTCCTCAAAAGGCCCCAAGCACTCCCCCACCAGCGCAAGCAGTTCCTCCTGCCTCGCCTCATCCAACCGCCCATCCAGCTCCTCCATCACAGTGTCCAGCTCGGCCAGCGTCCGCGGCCTCAAGTTCAGCACCATCAGCGCTTCGGGCTTCTCGAGCTTGAAGTCGGCGCGCTGCAGGCGGGTGAGGAACGTCGCGATTTGCGGCGCTGTGTACGTGGGGGTGGGCGTTTTGGGGTGGGTGAGGTGGGTGGTGACCTATGGGGGATGGGGGGCGTTAGTGCGTGTGGTGTGGGGGAGTTGGTGAGGGGAATGGGGTGCGGGTTTAGGGAAAGACTCACGTCCGTGAGAATGCGCTTCAGGTTCCCGGGCATGGGGCGCGCGCGCGCGCTGCCGTCGCTGCCGTCGTGCTCGGCCGTGAGCTCGCGCGTGATGGCGAGGACTTCGTAGTTGGAGAGGACGGAGGACTGTTTTTCGAGGATCTTCATTGTTGCGGTGGTGGGTGGGTGCGGGTGAGTATGGTGATGGTAGAGGTGGGTGGAAAGGTCTGGTTGGTCTTCTTTTTGTTGTTGTTCTTGTTGTTGTTAAGTACCTAGTTAGGTAGGTAGGTAGGTAGCTTGAGTGGGATAAGTGAGGTAGATGTGGTTTCTGCCCGCGCATAGAGTCAGCCTGCTTGTGTGTCTGGCAAGATGCCTGTACTGATGTGCTGTGCTGTGCTGACTTGGGGCGAGAAAGGTACTGCTGCTTTGGGACGACGTTGAGACCTGCTGGATTGGTCTGACGGGGTGTGTTTTTATGTTGTCCGCAGGAGCGGGGGATAAGAGATCGAGAGCGAAGAGGACAGATACAGCTGCGTTTGCAAATGAAAGGAAAGAACAGTATGACTCGAAGCAATAAAAAAGATTAAATGTCGTTGGGCGACGTTCGTGATGCAATATTGGCGAGCTGAAGGCGCCGCAGTACGCAAGTGCAAAGAGAAAAACGCAAAGAAAACCACAACTCACCTGCGCTATTATCATTCACTGTGCATTATGCTTGGACGCCGGTCACTTTCCTTCCGGCGCAGTTTTTAATTCTCAAGTCGAGAGTGTAGGCACGGTGCGGACTGTCACGTCTACCTACCAACCAAAATTCTCCCGCCCCGGCTTTTCTCCGGTTGCTTATGGTCGAGGGACCAGTGGTACGAAGGAGCTACATAGTATTGGGTAACCGAATAGCGAAAATCGACCGTACGCGCAACACCCCTACAACTCGAGGATTTCTTAGAGAAAAGTAAAGGGTTTAAGAGAAGACCAACGCAAAAAATTCTATAAGCTTATTTCTTTAAAAAAACTAATTTGTTGTGGTTCATCGCTCTTTTTCTGCTTCACCGTCTTGGTCGATTTTGGTGAGGCGAGGCCAACCAGGTCGTGGCCGGCTGGCGCGCGCGAGTGAGGCTTTGGTGCTGACACGACTAATTTATCACCAAGCCTGATGCCTGCTCCTCATCCTGCTTCATCGTGCACATCAAACATTCTTTGCACAAGCAACGAATTTAGCATCAGTAAATCCTCTTGAATTTTAGTCAATAGGCTCTTCTTTGATCTTAGGAGTAGGTGGGCGGGTATTTAATTTAGCTCTCTTCAGTAGCTTAAGGATTAAATCAATCATGTGTTAGCAGAGGGGCTAGACATAGACCCCAGCAAGGTAACAAGTCCAAAATAGAGATTGAACATAGACATAAATCGTCGTAGCACATCCAGTCACAGCAGAAAGGCCATCACACTCATCACAATATCACGTCACAGCATCACCAAACAAAAAATGCTAAAAGCCCGCTCGGCAGCACACGACACAGCGGGAACACACGCACAAAGAGGGCACAGAAAGACTCGATTGCAAGGAATGGGCAACGTTTAAGTACATCCCAGAAGCGCCAGCACAGGGCTTTCCCCCAGCCGCGACGCTCACGCGCCACGACTGGATTTCTTTCCCTCATAAGTGCCGGGCGCCAAGTTGGCTTTGTTCCTCGCATGTGTGCGCGCAAAACCCAAGACGTGCCGTAACGTACGTGTGTATATGTGTGGTTGGTGCATTGACAGACGTGCTTTGATTTCTCTTTTTTGTTGTTGTTGGCGAGCGTACACTTTTCCACCACCCAACCAAGAGGCGGAATAGTAAAGTTTTGACCTAGACCCTCCCCGTTTTTTTGCTTTCCGCTCCTGGTATCAAGACTGCTTCGGTGACAAAACGACCGCTTACCACTGAGCAGCGCCCTCGGCGGGGGCGGAGGTGTCAGCAGCCCAGCCCTGGTTGCCGGTCTCGGCGGGGCCGGTGCTGGCAGCCCAGTCAGCACCGTCCTGGTCCCAGGAGGTGGTGGCAGCAGCGCCAGCAGTGCCGGAGGCAGCGGCGAAGGCACCGGCAGCGCCGCCGGAGACCTCCCACTCGTTGGTGAAGCCGTCGGCAACGGCGGCGGCACCGACCTCGTCGGCACCGGGGACCTTGGCCTCCTCGATGTTGGCGGAGTCCTTGTTCTCCTCGGCCTCGGGGTCGCGGTAGAAGTACAAGTCGGTCATGACGTCCCACTCGGTCTCGCGGGTAGCGAGGGTGCCACGGAGGCGGAGGACCTCACGGGCCAGCATCCACCAGACGAGACCGATAGCGTGACGGCCCTTGTTGTTGGTGGGGATGGCAACGTCGACGTACTCGGTGGGAGAGTCGGTGTCGCAAAGAGCGATGACGGGGATGTTGACGTAGGAAGCCTCCTTGATGGCCTGGGCATCGGTGCGGGGGTCGGTGACGATGATCAGGCGGGGCTCCTTGAAGGAGCGGGTGATGTAGTTGGTGAAGTTACCGGGGGTGAAGCGGCCAGCAATGGCGACAGCACCGGTGTGGTGGGCGAACTTCAGGACGGCGCGCTGGCCGTAGGGGCGAGCGGAGATGACGCAAATGTCCGCGGGGTTGTCAATGGCGGCAATGATGCGGGCAGCCAGGACGATCTTCTCCCTGTGGTACGTTGTCAGACTCTGGTCTTTTTTGGAGCATTATTTGCGCGCCACTGCCGCGGTCTTCACGCGTTCTGGGCAGCGCGTTTTGCGCATACCGCGCCAGAAATGCGAAATCCACCAGCGCGCGCGCAATCGAGGCTCTCTTACCAGGTCTTGCCAATGTTGATGACGTTGATACCGTCAGGGCGAGTCTTCCACAGGTACGGCTCCATGTGGACCTGGAGGTTCTTGGAACCCAGGTGGGACTGGGCAGCCAGGAGCATCTCAATGTCCTGGCTGGTGGCAGCCATGCTGGCGGGGAGGTTGTTAGGGGCCATCTTGAATGGGTCGTCTGAGGAGGGAAGACGGCGTTGGGGGGGGGGGTTGAGGCAAGAGGTAGGTCGTGGTTGCTGGCGAAGGAAAGGGCAGCGAAATGTGTCGTGGGAATACCGTCTACGGCTCGCTAAACGGCCCAAATGCGGTATGGACCGACCGCGACGTCGGGGCCGAGCGCCGACCGGCGCATCGTTGTGCCGGCCGGGAGGCCATCGTCGGTGGGGCATCACCCACCCCACCTAGCTCTATCACCAACGAAGCAAATACACAACACCCAGTTGCTCGTATTTTGAGCGACACTGATAGCCAAAATACTACGGTCATGTGTGAAAACGGGAAGCATAGTCTTCGTTCTCGGCAGGTGTCTGTACGCTCTACATAGCAAGAACTTAGCTAGAGCTAGCAGTGGATGCATTCTACTAACTAGCAGAAGAAGGTCGATTCCGACTAATTTTTGGGTCAAGGGAACTAAACGAACAAGCTTTCCAGCATGCCAAAGCACCAGTCTAGCATTCCACCTGCTTGCGTCTCAGCATCGTCTCCGCGACGTTGCTCAAGGCACCTGCCACATTTGTCAAGAGCCCTTTCTCCATCAGTGCAACAACGGGAGCCACGATAGAAGACCCTGATTCAGCTTTAACAAAGAATCATTAAGCCAGGGCAGCTTCGTGACTCATTCCGGTTCTATTATCTGCATGTCTCGCAGTGTCTCAGTCTCACCACACCACGCACGGCAGCAAGACAACCACGACCACGATCACGATGCTATATGAAGAATCCTTTTCCCGCCCTCACATCAATGCAGACCTCAAGCACACGATCACCAATTCCTCAGCCACAAGCCAACCACGAAATCAATCCTCCACTCAGCCAATCACCACACCTCTAAAACCCACAACTACAACCACCATGCCCCAAAGCCAACAAGCCCAACCTCAAATCCCCACAGACCCGTATCTCCTCGCCGCTCTCGCTTTTATGGGTCTCGCTAGCTTCCTCGACCACGTCCAGACCGCCCACCAAACGGCGCACGACGAGCAGGCGCGGCAGATCACGACACTAGAGGCGCGTCTGGAGGCCGCAGCTGCAGACCGCGAGTGCGCGCGCCGCGAGCTGGGCGATGTGAGGGCCGAGTTGCGGGCGTGGGCTGCAGAAAACAGGGGTAGGGATCAAAGTGTGGATTCTGAGGAGGTTGATGAGGGGAAGGACGGTGTGCAGCAGACGAGTGGACAGGGTGGGAAGCCGAGGTGCTGGGCGAAGAGGTGCCGGGATGTACTGGGATGTTGGAAGGGGGAGAAAGCGCGGAGCTGATGGTTGGTTGGGCGAGAAAAGAGAGACACGCGCTGGTTAGTGAGGTGATGAGCTGGGGATGATGGTTGTGCTGCGGATTGCCTGGCGTTTTGGGTGTTTGGACTATGGTAGTTCGGAGGGGTTTTTGTTGAAGTGAACGTATACTTATGCGGGAATAAGACATTTGGAGCAGAGGATTGACCAAAAAAGATTAGAGAACAGAGTTCGGGACGAGAATAGTTCATTAGTGCGCAACGAGGTCCTAAAAAGTATAGTATCCGTGGGAACAACCATCTGGCAGCGGTGGAATTTCTATCTGTGTTAAAATGGTTTGTTATGTTGTCCATTATTTTGTCCAAACCATAAAAATAAAAAATAAACACTGACCCAAAAAGGAATCGGACTCATCTCCTCAGGCGTGCTCCCTTTTCCAAACTCTAACTCACTTGTCGCAGGACAGCCAAATTGGTGTTTACCCCTTGACCAGAACGCCTATTATTTGAATCAGGCGACTGAATCGCTGACAAGTTCGATGTTTAGGAATTGGATCCCCCTAATTATATAGTACATATTTTTAACAGAACAGGCCGGCAGGACACTCTTACCACGCTAGTGGCACACAATAAAGAAAGGGTTTCTGCGACCGACACTCCCCTGTGGATGGTTTTGCAGAGAGCTGTCAGCGAGGGCAATCCCATCACACGGCACTGCAGCATCAGTGATTGCTGGGATATAAAGTAGACGGACATGCGCGTCGATTGTGCATGTCGTCCTTTGGTTCCAACTCACTCCCTCTGCACAGCAATAGTACGCCTTGCGCAGCCACTCCGTCGACAACCACGATGATGACGAATTTCCTGACCGGGATCACCATTGACCCGGTCTAGCTCAACAAGGAGGAATGCAATAAAAGGCTCGTCTGTGCAGGATAGACGGCGAGCTTCCAGTACCTCTCAACGAGGGGATCACACTGCCAACTGCTATCTGTCGGGCCTCGATGCATGGCGAAATACGTCTCTTTCCTCCATAGGGTCGGGCTTGCTCTGCCCCACCGAACCTCCACTACCATGTAGGTAGATACCCTATCACATAGATAGATGCTCGTCTGATACGCCTGCATTTAATGCACAGTGACAATTAACATTTTTCGGAAACACTGCCACTCACCAAAGCGGGGACTTGTTCCTAGTCTTCTCCAACTACACATGCTAAACAGCAAAACCACGCAGCACAACCCAACAGAATGCCTACATGACGCGAACGTGCACATCCAGCCAGAATCCCCAGTACCTCCCAAGCTTCGACATGGTGAACAAAAGTTCCGCCAGGGAAGTGAGGAACCAATAAACGGAGCAAACTCATTTGCTGATAGTCAGTATTCGCTGCTAGCGAGCGACAAGAACAGCAAAAAATGATAAGCATGATGGTATGTGTGGTTGTGAGTGGGTCTCGAGGGAGAGAAACGTATGGTTTGTAACTAGAATCTACTTGGTTCTTTCTATCTGTATGATTCTGCAGGGCACCCCTTAAGAGTATCCATTGTGGAATTGGCACTGCCTCTTTGCTGGCTGGCTGGTTGGGGCTTTGGCGCCTGAGAGAGGATGTAGAGGATTTGGCATGCTGGGCATGGTTATAGTATCTGGAGACACTCTCGCTGTGTGTGGGCTAGAAAGACTGACTAACTCTCTCGTATTTGGGACCTGCAGCGCTCCCGCTACGTCCCAATCCTGTCGAACGCATTAACCTGCTTAAGGCTACTGACCCTCACGGTGGGCCAGCCGCGGCGGACACTCGCAAGCAAACGTGCTCAGTACTCCAGTTCTCTTCATTAATGATACCGTAGACGGCATATAATCCTATAGCTATATTATCAAACAGTCTATGTGTTATGTTCTTTGTTCAATCTCGTTAAATGCATCAGTGACGACCCTCTCGGGCAGTAGGAGTTGCGCGAGGAGCTTGACATAGCTGACGGCGACGGCGATGGCAATGGCAACGAATACTCAGTTGGCCAACACCAAGCACACGCGAACGACACCACCTCTCACCACAACACACACGCACGCCGAAACCGTACCCCAAGAACCCAGCACCCCGAAAGCCGAAGCCAGCACCAGGTCATCTAAGTAGCAAGCAAAAAAGCATAACCCATAACCCATAACACATCCATACCCTTAAAAGCGTAAAACAACGAACTATATACAACGAAAAGCATCTCTCCTTCCCCCCTCCCCCAAATACCCCCCCACCCTCACCACCATCAACACGTCTTCTCCCCCTCCTCATCAACGCCATAAAACCAATACTGCGCCGCATACGCGACCTCGAAAGCGCCGTCCTCGACGCCCTCGCACGAGGCAGGCTGCATCCCGCCGGCCGTCTCGACGCGGTATACGGCTCTGATGCCGCCGTCGCTGGTCTGGGCCTGGGCGCGCTTCTGCGTTTTTTGTTCCCCCTTACTCTGGCTCGCATCACTCGCCTTCTCCGCCTCCGCCTCCCCAAGAAACAGCCAATCGACGGCCCCCTCCCCGCCCAACCCCTTACACGCACCCACCGGCGCCGTTGCGCTCCCCTCCTTAACCCCCACAAACAAGACCCCGTCCCCCTCCCCCCCAGCACCAGCACCATCAAGCGCCCACATCGGGCTCGTCCCCCCCGCCCCGCCATACGCGCCAAAATAGTGCGTCCCAAGGCGCGAGGGTTGCATGTCTGTGGGTAGCAGCAGCTGCGCAATCAGGCGCTGCCAGACGGCGTCGGGGGAGGAGGCGGGGGCGAGGTGGTCGAGGCCGAAGAGGGCGAGCGCTAGGGGGGCGAGGGCGGGGGCGAGCGAAGTGCCGTAGGGGGTAAGGAGGAGGGGCGTGATGTCGTAGAGGGTTGCGAGGGCGCCGGCCGACGAGGGCGTGCTGGTGGTGCGCTTGGTGTTGTCGGCGCTGGAGGCGCACGTGTAGTTCTGCGTCCCGATGCCCAGGGCGATGTATTTGAGCTTGAGGCCTGTGGCGGGCTGTGGCAGGGTGGATGATGGTAGTGTCGGCGTTGTGGAACGCCGGGCTGGTGGGGGGATGAAGGGGAAGGGCGTTGCGAGGGTGGTGAGGAGGAAGATGGCCAGGATGGAGAGGAGGCTGTGCTGTTTGCGGGGAGCCATTATTTCTGCCTGTGGTGTGTGTATGCGTGGGTTGGTTTGTAGTCGCCTGGTTGAAGGGACAATATATTGAACGTGACCCGCTGTGAGGCTGTTATGGTGTCCACGCCCGGTATAGGCAATGCAATGGCGGCGGGTTCGCGGATCAGTCGGTTGTCCGGCTGTCTCCCCGGTTGTATGTGTCCGCGTGTCGGATGCCTGGTGCCAGCTGTGCTGCTCTACCTATCCAGCAACGACGGAGTTGTCGGCCGTCCAACGCTCAGCCCTCTCAGCAGCAGCGACACGTGCAAGAGCGTGGCACACGGGGGGACGAGCGCTTAGAGACTCTGCAATGCAGAAGCGGAGAAAGAGTAGAATGAGTACGGAGGAGGAGAGAAGAGATGGAAGAGAGAGAGAGATGCGGAAATGAGAAGACGAAGAAGAGCTGCGCTTCTTTTTCGTTGCTGTCCTCCCGCCACACCTTCATATATCCCCAACCTCTGCACGACGCAGAAAGCAGCAGCAGACGCAGCATGCACACCCCTGCCCCTGCTCTTTTCCTCTGCACACCCCCAACCGGGAGCCAAGACCTAACAAAAAAAGTTTCCTTCCCCACCAGCGTCTGTCCACGCCGCCAACACTTGTCTCTCTGCATCTTCCCTCCACACCTGACAAGTCGACGTCCTCAACAACAGCGCCGCAGCAGTGTGCGCGTTGGTGGCACGGCCAGCCAAATGATCGGTCAGCCACCCGCCATGCACGCTGCCGCTAGTCCCGCCGTTGTGCGACGCGACGCGCTGAGCCGCGAGCGCTTAGAGAGATGAGCCCGTCTGCCGGCCGCTGACGCTGCTGCCGACGTGCCGCGTTGTCCGGGCGTTGCAGGAGTAGGAGGAGGCAGGTACAGTAGGTAGGTGCGACATAGCTAGGTAGCTTTGCGCGCGCGTGTGGCTGGCGAGGGCGTGGGCGGCGTTGTTTGTCCTGTTGGCGGCGAGGACCACCACGAACACCACCACCAAACAACAAACAACCTCTCGCCTCTCCCCGCTCGCCCGTTCACTCTCACCACCACCGCAATCCCAAAATAACATTAACGCCCCGGCCGCATCCCACATTTCCGACCCACTCCCCAGCACATCGCGCGCCCATCATTCCTCCGTGAAAACGACCCGTGAAGCGATCCTCAACCAGGACCTTACCCTCCGTGGCTAAAAATAGCCCGCCGTGCCCGCAACCCCCATCAATTCCTCTCATTATCCATCTTTCTGCATCGCTGGCCAGAAGCAGTCGCCCGCATCTTCCTCGCTACACATTTCCCTCGCTACGCTGCTTCCTCGCTACGCTCGCCCGCACTTGCTTTGACCCGCCGTGCCCGCGCACGCGAGAGAGCGAGTCGAGGCGCCAACGCGTGGTGTGCGGATTTGCCGCTTTGGGCAGGTGGGCGCGGCCGGCGGTGGCTGTCGCGTGCGTGGTGTGTAAGCAACGTACAGTACTCCGCACCTAGGTATCTACGGAATGAACGGGTAAGTAGGGACATGCGTGCGCGGTGCCGGATTCCGGTGACGCGAGGTGGTGGACGTACCTGGGTAGGTACTCACGGCTGCCCCGCGGCACCGCGACATCGCATCGCATCTTTCTCGTGATGCTTGATTAGCTGGGCACAAGGTCTGGGCTCTTTTTTGCGCGCTGCTGTGGCGTTGCGCTGCCCTGCGCCGCTGCGGCGCTGAGTGTTGGTGTGTGTGTGTGTGTGTGCGGGGAGAGTGTTGGTGGACGGCGCGGCACGGCGTGGTGCTGAACAGAGGCGCGCGGTACATAGATACATAGATACCTACCTAAGGTATAGACACTTGCATGCGGTGGTTGTGTTGTAGACGGCGCAGGCGGCGTGGGCGGTGTGGGCGGTGTGTATACGTGTGTGAACGTTAGGGAGCAGAAACAGGAAAGGAAGGGTGGGGAGAATGGGGTAAGTGAGCGGTATATCCAGCTCCATACCTAGATCCAAACATCCAACCCTCCTACCTCGCTCCTCACTACAGAGACAGCACCTAGGTAGGCAAAGAAAGAAGCGCAGCAACGCCCGCTTGCACCCCTCTATTCCCGGTCCAAGCAGAAGCCGTGCTCCCATAGGTACCTTAACCCAACTCTGCTCACAAAGACGAGCTCGACGCGGGTTCCGTACCGTACCCATCGGCATCGACGTGCAGAGGCAGGCAGAGTCGTGCTGGACCATGACGCTGTCTCTGCCTTCCAATGTAGACCGCGTCCTAAACCGATTCGTGATGGGAAGAAGTGCGAGCAGGTAGGTTCGCGGACTGCTGCGTTGGTTGCGTAGGTGGTATGGTACGTGGGATGTGAGACGTCTTTTTCGGCGGTGCATCCGGGGCGTTGAGATAGGTAGTGTAGTGTGGTGTGGCGGCGGTGGAAGCAGTCATATAGTGACGAAGTAAAACCCAGCAAGCACTACCTTCCCCTATTCTGTAAGACACAGACATTGCTGCAGCAGCTGAGCTAAAAGACAACGAACTTGATGCCGGTGGCAAATAGCTGCCGATTGGTAATAGCAGTGAAGACACACGAGGGTCCGGAGAGGAGTTGATATCGGAAAATTCGAGAAAAGGGACTTCCATTTCCATTGTTGTAAGCGCGACTTACCCAGCAGCATGCAAGGGTATCCGTGACCTTTGCTGTCACGCTCTGTTACTATTGTCTACGGTATAAGTGATAGAGGGACGGAGAACGAAGCTTTTTTTGTCTTTGTTGTTGTTGTTGTTGTTGTTGTGGGACGGGACGGGACGGGATGGAATGAACTTGGTTCTTGGGGGCCTGCGACTTCTTTTGTGCCGTTTCTGATAAGGGCTTGCGTGTAGGTTTGAGGTGTATGCAGCTTGTAGCTTGTTGGTTTGAAAGAGATGTCGTGTAGTAATCATAATCCACTAAAGAAATCTAGAGGATAAGAGAATCGGAAGTTAAGAAAATTAAATACCAAGTTAAAGAGTAGAAGATCTGGAGATCGGTTGAGACGCAGGTCCAACAAGAAGACAGGCATCCGGCACATCCTCACCTACCCTAACCACACCCTCACCCATCACAGACACCCCATCCCAAAACAAAGCACAAAATCATACAAAGTGCATTAAACAACGTACCTACCTAACAATACAAAAACCCAACACCACAACCACGCTCTAAGCCTCCCCAGTAGGTACCACAACGCCGGCCCCACACGTCGGCGGCCCGGTCCCCGGCTCCACCGTCCGATTCGGCGGCGCGCCCTCGACCGTCTCCGCGCGCACAAGCACCGGAATCACGCCCCCGGTCGCGAGCGAAAACTCGCGATGGCCGACGGCAGCCAGCAGCGCGCGGATGCTGCCCGAGTGGCTGGTCAGGGAGACGACGTCGTTGGGGTCGTGGGCGAAGATGTCGTCGAGGAGGGTTTTGAGGCGGAGGACTTGCGCTGTTGTGTGTGTGTGTGGTGTCAGTTTTGTGACGGGGAGAGGGATAGGATTGTGGGAAGGCTGGACAAGGAGCTTGGGGATGGGGATGGGGACGGGAAGTCAGCGTACCAGACGAGCTCTCCCGCACATCCGCCTTCCACAGCGGATCCTCCTCCGCAAACCCCTTCTCGATCTCCCACGCGGGATAGTTCTCAGCGATCCAGGTCCTGCTGCTCCGCCGATCGCACGTATGAATGCCAATAGTCTCGCGCAGAAGCTCCTTGACCGTAGGACTAAACGGGCTATCCTCCGGGAGCTGCAGGCCCGCAAACGTCGTCTCAGCCGTCTGCAGACACCTTGCCAAAGGACTGACATAGTAGCTCTGAGGCGCCAGCGCACCAACCTCGGGCCTCAGCGCGCGCGCCCAGAAGTCGTGCGCGACGCGCGCCTGCGCGATCCCCGTGGGCGTGAGCTTCGCGTCGGCCCAGGTCGACGTCTCGTTGCCGTCGCGCAGGCTCCAGTAGCAGTCCCATGCCTCGGTGCCGTAGAACGCTTCGGCGACGTTGTGCGCGCCCTCGCCATGCCGCCCCGCGAAGAACAGCTTGTACGCTACGTTGCTCGGCGTCTGCGCTTGCAGGTAGTTCATGTACGAGTACAGGCGCTGCCATTGCGTCGTGCTGGCGTTGGAGGACAGCGCGTCTGAGGGGTAGGTGCGGTTGAGGAGACCGAGGTTGCTGGTTGCCTGCGTGGGCAGCGTTAGCGGAATGGCTTTGGGTTTCCTTTCTTCAGTGCTATTGTAGTTAACGAGTTAGAGAGGGAAGTGCCCTACGTAGTCGAAATTGGACGCGTCCGTTGCGGGGTCGTCTTGCGCAAAGATGCCCGTCACCGTCGTGTAGTTGACGTACCGGGTCGCGTTCGCGCCGCGGTATGCCACGCCCGCTTCGGCTTCGTGCATCATGAACAGCAGCGCGAGCACCACGGTGGTGAAGAAGAGGACTGGACTACGCGGCATGGCGGACGAGCGTCAGAGAACCAGGCCCACCAAGACAAAGTGTGCCACTTCGGCAACGAGACGGGAGAGAGGGGGAGAGAAGAACGGAGCAAGAGAGAGGGACAGAGAGAGGGACAGAGAGAGGGACAGAGACACAGAGACAGAGAAGCAAAAAGTGACCAAACCGCACCGCACCGCCAGCCAGCACAAGCCGGGATTTATACCTCCAGCACGATCGTTGACCGTAGCATGCGGCAAAAAAAAGTCGTCACCCCACGCTTCTTTCATCAACGTGCTCATCACCATCCCCTGCGACTCCGCACATCACCTCCTCGAAACTACCAAACCTCCGGCCTGAACCCAAAACACACCCGGCGCCTGAATCGGGCAACGGCAGGTAGCCGAGGGGAGGCGAGCACAGCGAGCGAGCGAGCGAGTCCCACGGGAGCAGCGAGCCACGTGCGAGCCCGACAAGCCCACCAAGCCGCTGAGAGGAAGGAAAGAAAAAGCAAAAAGGAGTGTGCACAAGAGAAAGGAGGCAAAAAGACACAAAAAAGGCAAAGCAAACCCACTCACACAACCTCAACCTCGCACCCCCTCGCAACCCTAACTCTCGCGCCTTTGCGTCGCAACAGAGCAGGGCAGAGCATAAACGTCGACCGGGTAGGTACAGACAGTACAAGACTCGCTCGATCGATCAAATCCCGATCGTTGGTTCTGTCGATAAATTGTTCCTCCGTTGGCCGTACCTCCTACCACGGGGATGATGCGCGCAACAAGCTCGATGATGACGACGACCGCCGCCGGACCTCGCGGATGCGACCCGCCGCCGTGGTGGACCTCGGGCACGGGAACGCGAGACGGCGTGCCGAAAGGGCGGCGGAAGGGCCAATGACTTCAGAACGTGGCCCTGCCCTACTGTACTCGCTACAAGTACCCTCCTCTGCAGATGAAGACCGCGATCTACATGCCGCCCCCTGCTGCTGGGGCTGCTCTAAATTGTACTCGAGTACCTAGTTAACTTTAGGCATTCATATCACTGAATTCGTCTTTCATTCACAGTAGTCACGGCGCCGCGCGCCATGCCATACACTCACAGCGCGCGCTCAGCAATCGTCAATCGAACCCGACGTCGGAACACAGCTCTCTTTTCTCTAGTGCGAAAACACCCCGCCATCCGCCCACCGCGTCTACTGCTACCTCCCCACAACTAGCACTTCCCCACTCCCTCCTCTCCTCAAGATCACGTCCGAGAAAAAGACGGACTCGCTTGCTTCCGAAATTTTGGGGCCCAGGCCTGCCTGCACTGCTGCACGCAAGAGAGGGGCCTAACCATCCCAACCCAACGCCGGGCATGCTTTCGTGAGAAAACCAAATCCACAAGGCACACAGCAACGACCCCTCTTCCAGCGGAAAATTATCCTCTTTTTTTTTCCGCTCGCGAAGCCCTCCTCCACAGCTTTCTTCCATCCAGCAGTCCGCTCATCATCTCACTACCCCCTCACTCGTAAAAGAAATCCTTGGGTTTTGATTTCTTACAGGTTCGCCTGCTGCTCCCTCTCCACCTCGTACAGGAAGTCAAAGTACGGCTTGTCGAAGTGGTGCACGCGGACGTAACCGTCCTCACCACCCGAGCAGTATCCAGTGCCCTTGGGGTGGACGGCGACGTAGTTGAGCGGGCCGAAGTGACCACGCACACGTCCAATCTCCTCCTCGAAGATCTTGTGGTAGAAACGCGCTTCGAACTTGCCCTGGCGGGCCGATGTCGTCGTGACATCCATGGCGGCCTGACCACCACCCAGGATGACAAAGTCCTTGACCGGCGTGAGGGCAGCAGAGTTGAGCGGAGTGTCGGTGACGTAGGTGTGCAGAATTTGGAGGTCGTCGGTCGCGATGAGCTGGGGTTGCCTGTTAGTTTCGCGTGTAAATCTGAGGAGTGCATGCGGCGGAGCATACCTTCGCGGTCTTGTCCTTGGACGACGTGATGAAGTACGACCGGTCGGGCGCCCACTGCAGATCGGTGACCTGCATGTCAATCTCGTGGGCCTCGATGAAGTTGAGCTGATCGCCAGTCTGCCATACACATTAGCTTCGAGCCCCATGCACAGACAGACGCCCAATTCGTTCTCACCTTCGCGTCGTACTGGCTGACGGTGCCGTCCTCGTGGCCCGAGATAATGTACTTGGCGCCATAGCTGAAGCCGGCAACCGTCGCCTTGGAGTCCTCGCATATGATGCGCAAGCTGCGCTCATTCGTCTGCTCCGCCTCGGGGTCCGGGTTGATCTCGTAGACGACAATCGTCGACAAGTGGCCGCTACGCTTCTCCGTCACGCCGAGCAGCTGCCTGCCGTCGGGCGAGAACTCGACGCGCTTGATCGACGTCTCAAACTCCCACGTCTTCAGCAGCTTGCCCGTCTTCACCTCCCACAGCCGCATGGTGTTGTCGGCTCCGCCCGTCGCCAGCAGCGTGCTCGTCGGGTCCACGTCGACCGTCCATAGCGCGCCTACGTGCCCGTGATACGTGCCCAGCCGCTCGCCGTTGGCGCTGAACCACGCGCACACGACGTGGTCCTTGGACACGGAAAAGATAATGTCGCCATCCGGGTTGTACCTTTGGGGAGTCGTCGTCAGTACCGATCGCGAAGAAGCCTTCTTTCGAGCACGTACTTCACCTGCGTCAAAGCACGTTCCTGCGGCGCGCGTCAGCAATTTCGCTCTTTCTTGGTGTCTGCCGGTTCCTCGGGGTGCGACTCACGTGGCCGGAAAGCAGAATGGGTCTCATGGTGGGCGATGTGGATGTGGTGTTGCCTGGAGGATGCTCGCCGTTCAAATGTCGAGCCGCCGCCGAAGTGGGATTTCGCCGTGGGCCACGCGGGATCTTATCTAATCACCCATCTGGCCCAACACGGCAAGCGTCTTCCGCCTCTGACTCCGGATGATTCTTTATGACTCCTCTCCATCCTTGTCGCATTACAGTCAAAATCAACCCAGTCAGAAGCATAGCCACGCATCCAGCCAGCCACGGACTCTTGTTGAAATATTTCTGTATCGTCGTTCATGGTATATAACTGAAACCCCAACTATGTTATGTTACACATGTACACCAGATTCATCATCATCCTCTTCTACGCTTAGCGAGAACGCTCGTCACCTTCATCCAATGCAAGATTTATTTACAACTTCTCCTTGAGGCCCTGCTTCAGCCTCCTCTCGACGGCCTCGAGGTACTTGGACGTGACGACCCACGCCTCCCTGTCCTTCCTGCCGCACGCCAGCGCAAGGTCCTTGGTCATGATGCCGTCAATGTCGACGGTGTCAATGCAGGCCTTCTCCAGCGCTTCGGCGAAGGCGACGACCTCGGGCGTGCCGTCCAGCTCGCCACGCTTGGCCAGACCGCGGGTCCAGGCGAAGATGGAGGCAATGGGGTTGGTCGAGGTCTCGTTGCCCTTCTGGTGCTCGCGGTAGTGACGGGTGACGGTGCCGTGGGCGGCCTCAGACTCGAAGGTCTTGCCGTCGGGGGTGATCAAGACAGAAGTCATCAGGCCCAAAGAGCCGAAGCCCTGGGCAACAATGTCGGACTGGACATCGCCGTCGTAGTCTGTCGTCTGTCAGCTCATGTCCGCTGATATGGTGCTTCAATCTCTCCATGGCGTTTTCTTTCATTTCCGAAACCGGAAACTAAAGAAGGGTAGCGGGAACTTACTCTTCATGGCGATGACGAAGCCGCCGTCGCTCTTGATCATCTGGGCGACCATGTCGTCGATGAGACGGTGCTCGTACCAGATATTCTTGGCCTCATACTCCTGCTTGTAGTCCTTCTCGTAGATCTCCTGGAAGACGTCCTTGAAGCGGCCGTCGTACTTCTTGAGGATAGTGTTCTTGGTGCTCATGTACAGAGGCATGCCCTTGCCCAGGGCGTACTTGAAGCAAGCGTGCGCGAAACCAGAGATGGACTCGGTGGTGTTGTACTGCGTCTGAGCGACACCGCCGCCGACGGGGTAGTTGAAGACCTCAATGGTCTCGGGCTTGCCGCCCTTGGGGGTGAAGACCATCTCAAGCTTGCCCTCGCCGTCCATGACGCGGTCCTTGGCACGGTACTGGTCACCAAAGGCGTGACGGCCGATGATGATAGGCTGCTTCCAGCCGGGTACGAGGCGAGGAATACGGGGAATGACAATGGGCTCACGGAAAACGGTACCGCCACTGGGCCAAATTAGTTTCGTTCCTACTGCTCGCGCCATTGAATTTCAAAACTTACAGCTGGTTGCGGATGGTGCCGTTGGGCGACAACCACACTGGAATGTTGGTAAGCTTCCGCAATCTGAGATATAATTATGCAGTGCCCTACTCTGCTTGAGGTTGAACTCCTTGACACGCCCCTCATCGGGAGTGATGGTGGCGCACTTGACACCGACGGAGTACTTCTTGATAGCCTCGGCGGCATCGACGGTGACCTTGTCGTTGGTCTCGTCGCGGTACTCAAGGCCCTGCATTTATCAACAACCATTTTTCTCCATTGTATTTATCCATTGGACGTACCAGGTCGTAGTACTTGAGGTCGATGTCGAGGTAGCTTCAGAAAGGTTAGGCGTCTAGCTTCACGGAATTGCGCTTGTGTTGTACTCACGGGTGAATGAGCTATACAGAGCCAGGAGTTAGCAGATCTGAAGCTTGAACGAGAGGTCCCACGCAAGAGCATACCTTGTCCTTGATATCCTTCCAGATAATCCTCGTCATCTCATCGCCGTCCAGCTCGACGACTGGGTTCTTGACCTTGATCTTGGAAGCGCCCGTCATTTTCCTGAATTGTCCGGCGACACCGAGTGCGGAAGCGGTTCTTAAGTTTGCGCTGGAGGCAGAGAGGAGACCAGAGGCCAGACGAGAGGAGGGCGAAGCTGCAGAGGACGCGACACGGAGCGGGGACCTAGCAGCGCTGAGGGAGGCAAAGGTTCTGGAAGAGGAAGAAAGAGCGGCGCGGTAAGCTCTGGAAGCAGCTCTGGAGGAGAAGACGGAAGGCTGCATGGCGGGCTAATAAGAGGGATTGAGATGCCGAGGTGGGGTTCTTGGTCTCGATTTAGCAGGGCGCACTTCTAGACACAACCACGCGAGCAATGACTGGCAGACGGATCTGGCGCCCGGGAATATCAGAGTCGGCTGGTTGGTTGCCAGCCGGTTGGCGGTACGTACATGGCTGCGGAGAGCGGTGCGGCGCGGATGAACGGCGGATGACGCTTGACCGAGGTAGCGCTGCGGCTAAAGTGATGCGGCTTCCTTGTGGCCTTGCGATTCGTGCACAGGGTCTGGAAGGCTGAGAACTGAGTGATGCGAGTTTGGATATAGAGCTGCCGTTGACTTGTCGACTCACTGGGCGCGCCTTGGGCTAAGAGGCATGGGAAAAATATATGGTGACCACCGCGCGCCCGATCTCGGGCTTTCGCGCGTCACCGCCCGCTCTTCCGCGCCACCGATGTGGCTATTTCAACTTCATCTCCTTTGCAATTACGTGCCCCCATGCCTGATAACGCCGCCAATCTCGTAAAAATCGGTCATTGACATGATTAACCCTTCACCAATGCCTTTTCTACCGCGTGGGACTGGCGCGCCGACATGCGACGATGATCTCCCGCGGAAGAAGGCATCTCGTACCTGGCTAGACAGACGCCTCCTGTGAGGTGCAGCAGATCCTGCTATAACAAAGGATGATATGCTTCTGAGCCATGACCTTGGTGCCGCTCTTGTCGATCAGGGTCGCAGATGCGGAAGTCAAGAGCAGGGTATGGGTAATGGCCAAATCAAGTCGTCGTATCACCTTGGAGGATGAGGAGGTACCCGGTAGGTGATCATTCTGTTACTGCTGTTGCTGCTGCTGCTTTTTCTTATTAAGGAAGACCGTTCATCTCAAATCAAACTATCTCAATTGCCCTCGGTTCTTGTCCCTTGAAAATCTCCAAATCCTCGTCGCTGCCACCAATGCCCACTCTTTTATAACGCTCCTTACACCCCTCAACGGCAACCAGCACGAGAAAGCAATCTTGGGTGGGCAAGGAATCCCACTTCGTTTGGCCAATAAGTAGGCAAAACAGTTCCGCGCCTTCCAATATCTGCTCGGGACCCTTCGCCACCAGAGAATAATCGGCATTAAAAGTAACCGCGCGGCATTTATTCCTGTGAGCGAAGGCGACGCCGTAGCGCTCAGCAACCCCATAATTATATGGATTAACTGAAAGCCATGTGCTGAGCAAAGCCCCTTTTAATTTAAGGCATCCTGAAATGACTTCCCCGAAAGAATTGCTATCAGCATACTTGCAGTATGAGCCCGAAAGGTCGATTGCCAAACAATCATTTGAAGTAAACCCGTCTGGTTCATTTCTTACAGCGTATTCGATGCTGCATTGATGCTCGTGCACAATGCGTGGTTGCGGGGTCCAAGTCGGCGAGCATGGAGGCGTATCAGAGTTATCCCGCAAGCGTTCACCAGCCAGCTCCCAAGCCAGGGCTCTAGGGAGATCGGTAGCCCAAATCCCAGCAAAGTAAAGGCCACCAATCGTATTCTGAAGCCTTGACGCAATGCCAGCCAAGGCAAACGGCCAGTCTGTCGCCTTGGTAAGCCGCAAATTGCTGTATGATTGGACAGTCGACAGCCAGAAGTCCAGCGCAGCTTGCTGGGAGCAGCCCTGGTGCAAAACGTTGCTGAACCGTTGCTTGACGGCCGGTATTGCGCCGTTGTAGCCGCCGCATTCGCAGAACACGCTTGCTCTGCATTCCCACACTAGTTCGGAGGCGCAGAAATGGAGCGTCCGCGGAGACAGTGAACGTTCCTGAAATGCTCACCCTCTTTCGAGCAAGGGGCAATAGGGTGATATTTTCGTGAGCCACTCATGAGATTGTCGCAGTGATAGTCGAGCCGCTATGCCGTCTTCTACTTCGTGCGATCCTACGATGTTGGTGGATCCGTTAGGTTCGCTTGGGTGCCTTCTGGCAAAGAAGCAGCCGTACGAGCTGTCTGTAGCAGCGGTAGCTGCTAGGTTTAAATAACCGTGTGAGTAGATGTCTGCCATTTGGTATGATTGCTCCTTCCAGTCATCATCATCGTCTTGAACGATGCAGAGTGAGTCTATCCAAATAAACTCGCACCCGATAAGCCTGGTGAGAGTGATCGCGTCCTGGAATGTCCGAGGAAGCTCTGTCCAAGGGATATCCTGGCATCGATGTCGATAAGTGTCACGGGATGTCGTCAATGGCGTTTTACCTTGCTCTCCTGCCCCCCAGCAGTGGCTCAAAGTGATATAGCTGAGAACTTTATATTCGCTGCTGTCGATCAACCGTATCCGAGTGCCAGAAACCTTAAGAAGACGCTTGGGCGGTTTGCTTGGCACACCAGTTGAGCAAATCCTGTGTTTGCTGTTGCATATTTTGAGCCATTTTCTCACAGAGATGAGACAACGAGCCGAATCCAAAATAGTCGGGACCTCCCTCGAATCCGATGCTCCAAAGGGTGTCGTTGGAGAGTATTCTATACAAAGTAAGTACAATAAATCAATTTGTATGCTGCACGGATTAGATACCTCGTCTGCCAAAGATCTCTAGACCGTAGTCCCTCCAAAGCGAAAAGGACCATCTGCGACGAACATATGACATGGCGTCGGAAGCACCTGAAAGATACACTATCCCAACGCTTCGATCAGGGCAAACTTCAACCGACAATGCCCAGTCTTTCTGCAGCGATCCCGTGCCTCTTTTATAACCACCTCCAACCAACATATCACCACCTACTCCCGCTACAGTCTTTTCATCAGCTTTCCACGCCCTCCCAGCCCCAAAGTAAATACCAGGAAATGGTACCAAGCTATCTTTCGGAATTTTAGTTATTTTGGCAACATCCCAACGGCTCTCAATTCCTTTCTGCAAGATATCGCACAGCCTACAGCCGGCAGCCGAACCAGACTCAATGGTAGCGCATGTCTTTGTTTCTGCTCGATCCCTCTCTGAAGAAATCGTAGCGGAGGTCGAGGCAGATCTGGCATTTCGGGTTTGAAAGCTCTGATACGGATTCTGCCATCGTGGCCGCAGCAGCGCGTCGCATATATTCCGTGTGCTTTGTACGTGGTCCGTAACCGAGGGTGAGAAATGCATCAGAAGTTGTTATAAGTCGAGTCCTTCAGCCTGACCCCGCACACCGAGAGTTGCTGACAACAGTTGCCAGGCTTGCTTGCCCTTGCGATATTGCCGACCATCCACAGTGGCTGTTTCCGGCAAGGCGCCGGTGTATACGTGTGCAGCTCCTAGCGTGTCAATTTGGAAGGGTGGCTTATATTCATGTAAGAACATGCCTATAAAAAATCATATGACTTACTTTCTCTATTGGATATTTCGTACCTTTATACCATTACAATACCTCACCTACACAACACATCTACGATAGTACAGCCACCCCAACCTACTCACAGCAGCACTGACTACAACAAACTACAGGACCTAATCTCAGCACCGGCATCAAAGATACAACAAGCACAAAGAGCGCAGGCAAGAGCACAAGCAAGCACTGGCGGGCTGACCTGCCACCCTAACAGGCAGGCACCTAGGAGTAGTTTCGCCTCAGAAGTTAGAACCAACGCATACTCCGCCGCACCGTACGCCTACACGACTACTACCGGTCCCGCTGCCTTCCATTTCTCTCTTTAGCAGCTCCCTCCGCTTTTGTTCGATTTCTCGTTCTCGACACTCCGTCTGCCAGCCCCTGCTTTCAGCGCGCTGCGTAGGGTAAGCGCCTATTACTCCCCCGCCAGCGTATTACACAACTAGCCCTTTTTCACCCTAGTCGTCCTTGGACGAGGACATACCGTATGCACCAACCCGACCAAACCTGACCAAACTTTTTAGCCAAACCTAACCAACCCGAAATTTTTCTCTTCCTTTTCTATTCCTTTCTTTCCCGTTTTCCTTTTCCGACATCACTGCGGTCCGCTATCGTTGTCCAGAATCGTCCAGATCAACTGGTCGTGCGAGCTTGAACGTTGTACCCAACGAGACCGCTCACTCAGTCTTTTCCCGCCGTGTTTATTGCTCCATCAGCGCCGATTTCGAGCTTCTGCGCTTCCAACATGTGATGTTGTCGTCGTCATAAGCTCATGCCATACCCTCCACTCTCCTCAGCATTTTCCACCTTGCAACTCCCACATGGGTAGCCTTTCCTCTAATGACTATCCCCCGGAAAAGACAAGAGGGCCCCACACGACGAGCTGATGGTTTCCAGAACCTGCGCTCGTGTATCCGTGTCCGGTTGCGCGTGTGCATCTATGGACTTCCTACGCATCTATCCACACCCTTGAGGAAGGGATTGGGTGATGCAATGGAGAGCGTTTCTACCTTACCAGGCAGGACTGACTGGCCGGACCGAACAAGATTCTCACGTTTTCCTTTCGAGGACGACAATCCGATGGGTAGCAATACCCGAGCTTCGTAAAATAGGTCGAGTAGGTATAGAGCGACCCTGAGCGTGAGCGGACGGACGGACGGACCGGGCCACAACCGGGGGGGTGCGGAACGGGCCGGGGCCGGCACGGCGGGAGAGGGACGTGCTTTTTGAGCGCCGTGGCCTACTAGCGCCGTCTTCTCCGACATCTCCGTCTCTCGTCTTCCCCAGCATCCAACACGGCGCAGTAACCTCACGCGTCCCCTTCACGCGTCCATCCCCTTTCGTATCCCCCGCACGTCCAAATACCTGGCTGACTCTGCCAGCGCGCTGGCAAGCGCGCACATAACCCTCCCGCCTCCGTCTCAGTCCCACCACAGCACCGAAAATGTACCCGCTGCGTCTCCCGACCGCCGCGCCCCGTCCAGCTTGGCCTGCCGTCCCCACCCGTATGGCTCGTTCAGCAAGTCTGACAGCTTGCGCACCGTCGTCACCAGCTCCGTGTCCCAGCCCAGCGGCTGCTGCTGTTGTTGCTGGTTCTGTACACCGTCGGAGTTGGGATTTTGGTAGCCAGCGAGCTGGGGCAGGGGTGGGAAAAGGCCGGTCATGTGGTCGGCATGGTGGTAGCCGTCGCTTGGTTTGCCGTCTGCGGCGGCGGGGAAGGAGAGGTTCGGGAGGCGGCCATCTACGGGGGATTGAGAGGAGTCGTGGGGCGCATTGTCGGTGTTGGCGGAGTTGTTTGTGGTGGTGGTGGTGGTGGTGGTGGTGTTGTTGTCGTTGTTGCTGTCGTTGTTGCTGGAGTGGATTTTGGCGGCGATTGCTTGTTGGTGCTGGCAAAGGGAGTCGTAGAAGGGCTTGATGAGCTCGAGGTGGTTCGCGGAGACAGGTTCGGCGTCCGCGCATATCGACAGTATGTCCATGCACGTCTTCGCATGCGACAGGTCCTCGATGACGGTGCTGAGATCCTGGTCAAGCAGCTGCTGAGAGATGCTGAGGAGGACGACAACGCAGGTGTGAAAGGCCCAATATCTGTGTGGCGTCAGCCTTTACATCAACGGTACGCGGGGTAGATGCGACTTACATCATCAACCAGCACCGCTTCGTCATATTACCGTTGTTGTTAAAGCTAATTAGCGCCATCATGCGTACCATTTGCTGCGCCGCTACAGAGCATTTCTGGCGGTAGTGCTGAGTTTGCGAATACGACATTTCAAGGTGCCAGGTGCTTTGTATGCGGTTCTGCGAAGAAGTGAGCATCAACTGCCGATAAAGCGTGATGACGGCGCCGAGGTAGAACATATGGACCATCATAATCGCTCTTCGCTGATAGAACGTGAGGATGGACGACTGCTCTTCGCTGGTGAGAGCTGCAAGATGCATTATCGGCGGCAACTCTCGGTACCATACGTCAAGCATTTCGGTGAGTGCCTCGATTCGTTCAACCTTGACGGAAGATACGCCGCTGTGCATCGTCTGTTCGGCAATCTCGCGCATAACAAGACCGATTCTGCTCGCTTGGAATCGAATAGAGTCGGTGATGGGGCAATCGGGCAAAGGAGACCAGGTGTTCTATCATAAATCAACGAGAGTCAGGGATGGTTGCTTTTGTGATATTCACCTTGATATCGATTGGCCTCGTGTCAGAGCGATAACCCAACGTGGTAGACAGCCAACTGCTCTTGTCAATAAATGTTCAGCATGTGAATGAGGAACATACCAATCCATGAAAATCAAGGTGCACAAGATTCGTCTCGCTTCTTCAAGGCCATCCGCACTTATTTGTTCATCATTCGAGGGGCAAAATACCCAGCGAGAAACAGATAGACCGGCGGCTGCATTATGTTAGCGTATCACTTTCATCTGGGGCGAACAATGAGACAACGAAGAAGACCAGAGTGTTTGATATGCCCAAAGCTTTGAAATTATTGTTCGGCATATTCTAGAAGATAATCCCATGAAGGGCTGTGCGGATTAAAAACAATTGGGGAATTACCTAGTACGTGACAAATGGTCATATGTTTCTCGAGAAGGGAATAGACTGCCAGTAACAAGAGGATCCGCATTGTTTCGGGGTAATTTGAGTGGGCCACATCCGAGTTGAACAAGAGAGTGGCTGACACGTAGATGCCGTAGCGCATCTCGTCAGACATGCACTGAACGTCGTAATGGGCGCCGACAGCTGCACAAGCCAGCACAAAAACCAAAACTACGGGGTTGATGGGACCCGGCCCGTAAACATGGTTTAGTGCATCTTCAAGCTGGTCCTCGGTGGTGAGATGCAACATGGTACCAGTGCCGAGGACAGCAGAATGCGCCGCTTGTCGTACAACCATTTCGGGAGGTAGGTGTTGAGCATCGAATATAGGAATTTCTTCAGTCATGGTCAGACTTCGGCGGACGGAGAGCTCTTGCAAGGCTATTGATAGGGCCGCGTGGCAGTCCTCTAGTTCTTGGGGCCCCAGGTTCGATGCGGATTTCCGGTCTGGGGAGCGTACGGAGCCCGTGTCGGTAGAACCCCTCGAAGCGTCGTAGCCATTCTCGATGGATGGCACGATGTTTGTGTTCGACCCTTTTCTTTCCTTTTCCTCGTGCTGCTTACGGAACCCTTTGAGATAGTTTTGGTATCTGCGGTAGTTCTCCGTCGTCCGGTACTCGTCCATCTGGGCCTCGTATTCTTGCATGGCTTTGGCAGCCTGGGACTCCCAGGCATGCCTGCTTTCCATGGGAAGAGCTTGCCATTGGCGACCAACCTCTCGGGCAATGGCGACAAAAGAAAGCGAGTTGACGGAAGGGTCGGCGCGGAGCTCGGCGGCGAAGTTGACATAGGCGGTGTTGGGTTTCTTGGGGGCGTTGATGTCCGGGCGGGGCTTCCGGCGATATTTTCTCTTTTTTCTTTCGCATCCATTCGGGGGTGTGGTGGAATTGGCGGGGAGATCTGGCGGGTTGAAGGAGCGCGAGCTTTGGCTCATGCCGTCAATTGTATCGAGAGGTTGGCCTAGTGTGAGACCACGCCAATTAGCTATCTCGCGCTGCAATGTGCGTCGATGGCCGAGCTTGAAGCCCAGCTGGGCCAGGTCATCTTCAGTGATGTCACAAACGACATCCCAACTGTCGAAGCCGTTGTCAAGGAGGGTCGGGAGGTACTCGGTCAGGCGCAGGCGTTGCAGGATGTCATTCAAGTCGTGAGACATGACAGGAAAGGTGGGTGTAGGTCGAGCAAAGGATCAGGGTGGTGGCAGCGGGATGATAGCAGCAAGGCCGGGAAGCCAGAGACGGGTGTGACATAACGGGATTGCGCGCCGTCATTGGCAAGGCCTCAGGCCGGCTTGAGTGCGTTCAGCTTCAACGCAGTGGCAAGTATATGGAAGCGTGGAGACGCCTAGAACAGTGTCATTGGGCGGGAACGCCAACCGAGCTTCCGCAAGGGCGCTAGTGCGAGCGAGAGGCCGTGAAGAGAGCGCCGATCCGCTACAGTCCGTTTCCCCCACGCCCATTGCGCCCCTACTCGGAGCGCTCTAGAGCAACGGGATCAAGTAATGTGTGCGTGCCTGCAGGGTCTCTCTTCAGGGTCCAACAAGGCTGTGGGCTGTCGTTGCCACCGGCATCTCCGCCTCGCCTGCTGCTCTCCAATGCCGTGCGACAACACCACATGACTCGACGGTGGAGACGGACCTGAGTCCGGCTCCCCGTCTACCAGCCTGCGACTTGGAACGCTACCAAAATAGCCGATCGTCGCTCCGCATATGACGTTTTGTCAGTGGCGCACCTTGACCTCACTCACACGACTCACCTCCATGGCTGCGTGAGCGACTGCTAAGGCCATGGCTGTGACAAACCAACCACGCCCACCTTGGTCTCGACCTTGTTCCGTACGCACAGCATCGCATGAAAGACAGCCCAGTCCCTGCTGTCTTTGCCTCTCCGAGTTCTGCCCGATCTTAATTACTTGCTGCATCAACCGTAGACCGCCCTTGGACGAATCCAGACCTGCTGTCGTCGAAGGACACAGAAGAGTGGATTTTTGCCATAACCCAAAGCAGAAAGGTATGTACCCGGTTACTGTCGGCAAGATCAGAGCTTCCTCGTGGCATCACAACGGCCAGAGATTCTACCGTACCTCGGTTCAGGTTACCCGGATTACTTTAGTCCAGAAGGATTTGGAGCGGACACTTTTGACTTCACCCTACGTGTACGTTGCCGCGGCATGTTGCCGAAGGATGCAGCTGACACGGCATGTAAGCGTCGGTCGAAGGGAATGGGTTGATTGCCAGAGAGAATTCAGAGTATGAAAAGGCTGCAAGAAAGAAAAAAGAGATAAAAGAAAGTAGGTATAGCAAGTAGTGCTGACTAAGTTCGCGCTAAGAAATAGGGAAGAGCTTCGTCTACTGCGACTCCAATAATTTTGCGAAATAAAATGTTTGTTATTGCCTGCAACAATCCATACATCTAGCGAATGCAATGACACGATATTGTTAGGTAAGTCTCTTAGAAGTCGCCGACGGTTCACGATATCCTCATCATCTCTATCAAAGAGTGACACAAGAATTACGAATACAACGCTCGCTATAACATCGCACGGCACACCAGTTCAGTAATCGATCTTAGCCTGCCCTAAAATCAGTTCATCTTTAAGTTTTTTTTTCTCAGGATGCCGCAGATCTGCTTGGTATATCTTAAGGCTGATATATTACCCGGTCAGCAGACCCAATGATGTCGTCCATACCAGAGATTCAAGCAGCCCCATGTCCAATCGAGGCCTGGGCCGGCGCAACTCGCTCTGATTGGCCAGCTTCAGTCAACGATGAACTTTGGATAGGTAAGGGACATTAAAAGGTGAGCGGCAGGTGATAGAGTATTGAAAGAGATATGCAAAAATGCGATGAAAGCCGAGTTGGTTGAGGAGATTTGGTATTTCGTATGCAGCGCAGCTTATCGCTTCCGAAGTCAACAAGCAGCTCGCAACAATAGGCAGCTAACAAACCCGCACCAACGCCCGCACATCCCCAAAAAACGTCCAGGTCCAACAAGCCATATTCCCAACCTGGATCCAACACACACAACCGCACACAACCTCCCACAGCATACCAATATTGTCTACAAAAACTACCTAAATAATAGCTGCAAATATAGGTACAACCCGCCAAACTATTTTTCACAACTCCCTGATGGTCTAGCGGCTAGGATTCGTGGTTTTCACCCACGCGGCCCGGGTTCGATTCCCGGTCAGGGAAATTAACATTTCTTTTGCTTTTTTTTTGTTCAAGTTTATTCAAACCCAATTCTCCTGTTGCTTCTCTATCATCCTGCGTGCTTATTTTCCACAACATGCATGTACGAACTCAGTCAGCAGTCAACCTGTACCTGAGCTCATGGAAACAGTGCCATAAGACTTCCAGCACAGACTACAGTAAACCAACTTTCACCCACCGCAATAAAGCTACCTTTGCGCTCGTGGCTAAGACAACAAAACCAAAGCGCATCTCGAATCTCTAGCCTTTCTACCCAAGGCCAAACCGATGCTAAAACGCCGACTCGTCCTAGGTATCCTCGTTTTCCTTGCGCTCGTGCTCGTTCTCGTGTTTAGTAGGCTCTGGAGAGATGTTTTTTCTCGGACACCCCGGTATTCTATTAGCAAAGGAGCGAGGAGGCAGGTCCTTTGGCAAGTCCTCCTTTGGCAAGTCCTCCTTCGGCGAGCCCTCCTTCGGCAAGTTTGATGTATGACGCCCCCGTCCTCTCCTAGCAAGGACACGAGGAAGCGGATTCCTCCTCGGCAACAGCTTTACAGGCCTACGCCCCGACCGATCGATTCGGGGGCGGCCCACGGGGTTAGGGCCGCTGTTGCCTCCAGCCCTTCTCCTGTCTACGGCGGCTATGTACTCGTATTCACAAGCCTGTCTGTAGCTCGCGACCTTTGCTGTCTCGCGGGAGCTGCGTCGGAGTGTTGGGGATGGGTTAGTGTCATCGTTGTTGTTATTGTCGCCGCTGCGGCTAGCGATGCTGGTGGACGCTGTGCTGGTGGCACGAGTGCGGTTGTCTTTGCTGCTCTTCGCGCTGCTGGTGGGGGAGGTAGGCGTGCGGGGGCTGTTTTTGCTGCTTCTGACACCCCGGCGTTGCTTATCATCTTCCGCGCCATCTCTGCCGCTTGTGTTTGTGATAGGGCTTTGCTACGCGCTTAGGGCGACGTCAGCAGGATGTTTGATATGGCTGGATGGACGGCAGGCAGACATCATTGCCACGTACAGCGTCCAGAATACAAACGCTCTTTCCGCCGCCTCCGCAATTGCGTTGGGGAGGTTGGCGACTGCCCGTAGATCTGAACCTAAACGATGGCAAATATTGACGCGATCTGACTGCTCTTACCTATGGTAACGGTAATGGTTGTCGGTGGCAGAGACGCAGGCCAGATGAGACAGGCAGGAACCTGTCGAGCAGCCTGCCTGGCTCCGATGTTGACGGACGGAAGGTGCGATAGCAAGCACCGTCGCCTCCTCATACGGAAGGAGCATTTAGCGGCCACAAACACGCCAGCTCCGAATAAACGAAATCGCCACCAGCGAAAGCCTGCAGATCGTAGCTATCCCGACAACGACGCCATCTTTTTCAAGTCTTTCAGACACGCCTTGCAGGCAACTGCCTCAGTGATGGAGCGAGAGTAGAGAAAGAGGGAAAAGAGGACAGTGGATGAGGGGGTAGAAGTACACTTTGGATTGCAGCAACAGTCATTGGCGAGTCGATTGGAGCTACCAGAGACTTGTTCTGGCTTTATTGTTAGCGAAATATCTGCTTCAAGGCAGTCATAAACCAGAGCTAGTCGTCTTCCGCGAATAGGCGACCGACAGTTTCATGGAAAGATTTGCTGTTGTTGTGGGCACCCATCCTTGTGATTAGCTACAACATCAAGACGGATGAGTTCGGATTGAGTCGAATTAGGTCCAGCCAAGTAGAGTTAAGTCGTCGAGTGTAAGTATACGGACGTCCCGTTGACGGAAATTTGCCTGGGGACTGAACCGACCCAAATTAATCGTGGCCGACTTGCAACAGTTGCAAAGTGGCCGTCAGGCATCAAGACAGACTTGAGACAGCTTCTAGGCTCTCTTTTTAATGAGGCAAAAAGGCTTGATCGATTCCTGTCCGATTGTCATGGCGTTTGCTTTTTGGTGAGAAGACTTGTGGGCTTCTCTGCCGCACGCTGGATGCAGGGTCCAGCCGCACCACGTCATTCGTGGCGCTGTTTCAGCCCTGCAGATCCCTGCGGCTCAACACCAAACTCTGAGCACCCCAAAAGACAGCAGCAACACCTCAGCACCTTCGCGAACCCCTTCCAAACCCTTTCTACGGCCACACAAAGCGTTCATAAACATGGCTTCCGACGCGTCCACCCCCAAGCCCGTCAACGTGCTCTTCGTTTGCCTCGGCAACATCTGTATGTTTCTCCCGCCTCACCCCACACTCAGCACACACACGCACAAACCCACTGACCGCAAACACCAGGCAGGTCCACAATGGCCGAAGGCGTCTTCCGGCACGTCACCAACAACGCGAACCCACTAGTCGGGGCGATCGACTCGTGCGGCACGGGCGCGTACCACGTGGGCAGCAACCCGGACTCGCGCACCATGTCGACGCTGCAGGACCACGGCATCAAGACATACCGGCACAAGGCGCGCAAGTTTGCGTACCCGGGCGACTTCGACACCTTCGACTACATCATGGCGATGGACGATGAGAACCTGGCGGACTTGGTGCAGCTGCGCAAGCGGTATGCGCGCGAGCTGGAGTCCAAGGGCCGCAAGGACGAGGTCGCGCATTTGGGCAGGGTTATGCTGTTTGGTGAGTTTGGCGGCAGGAGGGGCGAGGTCGTCGATGATCCGTATTATGGCGGTCGCGATGGCTTTGAGATTGCGTATGCCCAGATGATTAGGTTTACGGATGGGTTTTTGAAGCATTTGAGTGAGAGGCCGCGGGAGGAGTAGGTTGTGCTGCGGGGTGTTGATGCTCTTGACGCGGTGCGTTTGGTGAGGGTTGAGGTTGTGATACCCACGATAGAGTAGACTGGTCTGCAAGCGAATTTCCATCTCATGGAAGCATGTTTGGCCAGATGCCACTGAGAAGTTTGATCTGATGAGGCGGAGAATTATATCTCTGATGCGCATCTTCCGGCTGAGCCGTTATTGCGTTGGGGGTCTGAACCGAATTCTGCCTTCAGTGGAAGCCCAAAATAAAAACGAGACAACATCTGTCGTCCTGTCTGTCAGTGCCAATGGCAGCTGTCAACCGAAGCTTGGCTGCCCGTCCTTCCATGGAAGACGCGGATGGATGCGCGGATGCGCGGCACCGCGGCAGCCGCGACGTCATGGGAAAGGTGGCACGGACGCCCGGCTGCAGCACGCAGCGTCTCAGACTTCATTCCCACCCGCAGCGCGCACTATCCCGTCTTCTTCATCATCTCCTTGACGGCCTGCTTGCTTGACTCCTTGTCTTTCTGCTGAACAGCTTACATACCGAAGTCTCGTATTTGGAAAGCCTCATAGTATCCTTGAAAGCCAGCTCGGATCTCGAAAGTCTCGTGCCTCAACCTCACACCTCCGTCGCGCCTCCGTTGCGCAAACACCGGAAACCAAACCAAGCCATACCTTGTACATAGCTTGCCTGGACGCGGCCGAGGAACCATGGACTGCATCCCCCTCCCCATTGTCTGCTTCCAGTGCGGAACGTGCGTGTTGCCTTTCCCTTCCTTCTCTTGCCTTTCTACCCCACCTGCGCACCGCAACCCCCTTGTTTAACGCACTTCGAGCTTAACGCACTTCGCGCTGCGCGGATCAAGATTCGAGAGGCTGACGCTTGGTGCTCTTGCGCCATTGCAGCGACCAGAACCCCTGCCACTGCAAGGTCGTGGGCCCGACAATCGGGTTCGGCGTCGCGGTCGTGCTGGCCGTCGTGTGCTGGCCTGCGTCGCTGCTGTGCGGGTGCTGCCTGACGGACGCGGGCAAGAAGTAAGTACCTAGCGGTCCCCTGGCGCTGTATTCGCGTGTTCTTGAGCGTGGGCTTTGGCGCAATGGAAGCGCGCTTGCTGATGCGTTTTCGTGCTGTGTAGGATGCTTGCCGCGCCGGCGGATACGAGCGGCGCTGTGAGCAATGCTATTCCCATCTAGTGCAAAGGGGTAGCTTGGTGGTGTGCTGGTTGCGGGGGGCTGGCGTGGGCGTTGCTGGGTGTTTGGGCGCGTGGGCTGGTGCGTTGCGCGCCGTTTAATGCGTTATGATGGGCTTGAGGTTGGTTGGTTTTCTGTGCTGGAGGTAATTATTATCATTCCTACCTATTCTCCTGCTCTCCAGTCTTTCTGGTTAGGAATACTATTCTCTTTCTCTTTGGAGTGCTGTCAGGAGAAGGGGTCAGTGATAGGAGGTATTATTGTGGTTGTGTGGTGTTGCTCCCTAGTCTATTGTCAGCCATTCACTTCACTCCAGAAGACATCTCTGCCGCCGCCGCGCGCGATCTCCTCCTTTCTCCTGACAACCAACGACCCCGAAGACGCTCAAGACTTACATTTTCTCGAATCATCACCACAATGGCTTCTTCTGCCTCTGCCTCGTCCTCCTCTTCCTCCGCCTCTGGCGTCTCCGCCATCGTCGCCATCAGCGCGACGGCCCCCGTCCTCCCCCCACTGGCGTTCTCCGTCGCCTCGGGCGACAGCAACAGCGGCAGCAACAGCGGCTCCCGCGCCGCCTCCTCCTCCTCCTCCAACACCTCCTCGGCCTCGGCCTCTGCTCCCGCCCCCGCCGCCACCACCGCCACCGCCGGCGCCATCGCCAGCTCCATGGTCGACGGCATCGCCTTCGAGCTCCAGGCCCTCATGGGCAACGCGGGTGAGGCCGCGAGAGAGCGCCGCGGCCGCCTCGTCTCCGTCGCTCCTGCCCCGGCCCCTGCTCCCGCTCCTGCTCCTGCTCCGGTCCCCGCCTCTTCCGCCGCTCCTACTCCCGCTCCCGACGAGAGCGCCATGGTCGAGGGCGTCGCCCTCCCGCTACGGGCCCTCATGGACAATGCGGGTGAGACCGCCCGCGCGGCGCGCCGCGGCCGTCGCATCGCTGTCGCCGACGACACCACCACCACCACCGAGGCCGTTCCCGCCGCTCCTGCTGCTCCCGCTGCCCCCGCCGAGGCTGCTCCCGTCGCCGAGGCCGCTCCCGCTCCCGCTGCCGCCGACACCACGGCGCAGCAGCAGCAGCATCAGCAGCAACAGCAACAGCAGCAGCAGCACCACCACCACCACCACCACCACCAGCCCCGCCGCCGCGTCCGGCCCTGTAAGTCCCTGTCCCCGTCCCTAACCCCCCAACCCCCCTCTTGTCTCAACGATAACACACGGATCCGCCACTTGGTGTTTAGTTCTCAGCGGCGTGGTCGGCGCCGTCAGCCGTCGTCTCGGGCGCGGAAGGCGCGAGTGAGTGCGTGCGTGGGTTCTTGTGGGGATTGGGGGATTGATTGGGGTGGGTAGGGGGGATGTGGGGTGATGTCTTGGGCGGTTTTGGAGGGGGTGGAGGGGGTGTGCTGCCTGCGGGGCGCGGTACCTGGTGCAGGGTGTGGAGAGGGGGCATGGGGGGCTTGTGCGAGGGGGGGAGGATGGTGCTAGCGGGGGATGCGGGGCGCGTGCTCTGCTCTGGCCCGCGCGGCTCTGCTCTGCTTCTTTTCTTTGTTTTTCTATCTCGAGGTGGCTGCTTTGCGGCTACGTAATGACTGATTTGCTGGCTGGCTGCTCTGCTGCGTGCGTGGATGTGGGCTGTGGATGTGGGTCGTGGGTTTGGGGGCTGGGTAGTGCGTGAGTGATACTACACTGCGCGAGGAGGTGTTGTTTGAATGAGTTGGTCGAGTCGAGTCGACTCGTGGTGGTGTGGGGGGTTTGGGTTCGTGGATAGGTGGGTGGGTGTGCTTGTGGGTGCTGGGGAGTGGTTGATGGAGAGGGGGTAGAGAGAGGAGAGGAGATGGGGTAGGGGTAGAGGAAGAGAGAGAGAGGGAAGAAGACGAAGAGAAATGAAGAGGAAGAGAAACGAACAAGAAGAAAAAAGAAGAAGACGAAAAGAAGAAAAGAGAAGAAGACGGAAAGAAAGGAAGAGGAGAAACGAACAAGAGTGAGTGAGAGAAAGAGCAAGAGAAAGAAGCAGACGAACAAGAACATAGAGAGAGCGGATGGACATGTAAGAAAAGGATCACACCAACGCGCCATCTAAAGCACAAAAAACAGCAGAAACACGCAGGACTTCAAGCACGCAGGACTCCGACCCGAGCAGAAGAAGAAGAAGGAGGAGAAGAAAAGGGCACAGCAGAAGAGAACCAAGGACAAGGTAAATAACCACGCACCAGCGTGAGTGCTGCTGCTTGTTGCTGCTGTTGCTGCTGTTGCTGCTGTTGCTGCTGTTGCTACTGCTGTTGAGATGAGAGGTTCACGCGCCATGTGCCGTGCCCTAGCAACGAGAGCGAAAAGCGTGGGCGGTCTAGTCCGCTTTAGGCAGCCAGGGCTGGGGTGGTGAGTAGGATGGGGGAGGGGTGGCGTTTGGCGCCCTACGCGCGCACAGCCCCGCTGCTGTGTCTACCTACACCCCACCTCTCTCTTTCCTTCGCTGCATGTTAACAGCACCATCAGCATCACTGCCCGTATTTCCATATCTCTGGACAGTGTACAGTGTACGCGTACCTACGCTCTAGATCCCTTGCCCCTTTCGATGTAACACTCGCATCCTAAACAGCTTACCTACGTACACGCACGTACGTCTCCCCTCTATCTACTTATCCCTATCTACACTCTGCCCTCTGCCTAAGTATCCCTATTCTATACTATACCCTCCCCTCCACACCACCGCCGCCACCACTGTCGCATCTAAACCTCTCGTATAACAGCATACGTATATATACTTCGTAACTACGTATACTTAAACCCCGTCTCCTATATTTAATTACTGTCTAGCTTACGGCGTACGATGCTCTATCTCTATATATTTCTTATCTTTCTCCTACTTGTCTCTACCGCTATCTCTCTATAATATAATACCCTTTATATATACCCTCGACCTATACGTATATATATACGTATACGTACTAGTAAAATAAGATTATTATCCTAAATAAAATAATAGAAGATATAACTAGTTAGTAAACTAATTAATTAATCAGTTAACTAAGAGTATAGCATAGCATACCTAGCTCTAACGGAACTACTACCACTACTACCCCCACCACCACCCACACGCACACAACAACCCCAGCAAGCACCAGCAAGCACAAGCAAAGCCAAAACGAAAACCCAATCCATACATAAAGCCCTACTACCTAACCAATGACCCAATGACCTAATGCATAGCACGCCTCAAGGCAAAGAAAGGCTCAAGACAAGGCGCACCCCGCTCTCGCCACTGCCCTCGCCATGGCCATGGCCATGGGCATATACGAGCCATATACAAGCCACGACCGCACGTGTGCGTGCATGTGTATGCGTGTGCGTGTGTATACTCCTTCTTTCCGTCATTCGTCGTTCCTTCCTTCCTCATCGCCAGGTAGTGCATGCACTCCTTAAACCAGACCCAACACCGCACACCTCTGCCCCTAAGCAAAAGCACCACTGATCCTTCAATCCACTAACCTTTCTACCCACTACCCGTACCCACTTACTAAACCTACCCGCCCACCCACACCAACCACATCAGCCACATTACATGGCCATCTCGGCCTGCAGCTTCCGCAGCTCCTCCTCCTCGTCCTCTTCTTCGTCTGCTTTCGCGGGCGCCTTGCCCCTGACTGTGGCCCCAGAAGGGATTCGTTAGCAAGCATCCTAGGAGTAGTAGCACTACAACCGTGGCAGGAAAGGAAACGTAGAAAAGACGAAAGGATGCAAAGAAAAATAAAGGGAAAAGAGAAAAACAAGGGATGTATGAAGGAACGAAAAGACAGGAACAAAACTCACGCTCGCCCTGCGCAGCGGCCGGTAACCGATGCACCTTGTCCGAGACGGGCACGTTGCCCGTCTCGAGCATCTTGTTGTCGAGCTCCTCCTGCTGCAGCTCGGCCAGCTCCTCGTCCAGCTCGTCCTCGTCCAGTGCCTGGTTGCCCATGGGCTGGCCGATGGCTTCTGAGATTTCCTCGCCGATGGCGTGCTGGTCGCGCAGTTCTTCCCTGTGACACGGGATAAGTTAGTGGGTTTGGTCTTGGTCGTTTGCGTTTTTGTTTGCTTGTGCTTGTGCACGAGCGAGGGGGGTGGGAGAGAGAGAGAGGGAGAGTAAGGAAGTGTGGGAGTGTGGGATCGTGGAGCATGCATGACGTACATAGTCTGGTCGACCTTGTCGATGGTCAAGCCGGCATGGATCTGCTTCATGGCGGCGCCGGCATTCTTCATGGCGTCCAGCGTCTCCTTGTTGATGTTGGCCGTCTCGATGCTGTAGATCTCGCGCTCCAGAGTCATGATCTGGGACGACGTCTGCTCGAGCGAGTGCTCAAACTGCTTCTTGCGCCGGAGCGCCGCCTTTGCCACTGTAGTGCGAGCCAGAACTGTCAGCGCTTCTTTGCTCTTTTGCTTGCTTGCGCAACCAAACCAAACCAAACCAAACCAAACCAAGCCAAGCCGTCAAGACTCGACAAGACAAGACAGGACCCCGCGTCATGGCGGTGGCCAAAAACAAAAACCCCCCTCCTCTAGAGCAAACAACAGGATTACATTCCTCCTCAACCACGCCGCTTCTTCCTTGTCTTTGTCTTCGCCTTCGCAAGCACGGCTACAACCACGCCAAAAACAAACAAGGAGCCCTTACCGTTTTTATTGGCGCTGACGTTCTTGCGGGCGATGGCGTCCTGCTCATCCATCTGATGCTGCAGGTGCTTCTCGCGCTTCGACAGCATCTCCAGCTGGGCGCGCAGCTGCAGGATGGCGTTCTTGGCCGAATCCTTCTTCTTGGCCGCGCCGCCGCCGAACCAGCCCAGCCCCCAGCCTGACATGGTCGCTGCTGCGTCCTCGGTGGGGGAGTGCGCGGAGCGGGCTAGGTGGAGTGAAAGTGGTGGGCGGGGACGTCGTGTGTGAGGAGCAAGGGGAAGCAAGCTACAAGAGGGCCGCTCTGGTGCTGCTGTCGTCGTTGTCGTTGGCGGTGGTGTGCGTGCGTGCGTGCGTGCGTGCGCGGTCGGCGGCGCTGCTGCTTCTTCTGCGGTCGTTGGGCGTGGTCGTCGTAGTGCGTGCTTGATAGCGCAGCGAGGGTCGTGGAGCGTGAGTTGAGAGGCCGGCGACTAGTGTGCGGGAAAAGTCGGCGGAGGTTGGGTTTGCTCGGAGGGAGTTTAGTGGGAGCCTGATGGCGGTGATGGAGAGAGAGAGTTGAGTGCACACCCGATGATGCAGCCGCCGCCATGGCACGTGCACCGATGCTGTAACCTTAGCTATCTACCATGAAGAAGTAGACATCCTCATGGCCGACACAAACCCCTACGGCGCGCCCCCCTCGCGCCTCGTCCTCCTCTCCGACCTCCCCCACCACCCCATCGGCGCCAAAGTGCGCTTCCTCGGCTGGCAAGTCCTCACCACACACCACTCTCACAACCACAGTCTAACCCCCCTCCCAAACAGCGTCGAGACGTACGCCGTCGCCTCCGCAACTCTAACCCTCACGCACGCATACCCGCCCCCCACCACCGTCTTCGCCCACGTCGACATCACGCTCGTCCTCCAATCCGTCCATAACCGCGACCTGCAGACCGGCGCATGGGTGAACGTAATTGGCTATGTTGCTGTGCCGAGGAGCTGTGATAATGGCAGCACCACCGCCCACATCCAAGCCCTGACGCTCTGGAACGCAGGCGAGAACCTGCAGCTCGCCGCGTACGAGCAGGCGGTCGAGGCACGGAAGGCCTTGGATGGTGGTGGGTGAGAGGGGTTTCTCCCTGTGGGGGTATCCACGAAAGCGTAGTCCAGTCCCTAAACACGGCGCGCATGATGCGGAAAGAGCCCAAGTTGGGGAGAAGACGATGCCAGAGTAGGAGGCAGGAAGTAGGAGGGCAGACGCCTCCACCACACCACCATGGACCTCAAGCTACAAGCTCGCACCCAGCACCCCACACCCCACGCGAAACCAGCCAGAGCGAGTAAGCAATCAGAGTACCTAGGCACATACCCCACAGCCAGCTAGCCAGCCAGCCAGCCCACAACACGACGCACACGCACGCGTGGGGGCAAAGGCGTAAAAGCAGCTGGTACACACGGCGCGAACAGAGCTCGAACTCGAACCCGCCATTTACCTACCTTGGGCATTTACCGTAAATAGATAGAGGGAAAGAGAAAGAGCGAGGAAGAAGCACGAGCGCGCATACACACACAGCACAGCTCAAGAACCCACCTACCCCACCCACCTATCTCGAGAACCCAGCCACGCAGCTATCTATGTAGGAGTAGCTAGCTCGTAGCTCGTAGCTAGTGGCTAGGCGCAGGCGTGACGACAATAGGTAGGTAGGTAGGTAGATAGGTAGTGTAGCATAGGTGCAAGCAGCATACCAAGACGAAGCCACGCACGCACGTTTACGGACATGTGCTGTTTTTCCTGTGCATGCACGCTCGCTGGGGAGGAGCTGTACGCGCGCACACACACAACCAAACGTCCATTGTTTCAATTCAAATCAGCTCAGTTTAATTTAAGTTATTCAATTCAATTCCATTCTCCAACCAACTACATCAACAGCAACAGCAATGAAGAGAGGACGAAGCAAGCAGGCAGGCAGGCAGGCGGGGGTATGTATATACGGCACAACAAACAACGAACAACGACCAAACGACAACAGAAAACCTAACCCAACCCAACCCCAGCAAACGTGGTGCAAGAACAAGAATGACGAAACCAACAAAAAGAAAAGAAAGACGAAGACACAAGAGAAGGAGAAGGAGAAAGAAAGAAAAAAAGAAGCAACTCGTGACCCATCCATCCCAACCCGATCTAGAAGCAGAAGAAACATTGAAGAGCAAACAAGCAAAAAACAGCATTTGTCGTGAGAAGAGGTAGTAACCAAGTAAACAGCCCAAATAAGCAAGCAAGCCAGTAAGCAAGCAAGCACGCTTTCCCCAACCACCCATACCCATACCCATACCCATCCCTTCATTCATGTCCTCCACCAAACAGAAAGACCGACCCCATCCAATCCAGTCCAATCCACCGCACTCGCTTTCTTCCCCTTCCCCCTCTCGCTTCTCATCACCGCTTAAACACCCCTAAACATCCTTACGATCAAGAACCACACCGCGCCCGTAAAGCGGAACGCGCTCAACCCGGCCACACTCCACAAGATAACGCTCATATAGATCTTCGCGCGCTGCGTCTTAGCCTTACTGACATCATCATCCGAAAGACTGACGTCCACGCCCGCCGTGACAAGCACGACGGCGCAAAGCGCCAAGTTGCAAAACATCCAGAACAGGACGACGCTGGAGCGGAAGCCCTTGTAGTAGTCCTCCTGCTTGTCGGCCGCGCTGGCCTCCTTCTTCGGCTCCACGTACTTTGTCGCAAACACGCGCAGCTCGTTCTCGTACTGCGTGTTCAGGTCCGCGTCGTCCGTCGGCGCCGACACGTCCACCTTGCCGCCCGGCTTCGTCGTCACCGACGGCAGCTTCTCCGCCTTGTCGTCGCCCTTCGTGCCCCAGGTGATGTCGTGCGTGTTGCAGAACGCGTACACGTTCAGGATGTTGATGTATGTCGGCGTCATCAGCAGGTACTGGAAGAACGACGTGAACATGTGCCATGGGTCCAGGAAGAGGAACGAGACGATGAAGTAGAGCAGGTATGTCGATGCCATCGAGACGATGAGCGTGAAGAAGAGCGTGTTCTGGAAGAGGTCCTTGACGTTAAATCCGTATTCAGATATTTCTGACTTCACGGAGATGACGGTGATGTATATCGACGCGAACATGAGATAACTATAAATGTTAGTGAGTTGCGAATTGGAAGTAACAAGGAAAAGAACTTACGCCATGATGAGGACCCAGAAATAAACCATCGTCATGTAGAACTTGTTCGATCCCTGCGGCCTGTTGCCTAGCGCCAGGACGAAGCAAGTAACGACCGTTGCGATATAAGCCCATTCGAAGATCGTGGCAAGAATATTACCAACGGTGCCGAGGAATTCATCGTTGCCGAGAGACTGCGTCAAGATGCGGAAGACGAGGAAGAAGTTACCAAGACCAAACCAGGCGAACAGCATGTTGATCCACTGGTATCCGAATTCAATCAAAAACATCATCTTCCGGAAGAAACTGTGGTCACTGCGGAAGATTTGGTGCGAATGCGCCAGCGCATACACAGCCGCGAAGAAGGAACCGTTCAACCAACGCCTACGCTGAAGAATAAAATCGGCCATCTCGACTGGTACATCGGTCTCGCCAGTTGCCGACTTGACATATTGCAAGATCCAGTGAGAGTTGCGCTTCGACACCAGCTCGAAACAGAGAATACGATCCTCGGCAAGATACATGTTGGCAGTGAAGATACCAGCGTTGGCACCGTGCATCTTTTCACCAGCAAAGTACTTCTCCAGAGGACCCTGGCCCATCTTGTCGTTTTGCAGCGCGACGTACCGGTATGCGGAAAAGGCACCGGGAAGCACGGAAATGAAGCCGAAAGCGGATTCGAGAGGCTTGTCGAGAATGTTACTCATCTTGTACTCGAAGTTCTGCGTGGCGACAAGCGGGTTGAGCAGCTTCTTGCCGTGCACCAACATGGCTTTGATCTCGCCACAAGCACCGGCGCACATCGGCTCCAAATCGAAGGCCTTCCAGAGCTGGTAAATCGAGTCCTTGCCAGGCTTCGTACCGGCATCGAGCAGCACGCAAATGTTCGGGTCCAAGACAGTGCCGAAGGCCTGGAAGAACCAACGATGCGAGTTAATCTTCTTCTGGTTCTTTTCCTTCAAGCAGAAAAGCATCTGGATGGGCGTGTTGCCCTTCTTGACGTTGACAATGCCTTTCTTGATTTCCACGGCCATTTGCGTAGTGTACTGAAAGCTGGTGAGCACATGGTCTTGAAAACGTGAAGAATTAAACTAACCTCGTAAACGTGTGCAGTCACGTCCTTTCCGTTGACTTGCTGCTTGGCAATACCGTCCTGGTAGACACCCAGACCAGCCAAAACGGCTCTCGTTCTCGGGTTGATCTTGGCACGTCCGTCGCTGACGACGCACACGACAATCTTCTTCCAAGCGTCCTTACCCCAAGTCTTGCTGTTCGTCCTCGAGTTCATGTGCTCAATATTTTTGATCACACCGCTGAGCGTGCGCACAAACAGCTCATCCTCCTCGTTGTACATGGTAATGGCAATGAAGAGCTCCGTGTGACGTGGCTTTGCGAAAAGCTTCTGGCGCAGAGTGAATCGCTCATCGTAGAATTCAGACGGGTCGCAGGTAGCGGCAGAGTATCTCATGTGCGTAAACTCGTCACGCTCCGGCGGTTGCGCGTGGGGCACCTGGTTCAGCAGACGGGGAGGGATGGGGCAATCAAGGACGAGGTTGCCGTTGAACAGCTGCACCTCCTTGACCGTCTTCCACCTCCGAATGGGCGCAGGGCTCGGCGTCGGCCTAGGTATGTCGGCATAATCCTCGAATGGCGGGGGGCTCCCGCTGCCGGGACTCAGGACATTGTGCGGGTCTGGGCCGTACGTCGTGTCCGGCTGCAGCATCGGTCTGTTGTCATCCTCGTCCCAGTACGCGCCGGGCTCGTGTTGCGGGGAGGGGTTGTAGGGCTGGGTGTAGTATGCGTCGTGATGTGCCTCGGGATCGATCGCGTAGTCGGGCATCGTGTGCGTGTTGGGGCTCATGTATGGCGCTGGAGAATAGCGGTGATCTTCTTCGTATGCTTCGTTGTGCCCATAAGTGCCAGATATGTTCTCAACCGAGTACTGCGCAGGCAGAAAGTCAGCATTGTTTGACGGGACGTCTGCTCCGCATTAATCGTAGCTTACCGTGGGCTGCGCGGCCAGGCGATCGCCCGGCGTCCCTGGTCCAGGACCAGGACCCATGGGTATCTCTAACGGCGGACCACCTCCAGGGTGGTACGGCCGGTCTTCCAGCTGGTAGCCAGTTTGGAAGGGGTCGACTGGCGAAGGCGAACGGTTGGGAATGGGGCGTCTGGGGTCCATGGCGCCGGTGTGGTAGTCGTATTCGTCCTCGTCGTGGACGTTACTCGTCGAGCCTGCGACGGTGGAGAAGGTCAGTTCTGAGACGTTACACGCGCCCGATTGCTGTCGCAGGCTTGCCAAGGCGATGCAGGAATGCAGGACGAGACGAGTCCGGGGAAGCAGACGTCACTCGCGTCGTCCCCCGGCAGTGCGCCTCGGATAGGTATGGGTGTTGCGGGAGATTCACGTACCGAGGCGGTTGTAGGACATCCTGGGAGCAGAGGGCGGGCGCGCTCCCTCTATCTGTCGCGGCGCGGAAATGAGCACAGGAGGCTTATGCCCGGTAGACGTGAAATCTGCTTCGCTCGACGCAACCCCGTAGGTTTATCGTTATGATCGTCAAACTTAACGGTGTTTGGCCCACGGTTGTAGAGTTTCAGGTTGACTCGCGGTCGCGCAAAAGAACCAAAGGCGCAGAGAAGGGCGGAGGAGGAGTGCAGAGAAGCAGAAAGAGAGAACTGAGGCCGGCGACGCTGGGGGTAATATCCAGCCCTTGAGCTTTCGCGTCGAGGCTTTGCAGAGTCGGATCTTGCAGCGCCTTGGAGGAACACGCCGCGCCGATCGTTGCCTAGTAGGGATGCGGTGGACCGCCCGCCGCAGCAACGCGTCCAAGCAACCAACGCTCTCCACAAGACAAATGATGTAATCACTTCAGTATAGGAAAGCTGCCCCAGGGTACAGCCATGTCGATGCCAGTCGCTCGACTTGTAAGCTTCTGACGACGCCTTTTTGCCTCCGATTCACCTCTCTCTCCGGACTCCGGACTCACGGCCTCATCAGCGCGCCAGCGCCAGCGCCAGCCGCCCGCCAGCCGCCAGCCGTACATGAGGCCTCTGCACGACAACGAGCATTACACCGTAATTTCCCCATCGCCAGCGAAGCACCTCCAATAGAGCACAGGGAAGGGCAGACTTCGCTACACTAGCCAGCCGTTATACGCCCAATGGAAAAATCCGTACTCGTTCCTCTCATTGCTAGAGAGCACCTGACCTTGCTGACCCTTTTTTTTTTGCCTTTTTGCACAGCCCGCCGACGCTTTTCTCGACGTGGCTGTGAACCGCCGTTGCCCTGTCGATCCCTGCGCCTCAACACCGCGCGACTTCCCCATCTTTTTCACCATCACAGTCAAGCATCCAGTTTGTCGGTTGCCGGCGATAACCTTGTTCATGTGCCATGGTTGTCGGCTTTTGCACCGTTAATGCCGTTTGCCGTTGGGCATGAGTCTCTCACCGCTGATCATCCGCGCTGTCGACCAGGTTGCGCCTGTAAGCTTTGCTGATTTTAGATTTTAGCACGGTTAACCTGACCGTCGTCGTAAGTGCTGACTGATGGATGGCTTTTGAGCCAGGCCCGGGCTAGGCGAGCATTCCGCTACCCAACATTTTCCGTTTCGCGTCAAGCACTTGTAACGCCTCAAGTTCACCGTATTTCCACATCGTCTGCTAGAGCTGCTTGTCAGGGGTAGCAAAATCTGAAGCCAGTTAAGATCTGAAAAGGGGAGGTAAGGGTGGATATACAAACCAATCAGACGCGCTAAAATTACTTCCTTATCTACGCCATGGCTTCACGCTAGCAGTCAGACTTAAAGCATAGTATAGGGATGGTCAACACGTTCTGCCAAATACAATAGTTCTTGGCGTGTGGAGTAATACCGAAAATTGAACCCCACCACCACCACTCTACTCTCGCCTTCGCTAGAGCCTGGCTGGATGAGAATTGGATGCAATGAGGCTTGCCAAAAACAGAGCGCAAACTCCTTCCATGGATATCATGACCCCGAACGCCCCTATTGCTTCAAGTGCTTTTCCTCCTTATTGCCCATGATGTGTCATGTCAATCTGTGACCCTCTCCCGGGGTTCTATTTGAAAGAGCAGTGCAACGCCCTAGGTCATGCGTTTTGACGGCATGTGTCGAGTCTACAAGCTGATGCCATCTGAGCTCCGCATTTATATGATAAAGTCGGCTACAGCTTCATTTTCTTCAAAGTGGGTGACAAGCCCTGACTGCAGACACCTCCTCAGCGCCTCGAGTCTAAAAAGCTTCCACCACTTGTCGAGGCGTATCTCGCCACTGTCTCGGATGCGGAAAGACATACGACTGCCGTAACTTTGACCCGTCTTCTCAGAAAGGGCTGTCGAGTAGCGGGGTCCGCGATTCGGATATTCAACGCTGTTGAGAATGTCTGCGAAGCAGGCCTTTACGGCCTTCCGATCTTTCTTGGCTGTGCGCGCGACGGCTGTCGTGCTGTTGACAAGCTCTGAGAGTGTCTCCTTGAGATGATGCTCCTGTCTGAAAGGCTGGTAGCGCTTAGCCAGTTTCGGGGCGCCCGCCGGGCGATCGGGATCTACGAGCCTCTCGCTTTCATTGTTGACCTCCTCGTCTGCCGCCAGCGTATCGTAGCTAGCTTCATAGAGCAAGGCAATGTTTTCGCCGGCCGCGATCTTGACTTGCGCGTTGGTGCTTTGGAGTTGGTCGTGGAAAGCGGTTATTGCAGGCTCGCTCTGCTCCTCGAGATCGTCGAGTTGCGTTGCGAGGAACCCCCATTCTTGCTCGCAAGCCCGCACAACCCCTGCGTCGTCGTCGGCGCCTATCAGACACCCGTCTGATGAAACGATTTCAAGGAACCAATCCATGGTTTCTTCAATAGCGTTTGTGGAGGCGCCACCGAAAACACTAACAATGCTGAGAGCATGGATAGCGGCTTGCCTCGGTGCGGAGGTCTCGGAGTCACTTATTACCTCCTTAATAGCCTTGTACACGTCCTCATATCTGCCAGCAGGCGAGTCGGTAATGATAGTAAGGGAAATAGCTGCGCTTTATCGTCAGCACTTGGCCGTGTACGGGGCAGCGGAGCCTCGCAAGTGGGTGCGACATACCCTTCAGCGCAATCACAGTCTCGTCCTCACCCTCCTCCGAGGTGTCAACGCTCTTAAGCAAAGCATGTATCAACTCGTCTGCGCTATACTGTATTTGCTCTTGTGCGAAGTGTGTCCGTAGGATGTTTGTGTATTCCGTGAGCGCCCTCTTGCGACCCGAGGTGGTGCTGCGCTTGCGCTGGATTATCTCGGAGATCAGGTTGGAAAGCCACGACTTCCACTCGGTCGGATCCATGTCGGCTACTTCGTTCTCTTCTTCGAGCGAGCCTCTACTAAGGCTAAAGCCGAACGACTGGTTGCTACATGGGGTTAGCCACCACCGACGATATACCAGGAGAGACTTCCACACATACCTGCCGTCGGTCTCGTCGCTGAGGAAGCCTGCCTCGTCTTCGGAAACGTTGCGACTGGCGGCTCTGCTAGCATTCCTGGAGCCAGCGCGGGAATTTGGCGCCGAGTTGACTGGGGAGCTCGCGCCTGAGCCGGCAAGGGCTTGCTTTTGGCGCGCCTTGCGCGACACGGTCTTTTTGCTTTCGAGGACCTGGCGACGGAGATCGAGGTCGGGCATCTTTGCTGTCGTGCCAAGGGGGAGTTCGCGCTGTAAGTGTTGGAGCAGTGTGCGGCACGAAAGTTGTGTGGCGGGTACCGAGGGATATTAAGCGGTTGGCTAGGTCGATGTCAAGGGCTATAAAGTAATTCTGGTGTGACGTCAAGGGCGCAAAGACTTGAACAGCCGCGAAATCACTCGACTCGGGTTTTTCGATTCACGTGAAGATGGGCCGTAGACACGACAGCCCGTACTTCAACTGTCTGCTCACATGGTGACAGGAACCGCCGCCGACATCTTACTCGCAACACCGGTGGCGTCGCAGTCGCTCATGGAGGTACCATATGCTTCGCGCACAGATGCAGACCACGCCGGATAACGTATAGGCTTGGAAGTCCTCTTGTGCGGTGCGTACAACAGACAAACATCAAGGTATGCGCTTGTTGGAGGCTTGAATGACGGGAACCAGGGCCTCGCTCCCGCTTACTCGTACGCTGGATTATTGGCTGCCGCTTGCGTCCTGCAGACGTGGCCATCCGCCGACGAGTATGACTCTTACTGAGTCATCCAGAGAGCTCTCTTATCTTTGCGCGTCCCGACTCCTCCGGCTTGGATTCGAAATTTTTATTTAGGCAGCGATTCAATCTGCCTGATTAGGAAGTCGTGAATGAAGTCATAGTCACGTGTGATGGGAGCTGTGACCACAGCTTAACCCACACAACACCACGACCGGATCACCAACTGGACAGTTTCGGAGCAACACTTAAATCACCACAAAAACCTCGGCATTCATGTGATTGCTTGAACCTGTTGACTAAACCGTATCATCAGTCGACAGCAGACACATCTCCTGCACGATCTTATCATTAACGACATGACAGGCAAAATTATACGGTATCGTGAACTTCATCAAAGCACGTTCAAGCCTCAAACAACTTCATCGTCAGGGAGTGGCATAACAAATACATGGCTTTTCATAAGGTATTGGCCTAAACCTAATCGCTGCTAACCAGAGCCGCCAGTCCCGCTGGAGCCCATTGTATCTCTTGGTCTATGGAAAATTGTGCCAACTAACCAGCCTATAATGATGGTCAGCATCACCTTCATCTCATAAACTGTGACTCGGGTGGCTTACCAGGGCGTGTCCTGGAGCTTCCCTTTCTCTTTTCATTCTCGCCTGCTTGGACGTCCGATTGGCGCCGCAAAGGTCCTCGTCTGTCGTACATGCTGTTGGCCGTGGTTGTGGTCTGGGCTGCTTTGTAGCTCTGAGCCGGCCATCGCTGAAGCAGCATTTTCGCCTTTTTTCTGTACTTCTTTTACAATTTCAATTGCAGCTTCAGCTCTTGCATCCGCATCCACATTCTCGTCTATTTGGTACCGTTTCGCAAATGGCGCGTATGGATCTTCCAGCGGACTCCATGTCGTGTAGCGTTCCAAAGGACTTGCTGCTGACGGTATAGATGCTTTGTACGGCTTTACGCTCTTACTGGTAGCGAACGTATCTTGGACGACTTTCATTTCAAGGTCTCCCTCTCCGTTGAAATCGGGACTTAACATTTGGCAGAGGCTGTGGAGTATCTCTGCATTCACAATATTCTTGGCATGATATGCGTCCGACTGAATAGTTCAACATCAGCTAAGTTGTCTGCTTGCTGCATTAGGATGACTTACTTCAAAGCTAGACATATTGTGTGTTTCGAGATTTTGCTGCGACAACGACATTTCTCCTCGGTTCGTTATGAATGCCTCGGGTCTCATAACTCAAGTGAGAGCCGCTGGATCTTGGTAGGGGTAGAAAGCGACAAGTTGCTTTGCAATAGTGCCTCACGTTGAACATGCGGTCTTTTCGGATCGTACTAAAGGTCTTTTCCTCAATTGCCTCCTTCGACTACCTCAAGTTAGCAACTGTTCTGTTGATTCCGAGACTCCACTACGGGGATGACAACTTACTTCCACACAGCACACTCTCTCACATAGCACTGCAGGTTTCTCTGAGGACAAGCTAGGCTAAGAGGTACTCGAAGATGAGTGTCTTGCCGTAGCCACAGATCACAGTCCGCCAGTATTTGGGCAGATAACGCACAATCGGGCAGCAATATTGCGAACAGTCCGCGTCCAGGACGTCTCCGCCGGTTTGGCATATGATGGGGGCTACTCAAATTGTGGCGCACCGAAAGAAGCAAAGCGCAAGGTACCGCTGGAGTGGAAAAAAGCTGACAGTAAGAGGGATCTGGGAATAGGGATCCAGGCCGTGGTATGCCTTGAGATTCTGCTACTGATTGGTATTTCTGTCGACTCACCCAAACACCTTTATATCTGTTGCGCCGAGTATGTATAGCATGAGGCTAACCAGGCAAGATCTAAGCCCAGCGCACCATGGGAGATCCACAACATGATATCTTCATGGAGACTCATGCCGCGAGAGAGCAAATGCCATTAACGGTTATGCATGCGACAACGGCACTACACAACACGCATTACGCGCACAAGCCATCAAGGCTAGACTGATTCAAGCGCCTCCATTTGCCCATCAGTAGATCCCAAAACGAATAACAACCCTGCCGGGCTTTGGCATTCTGCCCCTGGAGTCAGCCCAAGGCTCCCATGGTGTCCTTTTTTTCCTTTCCCTGGCGCTCATCCCGGACCCTTGGTGGTTTTCTCCACGTGGTGTTGCAACAGTACCGTTGTATCGGGCTCGCTTGGAGCGAGCTACCGGGCTCTACCCGGGGACGCCGCGCGACACTAATGTTCCGCAGGCACATCTCGGTCACGCCGGCGAAGCTCAGATGAGACTCCTTCACGGTGTTATCGTTGACACGTGGTAAGGATCCAAAGAGATGACAAGGCACACACAAACGCGCATTGAGATTCCCCAAACCCCCATCGAACAGTGGTCAAGGCTTGCGCGATCGTTTTCGGCCGACATACCATGCGCTCCATGGTTTGATCGCAATGCATTACAGTGCCCTACACTCAGGAAGAGCAGAGTAGCCTCAACACGTCAGCCTTATCCGCACTGACACATCCAGAGATAGAACGAACTTACCAAGCGTTCGGAGAGGAACCGAGAGTGCAGGTCAGAGAGGCTTGTGCCACCTACTTGGAGCTATCTTATGACTAGGACGCCATACATGGCGTTCCCACGGCCCAATGAGAGAGCAAACCAGTCCGGCTGACCACCCCTCCACTGCTATTTTGAGAACAAAGATCGTGGTGATCGAGGACCGGCGAGCAACGCATACAGACGCACAAGCGCTTAAACTATCACCTGCGCTCGACCAACCGCAGTCCGGAGGTGGCTGGGCATGTTTCCATGCTGCAGAATAGGTAATGGCATGGGACGCGCGGAAAGATCCACAATCACCAGCTCATCGTCACCATAACCAACCACCATTGTAGTCATCATATCTTGTAGACCCCCGCGATCTTGTCAGATGCAGCACCTGCTACATAGATGACAGGATGAGACTTTCCGCTCTACTACCCCCGCGCGTCAAAGGGCGTGTGGAGTGGTGGGGGTGTGCTCGCGGGGCTTGGTGTCACACGAAACTGACTGTCCGGCAACCCCGCATATCACAACGGCTGGACGAATCAGTGGTCAGCCAGCGCGGGCACAGCAGTGGATTAATAAGAGTTTCTGCTGCGGCTACCCAGCCATTGTCGCAATGTGCTTGGTGTGTCGTCGGCTTGTCCGCACTATCGTCATGGTGCCGACCTGTAGATGCCTGTCATCATCGGCATTTCCGCGATGCGTCCTCGACCAGACAGCGGCACAGCAAGACCCGCAACGGCATCTATCCCTTACCCCCGACACGCGACAACGACGACAACGACAATGTCTATGACGCCGACAAATGACGACCCCTCACTCTCATCTCACCACCAAGACCCACGCACACCACGCACACCACCATCACCACCCACGACCGGACGTTCCCAAGTCTATCTCCGGGCCTCCCTCCCACGCCCCCGGACCCGGGAGTCCGCCCCAACCGCACGGATCGCGCCCAATTGGGATGTTCCAATCGCCAGATGAACGGGCGGGACAAACGTCGGGACCCATGTTTCATCAGCAATCAGATTGGCCCCGGGCACGGCCACAGCTTGGCCTTTCTCAATCTCGCCCCCAAAAAAAGCAACACGGTGCCTGAGTTGTGCCGATCCAGGACACCCGTGACGTGACGGCTTTACGCGCTCCGCGGGGCGGGCGGCCGCGCGCGCGCTCTCTCGGCTACTTGCCCCCATACGGCAGGACAAGGCCAGGACGGGGGGTGGGTGGCCGTGCGCGCGCCCTGCCATTGCGATTGTCGCTGGGTTGTTGGCATGGTACCTATTGAACTTTCATCTATGGTTCCCGCTAGGGAACTACAGTGTTTGGATCTTTTTTTGGGTGCAGGTGGGGCTCGACGGCAAGACGGCGAGACGGGACGATGCGCTCCACTGGCTTGCCCGTCTCTAGGTCCGTCGCTGCGGCTCGACGCGAGGTTGCTTCTGTCCCTGGCCCCCAACCGTTCCCTTGTACTATGTACGTCTCCTGCGTGCAGGTGCCTGCGTCTCGTCACATCTCTCTGCTTCTGCTGGCTGGTTGGTTGCTGCCCTTCCCCTCTCTCGACGGCACTGCGGCGCACGCTTCCCGCTGCCTTAGCCGCGGGTCGGGTCGTGTCGTCCTGCGTCGGAGGACATGGCTCCGCGTCCGTTTGAGGGGTGTGGTGTTGGAGCATGACAGCTGGTGCTGGACCAGGCAGGTAGTTTCTAAATTTATTTGGCTCAGGGTGGCAGTACACACGGGAACTAAGAGAGAGAAAGAAAGAAAGAAAGAGAGAGAGCTAGAGGGTGTATGTGTGGGAGAGAAAGCACGAGAGGAGCGCACGCACGCATCCTCCACCAGACACAAGGTAGGTACATACAGGACGTACAGTAGAGGCAGCGTTTCCCACGTCTTCCCACCACAGCAGCACTCCACACTCCACGCACAAACACCTCCCTCCCTACCTCTCCGGTCCAGCACCCCCCCGCCCCGTCGCTCCGGCCCTACCTACGCAGTACGGATTACGCACATGCGTACGTGCGAACGTACATACATATGCCCACGCACCGCACTTACTCACCCACGCGCATCACGCTCCCTGCGCCGCGAGCGACTTCTCCAATGAGCTCGCGCCCACGCCGCGCGCCATGCCCAGGGCCACGGCACCGCACCGCACCGCGCAGATCTGGCAGACCGGGCCCGCTGGGGCGGCGCGCTTCTGCTGGCGGAGCTGTCGGCGCCGCTCCTGCTGGTGCTGGCTGGCTGGCTGGCTGGCAGGCAGGCAGGCCACAGCGGCGGGTTGTGCAGCACCGCGAAGCCAATGCCGTGGCGTTGGGTGCGTGCCGCGGCGTGCTGTGCCGTACGTACCGGCTGGGTGGGCGGTTGAGGTGGTGTTGTTATTGTGTTTTTGCTTGCTTGCTTGCCTGTCTGTCTGTCTGCCTGCCTGGCTGGAAAGTAAGTAGGCAAGTAGGCAAGCAGGCAAGCAGGCAAGCAGGCACTCAGGCAGGCAGCCAGGCAGCCAGGCAAACACCACAAAAACGACAGGTCCACTCCCGCCTACCTAACGTACCCTACCCACGCCCACGGCACCGGGTCCTGTCCCGGCCCGCTGCACCGGGAGGACGGCGGCGTCATTCGCAGCACAAGCGCGCGTAGGCAGGTACGTGCGAACCCCCGGACATAGTAGGTAGGTATAAGTAATCAGTGAATGATCGGCTGCGTGTTTACTTATCATCTATGCATACATAGTCAAAACATGCAAATGCACAGCCTCACGCGCGCGCAGCTGTTTACTCTTTTCCCTCCATCTCTCCCTCTCTCTCTAACCCCGTCTGTGTGTCTCGCGTTCTATGTAGTTAGACTTTACACTATGCTTCCGTATGCACAGTACATGACATGACATGGTCCTTGTCTTCCGAGTGATGAGAGAGCAAGGGCCAGGCGCTCTAAATGCGACGCGTCCCGCCCGCCTGGGCGTCAAGTCGAGTCAATTTTATCATCTCGTGGCTCGTCGAGTTGTGTGTGCGTGCGTTTGTACAGTACAAATGAATAGGTAGCACTACCCGCTACCCTGACATGACAAGGACATGGGCCCGGGACCGTGGCTGTGGCGCCCGCCCGTCGGCCCGCCCGCCTGTCGTCTTGTCATGACTCGGCGCGCTGAGCGCGTTGGGACGGTATGGCAAGACGACAGGCGGGCGAGCAGGCGGCTATGTTGGCTTTCTTGCCTCTGCAGTTTGAGCTGCTGCATGAATGAAGGATCCAGAGGCGCGGTGCTGGGGCGGGGAGGAAGGGGAAGAGGAAGAGCGCGATATGTAAGACGAGCTTGGCTAGGCTTTTGCTATTGCATGTCACGCGCATTTACTTCGTTTCTAGTTACCTTTTCCAAACGCAAAGTCACAATACCCATCCCACATATCGCACTTCAAGCACTTGTCATTATGTGGAGCAGTGGAGTGGTATAAATAAATGCGAAGAAGTTACAGCTACACTATTTACAATTTTCCTAACGCATAGCGCCCTAGCGGCGGCTATGCATACGTACGTAAGTACCCACATACATACATAAATATATATAAGTATAAATATAAATATAACTAAACAATCAAGATCAAGGGTATCTTTTCAAAAAGCCAGAAGAAGAAGCAGATCCAAACGTCCCTGAAAAGGCGGACTGGAGTATATGAACAAGAAGAAGGGAGAAGAAGAAGAAGAAGAAGGAGAAGGAAGAAGGAAGAAGCGATTAAACCGGAATACAACAAACAACAACAAATAAACGGCTCAGAGCGTGCGTGCAAGCGTGCCCATACAAGCCCAGGTATCTAGCGAAACGAAGCGAAAACGGCCATGAGCCTCGTAAAACACAGCAAGCAATGCCAAAAAAGCGTCTGAAGAAAAAAGTCGAAGTCGAAGAAAATCGACGTCAAAGAAGAAAAGAAGAAGTAGAAGCAGAAGCAGAATCAATGATTCGGAAACTCGGAGATTCTTGACGATAAAACCAAAAACATAGGAGAGGAGAGATATAGAGAGCTAGACAAAGGAAAGAACAAAGGAAAGAATATACTCTTAAGATATACCATACCATACCGCCATCATACCATATCATCTTGCAGCTCACCACCAAGCAAGAACCAGCGACCGCTTCTCGGTACCCTGCCTTTTCGCGCAAACATATATATATATATATATATTTCCGTTCCTTTATTTTCCTTTTCTTTTCTTTTTCACTGTGATTTTCTTGTTGTTATTGTTTTAGTTCTTGTTCGTTCGTCCGCAGCGGCAAGCGTTGCTTGATCCTGTTATCAGAACCAGACAGCGCGCCACCCCCGGCGCCGAATCCCCTCGAGCACGCGCACCGCCGCCCCGTGCACCTCGCCGCCGCAGCCAAGCGCGTCCACCGCCCAGCCTAGCACCGCGTCCACGCCCGCCTGCCACTCGTCGAGACCGCCGTTCTGCGCGCTGATGCTGGATAGTGCGTGCGCGAGAGCGGGGACCTCGGCGGGTGTAGCTGGCGTGGTGCGCGTGGAGGCCAGGAACGCGTGCGCCGTCGTTGCTGTGGTGGTGGTGGATGATGATGATGATGACGGCGCGCCAGGCGTGGCGGCTTCTGCAGCCGATTGCACAAACGCCCACAGCGTCAGCGCCGCGTAGAGGAGGATCAGATCCAAGCCCGGCGCCAGGCGCGCAGTAGCACTGTCGTGCCCGTTGTCTTCGGCGGCGCAAGCGAGGCGTAGCGCGCCCAGAGCGTGCAAGAGCGCTGCGCTTGCCGGCGCGTCTGCGCTGCTGAAGCCGGCTGTCCAGTCCCGCAGCGTGCGCTTGGCTGCAGCGTGCCGCTCTGCTGTCAGCTTCTCGTCGAAGACCCACGTCTCGCCTGCTACGGCCAGGAGCGCGTGCAGCGGCGCCGTTTCTGCGATTTGGATCCCGTGCCGCACCAGTGTGGTGCCTTTGCTCTCGGCCAGGAATTCGGAAATGCTGGGGCGGTGGGATCCAGAAGCTGCGGTTGGCGTCACGGTTGCGTCTTCGTCGGTGCGGATTCTTTGCATGAAGAGTTCGTAGAGGCTTTCGAATCCGTCGGGAGATTGCTGTGCGGTTTCCGTCTGGGCGAAGGCGTTGTGGCTGGCGTTGATTTGCTCGTTCCAGGCCCAAGAGCCCGCGTCCCATGTCGATAGCGGCTCTGGTGCGGGTACGTCTTGCGGAATCGGTATGATAGGCGAATTCCGCAAAAGAAGTAGTTGCTGCTGGGAGTCGAGGATGAAACAGGCTGTGAGTAGGCGTGTTCTGGCCGAGGTGTGGATCCATTGCTGCCAGTCGGTTGGCGAGTTAAAGGCGCGGGTGCGGCGGGCGTTGTGTTCTGCGGAAAGCTGGCATGGCGGTCAGGACAAAGCTTGTCGAATCCACCATCGGAGGACTTACGCTGCGATACATGCTCTGGAAAGCAGTTGACAGTCCAGTCTGCGCCCTTTTACCGCAGAACAAAGAAAGAACCTCAATGAGGAAGACTGCCTGCATATCGCAGGGCCGGTCAGATGTTACGCCTTCATTTTCCCGCTGCGGTTACTGTTAGCTTCGGAACTGCTCATGTCTGCATCGCCGATCGCATACCTTTGCGAGTGCCTTTAAACACCGCTCGTGCAGTATTCTGCTTTGGGCCTTTGACCCGGCGACGTCGGAATACTGCGCACCTACTGCCAACATTGCTGCCAAGCAAAGAGGGGATTCGTTCCGGGGGTCGAACGTCGGTTTGTGTTTGATTGAAAAGGTCGGGTGGAAGCGGAGCCAGTAATTGCTGAGCCACTCATTCATCTGGATAGGGTCAATAACCGGGGTTCCGAATGGGTGGTCCGGGAATAACACACGGTACTCTTCGTTGTCAAAGTCGTCAAACGACCTAAAAGATGGAGTCGAATGACCTGCCATAATCGATGCGTGAAGTTGATCGGAAGAGGCCGCATAGATCGAGGTATCGGAAGTGGCGTAAGAGGGAATGCCGGAGCTGTCCGAGAGGGCAATGCTATGCATGTTGGGGTCCCTCTCGACATCGAGCCAGTAGAATGGTTGCGTCGAGGTCACCGAAGCAGGAGACCTAGGCAGCGTCTGCATGAAGGGGTCGATGAACGAAGCGTTGGACAAGGTGCGAGGGCGGCATGCGGGGTAAGGGTTCGTAGCGTAAGGGTAGTCGGGGTAGCTCGAAATGTGGCCCGGGGAGCCATAACCGCTAGTCGTAGGAGGGTACTCGGGATACTCGGGCGGGGGGCTAGTCCAGCCCCAGTCACCGAAGAACTGCGAGCCGGTATGCGCCGCGAGGTCCTCTGCCATGGGGATGGAAGTGCGTGCGTAAGAGGGCGGCGCCGTGGCGAAAGGCATCTTCGTCGAGCTGCAAGTAAAGAGTCAGCATTGCTTGTGCACAGACCAGATGCGGATATTGCAAATAGGAAGTAAAAGAGATAGGCAGATCTTGCTTCCATTGTGTTTGAGTCACTCACTTGACTTCGGACTGAAGAAGACTGTCATAGGAAACAGAGTAAGGAGATTGAAAAGTAGAATACCTTGCCGCTGAGCTTTGCACTGCGTCGATCATTCCGGGAGTGGAAGTCACCGAGTAGGCGGCCTGGCTGACTTGAGGGAGCGAGGTGCGCATGATGTCTTGGGGTTGCGGGGAAGCAACGGCCATGGGCGTTTCGTAACTCCTGGAGGAGCCGTGGCTGGTGACGGAGCCCCTGCGGTTCTCTTCGTTGTTCGGGTCGTTGTGCCTTTCCCGGTGACGCTCCAAGAGGTCGGTACGGTGGAAGGTCTTGCCGCAACCGGGCCAGTCACACTGCAAGGCAGCGCCGTTGTGGTTCTGCTGGTGCCTCCTGTAGATACGGGTTAATACATTACTCGAGGGGAGGTCCTCGACATGTCCAAACTGACCTCAGGTGCTCAGCCCTGGTGTAAGACTAGATGGCATGTCAGCGATGGGTCCGCAAGATGCAGAAGATCTAGATGGGGCTTACCTTTCCACATGATTCGCAAAGGTGGACCTTGAGGCCCTTCTTTGCCTTGGAGATACGACCAGTCTTGGTGTACTTGGTAGGAGTCTCTGAAGGACTGACGGAGCGCTGCATGATGCTAAAGTCTCGAGGTGAACCGTCGTAGGAGTGAGGTGGCTTGGTTGAAGAACTCGATTGAGGGCGGTGGCGGGATGACAAAGCCTTTTGGAAGGAACGGGATGCTTCCTCCGAAGACTCAGAAGTGTGGCGACGGTGAGTAGTAGTGGTAGACTGGTGGATGATGGAAGGCGTGGTGGGTTGATATGGCTTTGTAGGTCCGGGCAGAAAGGATTGGTGTTGCGCTGCTGTGGGTGCCGAGGATGGCTTGTGGTCAATGGTGTTGTTCTGATCGGCCATGGACGATGGGTATATATGCAGAGGGTGGAATTAGATGCGGAGATCGCAAGGTCCACTGTCGCTCCTTGTTGGACCCTGTAGGGCAGATGGGAAAAGCTTGAGCCAGGTAGACCAGGGCTGCCGTTGGTAGTCTGGGTTGCGCCTCGTGGCCCCAGAGCACTGTTCACCGCAAATAAAGATGGCGCGGAATGGCGACCGGTTGCGGATTGGTTCGCTTACTATCACAGGAGCGTTGGTACGTATCTCCGTGATGGGCGTGGGGGTGGTGGTCGAGAATGTGGACTGGAATAGAAGCTTCGTGGAGAGAGTTGCGGCTGAAGGCGAGAGCGGGAAGCGAAGCTCGGATAAATTAATGACGGTAGCGAGAAGAGTGATCGGTATAAGCTTGGGTGCTTGGGGGGAGGCGGTTGGTGCGTCACCTCACCTGCTACGGCAAGGCATATAAGGATGGATTGTTTCGGGGAAAAGCCCAACAGAGTGGGTCACAAAAATACACCGTCGGCTGTGCTAGGGCCCATGACGGTGTAGACTATTATAGCATGGCTAGGTTGATTCAAGTAACTGCCCTGAGGCAGGGTGGGTACAGATCGTGCCATGAGTGATCGAAATGCAGGTACTCCAATGGCTGAGCAGGGAAGCACTGGCAGCAGGCTGGCAGTGCCCGGAGGGCAGGAAAGGCGGGAGGGCAGGAGAGCGTGGATATCTGGCGGCGGGCGGCGTTAGGCGGGCCTGGGGTGGGCAGGCCGCAAAGCAGCGGGCGCCATTGGCGTCGCGGACCGTCCCCGTGCAACGCCGCCCTAAATTCAGGCTGGTCCGGTCGAGGCTTGGTCGGGTCGGCTGCGCCTATTTTCGGCAGCATGCCGCAGATGGCTGGCACGCTCAGCCCTTCGACGCGGTAGGTAGCAAGGGGGGGTGGTCGCGCTGCCGGTCGTCGTCATGCGCGCGAAACACCAACACGGCCAAAGCCGTCGTGTGCGACGTGCGGCTCTTGTCGCCCGGCCTGAGCACGACCGTCGACGCGCGCCTGGGGAAGGCGAGCTTGCGAGAGTCCTCTTGCCAACATCGGGTGCAGCGCGAAGGATCAGCTAACGGGGCCCATTGGGGCTCGAGCTCTGCGTGCTGTGGAGAAAGACAGGACAGGGTCTGCATATTCCTCAACCGGCTAGCGCGCCTGCTCCACGAGTCGGCTCCCATTCCCCCAAGCTTTTTGCAAAACGCTGCAGGGTGACTTTGTCTCTTTGGAATGGAGGGGGTGCGAGAGGTAGAGCTGACCTTTCCGACGCGCGCTGCAGCGCCCATCGCACCGCGTAGAGCTGACACACACTGTCAGCATCGGACGGTCTCTAGGCCGCCGTGAGAATCCTGGCGCTTGGGCAAGTGCTAGCACCACCGGGGCGGCACGGTGGTCGAAAATTGGTCGAATCACACGGATGTGCCGTGCAAATCTCCACATCCGTTGGCGTGGGCTTGGACTGCCGGGAAGCTTGGGTGCTTGCCGCCTTCTCTTGCGGTCATGAAACAAAACGGCCATGCGCGCATGAGCGACGGCCGTCGCCAAAGAGGCCCCGTCGGCTAAAAATGTAACTACCCTCACTCAATATGTGAACTTGTTAGTTAGTTGGTTAGTCGTAGTTAGATGGCCGCCGGTGGGGGGGAGCGAAAGGGAAGGGAGGGCGTGTTGCGCCGTGTCACCTTGCACACACACACACACCCACCCACACCGACAAGGCCACGCGCTGCTTCTACGACACCTACAATAGGTACATGATTCCTGTCGAGTTGCGAGTCATCAGAAGAGTCTGCTGTTGCCCGCTTGGCCGGAACGGCCACCGCTTTTGGAGGTTAGTGAGCGCGAGCGCCTTGTCTTCCCGGCTTCCCCTGCGGATCCCGACCGTGAGTCCAGCCTTTCTGATGAATGGCCAATCGCAATCTCGGCACGGGCGCGAGCACGCCCCTCGTTGATATCCAACCGACAGGGCCGGCTGCAGCTTAGGGCGCCAGCTGACCGCACTCCGCTCTAGTTGAGCCTCAATGCGCGGTGTGACAAGATGCCTGAGGCAGGCCCTTGTTCGCAATCGCTTTCGCCCGGGGAGCGTGGGACGCGAATCCCGGCCCCATCGCCATGGCACACAGCTTCTCTTGCGCCAGAACGGGCAACTGTGCGTCGGCGGCCGTGCGAGTTGCTTGTCTCAAGCCACAGGCTCGTCGTCGATAGCGATTGAGCCTAAAGGGCTGTGAGGGTCAGGGCTACACAGACACACTGGCGCTCCACAAGTCCCTGGTGAGGGCGGCAACCTGTGCGAGCAACGGCTTGCATGCGCGTCAAACGGGCTGACAGGGGGGCGAATCCTTCGGTACTCCCGGAATAGCAGCTGAGGTGATTATTGCACCGTAGCGATGTACCTCGACGCCAGACGTCTGACAGGCCCACCAACTTTGAATCCCAGAAGGATGGTGAGATCTCGCCGAACCTCGTGGGACGGGAGATGAGAGGATGCGAACGGGGGAGGGACCAAGTGTGAGAGAGTCTGGAGAGAGGGTGTTCGAAGTTGCACGTCCCAGTCCCGGATGAACCTCAGCGCCGAGGGGGGCACCTACGGGGGGTCCCCTCCATCCCGTCGACTTGCAGGCTTCGCGGGCACGTGTTTCTCGTCGCGTCCCAAGCCCTTGGCTCCCCGCTGTCTGCTGCCATCCACTTGAGACTCGAGGCGTGGCACCTCCGCACATTCCCAAGCCGGCAAATCTGCTTCATCAGCATTTACCGTTTTCGTGTGCACGCGCAAAGGCCTCCACCGTGCCACCAACGCTGCTGGGAAATTCTCGCCATAATCTCCCATCGCCATTTCCCTCGAGATCCTGCTTCCTTTCGCAACTCCAACACGGGCGCGTCTGTGACAGAGGATTTGAGGCTACAGTTTAAGCTTGACCCAGGTCAGCCCCGTAGGATTCGCCTAGATCCTTCGATAGGAACCTTCTTGCAGATTATGATTCAAAGGAACAGGGACGTCATCAGGTGATGGGAGTGGCGGTGGGTTGGCCCCTTGACCCTTCTGCCACAGCAGGCAGGCCTCTCTCCGCGGACGAAAAGTGAAAAGGCGGTTTCCCTTGAGCCCTAATGGAGCCTCCAGCGCATCAAACGGGACATCATGCGCCGACTCCGCAGGAGCCTGGGAGCATGGCGCAAAGCCAGCCACATCTCCGGGCGATCTCCCCTCGTCCTCTTTCCACAACGGGACACCAGGACGATTAAGATGTCGCCTGGACCATAACGTCGCTTCAGAGGCATCAGCAACACACAACATCGAACCATGTGAGAGAGAGAGAGTAGACGAAATTACTCGTGAGCCGAGTCCCACTCTACTCTCTCACCGTGTTGCGCGCGCAACCCCACCAACCCCCAAACCGCTTTTTCCCAAATGCAGACCCGCCACCAACCGAAGGTCTTTTTTGGGCTTTGGTTTGCGCGTCTGATCTCCGCCGCGCCCAACATTGCATATTGGACAATAATAGGGAAGTTGCAACGGCGGTTGCTCCTAGCTAAGGCACAAGTTTAGTGTAGTGGATCGGTCCTTCCCGCGCACGGCTCCGCCCCGCCCTTTGCCGCGCGCATTTGCATCTTGTCTGCCCCGTCCGCGGAGCGCGTCCGCGGAGCGCATCCGCGGAGTGGCGACGACCGCCCTACCTTCTTTTTTTTTTTTTTTCTTGTTCATTTTTTCGTGGCCAGCCAGATGGCGTTGGTGCCTCAAAGGGTGGGTCTACCTAAGGCAACAGCTCTGGCTGCCTGTCGTCGCCTAAGTAGTCGCTGGCTGCCTGGCAGAGAGGGTACATTATAGTAGCGCGGCTTTGAGCGGGCTGATCGCCTCGCCGCCTTCCCTTTAAGCGCGCCGAACAACAACACAACTGCGAGCCCTTCTCGCGCAGACGCGCAGGCAGCCTTTTCCCCTTCTTGCCACGTCACGCAGACCCTATCAACAATTTTTTTTTTATTTTTTTTATTTTTGGTGTGTGTGTGTGTGCGTGTGTTCCATCTTCATCTCCATTTCCACCACTTACCCCATACGGTGCGGTGCGTACGTGCTCCGCGGGTCCGCTCGCCTCGTCCAAAAAGCCGCCGTTTACTGTATATGCGGTAGATTACCCAGGCACGCCCTACAATATTATTGTATTATCAGGTGTGCAGTAGATTGCGCACGCACAGGCAGCGCCGCCTACGTCCGTCGCGCGGGAAACGCAACAACGGCAACGGCAGAAAAAAGACCACAGACACAGACCGTGTCCGTGTCCGTAGACGGGCATCTCCACAAACCGATCCTCCGCGGACGCGGTGCCAAGAACGGCCCGCGCCCAGGCTTCCATCCGCACCCGCGCGGGATTGGTTCCGCGCGCGGCCCGTTGCGCCCGTCACATGCTAGGAGTAGGCTAATTTCGAACGGCTTTGAGAGACTCCTCTCTCTCTTGCTCGCTCTCTGCCTACGTACCTATCTCCCCTCTAGGAAATAGGGCGCGCGCTTTCGCTTTCGGGCATTGCAATCACTAAGGTAGCTAAGGTACGGATCGATGGCTTCTTCCATGCATGCAACCCCGCCATGCCGGCCCGGCTCCCCTGACGTGATTGTCGTGTCGTTTCTGCCTAGACCCTAGGTAGGTAGGTACCTAGTAGGTAGTCGACACGGTTCCGTTCCGTTTCGCGCGCTCAGGTCAGCTGCCTCATCCTACCTACTTGCTCCTTTTTCATGCATCTTAGGTCCCCTTGCCCTGGGACGGACGCCGACAGGGGCAAGACGCAACGCAAGTCCCTGACGTCAGGGACCTATTTCCCAATCAGGCATATGCGTCGTCGCAAGTCCCGATGTGACGCTTCGCGAAGCTATACACGAAACCGCGAGCTGCCTACCTTGTTATTGTTCCAGCAATAGCTCACTATGGCTAGGTCTGTAGGCAGGCAGGCACACACGCACACGCCCGTCCTGCCCGTCCTGCCGCGCTCTTGCATAGGTAGGCAGGTAGGTTCTACCTACCTAGACCACGACAGCTCAAGACCTAGGTAAGTACCTAGTCAAGCCCTATCATCCTACCGTATGCTACCCTATCCTACGCTATCCTATCCGTGCAGCGCCCGCGAACGGCGCGACCAAGCGCAACGCGGGAGCGGGAGCGCCGGCGCGCGAACTACCTATATGATCGCCGCCTTATAGGCAGCTAGCTGCCGCCGCGGCCGGCGGCATCTGGGCCCGCTGGCTATAGGCTTGCTGCATGCATGCGTACAGCTGGCAGTTGTTGCGCGTCGTGCGCGGGCCCCCGCCGTGGGGGTTCTATGCCGTGCGTGCGTGCGTGGATGTATAGGTGTTTTTAAGGGAGATAGGGGATGGGGATGGGGATGGTGGTGGTGGTGGTGGTGGTGGTGGTGGTAGGGTTAAGGTAGTGGATAGTAGAGGCGCGCTGCTCTCTACCGCGTATATACTGTTAAAAACGCCCAAAGTACCTCTTATCTCTCCATCATTCTGCGCATACGCATACCTACAACGCCGCACCTACCAAATCACTAGGTCGGAGTATCTATCTATTAAAGCTTAGACAAGACAACGAACCTACCTACCTAGCGCCTTAGTCTCACATAGGCTCTGCGTGCGTACGTGCTTATCAGCTAGCCAGCCAGTCAGCCACTACATGCATACATACGCGTATGCACACATGCATGCATGCACGCGGTCAGAAGCTTGTCGTTTGTCTATAAATGGAACTGTGGTAGCAACAGCAACAGTAGTAGTACTAGCAGCAGCAGGTAAGCCATACTCGTAGCCATGCATACATGTGAGGTTGTTTTCTAAGCTACGCCGTAGTATGCATACCTAGCGAGGTTGGGGGGGATAAATGTAAGTAGTTACCTATGCGGCTGTGTAGCTAGCTAGCCAGCTATTTTGTTTAGCCGTTTAAATGATTTGGGGGGGTTAGGATCGTATGTTACTACGTAGTTTAATGCTGCTGCTCGAGTATTTACGTGTTACTAGGTCTTTCTTTTTACTGCCTACGCTATATAAAGCGCACACACACACGCACGCACGCACGCACGCACGCACACGTATGCAAACGCCTAAAAACAGCTTCTCTACGGAGCACCAGCCCTCCTATCTGGTTCTTGTGCGGTACCCCTCCCGCTTATCCTACCTACCCTATCTCACCTCACCTCACCCCAGCCCCAGTTACAGCCACAGCCACTCCGAAAAGCAAAAGAAAAATAAGTAAAGGAATTAGGAACAATACCCTCTTATCTTACCTCCATGCACCAAATCAACTAGAATCATTAAAGAGGCACGACGTAGTATTCTAAACTCGCTCGCCCGCCCGCGGGCTAGAAATAGAATTGGGAATAGGGGTTGGGGTTGTGCGTGCCTATTACTCCTCCCGCGTGGGGGTCGCGCTCGGAACTCCTTTCTTGTTGCTCCTTCGTTGTTGTTCCTTCCGTGTAGGAGTGGGTGGGATGGATAGGGTTGGGGCCTGAGGGATGGATAGGGTGTGGGATGGATAAGGTAGGGGCATGGACAAAGTAGAGTGCAGGAGTAGGAGTAAGAGGAGAGGAGTGTGCGGCGTGGGGGTCTGGGTCTGTGTCTGCGAGCGTGCGTTGTGCGTGCGTAGTGGTGCTTGCTGAAGGGGCCGTAATAGGGTTTGTTTTTGCGCTTTTGCTTTTGGGTTTGCTGTGGGGTGCGCGGGGCGGAAGGGCCGTGTGCTTTGCGTGGGGTGGTTGGGGTTGGGAGTTTGCTGGCGGATGCTGCTTGTTGTCGTGGTGGTGGATGTGGTGGTGCGCGCGAGAGAGTAAGAGAGAGACCTAGTGGGATAGCGGCGGCGGAGATGGTGCTGCGTTGGTACATAAGTAGGTACCTAGAGGTGTGCGGGCAAGCCACTGCGCAGCTGCAATGCAGCGTAAGTAGGTCCCTATATACATCTTCCCGCGCAGATCGCACAGCCTGCCAGCCACCCACCCACCACCTACCCCACGCGCCCCCATCGCAACCCGCAACCTGCCGCCACAGCCCGCCGCGCCGGCCCATGAAGCCATACCAAGGTAAGCACTCGCACCCGCACCCGCCCACAACGCACGAGGACAACCGAACCAGCCCAGTCCAGCACAGCACCGCACTGCACCGCACTGCACCGCGCCACCCAAAGTAAGAGTAGGTAGCGCAATCGCGTACCTAAGTAAGCACTTACAGTACCTACCCAGTCTCCCCTCCCGCAGCCGCAGCCTCCCGCAGCCTTCCGCAGCGTACCTACATACGTCAGACGCGCACGCTGGTGTGCCGGCGGGGAGGGGGAGGGACAGTACAGTAGGCAAAAGCAGGGCGCCGTGCTTCCCGCACCCGCGCCCGCATATGTATGTATGTAGGTAAGACGGGGCAAGGCAGGGCGTCTACCGGCACATAGCTAAGACAATCGACCCCGCAGCACGGCGCATCGCGGGCGGGGAGGGGCGGGCTGGGTGCATGCTGCTGCTGCTGCTGTGAGATGCGATGCGTGCCGCGGGTGAGATGCTGCGTGCGTGCGTGGGTAGTGCGGTCGGTATGTAGGTGCGGGTAAGATAAGCCTGCCGCTTACGTGCGTGCGTGCTTGTGTACTTGGGTATTTGCGTACTTGCGTACTGCTGAAGGGTCTGACGCGCCACGGCTTGGCTTAGCTTTCCATGTGTGCGCCTTAGGGGGAGCGTGGTGCGTTGCGTTGCGTTGCTTACCTACGCACTTGCTTGCGTGCTGCGCAGTCGCGCAGTCGCGTACGCTTTCGCTTCACTATCGATCTAGGTAGGTAGGTAGGTAGGCCGTCTGCTCGCTGCTCGGTCGTCTGCTCACAGCACACAGCCCACGCCCAGCCACCATTCGCTCGCCACCCTACCTACCGCCTAACGCACAAATCACTGCGAATAACCCACTTCTCGCCCTGCGTAACCTCGGCGCCCTCATGCAGCATGCACTCCCTCCCATGGCGATGCAGCAGGGCCAAGCCCACCTCCAAGCCCACCGCCAGCGGCAGAGGCTGTTGCTGCTGCTGCTGCTGCTGGCCCGGTTTCCGCGCCGGCGGGTCCGGGTAGAAGACGGTTTCGCCGCCTAGGCAGCCGGTTGCCGGCGCGGTGAGGTAGAGCAGCAGGGTCCAGGTGGTGCGGGCGGGGATGGGGGCGGGGCTGCTGGTGCTGGGGAGGAGGACGTTGTTGCTGTCGTCGTCTGCGGGAGGAAGGGGGGTTAGGATACTGGGGACTGGGGATTGGGGATGGGTGGCAGTGCCTGGACGTACAGTGCTGGTCAAAGTACTGCCCTTTGCTGTACCGGTAGATGCGGATGTTCGGGTTCAGCCCTACGACGTCGCCGCCCCAGAGCTCGCGCCGCTGCTGCCTGGTCAGGCGGAGGCCGTCATGCTCGGCGCCGTCACCCTCACCTTCGCCCTCGCCCTCGGCTTCGCCATCGCCTTCGTCTTTGCCCAGCACGAGCGCTTTCAGCGCCGTTTCCTCCCATAGCCGCCGCGCGAAGACCGCGTCGTCGATCTGGAAGCGGTCGTTGACTCTGACGGCGTCGCCTTTTTTGGGCTTGACGGGCGTCGTGGTCAGGGGTAGCGAGGCGAGGAACGAGACGTAGGTTTTGCAGAGCGATGAGGGCCAGAAGTTTGGGATGGTGATGATTTGGTTGGGGAGGAGCTCGTGCAGGGTTAGGTCCGTGGTGGGGATTAGTGGCTTGAAGGGAGGCCAGTTTGGTGGGGATGTGTTTGTGGCATCTTTTTTGTTGTTGTTGTTGTTGTTTGCAGAAGAGTCTTTTTTCTTCCCTTTTGGAGGCATGGTTGTTGTTGTTTTCCAGGTACCTAGTTAACTGTAGGCACTGTACCTACCTAGTAGGTAGCGGGCAGTCCAGGCCGGGCAATCATCGCTAGAACTCTTTGGCCGGTGGCGCCAAGATTTCCTGAGGCTCCTCCTCCGAGATCTAGATAGTCCCGTCGTACCGCTCCCCCGCCCGTCCAGCGCTGCCGACACTTTATGCGCAGCCAGCAATCCGCGGGTTGAATCTTGGGCTTTTGACTGCACCTCCAGGTCCGCCCGTCGCCCCCCGTCACCACGCATGCGCACCCCGCCTAGCTCGCGACGCAAGATGCCGAGACCGCCGACATGATGGAAACAGCGACACATACAGATCCTGGCCCCGAACAGGGCGCGACGCCCATGGAAGGCGTTGAGCCGACCGTCACTGCGACGCCCGAGCAGACCCCCCCCGCTGCTTCCCAACATGTGGCCGTTGCGACTCAACCCGACGCCGTCGCGCCTGCTGAAGCTTCACACGACGACAGCGGCGACCGCGACGCGCCCTCACCCGACCACCCTCCTCCCGACGCACAAGCACAAGCACAAGATCAAACACCTGAAGACAATCAAATCTCCGTTCTGCCTGCTGCTGGCGACCAAGAAGCGCCTCCCGCCGCTCCAGAACAAGTCCAGCCCGTGCCTTCACTCGACCCCCCAGCGCCGATACCCCTCCCGCTCGCTGAGAACAGCAGCGCCCTTGATGTGGCCGTCAACTCTGCAATCCAGCCCGCCGACCTTCCGCCTGTAGGATTCCCCGGGCCAATCGACGCCAACATGGTCTTCCCATCGAATGACTACTTCGGAAGCATGGACGCTCAGCCCTCTGACGCTCTCGCCCTCCATCCAGACATGCTCGACGCCACCCGCCCTGCCTCCATCTTCTCCGGCGCACAGCTCGAAGAGAGCCGCCAATGTGCCTTTGCCAAGCTTGAATTCCCGGACGGAGACTTCTACATGACAACGTACGCGGTTGAGCTGGGCCGAGATGCTCGTGCTCACCGGCAAGAGATGAAACGGTGGAAGCAGAAACAAGAGGTTCAGAGTCAGCGAGAGGTGGCCTCCAGCGTCGGCGATGCGCCGCAAACGCCCGTCCGGCCCACTGCGCCGAGCGTCGCGAGCGTCTGCCGCAGCAACCTGAGCGAATGTGGCGGGATCATGGGCAGGGACGACGCTCACGTCGTCATGGGCACGTCGAAGAAGAAAAGGAAAAAGAAGGATTCCAAGTCGAACAGCTCGTCATCGCAACGTCTTTCCCGCAAAAATTCTCTCGCTAGTAACGTTCTGGAACCTGTCGACTACAACCAGCTTGCCATGCTGCCCCCGTCACGCGCGCAACCTGATAACCCAAACTTCATGCCGGACCCTACTGAAGTCCCACTTGTGCCCATCCATCCTCCAATCAACGATGAGGGACCCGTCGGTCACAAGGGTATCTCTAGGAGGCATCTGAAGATCTACTACAGCTTCGAAAACCAAATCTTCGAAATGAAGGTGTTGGGCAGGAACGGTGCTTTTCTGAACAACAATCACTACGTGCCGGAAGACGCACCTATGGAACTCAAAGACGGCGACCAGATTCAGATCGGTGCCGTCTCCATCATGTTCCGTCTGCCCAACTCTTCTGTGGACGACGATGCACAATCACAAAGTTCGGACAATGTCAGCGGCGGCATCAGTCTAAACTTTGAAGACGGTCGTGGTGAAAGTATTGTTGTCGATGACAGCAGCGATGACGGTTTCAACTATGCCGAGCAGCAATACGATTACAGCCCTCATGCTTTTGGCTGGGTATCGGAGGAAGACGAATATTCCGAAGAGGATCAAGAGGAAGAATACCGCGAGGAGGAGCACCGACCCGTCAAGCTAAAGCTAAAGTTGAAGGCGCCCGCGAAGCAACAGCAAAGGGAATCAAAGGCAGAAGCTCGAGCACGGCAAAAGCTGCAAAAGAGTAAAAAGAAGGAAAAGCTCAAGGCTAAGCAGGCAGCCAAGGAGGCCAAGGCAAAAGCTGCTGCGAGCAAATCGGTTCCCAAAGCTGAAAAGACCAAGGCGCCTTTGGAAGAAAAGGTCGAGGACAAGGAAAAGGAGCGAGAAAAGGAAAAGAAAAAGGAGGAAAAGAAGGAAAAGGTGGCGGCGAAGACTCTGGAGAAGTCCAAAGATGAGGCTTCGCCAGACAAGCCTGAGAAGACTGAAAAGGCTGAAAAGCCGAAGAAGCCAAAGGAAGACCGTGAGCCGGTCAACCAGGTCACTGTCATTCCTCCACAAGACATACCGCAGCCCAGCACTGAGGTGCCAGTGGATCCGGCCATCAAGACCGAGCCATCCGAAAAACCACCTGAGCCTAGCGTGAGCAAGGATGGCAGGAGGGTCCTGACTGCGGAAGAGGCAGAACGACTCGGTCTTGAGCCAGGCACCATCATTGAGAGGAAAAAGGGTCCTGGTCGGCCGCCAAAAGACGGCATCATGTCGAAGCGAGAGAAGGCAGAAATCATGCGGCGGAAGAAGGAAGCTGAGAAGGCGAGAAAGCTTGGTCTCGACCCGGAATCTATTGCCAAGGTGGATCTCACGAAGCCAAAGACTCCAAAGGATGGTGAGAAGGCCAGTGCGGACAAGAAGCCCAAGAGCAGCGAAGGCGCCGAAGGCGAATCCGCCCCGCCCGAGGGCTCTGAAGGCGCCGACAAGAAGCCTGTAAAGATTTCTCGGCCGCTTCGCTCGCCGTCACCGGAGATGAAGGAGTCCGACTATACCGAAGAACAACTGCAGCGTCCGGCTGCGAACTATGTTGTCCTCATCCACGAGGCCATCTCGAATTCAAAGGAAGGGAAGCTCAACTTGCAGCAGATCTACAGTGCCATTGAGCGCAAGTATCCCTATTACAAGTTCAAGACTGGCACGACTGGTTGGCAGAGTAGTGTTCGTCACAACTTGGGCCAGCATGACGCTTTTCGCAAGGCCGAAAAGGAGGGCAAGGGCTGGATGTGGGCCATCAACCCTGGCGTATCCATTGAGAAGGAGCGGCGCAAGCGCGTTACACCTCCGCCTCAACCCCAGCCAAGACCTTACTACCCCCCTCCTCCACACGGGCAGTCTCCTTACGGTCATATGATGCCTCCTCACGGTATGCCAAACTACCAGCACCCACCGGGTCCTTATGGTCCAAGACCTCCAATGGCCGGTGCTCCTGGTGCTCCAGGTGCCCAACAACGTACGTACCAGTCACCGTATGGTTCTCAGCCGCTTGGACAGGCAGCAAATCCTCAGGCTCCGCCTCGACCAGGCTACCCTCCAGGCGGTGCAAGGCCGCCTTATGGTCCGTATGCGGCTTCACCGTATGGCCCGCCGCCTACTGCACCGCCGATGTCTTATCCCCCCGCTTCGGGTGCTTCACATCCTCCACCAGCTGGTGGTTCATACACAACGGCTGGACCTTCTCCGTCTCCCTACTCCGCGCCCGCTCCATACAATCCCTATCCAGGGCGTCCGTCACACACGCCCCAGCCCCCAACGGGCCACACTCAAACTCAAACCCCACAACCAGCACAACCGTCTCAGTCAAACACGACTACCCCATCGCAGTCTGGTCAAGCAAGCGAACAAGCTCCGCTGCCTCCGCGCACTCCAAATATCTACTCCGACTCTGCGCCTTACTCGCAACTCCTCAACAGCTTCCGCGACTACTATGTCAGGAACTCGTGGACGATGCTGAAGCGCGAGTTTGAGCTCACGCAGGACCAAGTAGTCAAGCTGGTCGACCGAGGTCTGGAGCGCGCTCTGCACCCAGAGCGGTACATCAACGAACGAGAGCCTCGGGACGAGAACGACAAGAAAGACGTCAAGGACGAGAAAGACATTGAAGCAGCCGTCAAGGGCATGCTGTCCAAGTTTGGCCATGGGCATGTCATTGCCGAAGCCCAGAAAAGGGCGGGCGTCGTCAGTGAGTCGCCGGCTTCGGCGCCGGCCCCGGTCGTCGCTCCGGCTGCTACGGGCCATGCGCCCCAGCCGCAGCCGCAGATTACACCGGCTGCTCAGGCGCAGGCTCCTGCTCAGCCTCCTCAGCCCGCTTACGCTCAGGCTCAGGCACCGACGAGTGCTGCAGCCAGCGCCCCGGCGGCCATGGCTCCTGCTACGCCAACGGCGCCCGCTACCGCTGCTGCTGCTGCTGCTGCGCCTGCGTCTGCGCCTGCGCCCCTCAATCATGCGCCTCTGCCCAGCCTTCCCGCTGCTACTGCTGCTGCTGCTGGCCCTGCCCAGGTACAAGCTCAGGCTCAGACTCAAGCTCCGACTCAGCAAGCGCCCTCGCCCTCGCAACCGCAACCGCAGCCTTCGACGCAAACACAGCAGGACGGAAAACCCGTGAGTGTAGCTCCGGCTCCGGTCCCTACTACCACTACTAGCACTACCACTGGCATTGGCACTGGCGCTGCCACTACCGCCACAGCCCATGCCCCCTCCCCCCTCATCCGCGCCAACGGCACTGGCACCCCCGTCCCTCCTCCCGTCGAAGCTCTTACGCCGCTGACGGGGAGCCCGAGAGTCGGTGCTGTGGCGTTGTCGGCGCCGCTGTCTGCTCTGCAGGCGCCTGTGGCGTCTTCTGCGGCTCCGACCCTGTCGCCGACTACACCGGCCCTCGCTGCACCGCTGGCGGCGCAGCAGGAGAAGGCGGGCGCGAAAAGGCCGCTTGAGCATGGGCGGGATGCTGATGCTGATGGTGTCGGTGCCCACGTTCAGGAGGGCAGTGAGGCTAAGAAGGCGAGGGTGGAGTGAGTGAGTGAGTTTGTGCTTGAGCTTGAGGCTTGAGGTTGTGCGCGGTGCGAGGTCGGCGTAATGGCTAATGCTTAATGAGGACATGGATGCTTGTGTTGTTGTTGTTGTTGTTGTTGTTGTTGTTGTTGTTGTTGTTGTTGTTGTTGTTGTTGTTGTTATATTGGGTTGTGGGCTTGGGCAGGAAAGGAAAGGAAAAGAAAGGAAAGGAAAAGAGGGAGGGGGGTATGTGGGTATCGGTATCGGCATTGTTGTCGTTGTCATTTTCATGATGGATGGAGGAAAGGCCCCTGACGGTGCAAGGGCAAGATGGCGGAGGCAAAATTCAAAACGGGCGTCGTGGCGTGGCGTGGTGTTGGTATGGTTACTGTAGCTGGGTTTGGGTTTGGGTTTGGGGTGTATGATTTTTCTTTCCTTTCTCTCTATTTTTGCCCTTTTCTATTTTCTTGTTGTCATGGCTTTTCTTTCTTGCGATGGCTGGGTCAAAGGGCAAAAAAGCTAGGGGTTGTTGTTGTTGTTGTTGTTGTTGTTGTTGTTGTTGCTGTTGCTGTTGCTGTTGTTGTTGTTGTTGTTGTTGTTGTCCTTTTCTAAGTGTGAGCGCGTAAGCGCGTGGCGTTGGGCGTGTGTTGCTGGCTTGCTGGCTTGCTTTTTTTTATTTTTATTTTTTATTTTTTATTTTTAAACATGGCTTTTGCGTTTTTGAAGCTGAGGCTGAGGTTGAGGTTGCGAGGCGAGGCGAGGCGTTTGCGCTGTGGCAAGCGGTGCTGTGGTGTGGTGTGTGGTGTGTATACAGACAGCGAGGGGTGGCTAGGTATGTGGGTCTGGGTATGCGTAGCGTAGTGTAGGTATTTGATATGCTGTGCTTTGAGGCTACAGATATACATACATACATACATACATACATACAGATCTACACAAGGGAGAAGATGAAGACGAAGTTGGAGTTGAAGATTTGCTGGGTGCCTACGTGATATGAAGTCATGGTCGCTGTGAGCTCAGATGTGCGTGAAGATCTAGATGAAGTGAAATGGTATATTACAGCACTCCTGCGTATATATGTACATGACGCGATATATATATATATATATATATAAACACACGTACACACACCATCAATCAATCATCGCCCTTCCCGCTCTTGGACAAGAAGCCCTGGAAAGCCTTCTGGTCAATAATGACGTTGCCAACAGCGCGCATCTTCTTCTTGCCCTCCTTCTGCTTCTCAAGCAGCTTCTTGCGGCGCGAGATATCGCTGGCATGCAGCTTCTGCAGCACGTCCTTGCGGAAAGGCTTGATGGTCTCGCGGCCGACAATGCGCCTGCCCACAGCGGCCTGGATCACTATCTCAAACATCTGCCGGTCGACGTGCTCCTTGAAGCGACGCACCCATTCGCGGCCCACCCGCTCCGCCTGCGAGCTGTGCACCACGCGCGCCACGGCGTCCACCGGCTCCTTGTTCACCAGCAGCTGCAGCTTCTGGATCCCGCTGCGCCGGAACCCGGCGTCCTCGTAGTCGAGCGTTGCGTACCCCTTGGTGGCGCCCTTGAGCTTGCCGAAGAAGTCGTCGACCAGTTGTGCGAGTGGCAGGTCGTATTTGAGAATGACCTGCGCGGCCGTGAAGAAGATGAGCTCGACTTGCTCGCCGCGGTTCGACTCGCACAGCTCCACGACCCGCCCGATGTACTCTTCGGGCAGCGTGATGGTCGCGTGCACGTACGGCTCCTGCAGCTCCGCCACCTTGGAGTGCAGCGCCACTTCGTCCGGGAACTGGTTCGGGTTGTCGATGATGCGCTCGCTGCCGTCCTTGTACACGACCTTGGTCGGCACCGCCGGCGGCGTGATGATGATGCGCCCGCCGTGCTCCTGCCGCAGCCGGTCCTCAAACACCGAGCAGTGCAGCGTGCCCAGGAAGCCGAGGCGCCACCCGCCGCCCAGCGCCTCCGACGACTCCTTCGACACCGTCACCGACCGGTCGTTCAGCATAATCTGCGTGATGCTGTCTTCGAGGCGCTCGTAGTCCGACTGGTCGACCGGGAACGCCGCCACGAACACCATCGCCTTCGGCTCCTCGAAGCCCGGCAGCGGCTCCACCAGCTTCTCCGACCCCACGTGCGTGTACGTGTCGCCCACCTTGGCTTCCTTGGAGCGCTTCATGCCCGGGTTGAAGTAGATGTAGCCGACTTGGCCGGCGCGCAGCTTGGACATGGGCGTCTGGTCCGGGTACATCATGCCCACCTCGCCGACCGTGTACTTGAGGCCCGTGGCAAACGACGTGATGACGTCGCCGGCCTTGACCTGGCCGTCGAAGATGCGCACGAGCAGAATCACGCCCTTGTAGTTCGAGTACCACGAGTCCACCAGCAGCAGCCGCAGCGGCTTCGTGTAGTCGCCTACCGGCGCCGGTATCTGCTCCACGACGCTGGGCAGCAGCGCCGCCACATTCAGCCCCGTCTTCGCTGACACCAGCACCGCCTTCGCCGGGTCCAGCTCAAACGTGTCGTGCATCTGCTCGAGCGCGCGCTCCGGATCGGCAGAGGGGAGGTCGACCTTGTTGATGACGGGGACGAGCGTCAGGCCCTGCGAGAAGGCGAGGTAGAAGTTGGCGACCGTCTGCGCCTGCACGCCCTGGCTGGCATCGACAAGAAGCAGAGCTGCACACACAAACACAAATTCGCGTCAGCATTGCTTTTTCGGACAACCAATTGATGTTATAAAAAACGCACCTCCGCCGCAGCTGGCATAACTCCTGCTGACCTCGGCCCTAAAGTCGACGTGGCCGGGCGTGTCGACCAGGTGCAGCAGGTAGTCCTCGCCCTTGTGGTTGTAGATCATGCTGCACGTCTGGGCCTTGACGGTGATGCCGCGCTCGCGCTCGACGTCGAGCTTGTCGAGGATCTGCTTGTTGCCGCCGGGCTCGATGGTGCCGGTGAGCTCGAGCAGGCGGTCGCTGAGGGTGCTCTTGCCATGGTCGACGTGGGCGACGATGCAGAAGTTGCGGAAGCGGTCGATGGGGATGGCCGCCACGCGCTTCTCAAGCTCCGACGCGACCGCGGGTGGCGAGGCCCTGGCCAGGCACTGGGCGGTGGTGCCGAAGCTTCGTATGCTTCGTCTGCTGTTGTGGAGGAGCGGGAGCCATTGGCGCGAGAGGGTTGCCTGCCCGGGCCGGAAGAGGCATTCAGCGGCGCGGAAGCATTGTCGCATGGGTGTGAGACTGGCGTGTCATGGACGATGGTTGGGGTGAATGGGTGATCGGTCGGTCGGTCGCGCGACGGGTTTGACGGGGACTTTTTTGCGAAAATTGCCGAAGTCCCAGAGGTGGACGTCATTGGTTGCCGCGACAACCTACACCCTCCAGGACTCCTCCAACATCCACTCAAAGCACCCACCGTTGATCTCTCCACACGCACTGTCCACGCAGCAGCAGGCAAAAGAGCTAGTTTGGGTCCAAGGAACAATCAGAATCATGGCTGCCGAGGCTGAGAAGAAATCAAAGGTCTCCAAGACCACCAAGACGTCTACGCGCTCCTCAAAGACGGGCGAGAAGCCGGCCAAGAAGTCTTCGTCGTCGTCCAAGAAGGCGGCCTCCTCCAAGGATGACCCAACCGCAAAGACTCACAAGCTCGCCCTCAAGGGCTCCTCCAAGATAGTCTCGGAATTTGTACGTGCATAATAGCTCTGCCAATCTAATTTCGCACCACCCCCGCTGACCCCCCGGCCAGTTCGAGTACTCAATCCACACCATCCTGTTCCAGCGGGGCGTCTACCCCGCCGAGGACTTCACGGCAGTCAAGAAGTACGGCCTCACGATGATGGTCAGCGCCGACGACCAGGTCAAGGCGTACATCAAGAAGATCATGACGCAGCTCAGCAAGTGGATGCAAGGCAGCAAAATCAACAAGCTCGTCATCGTCGTGACATCTCGAGAGACGGGCCAGCACGTCGAGCGGTGGCAATTCGACGTCGACGTATTCAGCAAGTCCATCAACAACAGTAGCAGTAGCAGCAGCAGCAAACCCGCCCATTCGCCCAGCACCGCCACGACGACCGACGCCGCCACCGAAACGGACAGCGCGGACGCAGCCACGGACGCCGAAAACGCCACCACCACAACCACTACTCCCTCGGCTCCAGAAAAGGAAAAAACAGAGGCAGAGATCCAGTCCGAGATCCAGTCGCTGTTCCGGCAAATCACAGCCTCCGTCACCTTCCTGCCCATGCTCGACGGCAACTGCACATTCAACGTGCTGGTCTACGCCGACGCCGACAGCGACGTCCCCGTCGAGTGGGGCGACAGCGACGCCAAGGAGATCGAAAACGGCGAGAAGGTGCAGCTGCGCAGTTTCAGCACCAGCAACCATCGCGTCGACACGCTTGTGAGCTATCGGTATGTCGTGTCGTGTCGTGGCGTTGCTTTTTGCCCCTGTCTTACTACCCCTTTGCACCTTTGCAAACGTGCTTTTTTGTTTTCTGCTCGTGCTTCTTTTTTGCCCATCGCGTTGCTGACGTCACATTCCCCCCTCTTTAGCCTCGCGGACTAAGCTTCCCTGCCTACCAACGAGTACGACTGCCTTGGGCGGTCATTGGCGTATAGACATGGACGCCTTCGTGCGCGTACCTACACGGCATAAGCGGCACGCAGGCCTGCGCAGAGCCGCACGACGGATTTCAAGACCGAACAGCTCCAGCACCAGTTCTCGCGCATCATAACCACAGCAGCAGCGGCGTTTTGGGGAGAGGGGTTTCAGGATTGTGGGATAGGGCTCGGCGTTGTGTCTGATTTGCTTACGACGGAGAAGGGGATTGTGTTTTTTCTTGATGAGAGGGATGTGGTGGGGTGTGGTGTGTGGTATATCAAGCGGATTAAAACGAGAGGAAGTAAAGTGGGGAAGGAGGGTGGGAGAGGAAGATGGGAGGAGGATGAGGACGAGGCATTGTACATGTACCGGTGTTAGCGTACCGGTCGACATAGCTTTTTTGCGCGGCTAGATAGGCAGCGGACGTGTCCTGTCATGTCGTTAGGTTGGTCTGGAGCGAAAAAAGCGCTTCTGCTTGCTTGCTTACTCAGTACTTTTACCAACGCACGCACACACGCACGCGGCCATGCTAGCTTACCTAAATACCTCCCGCGAGTCCGCGAGTACCGCCCGTATATATAGGTATGTATAAAGGTACACACATACACGCTCAATTCAACGTAACGTAACGTAACTCAACTCACCTCACCTCATCAATCCCACTCTTCTATCTAGCAGCTACCTACACAAACACACACATAACAAGACATAGCATGGCATGGCATGAGGTAAGAGTTATTACTTACCTCCCATCTCCCATCTCACATTTCCCATCTCCTACCAAGCACCAAACACCAAACGCGCTACCTCCGCGCCCAAAGCTCACGAACAACACACAACGAACAAAACCGCGCAAAGCTTACGGAGGTATAAGTATAGACGTAGCACGTGGAGGTGGGGGTTTAAAGGGTATAAAGAGGGAGGTGTAAGGGTGCGGGTGTGTTTTGTAAGGGTACTCCGTAGGGAAGGTGGGTTAGAGGTATGGAGCTAAAAAGTAAAAAGAAATGATAATAAATAAATAAATAAATAAATAAATAAATAAATAAATAAATAAATAAATAAATAAATAAATAAATAAATAAATAAATAAATAAATAAATAAATAAATAAATAAATTATAAAAGCGCAACGCCCACTCACACCCGGAAACGCCATCACCACCACATCACACCACACGACAAAACCACCCACCAAGCCAGCCACACCAGCCAGCATCTTCACCTACCCAGCCGCACCCCCACCCGTCCGTCCCTCAAAGCATCGAAGGCCGACGAACAAACAAACAAAACACCCAGGCACATACGCTAACTAACAACATGCACGCAAGCAAGCAAGCAAGCAGACACGACATCATCCCGCGCCATACGTATTGGCTACGCTGCATGCGCGCCCGCTGCGCGTCATGCCAATGTCATGTCTGCTGCAGGGGCGGGCGAGCGGGCGTGCAGCAGCGCGCAGAGCGAAAACTGCAACAGCGGCGCACTGCGCTGAGATTGACTATTGAATGACTGAACGATGCCTAGATGGCTGGGCGCTGCGATGATGTTTTGAGATGTGATGACAAGCGAGGATAGATGAGCATCAAGCGAAAATCCGGATACAGAAATTTCAGTAAATTGTGCGACCATACATACGTCTGAATGAAGAAATCGCCTTGTGCATAACGTAACCATAGAAACCCCAATTTGAAAGAGAGAAACCCAATATTGTGACTCGAAGGAAGAAAAAGCGTTACATCGCTGGCCAGAACGCCCCGTCGCCTTCCCACTCACTTCACTTCACTTCACATGCTTCGCCTGTCGCCCCAGCCTGAGTTGCTCCCGTACGAGAAGCCAGGAGACGCCGCCTGCAGGCTGTTTGTGGAGCCCAGGATGCTGCTGCTGTGGCACTGAAGACAGTCCGAGTAGACGGTGCCACGGCCCTGGCAATTTGTGCAGATGGGATTGCGGTAGCTGTGGTTCCCCCATGTGTTAGTTATCATTATCATAAATGCGCATCACCCGCTCATGCGTGCGTAACCACGCCTGACTTCAACACTTACCCTTGAGGATGCCCGGCGCATATCGGACAAGTCATTATTGCTAGTCCGCTGATACAAACGTGCGGCGCGGCTGCCTCTTCGTGCTTTACTGAAGAATGTACCGAGTTGGATGATCCGCCCGTCATGATTGGTCGAGATGGTCGAGCTGAGGTGGTGGTGCTGCTGCTGTAGCAAGGCCTGTATCCGACTTTCCCAAACAGTTGATTGACGGTGAGAACTCGTAAATGTATGAGAAGGATGATGGTTCAAAAAAGCAAAAGTTGGTTTTTGCCTGGTCGCAACCTCAGGACTGAGTTTAGGGCTCTAAGAAAATCATTTGCTGGGGCTTTTGCTCCCTACCATCGTGAATGACTGTTGTTCTTATACCATGCGAACACGAAAAGCGTAACTGGTAATTCCATTTTCTGGGCATTATTGACCCGGCCTGACGATGACGATGCGTGACATGGAGCACAATTTTCAGCTTTGGCGGTATGTAGCTGTTGCCCAAAAATTCTCTCAGGCAGCTCATCACGATCACTGGGAGTTATGATTCCAGATCTTTGGCGGACCAGGCCGGCGGTAGCTTGTTTCGGCAAGGTGCACATTGCTCTTCCACGGCATGCGTGCTTCTACCGGAGCCACCCGACGAGCCACGCCATCCACGGCGATCATCCTTTGTGGAAAAGGAAGGCGGCAAATAGTGCAGAACCCATCTGGCTGGCTGACGAATTGGCATAAAACGGCTCTCGGAATGCGATCGACCAAGGCCTATGGAGATTTTCGCTCGAGACGAACTCATGAAAGGTGAGTCCTTTTGCGGGAGACCGACCTAAACGTGCTCGCGCACATGGCTTCCGGTGAGCATTACCCTGTCAGTTCAAGCGAAGAATGACGATTTAGTGGTGTGCCGCGGTTCCAGTAGCTTGTGCGACAGTGCTCACCGGTCATTCAGACAAGAGGGAAATGGCTGAGCACTGAACGCATGCTTGTCGCAAGCGGAAGGTCAATTCCAGATTATGCGCGTCAGAATTGTCAAAATCTACTGACGAGGTCAATGGTTTTCACCGCTCCATTGTGGATGCATGCTGCTGCGGGGTATGCAAGTGGATCCAAGAAAGTCTCTAGAGCAAGGCTGAAACGGGGCACCAGAACGAGTAGAAGTGCCTGCTTGATGAATGTCGGCGCTACACCATCACGGGTGCCTCTCCGTCGGGACCATAGAACTTTGTCTTCCCCGTCGGCCCGGTGTCCACCAGCGCATTGGTATCTAGCGTTTCGCGAATTTATTCCCGTGTGACCACACCATACGCAGTCAGCTTTCTGGAGTCGTACATTGGTCAAAAGGAGTTTAGCGCCTGCTGGCAATCTGATGTAGTTGCACGGTGCCGAAACTCTTCAATTTGTGTGTCTATGCCAAGTATGCCTGTCGGTGCGGAGAAGGTTCCGGAAAATCAGTTTGTAAATATCCATCCGCGGTCGAAGGCAGACGGAGACTCCAGGATACATATGGCCCCAACCCGCCTAGAAAGCTCGTAACCCGACGGGGAGGCGGACTGGAGTCGCAAGATAAGACGGTATTCGCCTGCCTGCAGCAAAGGCAAGGGTCCATGCAGCTGCGGCAGTTGCTAAAACCAACAAAGATCCTTGCAGGAAACGTCGGCAGACGGGAGACACGCGATGATTTTAGCGTCATCGTGATTGCCTGAATGCTTCACTGCGGACATATGGCCGGGAACACCCATGTACCGATCTGGTGTAATTGGAATAGACCATGTGAGTTTTCGAAGGTCCGACTCAGTTGACTTGTATTTGCTTCTACTACGGTTCGGGAGGTATGTTGTTATTCGTATCCCCACGGTGAATGGCGCTCCGTCGCTCCATATTGTAAATATCAACCAACTTATAGGAGCATTTCGGTATGTTTGCGGTGCCTTACGGTCTATCTACAGAGTAATCTGTAGGGACCGGCTTCAAGGTCGTGCTCGTGGTCGGGTGTGTTGTTCACAAGGGGCAGCGATACCGTTAAAACGCTCCCCAAAGATTACTCTGTAGATAGATGTAGAATCTGCGCTCGTGGTTGGATGTGTTGCTCACGAGAGGCATGTAAATCATAACAATACCTGCCTCTCGGATTGTTATAGTGTGGATGCCCAATCTGTAGCCACCCGCGATACAATCGTCAACGGCCACGGATGGCTGCTGAAGGGAGAGTGACGACTCGTCTTAGAATGTTTGGTTTAACATCGTCGTTAAGCTTGGCTGTTGCCGGAAACTGCCGTTAAGCCTGTGTTTCCGAGGCAGACTTGTTGAACACGGTGATGCGTCCTGACGCCGGAAGTCCGCGGTACGATTGGACGTAGAGGCCTTGCCAACACTAACGTAGAAGCTCGGCTGGGATGTTGAATTGCTTCTGGAGTCTGCCGATCTTGGTGAGGAGCTCTTCAATCTTCACCTTGTCTCCTTCGCTAGAGGAGCCCGAGTCCGCATTCCCTGGCACATTCATCTTTGGCGGATCGCAGTCTATCTCCAAAGTGACCTTCAAAGTAGTATGCTGCGTCAGCCAATGATCGTGTGGAAAAGTAGAGGGCAGAGCACTGGTGGATGTACCGCTTCGTCCTCACAACGGTAATCTAAACCTACCGGTCCATCGTTGACTAGCGAAACGTCCATCATGGCTTGGAACACTCCGTCTTTGACCTTGTCCTTCTCGTACAGATCCTGCACCTTGGCGAAGAAAGACGTGTACAGCTGACGGGCATTGTCGGCAGTTGCATTGTGGAAGCTCGGCTTGTTACCTTTCTTCGTTGAGGCAAGAAGAGTGAACTGAGAAACTACAAGTCATGTCAACTAAGTGGTAATGGGGTAGCCGGATCAGGCTTGGCGTACCGCATAGGACCTCGCCCCCAAGGTCTCTCACATTTCTCTTCCACTACGAGTGGCAATTAGCATAAACAGCGCATGGAGAACACTGGAGGCACAACTCACCTTCCCCCCTTCCTCATCGTCCCACATTTGCATCTTGAGGACTTTGGAGGCCATCCTCTCCACCTCGGCTTGCGTGTCATCTTTGCCGACGGCTGCGAAGACCAGTATGCCCATTCCAATATTGGAGATGAGCTTGCCGTCGACGGTGACAGAGGCAGACTTGACCCTCTGCAACACAGCTGAGACGGCGGGTCAGCCGAAGAGGTTTGAGAAGGACAGGGACCAGTATACCTTTCATGATTGCGAACAGTGATGCGTGAACAAAGACTGCCAATGGAATGAGACAAAATACCGGATTGCAGGACCACGTGAGAGGCTGAGATATGTTGTGGGGATCTTGATTGGAATGCTTGGTGGTGCATGTTGATCTGGGCCGTGCGAGTCGCGCCGGCGTCGCCGCGGCAATTCCCACGAGTCACGTGTCATGACCACCTAGCATATCGGGAATCTGGTACCTTGGCGGGTTGGATCCAAACGGACCAGACACTTCCTCGCTGCTGCAACAACAACAACGCGATATCATCGTCGCCCTGACCCACGCTGCGGAGCGCTACGACACCCAGTCATCTCACTCTCCCGACCTCCTCACTCGCACGCTCGATAGTGCGCTCCGCCGCAACACGCTGCACCAACTCGCCCGCAACATCCCCGACGAGGCTGCGGCACACCCACCATGGCCGCCCGGAAGCTTGCCCAAGAGGTCGATCGATGCTTCAAGAAAGTCGCAGAAGGAGTCACCGCCTTCGAGGGCGTATACGACAAGCTTCAACAATCGACGAATCCCGCGCAGAAGGAGAAGCTCGAGGATGCGCTAAAGAAGGAGATAAAGAAGCTTCAGCGGTCGCGCGACCAGATCAAGGCCTGGGCTGCGAGCAATGAGATCAAGGACAAGAAGCCTTTGCTGGACCAGCGCAAGCTGATCGAGACAGTGCGTGGCCTGGTCAGCATGTTTGTTCACTTGTGCACGAGCTAACTGCGGCACAGCAAATGGAGAAGTTCAAGGCTGTCGAGAAGGAAATGAAGACCAAGGCATACTCGAAAGAAGGTCTGTCAGCGGCATCCAAGCTAGATCCAAAGGAAAAGGAGAAGCTCGAAGTGTGCCAATTCCTTTCCGACATGGTCGACGAGCTCGAGCGACAGATTGAAACGACAGAAGCGGAAACGGCGTCACTGCAGGCAAACATGAAGAAGAGCAGGAAAGACACGTCCAAAGCGGAAAGGATAGCCGAGCTTGAGCGGACAGTCGAGAGGCATCAGTGGCACATTGGCAAGCTGGAGCTGTTACGGCGGTCATTGGAGAATGACGGAATCGAGCTGGAGCAAGTCAAAGAGCTGGACGACAGCATCAGATACTACGTCGAAAATAATCAAGAGGTTGACTTCATGGAGGACGATTCAATCTACGACGATCTGAATCTGCAAGAGGGCGAGGATCTGTACGGAATGACGGCCGAGGCGGACCGGGTGTCTTCCCAGGACACACAATCAATACAGGACGACACGCCCGACGAGGGTTTCAGGAATCCGGCGCCCCCATTGGGAAAGACGAAATCGTCGCAAGAGACAACGACTGCAACCACGAGGAGGCCATCGACCCAGCTCAAGTCGCCGCTGCCGACGTTATCGACGCTACATACACCTGCACCTCATACAACGAATGGCGTGCCCGCAACCAACATGAAGCCGGCGCCCCTGCCCGCTCAAGGCGCACCGCTCAAGTACGCGTCAGCAGCTGCCGCAGCTGCCGCAAGCGACAAGAACAGCGTGGGGATTGCACCATTACCTCCCCCGCCAGGCGCCGCACAGCACCTGTCGTCCCGTCCAAGTGCAGCGAATTCTCCAGCAACCAATCACTCGCAACCTGCTGCAGCCACTCCGGCCCAACGTCCGGCTGTTCCGAATGCGCCTAGCCACGACGGTACCTCCAGTGCCGTCTCCGCAAAGTCACCCGCTCCGAGCCATTCTAGCGTCGCCGCACCAAGCACTGACGCGAGTAGCATCCCGCCGACACCAGCGACGGAACATGTGGAAGCTAAGAAGGCAAGTGCAAAGGAAGCAAAGGCAGCTAAGCAGGTTGAAACTAAGGAGGAGCCGTTGACAAACGGCAATGGCAACAAGCACCCTGAGCCCCAGGAAGAGGAATCGGTCTATCACCTTCCGTCGAGTCTCCAGGATCTCCTCGAATCTTTCGAAGCGACGAAAGAGGATACTCTCAACAGCCCAGAACATCGCGAAATGCTCGCCATCTCGCATGCCTCGCACCCTGAGTCCGTTGATGCCGACAAGCCTCGCCACTACAAGCCGCAGAACCCCTACCCTTACACGCCGTCGCACTACCCGCAGGAGCCGCTCTCCATATTTGATGACCCTAGGCTTTATTCTCGCGTCGACACTGATTCCCTGTTCTACGCATTCTACTACCGTCAAGGAACGTACGAGCAGTACCTCGCAGCGAAGGCGCTCAAGAGCCAGAGTTGGCGCTTCCACAAGCAGTACCAGACCTGGTTCCAGCGACACGAGGAGCCCAAGTCCATCACTGAGGACTACGAACAGGGAACGTACCGGTTCTTCGACTACGAGAGCACTTGGTAAGTGGTCAACTTAGAAATCGTTCAGTCAACACTGAAATTTAACCGTTTCAATAGGATGAACCGCAGAAAGGCGGACTTCAAGTTTGCCTACAAGTTCCTCGAAGACGAGCTCTGAATGAGTCGTGCCTCTTCCTGTCTTCGGACAATTTCAACATATCGTGGGTAGCATGCTTGTAGGATGGTCCCGGCGAGGAATCCGATAGTGTTACGACGATTATGCGAATGCAATCTTCCCGTTGCGGCTCTGTCCAGACGGGTAAAGATATCCAACTACCTTCTGCAAGTCTGCATGATGTACCCAGTACCGCTTCAATCACTCGACTGCTGACTTTTGTCAATGTGGCTTCGTGAAGCTCTGATTTTCTTTTCGTCTGCTTCTGTTTATGGGAGCTTTGCGTATACATATTAACTAGGCAGGCTTGCCAATGATGTATGGAGTCGTGAGGTCAAAGGCGGACTCTATTTTCTTCGTTATGTTATCTGCGTAGCAGCCTACGTATTGTCTTCAACATTGCGCAGAAAGAAGATAAATGGGGAATGCTTCTTTGATTTCTTGCGGCTGCTAGTGCTTTCACGCCATCATCCCCTCCAATCGGTGCTAGGCCACCGTTGCACTGCCGCAGACCTGCATGCATACCGACGTCACCTCTTCCAACGCTGCAGTCGAAGTTTCATGTCAGTAACTAACTCGCAGCAGTGGCAAAATTTTGAGCCGCGGAGATGGAACTGCACGCGGGGGGCGCCTAAGCGCCGTCAGCGCCATGCCTGGAGTCAGTCGTGCTTTTGGTGCGACTGTGGGACTGCGTGCGCCATGCAGCAGAGCGTTTGAAATAGCTTTGTCGGGAGTGAGACATGTGAACGAGTGAGGCTTTCTTCAGGCTCCGATGATGCTGCCTAAGACAGTGCCAAGTCGACAGTAGCGTACGGTAGGCTGGCTCTTTTTACGCTGCTAAAGAATGTCTTGACCTGCAAGATGACGAACCATCTATTAGGCTTATGGGTGAGTTGATTCTAATATAGGCTTATTTTTGCTGATTGGCTGGGGCAGCACCTCATGCTAGGGCTCGGAAAAAAGGCTCCATGGTAATGCGGCGCGGTGGCTGACGGAGGTCATTAAGTGATCAACAAACGGTCTATCTCAAGCCACCAGGTGGCTCTTCGCTCGATGTTCTGAAGGGAGCACAGGTCTTTGGCCCAGTCGACGAAGCACGTTTTTCTGCGTCTGGTTAACATCCGACTTGCTATAGCATCACCTGCTGGCTTACTGGCGCACCCAAAAGGTCCCCATAAACGAGGCAAACCTAAGCAAAGTAAGGCAAACTAAACGTCTATGTCAGCATTCCACGATGCAGGAAGAGAGGGATGGTTACTTGAGGGTTGCGACGGCGCCAGCGCAACAGAACTACCTGTGCGGAGAGAAGTTGCTGACCGGTCAGCACCCCCCGGTCTGCAGCTCTTGACCCTGCCATGTGCAGTCAAAACCGGTTATACCTTTTGGTCTGATGGCAGCTTTCGACCGTTGTTAAGGCGTTTGCAATCCAATAGCCTTTTAATTTGACCGTTTGACGTCCTTCTCTTTATAACAATTAAGGTTTGCGAAAGGCTACGCAACCCAGTTTTTCTAACGGTCGGAAATTATTGACCAGCTCAATCGTTGTAACCAGTCTTGTGAATTCAAAATTCGCTTTACGACAGCTCACCGCTTCGCACCTCTTGGATATCGTCGGACGGGCTTAAGCTGGGAAGACGTGGCGACGGGCTCTGCGGCGAGGAGGCGGCAGTGCCGGAAAAAAACGCCTTGCGGAAAGCCTTGAGTCTTTATCCTTGCTTCTTCGGCGTCGCAAATGGCGGTCCAGCTGAAGCACAGCCCACGACCAGGCACCAGGCCGGGGTGTTTCTTCAGACATGGTAAAGATTGAGGCGATGCTGCTGGTTTCGTGGTTCGTATCGCGCGTCGAGGAGTTGATGATGTTTACGCCACGAAAAGAAATTGTGAGCGGACGACCAGCTGCCAGAACGGGTTAACCCCCACTCTGACGGCCAGGCAGCAATCTTGGTGTTTTCTTCCGCAACTCGGTCGTGCGATCCCCTCCCTTAAGACTTGAACCAGGCACAGGACCGTTACCTAAAGCCTTACGTTTTGCCGCGCCATAGCCTTGCATTTGCCGCCGTTGTCGTATGCAAGAGGAAGAGTTAGCTGACATTGCTTTCCCCGGAAGAATGTTCCGGACATCAGCTGAGTTTTTGTCTAATGGCTAATGGCGCTTCGAAGGAGATTTAGGAAATGTGTCACCACCGCCTCGCAGAAGCATTTAGTCTCGGCCGGTCGCCTCCCCAATCGACAGGCCTCGAAGCTTCCCCGTGGTTCCCTTGGCTTGCCGCTTCACTTTTTCTTGGGGGCTGACGCTATGTCCGTGGAGTAGACGTGTCAACACCTCATCCTACGCAGCTTGACTTGGAACCACTCACGGGGAGACACTGCCCCCTCCGCCAACCAATTCGAGAGAGGGCAAACGGTCTGCACGATAGCTCAAAGGCCAACAATGCCATATGATCTGGCTGCCTGTGAGCCCGACGAAGCTGAGAAAAAAACATCACGATAAGGCAAACAGAAGGCATCCTTTGAGCCACAGCATGGAACTTTGCTGAAGAATCATGAGATGATGGAAGCTGAAAGTGGTGGATCCCAAGTTTCCTTATATCTGTGCTCGGAGACGCAGCCTTTTATCTACACACTGCTCCAACAGAAGATTTAAGCTTCTTACTGTTGGACCCCACGCCTCTGAATATAAAGCTGGAAGGTATGTTGGGCAGCAACGCATTTTCTTCACCTTAAATGTATCCGAATTAATCCAGCTGCAGACGCCTCACGGATTCCAATACTTTGTTTTCACCTCATAGGTCCAAATCTCTATCACATTTTGAGAAGCTTCACTAGTTCAAAGAATGCCTGACTCTTACACCTACGAAGAGGTATTTCGCCAGCCATGACTTCACGAGTAAACAAGGATAACACATTGGCAGTCCGGTTCGAGTGACTACTATTACGACCCGAACTCAGCCTGGCACAGCACCCGCTTGCCGGACTATGACCTTGATGGCCAGAACGTAGCCGCGAGGAGTGACATAGCTCAATCAACTCGAGATCACGATGGCAGCCCAGACCCAGACGGCCCAGAATATCCATGGCCAGAATGTCCCTACGGAGCACGGCAGCTCGATTACGCCTGGGCAAGCGGTACTGGACAGGCCTCGGAAGTCTTCCCAGCCCAAGAGTTCTCTTATCCACAAGGAGACACTCAACCGTATGTCTGGCCAGGGACTACCGGACCGTTGCATCAGGAGATCAGTGCTGAAGTGCTGCAGTATGAGCTCGATGCCGGAACCGCACCTTCGTATCCAAGCTTCAGCGCCGCTTCCCGAACCTATCCGACTTGGGATGTTGCAAGATCTGTGGCGCAGACGCCACAGCATCCAGCCTTGGATGTAGCCACATCTGAGAGTATAGAAAACGCGTACCATCACCACCAAATACCCGGCTGGAATGTGCCCCATATGGGCGCGGAGTACATCGAAGACGCTGAAGACGACATTGGCGTAGACTACCAGGGCGATGAAGACTATGATTTCACCACAGCTTTTGGATCCGATTTGCTTTCTAGCTATGCTAACGACGCTGTATCATACTCGATGTACTTTCCACCAGTTCCATCCGCAGACAACTCTACTCTGGGTACTTACACTTACACGCACCCGGAAAATAACCTATCGCCGTACCCTCAATGGCCCCAGCCCGCAACGAGCTCTCCCGTACCCAATCAAACTGAAACCACCAACCCGGACACAGACGCCACACCAACGCGCACGCGCCCTCGACCTCCCTTACGACCGCCCTCTCCATCCTCCGGCCCCAGCAACGACACCAGCCTCAACGCCAACGCCCCCACCAGCCCCCCTCGTCTAAACAGAAAGTGAGTACGCCCCCACCCCCAAACAAGCCCAAAACACAAACAAACCCCAACCCAAATATAACCAAACCCCCCAAAAAACGCTAACGCCCTCTCCCAAACACAGCCCCCGCGGCCCGCCCTACAGCTGCCCCAACCCCACCTGCGCCTCAACAACGCAGTTCGCACGGCACGCAGACCTAATGCGACACGCGCAAACAGTGCACAGGCGCGACGGCGCGCTGCTGCTCGATTGTCCGCGCCGGAACTGCGTACGACGCGGCGCGAACGGCTTTTCGCGCCGCGATCACTTGCGCGAGCATCTCCGCGCTTGGCATATGGTTGATATTCCGAAGCGGGGGACGAGGAGTCGGGGGGTCGTGGGTGGGGGGAGGGGGAGGGGGAGGGGAAGGTGGGTGTAGTGTTGTGCAGGAAGGGTGGGAGGGGTAGAGAGGAGGGGTAGGTGTTGCGTGCATGGCACCTTGGTGAGAGGTACGCTGCAGGTGTGAGTGTGTCATGTCACTCCAGTGTAAGAAGATTATCCATTGTATATGAGTATGTAGACAGAATTGCAATGTCCTTAAAGCACTCGCTACAAACCACTTCTTTGCTTGATATAAATCCGCGCTCGTAGTCAACAGCATATATCTAAGTCCTGTTCCTCTACTCAGCCAGCCCACCACTGCCCACTCCCGCGATGTCAGAATATAAATTGAAGTCCGGCATACAAACCCATCAAAAACGACAACCTCACAGTATCGCACCTACTTACACAACTACGCAATCTCCACCAATGAATGCCACAAACCTGGGTCGCCTGTCTACCCGAACCATACGTGCGAGAGATAACATACACACACACAGTAGAAGACCAAGAAGCAGCCAGTCACTCTAAAGATCATGGTGGCCGATATCTCAGCAAATTATTACTCACTGGCACTAATAGCTTATGACTCTCAGCAGCCCTACCCTGTCATAGCGATGGACAACATCAACGGTGGCTGGAAACTCAAGCCGCAAAACCGCACTCAAGCCGCAAGAGCACGCTCAAGCCTCGATCGAAGTTACCCCTAGCTCCTTCCCTGTGATCGTTTGCGACCCCGAAGACACCGGCGTTACTTCGATGTGTTCATGTATGTCAGTATTCAAGCTCTCCCTGGTTGACGAAGCCGAAGAGTTACAAGAGCATGTGCAGTGCAGATGAGGTTTACATTTATACCAGACAAGCCATCCCCTAACAGCACGACAAACCAACAACGTCCCCACTCGAAGCAAGATAGATAGATGTGCATGCACGCATTCCCGCATCCATACAACAACAACAACAACAACAACAACAACAACTACTACTACTACTACTACTACTACTACTACTACTACTACTACTACCACCATAGGTGTTATCGACCCACCTCTACCTACCCCTGTAACCTACAAATAGAGAGAGAGAGAGCTTTTGAAACGAAGTAATAAAAACAACCCCCAGAACAACGCAGCCTGCATAATCTGCTCGAACGGCCCAGAAACAAAGAACAGAAAAGAGGACCCAGCCAGCCAAGACACGTCTTTTGATGATGAAGTTGAAAAAAACTCCGCCGCAATGCAAAACACAAGTAGTAGAAACCACAAGGCCGAAGCCCAAGCCAAGCCATGCCATGCCATCCCGTCCCATCCAATCCCAGCGCCACACGCCCATGGACCACCCACCACAACTATCCCCACACGCCCTCAAACAAATCCCCCTTCCTGCCCACCTCACTAACCGGCAAGTTCAGCTTCCGCACCACCTTAAACCCACCGGTACCGATGCCCATGCTCTGGCCCAGGATAATGCACTCGCTGACGCCCTGCACGCTATCGCCCTTGCCACGGAAGCCCGCCTCGAACAGGTGGTCCGGCGTCTTCTCGAAACTCGCCAGCTGCAGCACCGAGTCGCGCATCTTGGCCAAGCCAAAGCGCGTGATGCCCAGAATGTCGCCCTTGTACGTCATCACGTCCGCCAGCAGCTGCATGTGCCGCGGGTCAATGTCCATCTGGCCCATGACGGCCGCGATTTCGGTGATGATGGTTGTACGCGCTGCTTCGATGCCTAGCACGCTGAAGCACTCGAGTACGCTATTCGTGCACGTGCTCGTGCCTTTCACGCCGGGCGTGCTCATGCAGAGGCGAAGGCCGTAGCCTTCCACGAGCAGAGACACCTTTTCGCTGCCCGTGTCTTCCTTTTTGATGACTGCACGTGTCGCTTCCGGGTAGCCCTTGATCGTCACCTCGGGCAGCGCGCGCTTGAGCATCTGCACCCGCGAGAAGTATGCGTCGTCGGCCTTGAGTTTGTTGGAGGACCGCGACGTCGTCTTGCGCGGCTTGCCGCCCTCGCCGTTGTCCACGTCCGGGATGTATACGCGCAGATGGTTGCCGAAAATTTCGACGTTGCCGCCGTCGCTGCCGATCTTAAGCTTCGGCGCCTTTTTGATGGCGATCTCGAGATCGCGCGTGCTGAGGTCGAGGCCCAGCTTGTTGACAGTGTCCCAGTCGACACGCATGTTGAGATAGCTGCCGTTCTCGTACCAAACGTCTTCAATGTAGGCGATGATGTCTTTGAGGTACGTCTTCTCAACACGCGCCTTGACCATGCGTGCCGCTCGGATATCCGACGTGTTTTCCAGCTCGCAAGTTATGACGGGCGTGGAAATGACCTTGGAAGCGTTGATAATTTCCTTGATACGCGGTACACCCTGCGTGATACTCATACCGGCAACACCAGCAAAGTGGAAAGTCTTCAACGTCATTTGCGTACCGGGCTCACCGATCGATTGAGCGCCAGTGGCACCGACGGCATGGCCAGGCTGGACATGAGACTGCGCGTGTTTCGTGAGACAAAGGTCGAGGAAAGTATTCAAGCACCGTTCAGAGATTTTTCCGACACCGTTGATGATGTTTTGGAAGCCATCGTCACCGACAACGGTCCTGCCATGGTCCTTTTCGTTGTTCTGGATATTTATGAAGCGGTTCAAAAGCCTTTCCAATGAATCTGCCCTGCCGAAGATGAACTTCTGGACCTCGTCAAGGAAATCTCGTTGGGACTCCTTTTGGTCGGTAGAAACGATGTCGTCCACCTTGAAGGCCAGGGGTTGACCAAGCTCAGAATAACGCTGGATTTTGCTGCGTCTAGTATCCAGGCGCTTCAGAGTGATTTTTCGAATCTCATCCGGCAGTAGGGTGCGTTCGTCGTTGTTCCATGTTGTGGTCCTGGCATGATCAAACGACCGGACAAAGTTCACAGGCTTGGCCTTGCCTTCCATGTCCACAGGATCAAGGTTATCGTCACCGTACCGGAATTGGACAATCTGAGACGCAGAATTCCTAACCGTATCATCGTATTGGGCAGAAAGATCCTCCAACGACTTCATTAAACGACGAGACATGTAACCAGTTTCGGCCGTCTTGACAGCCGTATCGACCAGGCCTTCACGACCAGACATGGCGTGGAAGATGAACTCCGAAGGCGTGAGACCAGAGTAGAAAGAATTGGCGACGAATCCTTTTGCGTCGGGAAGACGACCGCCCTTGGGGAAATGGGGAAGAGTTCTGTCCTGGAAGCCATCGAGAACACGTTGTCCTCCAATAATCTGTTGACCGACACAAGCAACCATCTGGGCAACGTTAATGTTGGAGCCCTTGGAACCGCACTTGGCCATGATAAGCGGAGAGTTCCAGTTGCTGAGCTCCGAAAAACAAATTTCACCAGCTGCGGCACGGACTTTGTTGAGAATACCGGAAATTTGGTTTTCCATGGTCATCTCCTCGTCGCAACCGGCAGCTCTTTCCAACTTTCCTGTTTGGTACAACTCGACAACCTTCTTAGACTCCGCGTATGCCGTTTCAATCAACTCGGTCTTTTCCTTAACAAGTTTTGTACCAGGAGTAACGTCGCTCACACCGATAGAGAAGCCGCGATTAGTCAGCCAGCGCGCAGAGAGCTTGGCCAAACGGTTCATAGCCTGCACGGCATAGTCGGGGCCGAAGTCTCGCATCATGACGTAGAAGACAGAGTCTTTCTTACCATCACCGACAGTCGCTTTGTCCATGACACCGCACATGACTTCGGAATTACGAATGACAAGCCAAGCATCGTCTTCGTTCATGTCTTTAGCGTTACCCTTGTACTGCTTGCATGCTGCGTCGAGGTTGACGAGGACCTTGGATTCCTTGTATGGTCGCATGAGGACGTTCCAAATCTGCTTACCCGTCCACAAGCGTTGGGGTTTCAAGATTGCCGGTGGTGGCAGTTCGATCTTATGGTACTTTCCAGTCTCGGGATCCCGCACTGCTTCGTCGTTGAACATGTAACCGCAGACCAAGGCGAAGGTTTTCCGGTCCAAGAAGAGATCTTTTCTGCTGGTCAAGAAAGCGCAAGTGATGAAATCCTGGATAGCTGCAATGATAGGAGTTCCGTTCTTCGGCGTGGCCAAGTTGTGCTTGACGCCCATCAGCTCGATGGCTTCCGTTCTGGCCTCCTCAGTCTGCGGCACGTGCAGGTTCATCTCGTCGCCGTCGAAGTCAGCATTGTACGGGTTGCAAACACACTCGTTAAGACGGAATGTCCGCCAAGGCCGGATTTTTGCTTTGTGGCTGAGAATACTGAGCTTGTGCAGAGAAGGTTGTCGGTTGAATAACACGATATCCCCGTCCTCGAGATGTCTCTCCACGATGTCGCCAATTTCAAGTTCGTCCGCGGCCCTGCCCAGCTTGTTGAGTTTCCCTAGGATTTCCAAAGTGATTTTGCGCCCATCCTTTTTGGCGACGAAATTAGCACCCGGGTGCTTGAACTTGCCGCGTCTGATGCAAGCCCGCAGCTTCTCAATATTGTAGCGCGAGACCTTCTCAGGATAAGTCATATTCTTAGCAACCCGCTCCGGCACGGCGACCTCCTCGATGCTGAGATTAGGATCCGGACCGATGACCGTACGGCCGGAGAAATCCACACGTTTACCAGAAAGGTTACCACGGAAACGTCCTTGTTTACCTTTCAAGCGCTGACAGAAGCCTCGGATGTGTTTTCCTACTCCCTGCTGCTGCAGGCCCGGCAGGTCACTGTTGATGTACATGGCGATCTGCAGCTGCAGGAAATCCCATTGCTCCATGATTGTCTGCACTGGTTGACCCTTCTCCAGTCCTGCGCGAATGAGCGAGCTGATCTGGATGATATCGCCGAGCTTATTGGTAATGTCGTCCTCGGTAGTAGCAGCCTCCTGGGCAACTGATGGACGGATGCTGACGGGCGGCGCAGGCACATATTGCCAGATGAACATCTCCGGCCTCCCCTTGTTCATGCCCAGCAGCGGGCAGTCGGTGGCCCGAATGCGTTTGAAGAGATTGAGAACCCTCAGCGGATTCATGTCATCAACAGCCTTCCGCATGTGCTTCTCCAGCTCGGCGTTGCCCTGCTTTGCGGTCTCGAATGACTTGTCGAACTCTTGCTTGCCGCGCGGTATCTCCTTCTTCTTGGCCGTCGACTTGTTGAAAGCATCGTACTTCAGGTGAACAATCTTCAGCGGGTGTCCGGTGACCTTCCTGACCGGGCCGTTGGTGGCGGCGCAGTACGGGCACTTCTTGACCTTTCTGCACTCGGCGGATATTCTCTTGCAGATCTGGGTGCGCTGCAGGCTGTCGAGATCGGGGCGGCGCAAGCTTTTCGTGTACTTTTGGCGGGTGGTTTCGTCGAGCAGGATGTTGGAGCATTCCTTGCATATGTTGTGGAGGACCTCGAGGATCATCTTCAGGTAGCCGATGTGGAAGGCAGGCAGGGCCAGCTTGACATGGCCAAAGTGGCCGTTGCAGGCCTTGAGATCCTCGCCGCACGTGTCGCAGTTTGCGTTCTTGCTGGAGATGCCCATGCGGCCGTCCATGGGGCCATGCTTGGTGACATTGCGCGTGGGCCCGGTGCTAACGGCGTCGTAGACATGACGATCGGAGACCTCGATGACGGCCTGGTTGACAATGTCCTGGTTGGAGAGGATGCCGAACTGCAGCTCGGTGATGCGCTTGGGCACGCGATCGACGACCTGCTCCTTGAGCTCACCTTGGGAGGCCATGGTCGGTGCGGGAGGGCATGGGCATGGGAAACGAAGGAGGCGAGAGAGGAGCGAGAGAGGGAGCCGGAGTCATGTCGAAATAATTTGGCAGAGTAGCGCGGTGGGGTACGGCGCTAGTCCCGTTCGGCGCGCTATCTCTTATCGCGCGGCAGCTTCCCCGCGGTTCGGGGAAGGGGCCAGCAGCAGCAGTACAGCACCGGGGTGCCTGCCTGCCTGCGACGAAGGCAGCCACGCCCTTCACACACTGCGCTCGCTACTTGCTGGAAAGCTGTGAGCTGGGCTTCCGTCTTCCGCTGACTGTCACACCGTCAACTATCTTTCCCTCGACCGACCTCTGCTCCAGCCCGCAACCCCGCAGCCAACAGCTCTCGGTCGCTCCCGGAGCTACGTCGATTAGGCAAGGAGTACACTCTCAAGGCCCACCGACATCACAACCACTTCCTCCTCTTACGTCGCAATCATGAAGAGTATGTGCATGGCCCGCTTCTCCTCGTTGCCCGTCGCTAACCCGCTCGCCTTTGCAGCTCTCGACCTGAAGCTCACCTCGATCGGCGACGGCGACTCCATCGTCGAGCGCTTCGTCAAGCTCACGGCAGCTTCTCCTCTCACCATAGGTCGCGCTTCGCGGAACCGCGACATCGAAGCGTCTGCTGCCAACGCAGCCATCGACAACCCCGTCGTCTCCAAGCAGCATGCTGTCATCAGAACCGACCCCGATTGCAAGGCAAGTTGCCGCCCTCTCCCTCTACCCTTCTCCGCGCCAAGCTGACGTATGTCTTAATCGCAGATCGTTTACATCAGAGATATGCAATCCATGCATGGAACTAAGGTAGACGAATATGTCCTTTCCAAGGGTGAAGAGGTAGCATTCGGTTCGGGCGCGCGTTTGCAGTTCGGTACCACCGTTATCCACGGCGAGCGTAAGCACACATCACCCTTATGACTCCTATTGCCGCCCAAGAACCTTGCTGATACATATAGGCACAGGCACCTTCGTCCCTGCTACTTATAAAGTCGATTTCAAGCCCGCAGACCTTGCGCTCCCCATCGACCAGACCTCGTTGCCTGATTCCGACCTCAAGCAGGGCTACACTGATTACACAAAGTCCGACTACTCCACGGATTCCGACTCTGACGAAGAATTATCTACTGCTATGGATGCTACTAGCCCTGTCGTGTCGGCCACCGAGCACTCCGCCACCAGTGAAGCGCAGGCTCTTTTTACTGCATGGGATAATTATGCGGATCGTTGGAGCAACTCTGAGGCGGACGACGACTCTGAGCAGGACTCATGCCCTGACGGAGATATAGATGATTATCCCGATGAAGAGTCAGTATCGGGCGACTCTGATATCGACGAAGATGAGGACAACCACTCCGGCGGCTTCCCTGCCACACCTCGGGAAGCATCGGTTGAGATTGCCCCCACTTCTGCCCAGACGGTCACGGTGCTTGACCTTACTGATAAGGACGATGGAGACCACGAACGCACCGAAGCCCCGAAGTCGCTCTATAACAACCAATCCGCCTGGGATATCACTGCCGGAAGCAACCAAGGTCATGAATCTTCCGAGACTTCGAAGTCGATTTTCGACAACTGTTACAACTGGGGCGATACACCTACCATCAACAGCCAATGGATCGACAACTCGGCGAGAGAACCCTCTGCGAAGTATGTTTCCCCTTACAATGCTACCGATATGAGCTCTATCGTAGCCGACGAGGCATCTGTCGCCGCCTACGCGGCTTCTGCCGCCGCCAACATGAAGGCTGAAACGACCCCCGAGCCCTTCAAGGTGAGCTTTGGTCTTGCGCTTAAGGACGGCTACAATCGCTTGGCCGAGGAATTCGATACCATGCCCTATGCGCCCAAGTACGGGTACGATGGGTTGCCCCAACAGAAGCCTTTCATGAACGCGATTTCTGATATTGTTGAGGGAGCCCCGGTCACTAAAAATAGCACTGCGCCTACTGCTGGCTCTAAGAGGAAGGCTTCGGAGGCAGAGCTCGAGGACCAAGACCAGGCGCATTGGGCACACACAGTCAGCTCTGCTCGTACTCCGGAGGAGGATGAGTCCATGCTGGAGGCGAAGATGAAGGAGCGTTTGGCGTATGCCATGGAGCACGACTACACTCTTGATCAATGCCTTAAAGAGCTGAGAGGCATGGTCCCGCCTGCAAAGCCCGCCGACATGAAGTTCGGACTCCCCCATCAGATGAAGAGGTTCAAGATTCAATCCAAGTGGATCGCCAAGGCTAGGGAGAGTTACTTCACTTCGAAGGACCTGGACTCGGCTGATGCCTCTGGCAAGCATGCTGTTGGCAAGTCCTCAATGGCAGAGGCTTCTAGTACTCAACCTGCAATCGAGCAATCTGCTACCCCTACAGCCAAGCCCTTCAAGACCCTCAGTGTTCAGCCTCGCGGAAATCTGGCGGAAGTTACTGGAACTTCTGCTATGGTTACGCAGCAGCCCCCTAAGAAGCGCACTACTACGAACTTCCTCAGCCGCGCTCGCGACGGTGCCGTGGGCTTCGTCATTGGTGGTGCTGTCATGTTTGGTGCTCTCGCCAACTTGCCCGAATCTCTTTTCGCTTGAGCCTAGAGGTTCATAGGGTCTGCAGAAAAGTGGACACGTTCGGCATGCCTGGGGATCCGCCATCGAGTCTCTCCACGCATCGACTTGCCTGTAAGGTTCATCGCCGAGTTGTCTCTCATACAGCACAAATCCCCTGAACTCTGTTAAACATGTTGGCTTCGAAGGATGCGAGATTAATGCATACACCTCTCATTCCTTCAACTTTTCATTACCTTTCTCGGCGCAAATGTGGGACCCCGGAATACCTTTACGACACGACGGAGACACACGGAGAACTACGGATGCTATACCAAGGAAGGGAGGGGATATGGAATTAAGGAACTGTGTTTCTTTTCCCTTTTTTTGCTTTTGACCATAGGCTGGCTTCCATCTTAAGGTTTCATGCTTTTCTTCCTTCCTTTCTTCTCCCTTTCTCTTTGCTTCTTCACTACTAAGGCCCTGCTCTGCTGCTTTCTTTCCTGGTCCTTGCATTAGGTAGGTACTGCGAGTTAGGTAAATTACAAACCCTTGAAAATCCAGCTGGTGCGCCTTGTCTGTCTGCCTCGTGGAGGTTGGTGCTGTAATAATCAGTAGGTGGCAGGTTGAACAAGAGATACGAAGGAGATGTAAGTTGGGCTGATCAGTGTGTTGATGGGATATAGCGCTGAAGGACGCGATAGACAGTCCTGACTGTGGTCGGTTTGCGACGCGACTTCACAGCTGCCCAAGGTGCCTGGTGCGTCGATCATTTCCTTGCGGGCGGATGCTCACGCCCGAGCCAAAAGCTTGCTTCCCGCCAGGCCGCTCCCGACTGCAACTTCGGCACTTAACGAGCTTCGAACAGCTTCACGAACCATGGGCGACTGTCAACGGAAGTGGCATAGATATGCGAGTTCTGACGCGTATGTGCGTTCTTAAGGATGATGTTGTCGGTCGGTCTGTCTGCCTGTTTCCACCTATGCTAACTACAGACCTCTTGGAACTTCCTCCCCCTCTCTCCCACTTGCCTGGCATACGTATGTACATGCGCTACCTGAACCTCGACGTACGGATATGCGCGTGCGTGCGTGCGCTTGCCCACACGTCGCGCGCCGGTGTGAGTATGTGTGGCGTGGCGGTGAACTGCGTGCGTGGTCCGTCGGTCTGCTGTGGCGTGGTCTTGGACAGGTGTGCGACGTGGGTTCTTGTGCCCGTTCCGCCTCTGTTGTCGGAGGCTCCGGGGCTCGCTTGGCGCGGTGAGGTTTTGGAGGGACGCGGCGGAGGTCGGCTATTGAACCGGCAGCACAACTTAGCCTCCAGTGGCTCGGCACAACTGGCCGCTCGAGTGACCTTCTCGAAGTTCGAAACTGTCCGCTGTGACGGGGAGGACTATGCCGCGTCCGATGGGCTGTGGTTGGATGAGGGTGTTGCGCTCGTGGCGGGTGCGACGGCTTGACGTCAATAGGTATGTCGCTGTTTAACTGTGAGCAGCTCACTGTGGCACGGACTTAGGCACGCCAAAATCGTCTCGTTGCACAGCATACTGGAGTTTTATGCTGTATTTCTCCAGAATTACCCTGTATTGGATTTGCCTCTTCCCTCGATCGCGCGACTGGCAGTCTTCTGGCTTCCGCAGGGAGATCTGGGTCATCTGGCCTGAGGGAACACCATCTTCACAACGAAGATGCATGTCCAGTGGCCGCGATTTGGGGAAAGGGACTGTTCAGGTGATATTAGTCTCACTAAACAACACTGAGTCGACGACACGAGCAAGAACTTAGCAGAACTTCATGTTCGAATCCGTATTTTGCAAAGATCTTGCCATGACTGTCTTCGACCTTTGCATCGAGCTCCTGATCTGTTCATCCAGAGGATACTAGGGGCTCTCCACGAAGTAACTTGGGAGTAGCCTGGCAGACAGTGGTTCGATAGACCAAATCGGGCCAGAACCAAGGACCATGGCCAGAACGTTCTCACGTTGCGACAAGTATCAGATCATTCAAGATCTGGCCAAACCACAGGCCAAACTACAATACCAGTCTCCGCTCAGTTGCCGCTCGGAATCGTACAACACATCGGGACACGCATACCACGTAAGGTGATAATATGCCGAATTAAGGGCGAGCAGATCTCGGGAACTCCAGGATGCCGAGTGAATCACCCGCGTCAACGTCGATGAGCAGATCGAACGGACAGATGCCGCCATACCCAATGATGGAGAGAATGCCATGGAAGAACACGGGATTGCAAGCGTGAACTTTCCCAACTCAAACAACTGACGTGTGCCTGAGGGGCTTAGTGTCGCTTCCCATTCGGGAAGCCTGACACTATCCTGACCGGTGACAAGGACACCACAAGACCGGCTGGACCTGTCCAATTCACCATCGCAAGCATCAAGATATCGACCAATGAGGCACAATCGCTGCGGATCATGATGTTTGTTCGTCGCAAGCTGCCGTGGAGGTGGCGCCAACTCAACCCAAAGACTCCGGGTCGCTGCAGGTGGAAGCGACAAGGGGATGATACGTTGCAGCATGCACGCATTTAACGGTCATTTTTTGGATCATTCGACTTTACGATTGCATGATGAATTGCTTTGCTATTCTCAAAGGAAAGCAGACGAATCCCGCCTCCACTTGATACATTCCCGAGCCCCTTGGCGGCCCCTTCACGCCACCGTCTCAGATGGGAATGGCGCAATGTCGCCTGCAAGCACCCCCAATTCCCGTAAAAGAGCGGAGCACAAAGAGTGGCCCGCGGGGAAAGACGTCTGATATACCTTTCGGCCGTCAGGAAGCGTGGGAAGGTCTGTCGTGAGACGTCATGATCATCGGGTGATGGTGGTGTTACCATGAGCTCTGCCAACGTCGCCACCCTCCGGACCTCAGACATCGCTATCTAATCTCAGATCCGTCGCTGATCTGTCTCAGGCTCATGCAAGGACCATGTCATTGCCCAATCTGTTGTGCGATGCCACCCGTCTGGCTCTTTGCCATGATGGCGTGTTGGTCGGATGTTTGTCGTTGAGCCCCTCACGCAGCTAAGCGCTTCGCAAGCTCTTGGAGGCAGCACAAGCACTCGGCGCCTAGCAGGATGATGCAAACTGGCAGGAAATTCTTAATCACGCACGCAATTAGGGCCTTGGGGCCACTCGCTGAAGAATGTCCCGTTGTTTGGAGATTATGCGCCCGTGAGTAGCAGCAGTTGGCGTTGCGCTGGTGGTGGGTGGTTGCGGCCGAGTTGGCCCAATTATTATGAAGCAGCATCTGGATATTGCCCTCGTTTCGGCACCGCAGGGCCTCGAATGATTCCATTTGTAGTTATTCGGGCTGGACCAATGGCAGCTCGTGGACGGCGTTACCCAAGCACTTGGAACACCACCTGTGGCCTCGCTTGCCACATCTGTCCGTCGGCTCAGGTTTCACTGTTCAGTCGGTCCATGCAACCCGAGTGATAGATGGCACGATTGTCGAAGCAAGACTGAGAAAGAATGGAGCCACAGATGATGGAATGCACCACTATCTCGCGGTATCTGGTGCGGGGAGTCGGACACCTCCGCTCATGCAGTGAGAAGGTTATGGTGCAGTGCAGTGTATATAACTGAGCTGATGGTAGGACTGGATTCCCATCATCAGCAAGCCAACCACTCCATCCACAGCAATCACTCCAGCTCCTCTCTCAACTACAAAAAGAAGCACTCCGAATCTGCCACTCTAAGCAGCATTCTCACGAACCTCAACCTTCAACAACCACCACCACCACCACCACAAACCAAAACCACATCTTCGATCCCAGGCGGACGGAGATACCAACAACCAAAAACCAACACCTCAACCTCAAACCCTCAAAATGACTACCCCCACCCGCGCCCTCTTCCGCGCCGTCAAGCGCACCGTCGCGCCCCTCTACAAGAACGAGAACCCCATCAAGCGCTATCCCGTCACGGAGCGCATGCGCCCCTTCAACTACGGCACCATGGGCAAGCGCCTCTTCAGCACAGGCACCGGCTTCGTCGTGTACACGTCTGCGGCGCTGGCGTGGCCGCTGCCAGTCATGTGGGCGGGCCGCAAGGTCGGCGTTTGAGCTTGCCGCCTAAGCAAATCGGCCAAGAGATCGATCGCTCTCTTCTGGGACACGGCAAAGCGTTCTGGTTAACGCTTTGGCCGCTCGGCGCGTCGGCGAATGCAGGAGTCGGGTTGTGCTGCTGAGAATTTGGAATCGGGGCTCCAGTAGCTGCAAATGAGGCGTGTGTGGGACGCGGGCGTGCATGGCTTTGCTCTGCGCTTGCTGGTGTTTTGGGGTGTTTTTTGGATGCGCCAAGGCTTTTGAAAATATGGAGGGAAGTTGGTGTACTAGGAGTATATAGCAGTACACTTGGGTACAAAAATTTAAGCCATTTATACTACAATGCAGCTGAAGGGTGCGAGTGAGCAGTGTTAAGTTACTGACTCCATTGGCTCTTTTGAGGAAAGGGTTTTAGGTAAGCTGTGATATTATACATTTGTTCGGAATTGTTGCAGTTTGCATTACTCATCGATGGCTTAGGCAGGAAGTGTCGTGCGGAGGTACAATGTACACACCGGAGCTCGGTCCGGTACTTTACGGGCATATTATTTTGCAGTCAGTGGAGGTTTTTTTTTTTTTGGTTTTATTGACGTTTTTACCTTTGAATTAGTTGAATTATGTTTGTGTTTGGATATTTAAAAGTTGTATGACTTTAGCTAGACAAAAAAGTGTTCATAGTGAATTTTAACAGCCCGTCAAAAGGCGTTTGATTATTGTTGTGGTGCTTTCGAATCTTCGAGCTCGGAGCGATTGGTCGTGCTTTATCATTGGATGGTGAAATTTGTTTGGCAGCGACAGGCCGGAAAAATATCTCTAACAATGCTCAACACTCATGGCATATTAGCTGTGCTAGATAACGCAGCGGTGTTCAAATTTTGCAGACTTCCACTACATAAATTGCGACGCATTCCCGGCTTCTGCTTGTGTCGGTGCTTCGCAAAAACATAAGTAGAGCACATAAAAGAAACCGCTATAGGTGTTTGCCGCACCGTTGAAAATCGAAGTAGAAATAAGGTTTAAAGTTCTTCGCAGCAGATCCACCATCGCAAGATCGACCTAGCCGGCGTTGTGGAACTATCACCAGAAATAGAGTGTTTTGGCGGACATCAGCCTCAGCCTTATCGGCACAAGCTAGCACGGTCTGTGAGCATCCGAGCAATGAAAGGACACCTCCAAAAAATCTCCGCAAACCCGCCCGGGAAGGATTTTACCCCTGCCGATGAAGTGGCTTGCTGCAGAAACCTCCGGTGCCAGTAACGGCCCCCATCGGCATCTTCGGCATCTTCGGCACTGCGCCGCGTCGGCATCGCCAACGGCATTGCCTGCCGCGGTGGGCTGACACGCTGGATTGTTGTAGTCGTTTGGCTTCCGCTTTCCTCCTAGTGCTTGCTGTTAGGAGTAAGAGATTTGCTTGGTAGGCCTGGAGACTGCTGTCGAAATGTGCCGATGAGGGCACAGATGAGACAACGGGTCGCCCTTGTGGAATCTGCTTTGGACGCCGTGCTACGGGAACAGGCGGTATAAATGCTCCTTTTCCAGAACTATGTGGTAGATTATTGTTTTCCACATCTTACAAGTGCAGCAAAATCAAAACCGTTGCCAGAAACATCTTTCTACGCCTCAACATCAACCCGAAACCAACTCAAACCAACAAACCAACAACTTGACAACAACACCCGACCCTCTCCCTCAAAACCAAAACAACCGACACAAAAAGCTCTGCAAATCTCTCAAGCCGTTTGCTTAACAAACCACACAAAATGGCCACCTCAAGCCGCGCCGCTTTCAACACGCTCAAGCAATTCGCCTCGCACTTCACCAAGGATCCACACCCCGTCGGCCGCTACCCAACCACACAAGGCATCCAGGGCCCCTGCTTCCGCCGCATGGGCGCGCATGTCGCCCGCGCGGGCGTGGGCTACGTGATTGCTGTTTCGGCGGTCATGTTTTGGCCGCTGCCGGTGGCGTGGGTTATGGGGAAGGTTGGAATTTAAAAAGGGGGATGGTGATTTGGATGTGATGGAGAGGGGATAGAGGAGGAATTGAGGGAATGGGGGAAGGGGGTTGGGTTGTGTGCAGTAGAGGTTGTTGCAACACGGAGTTTGCATGGGCGCGGCTTATGGAGTTAGGGTTTGCATGTTGGTTGTTTGCGGTCCAGCGGCTTTAAGCCTGGGAAGATGTTAGAGTATAGAGAAGTGATAAGGCTTTGCATTTTAGAAGGTTTGAGAGTTCATAATGGAGCCCCTATTAATCAGTGTTGCGAAAATATGATGGTTTGAATCGGCGACTGCCACATTTATTGTCACAAGTCCTTGTGAGTATGTTGTATTCGAAGAGCGAGGATGCTCTTTAGAGCTATAAGAATATAAAAAGTATGAGGGTACGGATATATTCGAAAGTGTATAAAGGTGAGAAAATATAAGGATGACAAAGGTATTCTATAAGGGAGTTAGAGTACAAAGGCAACAAGGTAGGGACCAAATCTATTATCTATATAGTTTTAAAGCACAGAGGTAGACAAATAGTCTAGAAGGGTATCCAATCTGTCCGGGGCTAGAACATTTAGTGTACTACGTCGTGAAAGCTGCACCAGACAAAATCCAGCTCAGCAGCTGAACGAAAGAGAAGTAAGCACCAGCCGAGCCGATCATATCCTTCTTCAGAATCAGCATTTCTAACCTAGAGGTCATAAATTCGGTATACATACCGTCCATTTCATTGCATACGACTGAAGGCTAATCCGCCGATCAAAAGTTGGTATCTGCAGAAAAAGAGAAGTATGACAAGGACCGGAAGCCGTTTGTTTTCTTGAAGATACATCGCACACCAAGTCCTGAGCCGGTATGGTCGAGATAGAAAGCGAATAGTCGTAAGCGGGCTCTTCGTTGAGCGCTTGGCGGTACTCAAGGCCGAGGTTTATGGCCGTCATACCGTTCGCATTTATGAGGATCATCCGTGTGTAGCCTTTCTCAAGAGCCTGTTTAAGAGTAAACTTTCGGTCATAGATGGCGACCCAGATACTGGGTTGTAGATTTTGAGACGAGTCGAAAAATGCTTGAGTTGAGTTGTCTGTACGCTTTATGTCAGTATTTTAGTATATAACCGGATGTTCGCGCCCAGAGACTTACACCAGAAGAAGCTTTGTAGGATCATTATTGTTGTTGGGGATTGGCTAATCAGTGAAGGGGGTGCGGAGAATTCTAGGTAGCGGTAACTAGTATTCTGCCATTCCAGGTCTTCAACAACGTCCTGTGTCCAGGCATCACTGCAGTTGCATGGTAGGGTAGGGCCTCCGGAAGTTCCACAAGATGGGGCGCTGTTTTTGTACCAGCCTATAAAGCATTTGGAAAAATTAGGCAGAAGGTGTGCTTGTGAGGTCCAATCGTTACGTTCGATCATTGCGACAGATGGAAAGGCTGCCTCTGTCTGTAACTGTGGTTAACTCCTAACTCAGTAAAGACAGTGACATCGTTTAACTTACAACTGTATCCTGTCGAAGCTCCAGGGTATGTTCGTTTAGTTTTTGATACCAGAGAGCATTATACAAAATAGCCATGGTTATTATTGTCAAGAAAACGGTTATAATGGTGTTTCCTAAGTTCCTTCTATATAAAGAAGGCAAAAGCGCTGCAGGTTTATCAGTCTTAGTTTCGTTATACTATATACAATGATGTACTTACGTTTGCTTTTACGGATGAAGTCAATGACAAGGCGGGCCGATAAGGTGATTAGAAGAGCCACGAGGGAGATCGTAAAGAACAAACGCATTGCAAAAGTGGAGAATCGGCCAGTCAAGACGAGGAGCACAAACACCAGTACAAAGAAAGCCAATGCCAAGGTAACTGTAGGAGCCTGCGGCCAAACATTTTGTTCGGGACCTACTACCATGGTGCTTGACACGCGATACCATGGCTGAGAAGGCTTGCTCGGGGTTCGCGAGTTGGGAGGAGAATTTTGAGGTACTGATGGTGCTGTTGCTGGTGCTTGTGCTGTTGCTGGTGCTTGTGCTGTTGCTGGTGCTGGTGCTGCTGGCGTTAGTGGTCTTGCAGTTGTCGCATTAGAAGATACTGATATATTTGCCGCGGACGCAGACGCAGTAGTTGATGGCGTTACCACAGTTGGCGCCGCTGATGCTGTCGTTGTCGTCGGATTCACTGTACTGGGTGGTGCGGAAGACATGACGACTAAGGAGGCACAATAAAGACCTAGTTCATCATTAGGCTGGCTGAAAGCTGATAGTGCCCATTTAGATCGGGAGAAGCTAGGATAAAAAATATCAAGTCCAAAAGCAAAACTAGCTGGAGAGCTCGAGCTGTCCACGAGGCTGATTCCAAGTCCCGCCTTGTAGCGGTAGGCAGACACAAGGCAACCGATGCCTGGTTTTGTATTCCTCACGCCTTACATTTAACCTTGTCGTGTTTCGGGTATCTGCAAGGCTCAAGTGTTTCACAAGCGGACTGAACGTGCCCGTGCCGAACAGGGTATGGTAAGATTTCTAAAAATGGCAAATGCATCACAAAAAGCAAAAGAAGGCCAACGTTTAGATCGTGTGATACTTCTAAGCCTCCTGCAAGGGAGGAGCTGGGAATATTATGTTAGTATTCACACAATTGCCTTGTTTTGTTTTATGCCTTGCCACAAGCGCCTCATAGCACTATTGAAATTAAATCTTGCGCCTCACGAGTGGTGCCTTAAGCGTATGATGCCATCCAAAGCTAAATCTCCAGCCTTGGAGAGTATAAAAGGTACGTGTCTGCTATGAGTGGGTTTTAGAGAACACATTCACCTTTGTGATTTTCAAAGACTTTTACTTGAACTTTCAAATTCTTCAAATTCTTCTTTGTTATCGACATGAAATCACTCTTTAGCCTTTGCACAGTCATCCTATGGCTATTTGGTTTCCAAGGAGCCAATGCAGTCCAATCCTGGCCGGGATCCAATCTGTATTATGCAGCAGGGTTGAATACCGTGCAGCAGGATTCACTTCTGGGCAGTCTCCAAAGCGCCGGAATCAAAGTGCTCAGAGTCTGGCTCGATGGTAAGACAGCTGACGGCCTGTATATGTGACAAGGCACCAGCTGGCACATTACTAAACCTACCCAGGACAAACCGAGACCCAAAAGGGAACCAACATCGTTCCATTTCCGAGCCTCGAGCCCAATGCCATTGGAACGTACAATGATACGGTGCTTGAGCGCCTCGACGACGTGATGGTCAAGGCTGCTTCCTATGGAATCAAGCTGAGCATTGCAATCCATAGTTATAACGCTTTAAGCGGAGGCGATGTTTACGGGCAAGCCTATGGGACTTCGGATTTCTACACCAACAGTGCCGCCATTTCCAGCTTTGAGCAAAGAATTTCTCATGTTCTGGCACATGTCAATCCGCACAACAACAAGCCTTGGAGCGAAAGCAGTGAGTACATCTTCGCATTCGAGGCTCAGAATGAAGCCATGAACAACAAAGTGAGTGAACACCCTTGCATACAGTTGAAGCAGAAGAAACTCATGATTATCAGGGAACGGACTTCATAGCCGAACACGCAGGCTGGCAATGCACTGTAGCCCAAGCCATCAAAGACGGACTCAAAAATCGCACCGACATCCTCGTCACTACTGGCGGCCAAGGCTGGCTGGACGTCTCGATGCAAGACGCCTACTTTAGCTGCGCAGCCTTGGATGTCATAGCAATCCACGCCTACGGGGCAGCCGACTATGACACCAGCCGCCTGGCTGCTTACGTGGACAAGGCAAAATCCAGCGGCAAAAAACTGCTCATGCAGGAATGGGGCGCGTGCTACTACGACACAGTGAACAACCGCTGCAATCAGTCCGGAGCGCTTGACGAAGCAACTAGAGCCCAGAATCTTCGGACGTGGGCGGAGCAGATCAGTGCTGCGGGCATACCGTGGATGTATTGGCAGGTCATTCCTAATGCTGATCCTCACTGGGACTACGATTATGAGATTGGTACGCCTGATGGTGATATTTGGGAGGCTTTTAAACAAGTTGCTCTCGATACTGAGACATATGAGGCGGCTTTTGACTTTTCGCCGTGGTTGCTGTAAGCTGGAGGAAGTGAGACGGATTGGATTTCAGATGGATTGGACGGAAGCAATAACGGGATGAGTACATCGAAGGCATACTGAAACGCTCTACAGACAACAAACAAGCAACACTACCACAAACCGCGTAGATAGACTTTAAAATATCACCAGTAACAGCAACAGAAGTTTGGAGGCAATCTTCCGTTTCTCAAACACACATATCTTTCTTCCAGGCACCCTTTCAGAGCACAACCATCAACCACGCACAGCCAACTACCGCCAAAGCAAAATAAGCCCCAAGACTATTATTGTACACCACCGTAACACCGTCGCCTGAACCAGAGCTAGCATTCGCAGTCGCAGCCGCAGTCGACAAAGTTGTCTTAGCACTACTTGCCGGCGTAGCCGTTTTAGGCGCCCACGCGGTAGGCAGCGACGCCGTACGAGAAGAGTTCTTCTTTACCTCTAGCCATCGCATCAGCAGCTTCACTTCGTAAAGAAAAGCAGCAAAGAAAGCAGATCATTTCATACCGGTAGCAGCCTCGGTCATATGGCAGTAACTATCGAACACCTCCAGCGCCGCGCTCGTCACAGACTCAGACCCTGTAGAGGTGCACTTGGAGCGCACGTCCGTCGCTATCATGCTCGCAAACTTGCTTGAGCTTTTGCTGCAGAAACAGCTGAATGAGGTCATGGCGCCGCCGTCACCGCAGCCGCTCGTCATGCCGCGCACGATGGAGCTGACGGGGACGACGGCGCAGATGGGTAGGTCGGCATAGGCGGGGACTTGGTCGATGAAGATGCGTTGGGGTGTTGCTAGGAGGGAAAAGTAGTTCAATATCAAGAGGACAATATGGTGGTTGCGGAGATCCATGGTTTGTCGTTAAGGAGTTGAGTAGGGGATGGGAAGAGCGTGCGTGTATGGGTAGGGGTTTTGCTGATAATATAGATGTCCCAGTGTCTGCTATTGTCAGCTCGCTCTGCAGAAATTTCACCCTTGTTCTGCGGCGGTTTATTGTTTCATCATCCTGAGGAATTATGCATCTAGGCAACGAGGCAATCGTTTTTGTTGTCTAGCAAGGCTGAAGATGTGCCAGGGTCTGCATAATGTACAGGGGCCAGGGCTTTGGTCATACCGGGGCTGCGGATATTCAGTTGGAATACGAATTATGCTTACTGTATAAGTTTAACGCCTACTTTGTACTTAAAGTATAATAATAAGAGAAGATGATGTGTTTTCTTAACCCTTGTTAAAGAAAAGAAATGCTGTTCAGCATTAACGCAAAACTGCCCAGTTATGAATAGACGCAAGCAGGGCTACATACCAGCTAGTAAAAATAACGCAACTACTCAGCGATTAATATACACTAGCAGCAAACTTTAGTAACCGGCGAAGCGAGTCGTACGGACAGACAAAAGAGAGTAGCACGAGTATATAGAGGGCATACGTAGTCCAGTATATTAATAGGGTAGATAGATATAAATGATTAATTAATTAATTTGTTTTACGTTTATATGTAGTTACAAACTATAACAGATAGTTCTTTTAGAACAGGCTGAGGAGTTGTTATATACAAGATAAAAGCGATGGATGGTTGGATCTAAGCTTAAGAAATAAAATAGAAGGGAAGAATAGATAGATATAAGGAAGATATCTATAACATGGAATTATACGCGTATATACCTATATGAATACATATAGTATATTTAAGTATTATCTACTCTTAATAAAAAGCTTCTTAATTTTATATAAAATATATATAGAGATAGTACGACGGGGCCCGGGGTATTATAGATAAAATTCTACGTTTACCTATTACATATGCATACTTCTCCTATACCGTTAGTGCAACTTTAAGTAGTTACACAGCCTACTTTTCAACTAAGAACCGTCTTCTACCAAAGTAATTCTTTTTTTAGTAACCTATACATTATTCTATAAAGATAAAACCCCTATTCCCTATACCGAAAAGTACAAACTCCCTAGTAATGCATTCAAGACTACCATCCTAAATAGACTACTAAAAGTACAGCCGCATACGTCCGAGTTCTTCATATAGGGGTAGAGAGGAATATAGAGGTTAAAGCTTTCTAAGCCTACTTATAGCCCTAAAGCCGAGAGCAATTCCACCATTCCAGGCACAGATCCTTACTACATCCGGTTATCCGATTGGCAGCATCACCAGCTCTCAAGCAAACAAGGTAGAGTAAGGACATGTAGCGCGGCAAGTCTGATTCAGGAGCTGTTAAGAAACTACCTAGGCTATTAATTTCACCAGCTGTAATGCGAGACTATACCTACCTATCAAGCCCCGAAGTCGTGCGCGCTTTTCGCTTTAGCTTCCCAGCAGGAAAAGAGGGACGAGTGCCATGTCCCACCAACAGTTCCTCTAAACGTGAACACGAACACGCTCGGTATAGTATAGTGTAGTGTAATAGTATAAAGAGTGGTCGGGGCTAGTGCTTGTAGGAGGAAGTGCCTAGGCATAGTACTGCGAGACTTTTACAATAGAGCTCTGTACGGGCTGACTCCTCGACACACCGAATGCCGAACGCGACAGCGCTCCAGGACCGCGCAGTGTTTCGACTCCTTGAAAGACGCGTCCCGCTACCCTGGCCGGTCGATACCGTTACGCCAGGGCGCAAGACATGCATCGTGTATACGCTGCTACACCGCATTCTCGTTGTTCGCTGCTCGATAGACGCGGCACCCTGCACCTCCGCCCCTCAACCTCGATATACAGTGCTAGCACTACTGGCCCGCTTTCACCACCGCCTTAGGGGCGATGTAGTTATTGGCAGGCTGAATAAGAGATCACGTCGCTCCGCTCTGACGGCATAGTGCATGTATGTCTAAATGCTGTAGCTGGTGCGTATGTCGCGCGTGTGTATGTAGGTACTAAAACAGAGGCGCTTGTAGCGGACCGGGATTGGGTCGAAGGTGCTGGGTGCTGTGGTTTTATACCTAGGGAGGTGGGGGTGTGGTGATTTAGTTGAGCAGGTGTGGTGGGAGAGAGAGAATGTGTGTGCGTGTACCTATATGCCATTGTTGCCACCGCCGCACAGCCAAGGACGAGTAGTAGCGTGTTGGTGTGCAAGGGTTGTGGGTGCACGAACAGAACATGTGCCTAACGAAGGTTGGTGGACTTGACAATGATACAGATTACGGTTCTCTCCTAAACACCTCAACACGACAGTAAAAGCGCATGAACGGCGCCGTAAACACGCCCCGATATACCGACGCACGCTTTTTGAGGCCGGAAGCTGCGGCCTGGGGGCGAGGTTATGGCAGGACTGGACTGTGGCTGGGTAGCTTGAACGGAAGTTTGTGCGCATGTATACGTGCATGCATGCATGTGTGCGTGGGGGGAGTGAGCACGTGGGTAGATGGTTCGTTTGCGAGGCTGCTGGATCTTGCCTTCGGCTGTGTGAGTTTCGTGGAGGTGGGGATGCTTGTGCAGAGTTGAAGGCGGGGATGAGGTTAGAGATGGAAAGCTTGGAATTGTGGTCTGCGCGCTTTTTGACGTTGACTATTTTTTACGGTGACGGTGTGCATTGGCGACGCGAATACTAGTTGGTTGAAGCTGTTGATCATCTCAAATGGTGCGGCTGGTCTTGGTTGTTTGTAGAATCTAGCCGGACATACTGATAAATGCTTTTTTGACGGTCGGAGGTTACTGGCCAGCTAGAACGTTAAATATAGTCAAGACTTTATCTGACATGTGGCTTGCTCGAGAGTTTGGGGTTGGTTTGATAATACGAAGCTATGTCAGAGATGGTGGTGTCGTGAAGGCGGTTGTTTCGAAAAGGTTTCGGATGTATTACATATGAAGGGACGAAGTGAGGAAGAAGGTTTCGTTGATGTAAGCGGTACCTATGTTATAGACAGTCAGAAATTTAGCTCGCTACCTGCTACCATTCACGACGGTGGTCGAGATCTAAAATAATCTCGGCTGACAGTGTCAGCAGCACCGGCACGGCGGTCTGGCGGCCCAAGCCTGCCCTCCGGCGCTCCGCCCAACCCAACACCCAACAACCCTCTCGCAGATCAATCAACAAACACACATTTGACACTCGACACGCACACTCTCTCCACATCACCCCAGATCTCAGCGCCACGCGCGACGGCAAAGCAAGATGAAGAAAAGTCGTCGGTTAGCCGCGCAGCCGCGCAGCCTGGCAGCGGCCTGCATGTCGGCCCCTGCAATCAGGTCAGGCTGCATGATCTAAAACAAAGCTCCGATGGACATGCGGTGGTACAAATAACGGCTTTTTTTCTTTCTTTCTTCCGTCGTGAGAAAGACGTTGCCGAGGCAGGTGGTGATTACTACTCCGTACGTACCTAGTCGGAGATTGAGATGGCGATTGAGGCGCTGTTTAGTTTAGTTAGATATAGTACATAGGGTCTTTGACCTTGTGTGCCCAGGACCGGGAGCGGCGAACAAGAGGGAGAAAGAGAGAGAGAGAGACAAAGGCACGAAAGGATGAACGGAAAAAACGACGTCAGCTCTGGGGGCGGTGATGAAAGGCCGTCAACAGGATTGATGACCTCAGGATTCTCGTTTTTTTGCGGGTGCGGATCGCTCAGCCCTAGGTGAGCGTTTCAACGGGCTGGGGCGCACCGGCGCGACGGAAAGAGCGGACGCGGTTGAAGTAAATTGGGTGTTTCGACCATGATCTCCGGCGTGGGACCCTGAGAAGAACAAAGATTGAGCGTGATGAATTTTGGCTGTGATGAGGAGCATTTTGCTGCTGCCCAAGGATCGTCTCATCAAGGCGCAACCCGCAGTGCAGCAGGGCGCCGATCGGCATAATTACCCAGCACATCCCCCATCCGGCCACGACTAAAACCATCACGGGGATGCATCATATGGCGTAGGGGTATGGATCATGTGCACAAATCCAGCCTGCCACTCCGACGCAGCAGCTTCATCCTCCTCCTCCTTCCCCTCCACTAACCCACCGCGTCCGTCTCTGACCTCGACGAAAAAGCGACATCCTCCCCTCCCCCCACCACGACCACGCCCTCTCCTATCTCGTCGCGCACGCGCACCATGAGCGCGCTCCACGATCCGCCCAAGGCCGCCGCCCCGTCGCTCGGGGACAATGCAGAGCCCACACCCACTCCCTCCAAGAAAGAGGGCATGCGACGCCTGTTTGGCTTTGGCAGGAAGAAGGACCACCAAGACAAGGACAATGCCAAAAAACCCTCTGCCTCTTCTGCTGCTCAGGCTCAAGGTCATGGTCTCGTCGCACCCGCCGCGACGACGACGCCCAACAAGCTGAGCAGCGCGAGGCCCGTCTCGCCCGCCACGTCGCCACCGGCCGACTCGCGGGCCCAACTTGTCAGCACGCCCCAGAGCAGTCCGCGGGTGTACGCGTCGTCGGCGGCGTCGCCGGACGCGCGGTACCGCTCGTCGTCGCCGCGCCTGCACTCGCCCGCCTCGTCGCAAATCTTCGAGCGCAACGTGCAAGAATCCAGCGTGTCGGGAGGCGAACTGTCGCCGGCGATCCCCTCGCACATCCAGACCGAGGACCACATCCCGCCGGTGCTCGAGGCGTCGGCGCAGGCCATTACCGACGACCACCTGAACCCGGACGAGGTCGAGATCGTCATGCACTCGGCGCACCAGCCAGCGGTGCACAGCATAGCGGCCTCGACAGCCTCGACCGAGGCCGTCAACTCGCCCACCATCGACGAGGTGGCCTCGCACCACGAGACGGACGACGGCGCAAGCAACTACGGTGCCCTCGACAAGGACGACATCCGCCGCCTGAGCTTCATCTCCTTTGCCGACGTCGTGCAGGCCGAGCACGCCGAGACGGGCGGCGGTGGCCGCGACTCGATGCACCACACGAGCGTGTCGAACCGGTCGCCGTCGCCGGTGCGGTCGCCTGCCTCGTCGCGCGGCGGAATGGGCACGTCTCCGCCCACCAGCGGCGCGCCCTCGATCAAGGGTGGCGCCGACCCCTCGTCCAAACGCCCCCCTGCCAGCCCTACCGCCAGCCAGGGCGCGTGCTCCCCGCCTACCAGCAGCTCGGGTGGCGGCGAACTCATGGTCGAGACGATGCGTCAGGCCCTGCGCAAGACGGGCAGCGGCGACCTGAGCACCGCGCGCAGTCCCAGCCAACCGTTGAGCGCCGTCAGCGCCGACGACGCGGACTGTCTGCCATTCAGATGAAGGGGGAGATTGAGGGGGCGTTGGGGGTGGTGAATTGAAGGTGGGTGATGGATAGGGGGCATGAGACAAGGACAGGCACGCACGTGTGGATTGGATTGGATTGATGGATTGATTGATGGATTGGATTGGATTGAATTGGACGGATGAACGGCTTCTTTGAACGTGAAGGCTGGCTGGCTGGCTGGCTGGCTGGCTGGATTAACCTCTTTTCTTTTTTTTTAATATTTCTTCCCGAGGGGAGAGAGGTGGGGGGGTTTCTGGCGTCTCGCTTTGATTGTTTTTCTCGCTTGTCACGTTTGCGGTGCCGCGTTCGCAGATTCCCCTTTGCGGTGAGGTTTGTTTTAAGCTTCTTTTTATTGTCTTCTTTTTCTTCTTCTTCTTGGACAATGACAACACACGGACATTTTGTTTCGCTTGAAATGATTGTTGGGCATTTTGGAAACACGTGCATGTACATGAAACGGGCTTTTGAGTAGGGCGGGTTTCACGGGGCTCCGGCAGGGACTCGAGTTCTCACACGTGGCGGCAAACGTCGATCAGACGAGTGGGAGAGATGGCTCAAAGGAGTCGGAGGATTGGGTGGTGGGGCAGGGTGGGCAGGTCGGGTGCCAGGGGCGGCGGCGGAAGGAAGGGGAGCGACCTAGTCCTACCGCCGCCACAGAGAGATGATGGAATGCAGAGAGAGGGTAGGTAGTAGTTACATAGGAGTAGTTATTTGATACCTAGTTAATTATTATTTGTATGGTTTCTTCTCACTCCTCGGCTCCTGCCGTCCAACTAGCACCTAGCTTTTCCGCTGCCCTTTGCCCTTGCCCGCTCGGCCCTGAACCTGGACGTACTAGGTGCCTGACTGTCACTTGGAACCCATACCACCACACACACCCACAACCCCCTACAACACCAACAACAACCACCGCATGCCTCCCTGATCACGGCCATCGGCATCGACCTCTCGCGCCTGCTCCCCCGCGCAACCAATGCCCGCCGCCAAGTCGTCCCCTCTGCCTCTCGCTCGGCCCGACACCAAGCCAATCCTCTCGCCCAGCACCACAGCCTGAGCCCGGGATAGACCCTCCACCACTACCACACCATGGACACCGCCCGGCCCCCGCACTCCGACCAGACGACGCCAGACGACCACGATGAGCTCCAAGCACCGCCAACGCAGCGCCGCCTTGCTTCCTCCACCATCCGTCCCGTCACCCCAGACGACGTCTCCGAGGCCCAAATTCCCCTCCCTCCCGACGACGACACCACTACCACCACCACCCACCACCTCGACACAACCACGACAACCGCAACAACAACCACCTCGCCCCAAACCTCGCCCCGCACCGTCTCGCGCGAAAACACTCAAAACCGCCGCCAGGGCATCGTGGGAGCGCGCGGCGATGGAGAAATGGCCCTGAGGAGCGCAAGGGAAACACAAAACCGGCCGCGCACGCGGACCATGGAGGAGCGGACGTCGCGGGACCGCTCTCCCGCCTCGTTGTTTGCCTACAACCGCCACCGCATCGGCTCGGTGCACTCGACGGGCCCGGGGCCCTTTCAAGGCCTCGACGACAAGGTCACGTCCATCGGCCACCCCTCGACCGTCTCGCCCGCCGGCACCGCGCCCTCGTCGCGCAACAACTCGGGCTCGGGCGCGTCGCGCGCCCAGCGCCTGGCCAAGCAGCATGGCGCCGCGGCTCCGCGGCCGACGTCGCCGCTGCCGCATCCGCATACGGCCGCCCAGCCCGACTCGTGGATCTCGCCCGTTCCGGCGTCGGATGCCAAGAAGATCCTGCGCCTGATGCGTGTGACGTGCGGCCGCATGAAGGGCATGCTGGCCTTTCGGCGCGGCGAGAGCAGCCCGTGGGGTCTGTCGTATTGCTACATCAATGAGGAGACGGGCAGCCTGGTCTACGAACCCAAGAGCGACACGTCGTACCACCGCACCTTAATCCCCGACCTGCGCGGCTGCCGTGTCAAGACGGCCTACGACCCCGAGTCGTTGACGGCTTACATCGACGTGAACCTGCACAACTCGAATCTCGAGGTCCACCTGCGCCCGCCGACGCAGGAAGAGTACGATTCGTGGTTCGCCGCGCTCATGTGCTGGCAGCCCATCCGACCCAAGGGTATCCAGAACAAGATGGCCAAACCGCAGCAGCCGCTGGCGGGCGTGCCTGAGAAGAAGCCGGCGGACAGCAGGCGGCACTCTGAGATTTCGTTGCTAAAGGAAGCGCCCATTATCAAGGTGGGCAAGATGATTTTCTGGGACACGAACGTATCTTACGCAAACTCGGGCGCGGTGAAGGCAAATCATGGCGGCGCCGCGGCAGCTTCGGGGCAGCGGCCGTCGCCCGGCTACCGCATGCAAAGCTTTGGGTCGCGGCGGTGGCGGCGAGTCTCGTGCACGCTGCGGGAGAACGGAGAGCTGAAATTATATTCTGATACCGACGTCACGCTAGTCTCTGTGGTGCAGCTGTCGCAGCTGTCGCGGTGCGCGGTGCAGCGCCTCGACCCGACGGTGCTGGACAGCGAGTTCTGCATCGCCATCTACCCACAGTACACATCAACGTCGACAGCACTATCGCTGCTGCGGCCCATATTCCTCTCGCTAGACTCGCGTGTGCAGTACGAGGTGTGGATCGTGCTGCTGCGCGCCTTCACCATCCCGCAGCTGTACGGGCCCAAGCAGCCGTCGATCAGCCTGCCCGAAGACCTGGCCAACTCGCAACACTCGCTACAGGCGCATCTAGACATGTTCCGCATGGAGCGGTCGCTAAACGTGCGCATCGTCGAGGCTCGGCTGAACCCGCCGATCAGCCCCAAGTGGGCCGAGAGCCATGCGCTCGGCCGGCGGCCGCAGTCGGGCACGACGAACAAGGACACCACCCCCGGCGGCTACTATGTCGAGGTGCTGCTGGACAGCGAGACGCGCGCGCGCACCATGCTCAAAGACATCACGGACCCCTTTTGGCGCGAGGAATTTGACTTTCAGGACCTCCCCGCCGTGCTGTCGACGGCAAGCTTGCTGCTCAAAAAGCGGCCGGCCTCACCTCCCGGCGATGCCAAGCACGACAAGGCCAAGCGCGACGCGTTTGCGGTGCCCGACGGCAGCGGCGGGTACACGGGCATCTCGTTCGACCAGACGTGCGGCAAAGTGGATATATACCTGGACGACATGGAGTCGGGGCAAGAGGTGGAGAAGTGGTGGCCGCTGGTGAACATGTACGGCAACTCGGTTGGGGAGGTGCTGGTGCGAGTCAAGACGGAGGAGAGCGTCATCTTGATGGCGCGCGACTACCAACCCATGTCGGAGCTGCTGCACCGGTTCAGCAACGGGCTGACGATGCAGATTTCGCAGATGATACCGGCGGAGCTGAAGCGGCTGAGCGAGTGCCTGCTCAACATCTTCCAGGTGTCAGGCCAGGCGGGCGACTGGATCATGGCGCTTGTCGAAGAGGAGATTGACGGCACGCTGCGCGAGTCGTCGACGGTGAGCCGGCTACGCTTCAGCCGGCGGATGGGAACGGGCGAGGGCGGCGAGGGCGGCGGAGGCGGCGGTGGCGGCGGCGCGGGCGTTGTCTTCAGCAACGCGGGCGACCGCGAGCTGGTGGTGCGCGACCTGGGCAACAATGCGAAGCTCGAGGCCAACCTGCTGTTCCGCGGCAACACGTTGCTCACCAAGGCGCTCGACTTCCATATGAAGCGGCTCGGCAAGGAGTATTTGGAGGAGACGCTGGGCGAGAAGCTGCAGGATATTGCCGACAAGGATCCGGAGTGCGAGGTCGACCCCAACCGCATCACCAACTCGCACGAGCTCGACCGCAACTGGCGCCGCTTGATCCAGCACACCGAGGACATTTGGACTTGCATCTACGCCAGCGTGTCTCGCTGTCCGGCAGAGCTGCGCGTCATCTTCCGCCATGTGCGCGCCTGCGCCGAAGACCGTTATGGCGATTTCCTGCGCACCGTCACGTACAGCTCCGTCAGTGGCTTCTTGTTCCTGCGCTTCTTTTGTCCGGCCGTGCTGAACCCGAAGTTGTTTGGCTTGCTTAAGGGTATGGCACTTTTTTCCTTCCTTTCCACCTCTGATACTAACGATACCAGACCACCCCAAAATGCGCGCCCGCCGCACCCTGACTCTGATCGCCAAGTCCCTCCAGGGTCTCGCCAACATGTCGACCTTTGGCGCCAAAGAACACTGGATGGAGCCCATGAACGCCTTCTTGACCGCACACCGCCAGGAATTCAAGTCCTTTATCGACAACATCTGCGCCATCTCCCCCAACACAAGCTCCGTCTCCCCCATTCCCCCCTCGTACAGCACCCCTCTTGCCATTCTGCAACGACTGCCCCCGACATCCCGGGAAGGGTTTCCTTCCTTGCCCTACCTCATCGACCACGCGCGCAATTTCGCCGAGCTCGTCGAGTTGTGGCTGGAGAACATTGGCGGGGACATGGCGCACACGCTCGCCCAAGAAGAAGACGGCGACCTCGCGCGCTTTCACAACATTTGCATCACGCTGCACGCGCGCACGCGCGACTGCCTCGAGCGAGCCGAGCGTGCCGAAAGACCGAGCAGCACGCTCAGCGTCAAGTGGGAGGAGCTGGTTGAGCAGCTCGAGACTAACAATTGCACCGGCAACGGTACCACGTCGCCGGTGCCAGAAGTGCCAGAAACAATGACACCGAGCGGCACGCCCTCGCCCGGCCTGATCGAGACGGGTTCGCTTCGCCGCAAGCACCGCGACACGGAAGCCAGCACCACAACAACCAGCTCGTCAACGACGTCCAACACGACCAACAACCCCCTCTCCGCCGGATCGGGACCCATGTCGCCCGCCGCTCCTGGAAGCTCCGCCGGCGCTATTGCCACGGCCGGTTTTATTCCTTGGCACCAGCGCGGTGGCGACCCCTGGGACTTTGCGACGGCGACGGCCGCACACCGCGCCTCGGACCTGTCGACGACAGCGGGTACGCTCGGCAGCTCGCGCAGCCTGTCGTACCGCGAGCGCGACCGGGCACCGCACCACATACACGTGCACACGCACGGCCATACGCGGGGCGCGGCGTCGGCGTCTCCGGCGCGATCGGCCACGTCGCTCGTCAGCGCAACGACACCACGGTCCAGCAGCCGGTACGCAGCCTCGGCCGAAGGCGGGGGCATGGGCAGCGCGGCGGGCAGCGTCAAGGGCAGCATCGAGGAGACGAGCGACGAGGACGAGGTGGGCGACAGCGACGCAGACGGCGATGCCGAGACCGAGGCCGACGCCGAGACGGAAGCTGATGCCGACGACGCCGCGAGTAGCTGTCTGGGGCTGGAGCACACGCCGCCGGGGAGCGCGCATGGCGGCAGCGCGTACGGCGGTGTGAGTGAGCCGATGCACGGCATGCCCATCCCGGGCAGCAGCAGCAGCAGCAGCCACTACCAAGCGTACCACCCGCAGTCGGCGCTGTCGCAGCAGCACATTGAGCACGACTCGTGGCCGCGCGCGGCGGCGAGCAGCCTCTCATCGCGCGGCAGCGGGTTCCCGGGCAGTCCGCAGAGCGCGTACAGCGCGACGTCGCGGAGCCAGCACGCCGGGGCGTCGGGGCCGGGCGGGCCGCTGCTGTTTGGCGGCGGCGGCTCGACGACGACGCTGACGACGACGCCCGGCGGCTCGCGCAGCCTCGAGAGTAGCATGTATAGCGACGGGGGCGGGGGGTTGTCGCCGGCGCCGCTGAGCGCGACGACGCTCTCGAGTGCGGTGACAGGGCCCTCGACACCGACGCCGTCGTCGGGCGGGGGCGCGCTGGACGACGGCGGCTCGGACGGCGAGTTTACGACTGCGCTGCCGCCGCTTTCGGCGGCGAGGGAGGCTGGTAGTGGTAGTGGCAGTGGGAGCGGCTTGCCGCTGGGAAGGATGGGCATGGGCATGGGCATGAGTATGGGCATGGGCGGGGGCGGGGGCCTGACGATCAGCAGCGCGAGCGGGCCGCTCAGCACGCACAGCAGCCACTACCACGGGCACCACGGGCACCACGGGCACCACCACCACGGCTACGGGCCGTCATCGACAAGCATCAACACGACGACTACGACGGGCGGCGGAGCAGGAACAGGGACCGGGACAGGGACGCCCACGACGACATCGTCGCAGCGCGAACACCGCTACGCAGAGGTGTTGGAGGGCTTGGGCCGCGTGGAGCGCGAAGCCCGTGGGTTCAGGAACTTGGTCGGGTTTAAGAAGCGCAAGGATAAGGATAAGGATAAGGATCGCGCGGGCGAGAAGGACGAGAAGCGCGAAAGGGAGAAGATGGAACGCAGGGAACGGAAGGAGAGGGAGCGCATGGAGAAGGAGCTAAGTAAGGAAAGGGAGCGCGAGCTCAGGGCTGTGGGTGGGGGTGCGGGCGAGGGCGAGTGAGTTGGTTAGTTGAGTGAGTGGGTTGGTTGGGTTGGGTTGGGCTGGGTGAGTGAGTGGGATGATGACGACGATGCTGATGATGATGTTGATGGATCGGTTTTCCATTACCTATGCTGCTACTTGAGCTGCTTCTTCAGCGGCTTCGGCGGCTGCTGGTCTGGCCCGTCCCACCATACGGACGAACGCACGCCAAAGGCCGCGAAGAAAGGCGCGGAGATGGGAGCAGCAGCGACGTTACGCGACGCAGTCATAGTCATCATCTTCGTCGGTCCGGCAGTCCGTCCGTTCGTCCGGCGGGCAGGGAGGCCGTGTCTAGGTGCGCCGTCGCTGCTGCTGCGGTTGTCCACCGATAATGCGGGGTCGCGGTTCTTTCCGTCCTGCTTGCCTACGACCTGCCTACTACTTACCTACGCTAGGCGCGTCGAGCCGCGTCGAGTCGAGTCAAGTCGACGCGGGTTAAGTTAGGTTGGTCAGCTGGCCGGGCGTACGTACAGTACGGGACAGATGCACGCACGTTGGCTTGGTCCCGGGGTGATGGGAGGAGACGGCCATGGCTGTCGCTGTTTTGGCCAGGGCATCGGCATCGGCATCGCTCGCTCGCCTCGTGAAATATTTTGTTTGCCTTAAATTGCGCGAGGGGAGGACGTGGGGTGGGGTGGGGTGGAGTGGGTAAGGGAAGGAGGATGGCGATGATGCGGTGCAGACGGTGGAAGGAAGCCTGGCAGAGGCGAGGGAGGGGGAAGCGAAGCACGCGAAAAGGAAGCATGGATGGATGGGAGGAAGGAAGGAAGAGAGAAGATGAGCAGACGGAGAGGAGAGGAGGGCGACGTACCGTATCGCGCCGTACCGCGTACCACTACCGCCACTGTTGGCCAAGACACTGCTGCTGCCGCCATGGGCGCTTGCGAGATGCGAGTCGCACGCGAGATGGCGGACAGAGAAAGAAAGGCAGACGGATCAGCGCTGCCGCCACAACTACACCACACCACAACATACGACAACAGCAACGACGACCACAAATCACCAAAACATACCCATACCCACCGTACCCATACGCACGACTTCGGGCTTCAAACCAGCCCTCAGCCAACCAACCAACCACGCACAACCAACAAACACTCCACCCTACACACCCACTCGCCCGCCAACGTAGCCAGTCGGAACAGAACACGCACAAAGACGCGCAGCGCAGCGCAGTGCACAAGCCCGCCCGCGCACAGCCAGCAGCGCGGGGACGAACAAGCATGCGAACAACCAGCCAACCAAGCAACAAAGGAACAAGCAACGGCAGAGACTGCTCGGGTAACGAGCCGCCACCACCAACAACAACAATAACAAAAATAACAACAGAGACAGATAAGAGATAAGAGATAGACGGCGAAGATGAAAGATGAAAGGAAAGGGAAGATAAGGAGAATGAATGAAAGAAGAGAAAGGGGAAGACGAAGGAAATGGAGGGGATGGGGATGATGGGGTGGAGGTGTGTAGGAGTGCTGTAGCAACAGTAGTAGTAGTAGTAGTAGTAATTCAATGTTTAAACTGTTAAACTGTTAAACTGTGTGGTCTGGGGTTGGTTGTGTGAGGGTGTGTGTGTGTGTGTATTAGCGTAGACTAAAACAACGGCAACAAGTAGGCGAAGCAATCGAAGCTGGCGGCGAACGAAAGGAAAAAATGCCGTCGTACATACGTCGTGCATATATATACACACGCGTGGGGGTCGCCCGTGGTTAGTGATCTGTTCTATTCTGATCTGGTTCTGTTCCGCTCCGGCGCGGTCTGGGGGCCGGAACCGGGGTTGTGGCTAGGGCTGGGGTTGGTTGGGGTTGGGGGCCGGAGGCAACGACGAGAATGGGCGAGGAGGAGGCCGCCCGAGCGGGTTTAGACCTGTGTTTGTGCCAGTGCTGTGTGCGCTGTATTTGGTAGTTGCTTTTGCTTTTGTTTTTGCGTTTGCGGCTGCGGCTGACGCTGTGGTGGGGGCGTGTGTAACCGTCGTTGCTGTTGCCGTTGCCGTTGCTGTTACTGGTGCCGGTGTTAGCGGGTTTTGGAATGAGTTGTCTTTTGCTGCGCTTGTGGTGGTGCTCCTGGGTGATGTGGTATACGCAATACGCTATACGTATCTAGCGGGGGAGATTGGATGGGCGGGGGGTAGATATAGATAGAGAGAGAGGGAGAGGGAGGGGGAGGGGGAGGGAGACCTAGGCGCAGCCGAAGAAGAGGAAGGGAGGGGAGTTAGAGAGGGAGAAAGGACTATAGGCAGGACGGATAGGTAAGTAGATGAGCAGCTAAAAGGAAAAGAAAAGAATCAAAGAAAAGAAAACACCACTACCAAGTCTACTACCACCATCAACGACAACAACAACAACAACAGCAACAACTAACACAAAACCCAGCGCCAGCCAGCCAGCCAGCCAGCAAGCAAGCAAAAAGCAAAAAAGCAAAAAGGCAACCGAAGCCCGAAAACGAAACAAAAGAAAAAGGGACCACAACCACCTATATATCTACCTCCTCCTCCTCCTCCCGCCGCCCAAACCCCAACCCCCAAAACTACGCACCGTACACGCAATAAATGACACCCGCCCTCAATCACAATCACAATTACATTGCAATAACGACAATACGAGGCGTACTCGCCAAACGACATGAGCGGTAATCACGATCAGCGCTGGCTACTGGCGGTCGCTTCGCTTACAGTAGTAGTGGGAGTGGCACCGACGCGCTTGGCTACGTTGGTTAGTGTGGGCGTGGCACGGCGAGGTAAGGCAGGGTATGTAGGGAACGTAGAGTAGGGTAATATATTATGCTGTCGTGCAGTAAGCGAGATGGCGGATAGCGGTGCGTGTGTGCGTGTGCCTTGCGCGCTAGGTAGGTACGGAGTACAGATCTAAGCGTGACCTACGTCTTTCAATTTACCTTTGTCGTCGTTTTTCGGCGTCATGGTTGTTGTTGTTGCGCTTTGGGACGGGGTTTGAGGAAGTTGACCCTAGGTAGATAGGTGTGTGAGCAGCCGGTTCGGACGCTGGTTGATTAACATTACCTATACGCTGGAATGGATGGATGTTCTGCCTGCCGGAGAAAAGTCTTTTAAGCAAGTAATCTGCAAAGAACCTACGCGCTCGCAACAGGCAAGCGCTGTGCCTCACCACTCGGGCAGCGCAGCACCAGCAATACATATCCCCACTCCCATCCCCATCCCCAGCCCCAGCCCCCACACAAACTGCCCGCACCCACATGCACGCACACCGACTACAGTAAGCAACAATTCTCCTACCTACTTGGGTACTTCGTCACCTCGTAATCGCGTACATACGGAGTACTTTTGCGCAGCACCTACCAACTCGATCGCGCTCCGTCTCACCTCATCCATCCCATCACTTCGCAGCGCAGCGCATCGCATCGCCTCGTCTAGGTCGCCTCGCCACGCAGCGCGTCGCGCTTCGCCGCCACAACCTGCTCTCGGCTCGCAACCTGGCCCCCATCCATCCGGGCGCGCGCCAATCTGCTCAACTGCTTAGTGGGCATACTTACCCACATGTCCATCTACCCATCTATCCAGCCAGCCAGCCAGCGCAACCTCATCAAAGCCATTGGAGCAGATGCGTGGAGCGTGGCGTCGGCGGCGTGGCGTGGCGCCCGCGGCGACGCGGCGACGCGGCAGTGGAAGGGACGAAGCCCGCGACGGCGCGAAGGAAAAATTCGGAGTGCGCGTGCGGCCTTGGTGGGTGGGTATGTGTGCGCAACACACTGTATGTAGAGTACAGTCAACGGCCAGCAGTAGCCAGCGTAGTCAAGGTTAGAGTCTACATAAGGCGATCAGTGCAAGGCGCGACCTACGTCTCCGGGTGCGGGCGCGGTGCTGTGGCGGTAGAGTTGGAGAATGGCAGGGTACGGCGCACGTGGGATCAGTCAGCATACATACATACATAGCCCAACTGCGCCGTCGTAGGCCGTGAGTGAGGGTGCAGGCACCTACTACTACTGACTGTACTCGAGTACATATGCGCGTATTTAGGTCATGCAGCCCGCCTCGTGCTTCAGCCCCAGGCCCCCACGTTGCGTCGCCATGGCGTTCTGGCGCTCGCATCCTAACTCGGCATCCGCTCGCATCCAGTCGGCGCCTTGACCGACCGCTGCCTGCCTGGCGCCGTTGCCTGCTTTGCCCAGCGTACTCGTACGTAGTATGTACGTACAAACAAGCACCTATGCGGTAAGTGGTGGTGGTGGTAAGCACCAAGCCCCCTTTTCGGGCGCTGCGGGCGCTGCTGACTTGGTCTTGGACCCGGTCCTACCTACTTATATATGTATGAGAAGGAAGGATTCTTACTTACCTGCCTGCTCTCTGCCGACTTTTCTTCTCTTTTGCTGTCGTCGTCTTTTCGGTGCACCGAAGCATATTTTTGTTTTTTGTTTTTTTTAAAAAAAGAAAGTCGGTTGTACGAATATCTTTGCTGCTTGTCTCTATCTATATCATACATACACGCCTTTTCTATAAGTCTGTTCTACATATACACACCACCTCTATACGCACACCTACGCACCTACCGCGTCAATCCTCCGCGCTCCGCCCACCTACGCTACGCTACGCTACCTACCTATCTATACATCCATACATCCATCCACAGCGGAGGCAGCGCTCAGCGCAACCACGCCAAAACAAAATGACGAATCACACAGCGACAGCGTCAGCGAGAACGGCAGCGGCAGTGGCGGCCTCACCACCACCCCCGCCTGGCCTCTCCCTCTTCGAGCGCCTCCCCGCAGAGCTCCGTCTCCAGATCTACGACCTCTTGTTCGCGAGCGAGGATGTGCCTGCGCAGCCACAACAACCCATGCACAACCACCAAGATCCCACCTATCAAGCTCCCTCCCACGAAGGCCCCGCTCACGCAAAACACACCAACACAGCAGCAGCAGTGCTCAGCCTCAACAAACGCATCAACGCCGACGCCACGCCCGCGCTCTACGCCCGCCCGGTCTTTGAGCTCAAGGTCCGTCCGACGGGGATTATGCTGTGTGGCGGGCGGAGCTTGAGCTTGAGCTTGCCGTTGGCGCAAAATCACTCCTCCCCACAACACCAGAACCCCTCGCAAGCCAAAGACTCCTCGCAAGCCAAAGGCTCTTCGCAAGCTCAGAGCCCCTTCCTCCCCCTCCTCGCCCACGCACGCAACCTCAACATCCACATCATCGCCTTTCTCCAACCAAGCATGTACGCCCGCACCCTCGCCCACCTGCACGCCCTCACCCGCGCTCTCCGCACCCATAACGCGCCACTCCGCTCTCTCCGCTTCGCTATCGACTGGCATAATGGGAGCCTGGCGTTTCCGGTGCGCCAGCCCGACTTTGCCATGGTGAGAGGGCTGGTTGGGGCGTTGGTTGGGGAGGGAGGGGGAGGAGGGGATGGAGGGATGTTGTGTAAGGGTTTAAGGGAGCTGAGATGGGGTAGGCTAGAGCCGCCGCGGTTTAGTGCGTTTGGTGGGGTTGTTGGCGGGGGTGCGGGTGCTGGGGAAGGGGAGGATGAGGAGGAAGAGTATGTGAAGTTGAGGGAGGAGGTCGCGGCGAGGTTGCTGGCGATCTCCTAGGGCGTCGTGCTGGGGGGTGTCGATTGCATTGCATTGCATGTAAATAGACTGTTGTGATAGAGGCGTCGGAATAGCGTTCTTACCTTCTTCTTCTTCTTCTTCTTCTTCTTCTTCTTCTTGTTGCGTAGATTATAAATACCCCACGCATCTACCTACCCCTGTGCTTACAGCGCCGGAGTCATGCACTGCACTGCACTGTACTGCACGAAGCTCTATCTGACCTGCACCTGCACCTGCAGCTTAGCTACAGCGATCTTGCATATGCACGCCGCCGTGCTTGCTTGCTGCGCCGTAAGAGTATGTAAGCCGTATGTAGGAGGTGCGTGCTCGCCTACGACATATCTACTTAAACTACGCAAGCTGCAGTGCCTATACAGTAGGTGCACGGTACGGTGGCGCGCAGTGTCGGATCATCGGATGTATGAACGGCGTTGCTCCTACATACGTGGCTGCGCCTCTGAGGCGGGGAATGCTTAATCTGGTATTGGGCGGCTTGTCTTGGCTTGGCTTGTGCGCGGCGTGTGCTTGTGGCGGGATGCGTTTGATGAGGAAGTGCTGTGCTGGTTCGAGTGGTTGGCGAAATGTCGTTTGCGTGGAGGGGTTTAGTAGGCGCTGTGGCTGTGGATACAATCTTATTCTTTTTTATTAGTTTTTGTGTTTGTTTACTTGTTAGATAGGTACTTTAGTATCGTTAAATAGTCTTATTCTAAGCTTTCATGGTTTGTCTTTAGCCTCTTATATATACGTATCCTCGTACTTTTTATATTGCTTTTTATCCTCCTGTCTTTGTGTTTTCGTAGCTACTTATAGTTATATAAGATGTATATAGTAGGTATACTAAATTATTTACTAGTAGACGATATATGCGCTAATTATCTACGCCTTTACTTTTACCCCTTACTTTATAGTTTATATTATGCCGGAGCTTGCTTTACGAAGCACTGCTTTATAAATAGGATTAAACATATCTATATCTCTACTACATCTTCCGCAAATAGTGCCACCGTAAAAGTTTAAATCCGCTCCCTATAATTCAAGAGTATAACAGGTTGCTTCTATCTCGAAATATAAAATATACCACCCCCGCAACTATCTTAGCTACCCTAGACACAGCATGCCGCTCTCACAAACGCCCTAAACCCCTAACATCACACCACCACGCCCACACATCCCATTCACAAGCCATCCCCCGCCTACCCTTCCACTTCTTTCTACCTAAACACTGCACTCACCCTGCCCACGCAGCACTTCCGCTTCAATCCCCTTACAAACACAACCCCGCAAACAACTACAACACCCAACCACATTTACCATTCCAGCCTGTAACATGCTAAACAAGCAGCTGCTACAATTACTATTGCGCTGTCCTTGCCACGCTATACTATAACGAGGTTTATCGATTTCTTTACCTCGCCCCGCATCATTGAGTATTTGCCATAAACCGGGTCTACGACAACACACAGGAGCAAGAAAATAGACCATATAATGCTTAAAAACACGCCAACGCTTAGTAGCTTATTGAATCTTTCATTGTTGAGATACGTAAGGTGGGCTGAACACATAACTGCTTTCCGTAGGTAAACAGTTAAACAATTAAACACATCAACAAAACATCAAAAATCTCTCGACTTTGCCACTGCTCTGCAAGGCCTGTTCGAGCTACCTGTAGTCAAAGCTACGAACCCACGCTTCGAGGAACCGGCTACAAGTGTCCGGATAGGTCTGTATGATTCTACGAAGCACTCCCGCCCATAACGACAGCGACCAGGACGTGGTTGTCTTACCTCTACAAACACATGCAGCAAACACCAAACACCACCATCACACAACCACTAACAAAGCAAGCAAGCAAATAGTAACCAACCAAAAAGGAGCGTGATTCATGTCTGAGTACATATCTACATCCATAACCCCCAGCCGAGCCAACACCAACACCAGCCCATCAAGCTAAAAAGTAAAAAACGCCTGTTAAATGCAACGCCACATCCACAACCAGCTTTCTTGACTTTCGTCAGCTGCTGCCACCTCCACTTGCCTGCCTGCTTGACTGCTAGGTAGATTCCCGCCACGCAAAAACGCCTTCCCAAGTCATCAATTCATTACCCAATCATGAACCCATCAACCCGTACGCTATGAGACTGACATAAAGAAACCACACCACTGCACACTGCACACTCCACACCAGCATCAACACCAGGCAGGCAAGCAAGCGCCCAAACGCCCACTAAGTCGACGTCCGCGCCCTCGTCTCATGCGGCAGCACCAACCAAAACAGGCCCGCAATAATCCACAGGGAAGCAGAAACCCAGATCGGGGCCGCCGATTTGGCCGTCGTAAGCGCAATCACGATCGCGGCCGCAAGCCCAAACACGCGGTAGAAGAAGCCGATAGCACCGAGCCCCGTACCGCGGATGGGCGTCGCGAACGTCTCGGCCGTGTAAGCGTACAGCAGCGACGCGACGAGGTTGACGAAGAAGGCTGCGACGCAGCTGAAGGCGATGACGGCGGCGTGGGAGCGCGCGGCCGTGAACGCGAACAGGAACACGCCGGCCAGCACCGAGGCCAGCGCGCCCGTGCCCTTGCGCCCCAGAAGCTTGGTTTCGATGGCTAGGCCGCCCACTACCGGGCCCAGCATCGCGCACAGCCCTTGCAGGATGTACGTGCGGTGCGTCCATGCCGTGTCCATTGAGCTGATGCCCTTGGTCTCCAGATACCGCGCTAGGAACGCGTCGTGCAGCGGCAGCGCAATGCCCACCAGCGCCCAGATGAAGATGAGCACCGTCGTCGACAGCCCGAGCTCCTGCGTCGCGAAGCTGTGCTTGACCCAGCCAAAGCGGAACGGGCGCAGCGCCTGGCGCAGCGTCGCAAAGCCACCCGTAGTCTCGGCTGCGGGAGCAACCGCGTGTCCGGCCGCCCGCAGCTCCCGGTCCACCTGGTGCAGGTGGTCCAGCGTCAGCCACGTCTGCGTGCCGTTGTACGTCGCGATGCCCTGCATGACCCGGACCGCCTCGGCGTCCCGGCCACGCGACAGCAGGTACTTGGGCGTCTCACGCAGGTGGAAGCAGAAACGAATGGCGCACAGGAACAAGCTGATGCTGCCCAGCGTCCACCACGTGTAGCGCCAGCCCATGTTCATGACGTAGTGGCAGTGCTCCGGGCCGGCGTCCTGGGGGCACGAGAAGTGCGCCATGAAAGGCCTGCGTCGTTAGCATGGGTTGGTAGAGGAGATAATTTGGAACTTACCAGGCAAAGGCGGCAGCGCACAGCTTGCCAAGGCCAGAGTACATGCCCTGCATGGTGAGCAGGTACTGGTGCGACGCGGGAACCGACTCGATGAAGATGGCGCTGTCGACGGCCTGATTGGCGCCCGCGGCGATGCTCATGAAGACGGCGATGACGCACAGGCCCGAGAAGGCGGGCATGCCGGCACCGATGAGGCCCGCGACGGCCATGGTCGCCATGGTAAGGTTGAAGATCCACCGGCGTCCGACAAAGTCGGTCATCATGGGCAGGGCGGCGGAACCAATAATGAGACCAACATATTGGCTCACCGTCAGGTAGAGGTAGTTGCTCGTGTTGAACATGGCCTCGCTGCGCACGGCCGGGCCGATGATGGTGAAGGAAAACATCCAGAACTGATCCTGTTAGCAACGTCGACGCAAGAATCAAAGGATACATACGTTATCAAGGAACCATCCCAGGCCAGTGACGATGGTCAGCAGCCACTGGTAGCGGCCCATGCCAACGTCGAGGATGGCCTCGTTGAGAAGCTGAACCTTGGATTCGTAGACAACATCGCCGGGCTGGATGATGGGACCCTCGACGGTGGCGCCAAAGAGCGTCCTGTACTTGTCTTGACCCCTCTGCAGATTGGAATCGTGATAAGAGTGCACGCTGCCCTCGTCCGAGGCCTTGGAGTCCTGCGAGATGCTCCTCGTGGCGCTCAGACCATAGTCCTTCTCATCAGACATGGCCGCGAACAGTGCGGAAGGTGGGAAATTTCGGTTCTGCGGATCAACGAGCGGGAGGTAGTTGCTCGAGGCTAGTCACCTATTGTAGGTTGTATAGAGGCGGTATCCGGCAGCACGGGCAGGTCTGCTAAGAGGGGAGAGAGTGAGAGGGCACACCGGTGAAAGCAGCAGGTGCCTTTATGTACAGCCTCGTGCCATGTCACCCGCCGCGCGAACCCACAGGCCGCAGATTTTTCCCCCAAAAGCGGCGAAAATACATGACGGGTCCCAATAGCTCGGGCAGGCGCTGGGAAAGTTGGGTCTGTCGTGGCTGAAGGCCTCGCGCTGGCGACAACGTCCGAGCGAGCCCCGCCCGCATGGACGCATGGAGAGGCTGAACCGTAGGCGAATGAGTCCGCATGTCAAGGCAGCTGTTGGTGGACTGGGCGTTGGATGTGACGAAACGGCCAGACCGGAGCAGAACATGGAGAGGAGCCGGACCACCATGAGGCTCTTGCAAAGTAGCGGTAAGGACACTTCACCACTTTCCACGTCTTGTGTCCAATCCTCGTGGTTGGGTAGAGATGTTTCCCCACACGCTGGGTGATCCAGAGGCCGTGGCGTGGGACGTGAGTTTTTGAAGTAAGATGGTGGTTTCGTGGGCGTGTTGTCGTTCCAGGTCGTTTCGCTATAGACTGGAAACCGGAGACTCAGACAGTAGGTCGTAATAGGCGCGGGGAGGCTCGACGGACAGCGGCAACGGCCGAACGCCCAACAGCTGTTTGCCGATCTTGAAAAGCAGGATAGGCAGTCGGAAAGGTCATCCGCCGCAAGCGACGCGTTCTCACCCAATGCGCTAGTTTCGGATTTGCTCCCGTAGCGACCGGCGCGCCTCGGGTATCGCGACAACAACCATCGAGCGCCTTGGGCAGAGGGCGAAGCAACTTCTTCTCTCTCACTTCATGTCCAAACCACGAGGCGCAGTTCATACGACGAGGGCTAAACTTAGATGCGTCTGTGAGGGTGTCTGTGAGTCGGTCTCTGAGCGTCTGCGTGCCTTTGCGCGGCGATCCATCCTTACCGTACAGACCCACCGTCGTAAACAAAACACGCCCCATCACGCTATCTATCAGCTTCCCTTCCGCCGCACTCCACGACGCGTCCTCTCCCGCACGTGCTTGCTCACCATATCATGATACGCACTATGGCCCCAATCTCTGGTGAACGTCATGACATTTGTTGTGCCTAGCTACCCTTCCTCGGCGATTCTCGCAGAGGCCCCTCCAAAACACCCAAACTCCGATGCCGCCCGCATACCACTGCGGAGTCGTCCCACCGGGCCCATTCGCAGAATGACAAACCATGCTCGCTGATCCGAACATGAACGTCAGGAAAGGCGGAGAAGCCCTTCGAATAGGACAGTGAGGGCTCCGCGCAGAAAGAACACAGGCGCCGATGCATGCTGAAGGCTGAAGAACAGGAAAAGATCAACAGATAAGAGAACCGACGACAGCATCGGGCCGTTGTCGGTTCATGGTAAAGAAACTCTCCTGCTCACACATTTACATCTCTTCAAGCCGCCGGGTCTCTGGTCGGAGGTGGTGCGGGGCGCATGGGCAACTGCATGGGTTGGCCGCCCTGCAACGAGCTGGCGCTGCTCGTTCTCACAGGGTACATCTTCTCCCGCTCACGTCTCTCGCGTTCACGGTAGCTGTCACCTCGGTAATCGCCTCGGTCCTTTGAGTCTCTCCGGTCTACGGCAGGTCTGCCTTCGCTGTGGTTGGATCTGGCGCTGGTGGGAGTGTAGCCAGAGGAGTTGTTGTGACCGGGGCTTTGCGAAGGAGAGTTACGGAGCATCTGGCGGGTGGTGGCGCTACCGGGAGCGGGCACAAGGTGAGATTTGCGGTTCTGACGTTCCATCATGGAAACGGCCCAGGCTTCGAGGTCGACGGGCGTGCGCTTGGCGGCGAGGAGGAACGGATCGGCTTCCTGCGAAGCGTTAACAGCCGGTTTACGCAAATCTCAAGAAAGTAAATCGCAGGATACGTACGTAGAGCTCCCACGGAGTCGGTCTCTCCTCCGGGTTCTTCATCAAACACTTGGCGATCATGTCCTCGAGAATCTTGGGGAAAGCATCGCTCTTGGGCAGCTTGGGAGCGGGCTCGAGAACAATCTGCTGCAAGAGGTCAAGAATACCCTGCGGTCCACCAGGCTCATCGTCGTTGTCCGAGTTGTTGAATGGGAACTTGCCAATGGCCAACTCCATCAACGTCAAGCCAACGCTCCACACGTCCGACTTGACAGTGTACTTTGCGCCCTGGATACGCTCCGGCGCCATGTAGGTTCCCGTACCGACGAAAGTCTCGGCAACCGAGCCCTCAAGCTCCGAGGAGACACCAAAGTCGCAAATCTTGATCTGACCCCTGGAGTTGACGAGAATGTTGGAAGGCTTCATGTCACGGTGCATGATACGGTGTTGCTTGTAGAGGTAGGCCAGGCCACCGAGGACCGCTTCGGCAATCTTTCCCAGGACATCGACGCGGACGGGACCAAAGTTTTTGGAAATGCCATCGAGGGAACTATCAGGTTAGATTTTGAATCTGAAGTTTGGAACTGACTTACCCGCAGTCCATGTACTCCATGCACATGACGACATCGCCCGACTCGTTTTGAAAGGCGCCGTAAAATGAGACTATGTAAGGACAGGCACAGTCGTGCATGATGCGCAGCTCGCGCACGATGCGCTTGCGCACCTCATTCTTGGCTTCGACGTGGATGATCTGCGGGGTCAGCGTCACGGCGCAAGGGCGTCAGACGGGCGCATACCTTCCTGGCCATGATGGCCTTGGTGGCAGCATGCTGGACCTTGCTGACGGTTCCGCCGTTGCCGTGTCCGAGCTCGCGAAGGACGATCAAGTCCTCGGCGCGCAGGTCGAGCCTGAACTCAACGCCAATCTCCAGCTGACCGCTCGCCTTGTCGTTGTCGCGCAATGAGCCGGGGAGTTGGCTGTCGGCGTTGGAGGGTTCGGCGCGGGGCTGCGGGGCGCTCAGGGCCAGGCCCTTGACGTTCTTCCGCTTCATGGTGCGGACCTTGAACTGATCGGCCGACATGATTGTTGGTGTAGAGAGGATTGGAATGTGGCAGGAGGCAGCTCTTTATGGGCGAGGGGCCACGGGGCCGTCGGGGGCGATGATTGGGAGGCGGGCGCCAATCGGGGCTCTCTCAGAGATGAGCAGTATTGGTTTGGCCGCTTCGGGGAGGGAGCAGAGGGGTGGGTCGCTCCAATACTGCTGTGCTCTTTGGGGTGCAGATGGAGGGAGGAGGGTGGTGTTGAGGAGCGGGCGTGGGGCTCTGGCAGCGGCGGGGAGACAGCAAAAGAGCGCGCACGAGTCGCAGCGCTCCTGCAACGAATATTTATCCGCGAGGGTTAATGAGCAGCCCAGTCTCCTCAAAGCGGGTCTCGTTTCAAGCTGGTCGTCTGGCGGCGCCCATCCGCCTTCTCACGGTATGATTTGCCTACGCTCGCCCATCACCGTCGGTTTCATGTGTCTGCCAGTTTGATACACGGCACGAGGACAATGCGCTTGAGCCTAAACGTGCTGCCCGACCGAAAGTCGTGACCGAATCACGTGCCCCCGCCGCCGCCGGGTCTTGGCACGAATGCCGACGCCGACCTTGAGCAAAGAGCTGTCAAAGTCAAACCCGCCCTCGCCTGCCTCTCCGCCAACCCTCTCTGCTCGCCGGTTTCTGCGCAGGCCTACGTCGCCAACCCTCATAGTCCCTTTCAACCCTATTCACGGCCGTCCCGAACCACCTTCCTTTCATCATGGCGCATCCCCTTCTGGACGTCGCCGCGGAGCTTGGCGACGAATCCGACGATCGCGACTTTGATGATGAAAACGAGGGCGACGAGCAGGGCGAGCGTCGACAGCGCGGCGTGGAGGATTCGAGTGAGGAAGAAGACGAGGACGATGACGAGGAAGCTGCTGCAGCTGTGAGTTTGGGTTGCGTCACCACCCATTGTTGCTAAACTGACAATGCCGCAGATCCGCGAAGGTTTCATCGTCGACGAGGATGAAGACGAAGACGAGCGGCGAGCTAGGCGGCGCGAGCGCAAGAAGCGCAGAAGACAGGAGCGCGAAGAGGAAGATGCTGTGCTTGACGAGGAAGATCTCGATCTCATCGGCGAGACCATTCCCAGGGAACAGCCTTCTCAGGTGAGTTTGTGCTGTGGTTTTATGAATGTTTGCTAATAAATTAGTCGAAATTCAAACGTCTGAAGCGCGGTCACAAAGAAGAGCGCGCCCCTCGGGAGCGCCGCGGAGTCGACGACATCTTTTCTGACGAAGACGACGATCTTGGCGACGGTTATGATGAAAGGCGTCGTCGCGAGCCCCGGGGCGGAGTCACCGATGAATTCGCCGACTTCATTGAAGAAGATGTCTTTGATGACGAGGAGGGGTTACAAGATGAAGAAGATCGCGAGGTCGCCCGACCAGGCCGGAAAGCCGTTGGAGGCGTTGCATTCCCGGAAGCCGGTTTGGACGAGGCGGAAATGGAAGATTACCGCAATGCTTTTGGTGACGGCACCGAATACGACTGGGCGTTGGAGCTGCAAGACGAAAAAGACGAGGAGGAGCAAGGATTGGACAGGCCTTTGGAGTTGAAGGATGTTTTTGAGCCATCTCAACTCATCGACCGGATGTTGACGGATGAGGATAATGAAATCCGTGCCACCGATGTGCCGGAACGCTTCCAGCTTGCCCGCAAACCTTTCAAACCGACCGAATTGACGGAGGATGAGGCGACCAACAGGATGTACGCTGAATCTGAGTGGATCGCGAAGCTCTTACTGCCCAAGAAACGGCTTGGTGGTCACTACAAAGAACCCTTCCAAAAGGCCATCCTCAAGGTGCTGGAGTTTATGAATGTTGAGGATCTCGAGGTTCCTTTTATCTTCCTGAATCGGAAGGATTATTTGATTCACTCTGGATCGGCCGAAGATGATCAGGATGATATTGATGCGCCGTCCGCTCCTCAGCGTCTGCTCAACAACAGCGACCTTTGGGAGATTTTCGAGATGGATCTCAAGTTTAGGGCTTTGTCGGAAAAGCGCGACACTCTCTACAAGACGTACGACAACTTGAAGAGCATTTCCAACGTCAACGACAATGTTTTTGAGGAGCTTCTTCCGAATGCCGAATCGATGGAAGAAATTCAAGACATTCAGGACTACGTTCACTTCCGATACTCTGCCGAACTCAAGGACGTCAACACCATGGAAGCCGAGACTGCTGGCGTGCAGAAGAGGGCTCGCGCTAATAATAGCGTCTTTGAGAGGGTTCGTTCGAGCAGAATCTACAACATGGTTCGCGCGATTGGTATCACGCCCGATAACTTTGCCATGAACCTTTTGGGTGCTACCCACAGAGTTTACGTCGAGGATCCTGATCATGCTCCTGAAGATATGGCGGATAATTTGTTGGACCCGCCCGAGTACAACACTGGTTCTCAAGTCCTTCGCGCCGTCAAGGCCATGTACGCAGAGGAACTGGTCATGTCTCCTAGAATGCGGAACTTGATGAGGCAAAACTTTTACCAACAGGGTGCTCTCAACTGTTACAGGACCGAAAAGGGATTGCGTAAGATTACCGAGGACCACCCGTACTACGAGTTCAAGTATCTCCGGAACCAGGACTACTCTGCTATTGCCAGGAGACCGGAACTTTACCTCCGCATGCTCAAGGCCGAGGACGAGGGTCTTATCGAAGTCAAGATTCTGTTGATGAGGCGGGATCAACTGAGGGAAATGTTCTTCAGGTATCTCCTGTCGGACAACCAGAGTGACATTGCCGGTGCCTGGAACGACGTCCGTCGCGAAGCCCTCGACATGGCCCTTCCCAAGTTGGAAAGGATCATCGCCAAGGGTGTCAAGGAGACGCTCAAGGCGGAGTGCGAAAATGTTCTGGCCAAGGCCTGTCGGGAGCGGTATTCCGAGAAGTTGGATCAGGCTCCGTACAAGCCGAAAGGTATGGTTCTCGGTACGGTCCCGCGCGTTCTCGCCCTCTCCAACGGAAACGGTCAACCTGGTCGCGACGCCATTTGCTGGGCGTACGTTGAGGAAGATGGTCGCGTTCTGGAAAATGGCAAGTTTGTGGATCTCCGCATGGGCAATCAAGAAAAGCACATTCCGGATGCGAGGGATGTGGAAGCTTTTGTGGATATCATCCAGAGGCGCAAGCCGGATGTCATTGCCGTGGCAGGTTTTGCTGTGGAGACACGCAAGCTGAAGAAAGATCTTGAGGACATTGTGGAGCAAAAGAACCTTTGCTGCGCCGAATACGAAGATGAGGATGAGCAGCTCAGGAGCGACAAGCTGGAAGTGGTCATGGTGAATGACGAGGTTGCTAGGCTCTACCATACCAGCGACCGGGCCAACATGGAGCATCCTGGAATGGCGCCGCTGACCAAATATTGCATTGGCTTGGCCAAGTATCTCCAGAGCCCGCTCATGGAGTACGCTGCGCTCGGTAAGGACATCACTTCTATCTCCTTTGATCCAAACCAGATTCTTCTTCCAAAAGACAAGCTTTCGAAATATCTCGAGACGGCCATGGTCGACATTGTCAACTTGGTCGGTGTCGAGATCCAAGAGGCGGTCAACGAGTCGTACATTGCGAACTTGTTACCCTATGTCAGCGGTCTCGGACCACGCAAGGCGGCGCATATGCTCAAGGTTATTAACCTTAATGGTGGCAATGTCAACACCCGTGACGAGCTTGTTGGTGACCCGGACAAGAAGATCCTCCCTGCCATGGGTGCCAAGGTGTGGACCAACTGCGCCAGTTTCTTGCACATTCATTACGAAGCAACAGAGCCGGATGCGGATTATCTCGACGCCACTCGTGTCCACCCCGAAGACTACGATCTCGGTCGCAAGATGGCTGCCGACGCCTTGGAAATGGACGAGGAAGATATTAAGGCTGAAGTTGATGAAGCCGGGCCTGCAGCCGTCGTGCGTCGTCTGGTCCGTGACGAGGCGCAGGATAAGGTCAATGACTTGGTTCTTGAGGAGTACGCGGAGCAGCTGGAGCAACAGTTCCACCAGCGGAAGCGCGCCACGCTCGAAACCATTCGCGCCGAGTTGCAGCAGCCGTATGAGGAGTTGCGTCACAACTTTACCTACTTGACGCACGATGAGGTTTACACCATGCTCACCGGAGAGACCAAGGAGAGCTTGACGGAAGGCATGATTGTACCTGTGAAGATCCGCCGCGCTTTCCCCGACCACATCGAGTGCCGCTTGGACTGCGGTATGGAGGGTGTTATTGATGAAGCGCAGTTTGCAGAGGGCGTTGGCGGCGAGCGCGGCATCGAGCCCCGGCAAGCGTACCAGGTACACCAGACCGTCCAAGCCAAGGTCATGTACATCAACCGCAAGGGTCTGCAGGCGACATTGTCCTTTTCCGAGCGCATGCTCCGGGACCCGTACCGCCGGCACATTGACCGCGCGCCTCTCGAGTGGGACAATGACCAGGAACGGGCCGACATGGAGACTGAGAAGAAGGAGAAGGAGGTCTCTACCGGCCGCGCTCAGCGTGTCATCAAGCACCCGCTCTTCAAGCCATTCAACTCGGCCCAGGCCGAAGAGTGGCTGGGTAGCCAGGGCTTGGGTGACGTTGTCATCCGGCCCAGCTCCAAGGGTCTCGATCACCTTGCCGTTACGTGGAAGGTATCTGACAATGTGTACCAGCACATTGATGTTTTGGAGTTGGACAAGGAGAATGAATTCTCGCTCGGCCGGACGCTCAAGATTGGCGGCAGGCACACGTACTCTGATCTGGACGAGTTGATTGCCTCGCACATCAAGGCCATGGCGAAGAAGGTGGCCGAGATGATGGGCGACGAAAAGTACCAGAACGGCAGCAGGGCGCAGACGGGTGAGTCATCAGGCATATTTATTATTGTGATGATACTAACGGCAGCAGAACAATGGCTCACGACCTACACCGAGGCCAACCCCAAGCGCAGCATGTACGCCTTTTGCATTAACCCCAAGTTCCCAGGCTACTTCCACCTGTGCTTCAAGGCGGGGCAGCAGGCGCCGCTGGCGTCGTGGCCGGTCAAGGTGATTCCGAATGCGTTTGAACTGCAGAAGAACGCGTATCCGGACATGCGCGCGTTGAAGAACGGGTTCAAGTTGCTGTTTGCGAACAATGCGGCGAGGAAGCGGTAGGCGGGTGTGAGGAGCGAGATTGCTGTGTTTGCGTCGTTTGATGATGCGTGCGTGCGTGCGTGCGTGAGTTGCGTTGCGTTGGTGCGGCTGCATGTCCGGAGGGGGCGGCAGGGAGTTGGGCGGTTTCTAAACACTCTTGGCTCGTCTCCACTTCTTTTCTTCTCCTTTTTTTCCCCACACATCCTTTTATCTTGGAGTTTTGTGTGAAGCTACTTGGGTTGCGGGCAGGGTGCCTGTTTCCTTTGATTTTTTTTTCTGCTCTGCCTTTCTTTCTTTCTCTTTTTCTCTTTCCCGTTTTTATGCCTCGGCTGCTGCTTGCTGCTTTTGCTGCGGCGTGGTGGCGTTGAGAATACCTGCTTAGGTACCTACTTTTCTGCTGGATGGATAGACGGATTATGGACGTGGGGTTGGTGGTGAGTGGTTGGTGAGTTATGGTGGGTGGGCTATGGGCGGTGGGTAGTGGATGAATGCATGGAGGATGGAAGAATGGATGGATGGATGGATGGATGGATGGATGGATGCAATAGGCAGTGCGGTGTCATACCTACTACTAAAAGAGATGCGATTTATGCGATGAACTGCTGCTACATATGTATTTACGCTGTGCTGCTTGCTGTGTGCGGTTACAAGCGATGTTGGTTGATTTTAAGGTATGTTCTGTACGGATGGTCTCATGTCTTGAGCGTTGACTGTAAATTGTTTGGCTTAGTTATAATAACGTAAGTGCGCAAATGGCCACGCAAACGTAGTCAGGTACACGGATATGAAGCACTTTCAACAGTTCAAGCCGCTGGCTAGCGTAGATGCCCGGTTTCTTGGATGCTCGCTATGGACGAGCTCCAGCATCGCGCAACTACTGTACCATCCATCCATCCATCCATCCATCCACCCGCTCCCGCCACCAACATCAACATCAACATCAACAGCCGGTCTAGCGCTCACTACCTACATACATACATACCTACCGCTCACCCGCACCCGCACCCACACTGCTCGCTTCCCAGGCACATGCATACATGCATACATACATAGCCGACGCTCGCTCCGCCGCCCGACTGACAGGCTGACTGCCTACATATCTGACCGGGACCCTGGCACCTGGCACCCGCCATCAATGCCTTGGATGCCCGTGCCTGCGCTTAATCCTACGTAGGTACATACGTGCTTAGCTCCGTCTTTCTTTAACCCTGCTCCTAGGTACATACGTCCATACATGCGTCCGTCCACTTTACCCTACAGCCGTATGTGCGTACGGAGAAGCAAGCGAGCAAGCACGCGCTCGCTCGCCCATCCTCGCGTCGCACAACATGCCGCCGACCTGAGCCTGAGCAGGAACGCGCTCGCGCTCGCGCTCACTGCAGCGCAGCGCATGAATACACGGAGGCAGGCAGGCAGGCACGTACGTACGTACGGGCGGATGTGCCATGCTAACGCGCATACATGATGTATGTGTGTAGCGGCTGGAACGTCGCTGCCGCTGCTCAGCGCATAACCGCCCGTGCAGTAGCAGCAGCACCAGCACCAGCGGCGGCGGCGCAGAGACAGCGCGGGTGCGGTACTGAGTGGACGCCTTGCGCGGCCTCGCGCGGCGTGTAGGTTGCGCAAGCTAAGCTCGAGCTCGCGCGCCGCGCTGGAGGGGGCCAATGGGGTATGCGGACTTGGCTTTTAAGTCTTTCGCGATTTTTTTATTTTTATTTTTGGGGTTTGGTTTTCTCGGGTTTCTTTTTCTTTATTGGCGGTTGTTGGTGTCGTAAGCGTGGCGTGGGTCTCAGCTGTGGCTGTTGGGCTGTTTGGGCTGGCTGGCGCTGGCTGTCGCTGGCTGTCTCAGCTGCTTGTGCTGTACTGTGCCGTGTGTGTGTGTGTGTGTGTGTGTGTGTGTGTGCGTATACGGGGAGTGGTCTGGTCGCCCTGATCTGGACTGTACCTACCTAGGCATGTACGCCTGTGTGTGTAGGAGGATAAGGATAAGGATGAGAGGAGGCGTAAGAAAAGGTGCGGGAGACTACCTACGGCGTCCACACATACCTACGGATTACATACGGGGTAGTTACATACTCCCCCACGAAGCGAGTGTGTTTGAACTACTGCATCGCTAGCCATCCCGTCACCACCACCTCCTGCACCAACCAACAACCAAGCACCAACCAGCACTCCCCATCTCCACAACAACCTCCACCTCCTCCTCCACATCCACAGCCCCCTCCGTATCTCGTCTCGTCTCGTCGCTTCCATTCCACCCTCTACCCACACCACACCCACACCACAGCGCTGCGCGCACCCGTCCCGCCTGCACGCATAAGAACAGCCATACATACGTCAGACGCACGCACGCACGCGCGGCTGCATCCATGCACGCACGCACACGCTCACGCCCTCGCGCCGTCATGCAATGGCATGCAATGCCGTAGCTGCGCCGTCATGCACACCTGCACGCACACAGAGACAAAGCTCATTCTCCAGTCCCCAGTCCCCAGCTCGCTACCGGCCCGGATCGGCTCGCCCTAGGTAGGTAGGTAGGTAGGTAGGAACAGCCAGTCCATACGAGCAGATACCTACCTAGTACGCCTTCGCCGCCGCCCCCATCCCCATCCATCGCCGGCGTCGTGTCGGGTCGGAGCACCGCGTGAAAGGCGCCATCTCCGTCTGATCGATGTACGGCGGGGGTGTGTGTGTGCCGTGTCGTGCCCTTGTGCTTTGTTAACTAACACGCGCGGCCTTGGTTTTAGGCGAGTGGATGGTGGGGGCGGAAGCAATGGCTGGCTGGCTGTGGTAGGCGGGCAGGCAAGTGGGCGAGTGGGTGAGTGGGTGTGGGATGTGCGAAGCATTGGGTCGTAGGTAGTGGTGGTAGACGTCGATGTTTAAATGAACGGACGAGCCGGTCCATTTGCCAAGCTTCTTTCTGTCTTTTCTTCCTTCTTCCTTCTTCCGTCTCTCCAATCAACTACGTGTGTCATTTGCTCTTCCTTTTGCTTCCCGCTGAGGATTCCTGCTTTCTTCTTCCTGACTGCTGCGAGCTGCCTACCTACCCACCCTACCCTACACTAGGTACATGCCCATGGCTGCGCTGCCGCTGCCGCTGCCGCTGCCGCTGCCGCTGCTGTGTCTCGGCGCGTGGCTTGCTGTAAGGACACCTTCCTCTCCCTCCCTCTCCCTTCCACCTCGCCCCGCCCCGCTCCGCCCCGCCCCGCCCATCTCGTCCCGTCCCGTCCCGTCCCGTCTCGTCCCGTCCCGCTCCCGTGTCCGCCTACATGGACGCTAGCACCGTCCTGAAGTATCATCCACACACGTACACACACACACTCACACCCCCATTCACAGTACTTCCTGCTACGAAGCCTCTACAACATCTACCTGCACCCGCTGCGGCACATCCCCGGTCCCCGCCTACACGCAGCAACACGGTTACCATTCTGGATCTCGCTCGCGCGCGGGCGGCAGCACCTCACCACCGCCTCGCTGCACGCGCGCTACGGGCCCGTAGTGCGCCTCTCGCCCGCCGACGTCTCCTTCGCCGCCCCCGGCGCCATCGCCGGCGTGCACAGCTACCAGCGCCGCCTGGGCGGGGGCGTTGGGCCGCCGCTGCCGCGCAGCAGGCCGTGGAGCGCCAGCGTGCAGGGCGTGCCCGAGAGCTTGACCAGCGTCGTCGATTTTAGGGAACATGGCCGCTTGCGCGGCGCGTTTTTGCCCGCGTTTACGGAGCGCGCGTTGTTGGCGCAGGAGCCGTTGGTGCAGGGTTATGTGGATTTGCTGGTGGAGAGGCTGAGGCAGAGGACGGGGCCTGGGGGTGGGGTTGTTGATATCGTGCCCTGGTATACCTATACGACGTTTGGTGAGCCTGAAAGCAATTGCTGGGATGGGGGCAGAATGGCTGATCAGTGGACGTAGACATCATCGGCGACCTGGCTGTCGGCGAGTCGTTTGGCTGCCTGGAGGGATCAAGACTGCACAAATGGGTCGAGGGCATGACCAGCACCATCAACGGTCCGTCGCGCTCTCCCTGCTGGCACACAGCCCGCTGACACAGCGCAGTCGTCGCGTTCTTGGTTATTGTGCGCACCTACCCGCTGCTGGAGAGGGTGCTCTCGTGGCTGGTCCCGCAGAGCATGCTCGACGCGGCCAAGCTCAGCTTCGCCGAAACCGACGCCAAAGTACGGAAGCGGCTTGCGTTGCCAGCGGCGCGGCCGGACTTCCTGACGCCGGTGCTGGCCGAGCAGCGCGCCGGCAAGGAGCCCCTCACGCAGGAGGAAATGGCCGCGAACCTGAACTTCTTCCTCATCGCGGGTAGCGAGACGACGGCCACGGCCCTGACGGGCATCACAAACTACCTTGTGCACAGCCCTGCGGCGCTGGCGACGCTGACGGCCGAGGTGCGCGCGGCCTTTAGCTCGCAGGGCGACATCAGCATTGCGGCGACGCGGGCGCTGCCGTACCTCAACGCCGTAGTGAGCGAGGGGCTGCGTCTCTGTCCGCCCGTGGCGGGCATGATCCCGCGCGTGACGCCGCCCGGCGGCGCCGTCGTGTGCGGGGTTCCGCTGCCGGCGGGCGTGACGGTCAACGTGGCGCAGTGGGCGCTGTTCCGGTCGGCGGCGTACTGGCACCGGGCGGACGAGTTTGTGCCGGAGCGGTGGCTGCGGCGTGCACGTGAGGACTCGGCGGATCCGTTCTTTGGCGATGCGCGCGAGGCGCTGCAGCCGTTTACGGAGGGCCCGCGGGCGTGTCTGGGCAAGTGGCTTGCGCTGGCGGAGATTAGGGTCGTGTTGGCGAAGATGGTGTGGGCGTTTGAGATGGAGAGGGCGGGGAGTCGGAAGGGAGATGTTAAGTGGGAGCGGCAGAGGGTTTGGTTGGTGGTGGAGAAGGAGGGGTTTGAGGTCAGATTGCGGGCGCGGAGAGGGTGATGTTTAGTTTCGGGTCGGAGCGGCGTGTATGTAGAGCAACCAATGGAAGCTTCGAGCAACAACAACGACTGCTGCTTCTTACCTACTGCTCCCCACCACTCCCTTCGCTCACTCACATCCTTCACCCGTCGCAATGGCAGACAACAGTAAGTCCCCGCGCCAATCGTCGTCTCGCGCGCATCTGACACGCGTCGCCCAGAGCGCAGCCGTGTTTTCTTCGACATCAAGGTCGGCAAGCAGGATGCCGGCCGCATCTGCTTCGAGCTGGTGAGTCTGCCTTCGCTTTCCCCGCCTATGCATCTGCGCATCACTGACTTAGTCTCCTCCAGTACAATGACAGTAAGCCTGCGCAATGACCCACCGCTCGCGTGTCGACGCGCCGCTGACAAGAATTCCCCGCAGTCGTTCCCAAGACGGCCGACAACTTCCGCGCCCTGTGCACCGGCGAAAAGGGCACGGCCAAGGCGGGCGTGCCGCTGCACTACAAGGGCTCGGGCTTCCACCGCGTCATCAAGCAGTTCATGATCCAGGGCGGCGACTTCACGGCCGGCAACGGCACCGGCGGCGAGAGCATCTACGGCGAGAAGTTTGAGGACGAGAACTTTGCCCTCAAGCACGAGAAGCCCTTCCTGCTGTCCATGGCCAACGCGGGCCCCGGCACCAACGGCTCGCAGTTCTTCGTCACGACGGTCCCCACGCCGCACCTGGACGGCAAGCACGTCGTGTTTGGCGAGGTCCTCAACGGCAAGTCGATCGTGCGCCACATCGAGAACCTGCCTACGGGCGGCCAGGACCGTCCGGTCGAGGGCAGCTACCCCGTCATTGTTGGTGCGTAGACAAACGGAACGAAACAACTCTTACACACACACTGACAGCGCGACAGACTGCGGCGAGCTCACGGGCGACGCCTACGACAAGTGCACCGAAAAGACGCCCGACAGCACCGGAGACCCGTACGAAGACTACCCCGAAGACCAGTCGGACACGCTCACTGCGCCGGAGATTCTGCAGATCGCGACCGCGCTCAAGGACATGGGCAACGCGGCGTTCAAGGCAGGCGATGCGCGCCTCGGCCTCTCCAAATACCAAAAGGGCCTGCGCTACTTGAACGAGAACCCGGAAATCAGCGACGACGAGGCCAAGGCGCACCCGGAGCTGGCCAAGCAGCTGCAGGCCCTCCGCTTCACGCTGTACAACAACAGCGCGTTGCTGGAGAACAAGACGGGCGCGCCGGACGCTGCCGCCGCCAGCGCCACAAAGGCTCTCGAGGTCCCGGGCGTGGGCGACGCGGACCGCGCCAAGGCGCTGTTCCGGCGCGGGCAGGCGCGCGAGGCGCGCAGAAACGAGGACGACGCCATTGCGGATTACGAGGAGGCGCAGCGGCTGCTGCCGGGGGATAAGGCGGTGGCCGCGGCGCTGGTGGCCGCGAAGAAGAAGCTCGCCGAGTTTAGGCGGAAGGAAAAGGCGGCTTATGCGAAGTTCTTTGAGTAGGGGGTGGGGGTTGCAGATTGTTGATCGGGCTAGATGGTTGGGTGGATGAATGGGTGGATCGGGGGTCTGGCTGGCGTTTGCTTTGGTTGGGTGGGTGGATGCGGGTTGGTGTGGATTGATGGGATGGTGTTGCGGGCAGGGAAGCGGGAAGGGATGGATAGATGGATGGATGGGTTAGTGGGTGGGTGGATGGATGGATGGAGGACATGGGTTGCACATGCAATTGCAGATGCATTCGGCTGCGTGAGTAGTCAGTAGATGCATACTCTTACCTCTACTCATACTCAACTCCCACGCCTTCTAGATAGATAGATAGTCCCCCATAAAACACACACATAACACAACACATAACGACAGATTGATTCCTTCAGCTCCATCCTCCTCCCTCTCTCTCCTTCTTCCTCTAAATACCTAATGACCACGCTTCCACACTCCATACTCCATACTCCCATAAGCAGGCTCAACCGCTCTCTACGCCTCGCGTCTTAGGGAGATGTGCTGCTTACGCGCGTGCCTGAAGAAAGGCCTTGGTGTGCCTGCGGGTGGCGTGGATGTGCTGTCTGTCTGCTGCTTGGGGTGGTTATGGAGGGGTGGGGGTGTGGGGGTCGTGTGGTGGTGGTTGGGCGTGCGCTGGTCTGTGCCGTGGGGGGCTGCGGGATGTGCTTCTGCGCGGCTGCGGGCTGTGCTGTGTATGGCGTGGGTGTATGGCTGAGTGGCTACTGGCGCGGTTTTGGGGGGTGTGTGGGTGCTTGTGGTGTGCTGTGGTGTGCTGTGGCGTGGGTGTATGAACGCTTTCTTCTCTTTGCTACTTCATGATGGGCGGAATTACTTCAATTTAGAGAGCGCCTGGGAGCTTGGGCCTGGGCCTTGTCCTGCTGAAGGCATCGTCCGCTTTCTGTTCACTGCCCGCTTTGGCCGGTGTCTCACCGCGCTCGCGCATTCACCTAGGTCCTTCCAGTACACCAATGAAGAAAATAATAGGCTGTTTGGGTGCTTTTCTAAGCGTGCTGCGTGCTGCGTTGCTAATGCTCTTCTTTCTGTTGACAAATAATTGCTTTATCTACACTTGTTTCGTTTGCTGTTTCTTTGAAAGCTGCTTGATGCTTGCTCTGTTCTTCTGTTAGCTCACTTTGGGCCTGGTCGTGCAGCAACCACTGTTTTGTAGCCCTGGGGATTTGCTAGTCTCGCAAACAAACCACACTTCCAGAAGACAACTAGAACAGCGGATACACGGCGGATGTAGATTTCAAGACGGTTCCAAGCACAAGACGCGCTGTGCAGCAAAGCATTTGCGCCCAAGAACACTGCGTCAAGGCCTCCCTATCACGGGGCACAACACCAAACCACAACACGAACTAGAGCAGGTATTCCAGGAGGGCACCGAATCCATCGGTGTTAAGTCTGTTTAAGGGCTGGTGGTACCGGCGCACTTAGCTGTCATTTGCGCCTCCATTCCAAGCAGACCGAGCAGATTCGAGAGAGCCTCGAACAAACTGGCGAAAGAAGAAGATGCTGTTGTTATAGACAGGCTGATCTGCGTAGCGACTGTCTTGCGGAGTCGAAGTGATACGCACACTCACACATCGCCTCCCGCTTCCAGTGCCTCCTCCACACCTCACTTCACGTCCCCGGCAATCGCAGCTTTGCATCCGCGCTGGCGCCGCATGGCTGGCTAGCTGCCCGGCACTCGAGAGTATGCGGAGATCTTGGTTGTGGGAACAGGTGAAGGAAGTCGTGCTGAATCAGACTGGGAACGACGACGGAAGCTGATGCTCTCATGGAGGTGGAAAAGGATGCGGAAGATGGAGTGGATAATGCAGTTCAGGCGGTGGTTGTGGTCCTCGTGGAAGTTGCGTGGCGGAGGACGTACGGGATGTAGTGCTGGCGGCAGTGCTAGGCGAGGAGGAAGCGGCGAAAAGAACGATAATAGGTAGTCTTGTCTTTGCCAGCGACGTGCCGTTGGGGCATGATGACGAGGGAAGAGCGGCGATCAGCGGAGAGGAGGAGGTAGTACAACATTGTGGTGAGCAGCTCGGTACTTACATCAGACATCCTCGCGGCTTGGATCTCTCGTCAGTGCAATCCAAAATCCAATTCCCCTGTCCTGGGAACTTACCAACGATGGAAATCCCCCCAGAATGCCGCCGCCACCGCCGACCTGCCCAGCACCTCACGCCCTCGCGCGACAGCTTCGTCCTTAAGTTCCCAAAACATCCACCCGAGCCCTGACATCAAGGCCGCCGGCCACTTATGGGCATGGTGACCATCAAAGATGCGCTTGTTGATGTTGAGCCTGCGACAGTCTAGAGCCGCAGGTTGATTTCAAATGATTGCCGGACTTTGGAATGGACCGGGATGGGGCGGCGGGCCGGGGCGATGGTGCGATGAGCCGACTGTCACAGATGCGCCGACCGCGGCGGGTTCGCTTGTCGGTGTTGGGTCCGCGACGGATATGCTCGCTTGAGTGGTGGTGAGGAAGCTGCGGCAGTGGGCTCGTGTGCGGCGCGATGAGCTGACCATCACGGTGCGCTTGTTAGTGTCGAGCCCGCGATGGTAGGTTGGAGCTATAGGTACATAGCGTCCAGGTGAGGAAGGGATAGGGCCGGGGCTGGGGCCAGGACTGGGGCGGGCTCGGGTGTGGTGTCGAGCTTGAATACATACGACGTAACGAGCTGACCGACACGAGTGCGCCCGTGACGGTGAACCTGCCTGTTGGTGTCTTAGTGTATGCCGACGGTGCCGCGCGATTCTCTGGGTTTTGGGGCAGAACGAGGTACGGTGTGATGAGCTGACCGTTACGGGAGCGCATATTTGATGAAAAGCATTGATTATTCATGAAGGCACTGTTCTTTACCAACGAACGCTCTTATAATGCTTCAGTGTGTGAGTACGACAAAGCTAGCCAAAGGTGTTTCTGTGTCAGTGTCGCGAGGATCGTTCGAGGCCTTCAAAGCGGTCGACGGGGGCGCCGCCCCTCGTTGTAAATGGTGAACATCGGAAATTACATTCAGCCATGGTATTGATGGCGGTAACGTTTCGAGTGAACCAGCTGCGGAAAGGGAAAATATACACGGCACTGAAGCATGGTTTATGGCGTAAAAAATGCACTCCATGTGCCCAGAAAGAGTTCTGCAGCTCGCTGTCTTTTTCGGGGGAGGCGGTTGATAGCTGAAAGTGAATAGACAAAGGAGCAAAAGAACGACTGCGTGGAGCAGATGAGAGGAAGCATGGGCGAGGGTCTTCCGACAACCGCAGAGTTCTTTTCTGTCCTTGAACGCCGGCCGTCGCGTAACTCCTGTCTCACCTGCATGATTTCATGTCATAGAATGGTCGCTTGGCTCTTGCAATCGCTCAATCATCCAGTACATCGCCACACGGCAAACCAAAGGCAAAAAACCCAAGGACCCGCATTGGGGTGGCTCAAGAACGGGAGTGGACCAATCATGCTTCGAAGAAATCAGTGCGCGGACCACGAACAAGGTAGCAACCGGTGCCGTCAGCGTGCCCAGGTATGGCTTGTTCAGGATACTGCGGGATGATGTGCTCGTTGATATCGGGCCCGCGGCGGTGGGCCTGTAAGTTGGAGTGGGGGTGGGTAGTGTGGAGGGTGGCGCGCATATACGGCGGAGTTTTTGGACGATGGGTCGACCGTGCTAGTGAAGTTCGGAGCGAGTGACTTGCAGGTCGGAGATTGAGTTTGGTTAAACAAATGCGACTCAGCTAGGAGGGACTGCCTGTTTGGGTTAGCGAGTGCAACCGTAAGTCAAGTTCAGCCTTCTTTCTCTCTGCGCTTTGTTCGATACCTTAACCCTCACAAACAACCTACCCACAATGAACGTATTTCTCACGAATGTCTTCTGCGGGGTAGAGTACCCTCTGCTCAAGCAGTACAGCCTTGATGGCCTTGATGAGGCGCCAAACTCGCCAGCAACACAAACCCTGACCGCGGAGATGTTGTGCATCAATATTCACTATTGGCGTACCACATCATCTCGCCCCAATACCGATGATCAACAACACCACAGCTCGAAACCCTGCACTACCCATGGCATCAGCGTATGAAGCCCCTATTACAACATAGACGCTGTTCGGATGGTTCAGGGCATTTAGCCTTTAGGACATGGCCCACTTTTTCTGCAGAAAGCAGGCAGGCTCGAGAAGTGAGCTGTGGAGTTGTGCACATTTATGTACTGGTCCGCGAAAGAGGAGGCGGAGGAGGCGGAGAAAGTGAATGGTGGTCTTGGGAAGAAAGAGGCTGGAGTTGAGGGGGCGATACGTCTGAGCAAACAAGCAAGCGCCGAAGCAAGCTAGGCGCATGTCCTCTGCTGAACACCCGGTGATCCAAATAAGATAAATAGACTTTATTCGTGAGGTTTCAGTATAAAGCAAGGGATGGTACCTGTTCTACGCCATATTGTGCTTACGCGTCTTCGTGGGAGCGGGCGCGTTGTCGCGGAGGCAGCTTGCTACCGGATCGTTACTCGATTAGGCAAACAACGGGAGGATGGGAGAGGGAGTTGCTATATAGGTAGCCAAAGGGAGGCGCTGCTTATGTATCTCTTGCCCAACTCAGGCAACCATGCCCACCATGAACGTCTTCATGACGTTCATTTTCTGCGGAGTCGATCGACTGTCCGCTGATCCACTCGATGACTCCTTAATGAAAAACTTGCATGTAGCCACCTGACAGTAATACTCGATGCAGCTTACGATGTCGTTCATCAAACTCAAACACTAAAACTCAGCAACACTAACAAGTAGCGGAGGGTGACGCCATTGTGCTCCGATGATTCTATCGTCAATCCTACCGATCCTACCGGCCTCATGCCATCCCCAACAAATCAGTGACGCAGCGAAGTTTGTTCAAATGGGAAGCCGTTGTTTCCTGCACATGTATATGTAAGTGGGCTCGAGGCTTGTGTGCTATATATATCGGGATGGTGTATTCGCATCCTTATCATGTTGTTTTGTTTTTTATCTGGGACTTCCACTCACGGTATTATGGCCCTGGGGGCCTAGATAAACATGCCATGGATACATACGGTCATGCTTTATGCTCCTGTAAGTAGATTAACCCGCTCTCTACGGTTTACTTCTTGGGTAGATATGGGGCTTGTGCTTGTGGCTGGGTGTATGACTTTTGAGCGTGTAGATGTGGCGATATTATCTCCCCTTCTTCCGACTACAGTGCCTGCAAGCCAGCACATTGGGCGTCGACCTGTCCTGCTTCCACTGGAGCCGTATGAGATAGGCAGCAGATGCCCTACGCTCCTCCGCGGTGGGACAATCTCGCACTGTTTTATCGGGGATGGTTTCATGGGCTTGGATGCGCGGGCGTGTTTTATGCATACCTCTGAATAGAGTCTTATCCCTGCACAGGCCAGTGCCATCGACAGGCTGCTAGTTGTTTTGGACCGCGGGCTGTAGTTCGTGAGCAGAACTTCTGGCCTTGGTCTTGGATCGGTGGCTCCGATGCATTTACGCGTGCTTGGGATTATTTTGCTCGCTCTTACGGTGTACTACGACGTGGATATATGGATGATTTTTACCCGGTCTTGTTCGTGTTATTGCGCTCTTGAAGGGTGCACTCGCGCTCTTACGTACTCTTGTCTTCGTGCCTTTTTAAATGCTCCTGTACCCTTTATTTTTATTAATTTCATACCTTAATAAATTCTATAATGGTTTAGTATTATTCTTTTTTCATGGATATCTAGGGACTACCGGCTGCAACATCGTAGCTTGCCATAGCTACGCAGGATGTATTCGAGGGGTATGATAAACTATACTTAACGTGTAGTTAAAGGGCGGATTGAAGAGAAGACTTTCGGGAAAGCGATTTGAATAGATTTGCCTGCCTCCGCTGGAAAGCCTCTATCCGGCATGGCTCGTGCGAAGCCGATAAGACTTGCATGATAACCCAGCTGAGACTCACGGCAGAGAGATTGCCTTTTCGGGTTAGCGCGTACTTGGTCAGTCGTGCCTTGCGCAGCCGGTTCACCCGCAACTTCACCAACCTGAGTTCCTCATTTTCGACGGCGTGGACACTTAGACACCCCATTATTAACTTGACCGCTTCGAGGGCCCGACGACGCATGAGGCAGCCACCACCGGCCCCAGGCTAGGTCCTCCTCGCTTACCTCGCTGCTGACGCCGCTCCCGACCCGCTCCCAGACCTTGCCTCGCCGAGGGACACGCCCCTCAAGTTGCGCGAGAAGAGGGAGAAGAAGAAAGGGCGGCAGGCCGCCAAGCCCGCCGAGAAGGTGGAGGAGAAGGAGATGGCTGCGGCCAAGTCTGCGGTGATGGAATACTCAGCCGGACGGCCCAAGAAGTATTCAAGAGGGACAGAAGAAAGAGGAAGGCGGAGGGGCTGCCGAAGCCTAGGTACGTCCTATCTCCTTTATGTGGAGACATGCTGACTTCGATATAACATGTATACGAAGAAGTAGTTTCCGATTTTGGAAGATCGAGTAGATGGCCGTGTGTTTCTCTGCTGGCGTGTGCCGGCGTATACGGTTCGATGTTTCTTTCTGGGCGACACCGCTTCTGCGGAAAAACCTCCTCAACCGAAGAAAAGAACCCCGTAAGAAACATTTACATGTGAAGAGGAGGGTTCCTGGGCATCGTCGTATCAGGCTGTCAGTATTAGTCGGATTTCTTGACTTTGTCGCTCAGCTTCGCGCGGTTAACATCGTCCGCATCCAACGAACAAAACCCTTTCCCGGGAGAATCATGTTCGGTATCATCGCCCGGCTTTGTCTACATTGTCCGTCACAGTATCTTGTTGTCCGGGAATGTCATCACATCGCCCCGGAAGCTTGCTCCGCAGCATCAGCCCCCGGCTCTGTTTGTCCCACCAGTATAACAACTAGCGGTTAGAGCTGGAAGCAAACAATACACAATGGTGGAAATATGGAAAAGACGTGCGAGACAAACGGGTTTGAGACGGGCAGATGCAGACGATACCGAAGCCGTAGGACTAAAGTCGCAGAACCAACTGCAGAACGGAAACTGTAGATGGCACCCTGTCGCAGTGAAGAATCCAAGGATACTCCAACAAAAATTCCCGGATGGGAGTTGAACGTCGGAAGATCGTTGGTTTTTCGTTCATTTTGTGAGCGAGTGGATCGTTGGTTGTTGGGCAAATTCTGGAGATTGCTTATGATGCACGATGGCGCAACATCATGGGAGTATCATAGGTGTTATGGATTTGTACAGTACTGGCGATACCTATCCAGCAATTCAATGGTTCTTGTTCCTCAGTATAACCGCACCTTGTGTTATGTATCCACGGGAGTTATCTAGTCTATGTAAAGTCACTTAAGCTCTAGAAAGTCTCCACTTTGATTTGAGATTTGGATTCGGCTTTGAGTGAGGAATTTGCAGTGCCAAAGCGCGCCATATGTAAAGTTGAGAGCTTTGTTTAAGGCGTGACAGTATAAGATTCTTACTCTACGGCGGCCGCGTTCCATTCCGATGCATCTAGGAGTACACCCTACATACCATGCACACAGACGAGCTTCTTACCCGATATTTTCATCTAGGAATCGACCGCATGTACGAAATAGTTAGGTAAGAGCAAGTGCAGAAGCGCGAGCTTTGTCATGACTCGTATTTGCGAGCCCAAATGCGACTCACCTATGAAGGATTGCCTGTTTGGGTTAGCGCGCGCTTAGTCAGGTTCTGCCTTCTTTCTCTCTGCACTTTGTTCAATACCTTGACGCTCACACAACGCAGACAACTATCTCCACCATGAACATTTTTCTAACAAATATCTTCTGCGGGGTTGAATTACCCCTATTCCAGCAGTACAATGTCGATGGCCTCGATGACGGCAATTGGGGCACTCCTCCGGCACAAGTGTCAGCGCCGTTTTTCCTGACGTGGCACGACTTCCCGAGATCCAACGCCGGCACTGGCCGAAAGTCGTTGAAGCGCTGCTTGGATTCGTTTTACACGTCGTCGCGATTCTCCAAGAGGGAGCTGAGGAAGACAATGGACAAGTGTCCGCGCTGAGGTAAGCACTGCATGTGAGGTGAAGTCATTCCTCCAAACGCGCTGACATACTCTCAAGGACAGCAACGCGGATGCGGCTGTGGCTCAGGATGTGAAGTCAGAGTCCGCTGTCTAGGACAACGGCTACGAGAATCCCTCTCCGACGAAGACGGGACCTGCTGTCAATGGCACCTCACAACCCGGTATTTCTGACAAGGATGTCGACACCCACAACACTGTCGATGTAGCTTCTTAGCCTTTGCGACGCACCGACATGCAGCGGATGTGCTCACTGCATTCTTTCTCAAAACTCTGGTGCTCTTTCTTGGGGCGGGATATCAGGGCTCGACCGGACGACTACAGCGGTGCTAAATTCGGGGATGGATCCTTTGGATGAGCCGTTTTGGGGTGCTATGCGGCACTCGCCATGCGAGTTCGAGGCATTGGCTGGATGATCCTGGCAGGTCTTTGGAAGGTAGCTACTGCGAACTAATTGGGGGTTATTGAAAGCCACATCGGCGGATTCTTTTGCATTTTAAAGGCAGACAATCAATTTCAACTTCAGCTCTATTGTGATACGGCACCGTGTATGTTTGAGTGAGGGTTCTACAGGTGAAAATTGCGTTGTCATGAGCATAACATACAGCCGCGTCAGAGCTACAATGCCACTACACCTGTGTAATTGACCAAAGACCAGAACTCTTTCATGCATAGTTAATATAATACCATCATGAGGTCTTCAGCCATCTCAGATAACCTTCCCGCACTCAGACTCAACAAGCACACGCATAGTCCTGATCCACCTCGGCCTCAAAGCATTCGTCCATCTGGCTCACTCTTTCATACTCATCGCTGCCAAGACACATTGCCGAATAAGCCTGTAATCCCTGATTCACAGGACGACTTAGGTTCTGCCTTGGAAGACAATTCTGTCTATTTACCGATCCCGCTCAACTGGGTCCATTTGTCCGATTACACGAAGTGGTAATGTTAATGCGAATTATGATCTTGTTCATCACAAACATAGACCCCCAGCACCTCTCCTTCTCCCCCCCTCCAAATACGCCACCTCCCTATCTTCGTCCTCCCCTTTCACCCACTCCGCCTTCACCTCCACCTCCCACTCCTCCTCCTCTCTCCCCTCCACCACCTTCTCTTTCCCCTTCTCCACCTCCTTCTCCACTCCTTCTCTATCTTCTCGGCAGGCCGACAGGCCTGCCGCCCTTTCTTCTTCTCCCTCTTCTCGCGCATTTTTAGGGGCGTGCCCCTCGGCGAATGGGGCGCGGGCGAGACGGGACGGTGGGGCGGCGGCGTGGCCAGGCGGGGCGGCGGCGAGGCGGGGCGAAAGGGAGGGTCATTCCACCCTCAGGGCCCTCGAAAGGGTCCCCGATAGGGACCACCTCACCGTTGAAAATGATGAACATCGGAAATTGCATTGTTTATGGTACATGTCAGCATTGGAGAAACGCAGGCAAATGAGGTATTACTTACGTCGCTGATGGCGTTGGTGGTGTTTAGGTACTTTCAATCCACATCGACCTCCATTTCCTACCCACAAACTTATTCTTCCGCTTGTCGTTCACCCTCTCGGCGGGGGCCTCCTCCGCCTACAACGCCTTCATCTTCTGGAACTTGAGGTGCGCCTTGCGGGAAGTGGGTATCGTAGGTCGAGTCGGAGGCGAAGCATCGCGACCCGCGGCGGCCGGCGGACTTGGTTTGGTCTGGAGAGGTCCGACTCGGAGTAGAGGTGAGAACCTCACCCGTCTTTATCGAGAAATTTTGTTGGCGCAGGGGAGCGGCGCATGACTTGACTGTGGTGTAAAACTCTGTGTCTTGTGGTTGGTGGGGTGAAGAGAGTTGTGGGCAAAGAGAGAACAAAGAAGGCGCGACTGACTAATCATGCACTAACCCGAATAGGTAATACCTCTGTCGTGAGTATGTCAGGTACAGAACGAGAGCCTGTAACTTGCCCTGAGCGCTCGTGGGCCCATTAAAGTAGTATTAATCCGTGTCTTGTCTGCATACCTAAGTTTCGAAGTCGAACTTTTTCGTTGCTTGCCGTCCCATCCATGGATTGCGCGTACTCTCATCATACGTGTCGCATCTATGGACGCCTATCCGGCAACAACACGTCTGAAAGCCGCTAGGTTCCAGTCTCCGCGATCTTCTACTTGCATGCTCGAATGAGATGAGTGCTTGACTGGTATACGTCGGAGCGGCGGGGCGGCGGACCGCTGTTGTCGCCTTCGGAGTAATTTGTAGAGGTGTTTAGCGGGTAAATTTCCGTCGCAAGTCGTCTTTGCCTAATCGAAAATCTAGTTGACGTAATTGCGCGTCTCGTCAATTGCGGTTTACGGCTCCTTTATATTGAGAGTGTAGCGACAGGATTTTTCCATGTAGCTCCCCTCGATACGGAGTGACATCACTGATAGAGATTCCCGTGGATTCCATGCAGTGCCAAGATGCAGATCGTGGAGTCAAAAAGTAGACGGGCACGTTGATCCGGAGGGTGGTCAATCTTTTACCGGCTTTGTTAATGAGCACGCTGGTCTCCCGCATGACGGAATCCGGCTAAGCTTTTCATGGGTATAGACCACTTCGTGCTCAGATACTTCCCGACCTCAATGAACAGCCATGTACCTCTTTGAGGAGCTTTCTGTTCCTTTGCGTTGGAGAGTGCGAGACACTGGCTTTCACAACCGTCAGTATTCGTTGTATTGCCCAGGCGACTGTAACAAGGAGGAGATAGGGATCTTACTGTGTGGACAAAGAGAAATGTAACATCTCGGTCTTTGAGCTAGTTACGGGTGCTTGAATCAAAGGAACTCCGTTCTTTTTCGTCTTTGACGTGTTGCTTTGAAAGTGTTCTACCCACACGAAAAAATCGGCAACTGGTGAGCAAGAAGCTATCCCTATCTACTCGAACAAACCAATTTTGATTGAAGGAAGACTCGTTTGCGCTGTCAAGATGAATTTCATTCCATAGAGTGAAGAAGACATCATACTGTTAGAAAGTGATTGTTTCCAGCAGTCTGAAGTCATCGACGCTGTTTCAAGGTGGATCCTCGGTCTTTGCTCGCGTAACCGGACTTGTAGCTGATTTGCGACCATATTTACGGCTTCGTCCGTAGCCAAAAACAACTGTTGGGCCAGAACCACGGCAGTTTCAACCTCTGTCCCATTGACGTTTCGCGTTTGCCGTGCCTGCCGTCCTGCCGTCCGGACTTCCAAGTGTTGTATCTCTACAGCAGCAAGCTGAAGGCAGACTGGCAAGTAAACTAGGCCTCCGACGGATCCAAAGGCAATATGATCAGTGGAATCTCTGTAGATTCCAGATGATCGATGGTTCAAATATAGATGTTTCTAAATGCAAGTCCCTGCAGGCGTTCATCCGGATATGTTGATCTGGCTCCAATCGAGAAGTTAGGGGCCTAGAGACCCCTTGCCGTCTCGCGCGAGCAGAGACAGGGCTGACCGCCTCGCGTGGGCGAAGAGGGTTCATCATGCAGTCGCCTCGTCACGGTGTGTGGTTGAGGACGATCATCTCCTGATAGGCGAGCAGCCAAGACCCAGCGATCCGCATGCGGAGGTACTACCGTAATTTAGACAAGGTTGATAGTGACGATCGATACCCGTGCTAGCGCAACACCCCAGGAAACTCCCCCTAATGTGCTGTTTGCATGAAACACCTACCCCGCGATGTTTGCGTGTCGCCGTCGAAACGCGCGGCAACGGGCCTGACCAGATCGGCGTCCAACACCACCCGACAAGGCCATCTTCCGATGGCGCACACCAATCATCGACCGTCCCAGTTTTTGGAAGCATCTATTACCCTCGCTTGCACGTCTTTACCCCAAACGTTGGTTGCATAACCGACCGTAGATGCTTATCTCGAAGCATTGAAACAGTGGCCCACCATTGTCACTTAGACGAGCGCAACGGCGGACATGACTTTTTCAGGAGCCGACTCCTGCCGGCAGTCGTGTATATAAATGTATATGTCTCATTGTTTAAACCGGCATCGCCTTCTGTGTTCTACACTTCACTCTCTTTCTTCCAATTCATCATTCCTCTCGTTTACGGGCTGCGCCCTTTGTCTATCTTTTAGAAAAAAACATCCATCACCATCACCATGCAGTACCGTGCTATCAGCTCTGCTCTCCTGCTCGCCCTTCTGTCCCCTGCGGCTTACGCCCAGGTCGTCGGCACCCCGACTGGTTTCGCTGCCGGCACGACTGGTGGTGGAAGCGCCGAGGCCGCCGCTCCTGCCGACATCAAGGAGCTTGCTGAGTGGCTTTCCGACGACCAGGAGAGGTTTGTATCCAGTCTTGTCTTTTGAGAGTTCGTGATGCTTATTCATACGTGCAGAGTCATCCTGATCGACAAGGAGTTCGACTTCACTGGTACCGAGGGCACTACCAAGGAGACTGGTTGCGCTCCCTGGTCTGACCAGTGCAGCACCGGTGCTCAGCTTGCCATTAACGGTGCCAACGACTGGTGCGGTGACAAGACTCCCGCCGACGTCAACTACGACAATGCTGCTCTTACCGCGCTCGAGGTCGGCAGCAACAAGTCGATCGTTGGTGTCGGCTCCAAGGGTGTTCTCAAGGGCAAGGGTCTCATGCTCAAGAACAACGTTGAGAACATCATCATCCAGAACATTCACATCACTGAGCTCAACCCTCAGTACGTCTGGGGTGGTGATGCCCTGACCCTCAACGGCTGCGACAAGGTCTGGATCGACCACAACAAGTTCTCCAAGATTGGTCGCCAGATGATTGTCAGTGGTTACGAGGCCGCTGGTCACGGTATGTTGTGTTTTGCACTTCAAATCCCTCAGGTCTCAAATCTAACTTTTACTAGTTACCATCTCCAACAACGAGTTTGACGGAAAGTCCGATTACTCCGCCTCGTGCAAGTAAGTTATCTCTCCTGAAGGGGTCCATATGTTTTCGTGGTCGCACGCCAAACTTGGTTGTATTTTTCCCAGCTGGTCACCTTTTTGGGTCATGTGACTGCGAATACATTGGACAACCCAAGCACTATCGGTATTATAACAACTTACTAACGCGTTTTATTGCTTAGTAACCAGCATTACTGGGTGGTGCGTGCACTCTAATACCCCTATTATGCGTTGAATAATTATAACTAACTTATAATAGTGGCTCTTCTATGGCGCGAAGGACTGGTACACCGTCCAGGGCAACTACCTCCACGATGTGTCCGGCCGCAACCCCCACATCGGAACCGACGACTCTCAGATTGTCTTCCACGCTGTCAACAACTACTGGAGCAACGTTGGTGGCCACTCCTTCGACGTTGCTGCCGGTTGCGACATCCTGGTTGAGGGCAACGTCTTCGAGAAGGTCGACACCCCCTTCACTGAGGAGTCTGCTTCGGGCGGCTCGCACATCTTCAACGTGCCCTCCGGCTCTGAGTCCTCCTGCTCCTCCTACCTTGGTCGTGACTGCGTTGCCAACTCGGTCACCGGCTCCGGCGACTTCACCAAGTTCGACGACGAGGAGGCTCTCGCTGGCTTCTCCGGCCTCGAGAAGAGCATTGTCGAGGCTAAGGACGCTTCTACTGTCGCCAGCGATGTTGTCGCCAACGCTGGTGTCGGCAAGCTCTCTTCCTCTGGCTCGAGCTCCTCCGGCTCCGGCGCTGCTGCCGGTACCCCGGTCTCCACCCCCACCCCTACCCCCATGAAGTTCAGGGCTTAAGCGATAAGCTCTTGTGGAGTTGGAGAAAGCCATCATGAAAAGAGTGGCTGGTGGAATTAGAAGGGACAGGGTGCAGGACTTGCATGGATGCGGTTATACTCACCCAACTTCTAATTTATAGTTTACTTCTAGAGAAGCCAATTTTAACGAAATTCTCAATCAGAGATTAACCCCGAATCATTTGTGCATGGGATATACCTACTATAATATTGTAATAGATATCGAGATCTAAGGATCTTATTGCACGAAGCCGTCTCTAGAGAACCCTTTTATTAACAAAAGCTTAAAAAGAACAAAAGCTTGCATTATACTAAAGAAGAGGTTGTTTTTAAAAAGAACTGGCACTAGAACACTTATTATACTCTACCGAGAAGAATTTATTTTGAGTTAATTTTTAAAACTTCCTATAGTATATAGTATAATATATATCTCTTTAATAGGTATAATGTAACCTCTGTAGAACTAGTTATTATATAAGTAGTCTTCTAGTAAGCTTAAGTAATATAGTAAACTACTAACGTCTCTGACGTATAAGAGAGATCTACTATTTAGCGACTATAATAACTAACGTCGTTTACCTATAACTAAACTAACTTTACCGTTTAGTAAGTCCTACTAATTAGCGTATACTATAGAGGTCCCTTCCGCGCTCTTTTTAGCGGGATTCGCTGAACGGTAAGATTCGTTTAACGGTAGGAGACGTTACTGAACGATAAATACTAATCTAAAAACTTAAAAACCTCTCTATATAAGATTGAGAGCCAGCGCGAACAAGGATCTAAAGTATCCTCGTATTCTTGATTCCACTTAGTATGTTCTACGTTATTACTAGAAGTTTCGTGTAAGCAACCTTCGTTGCTTACCCACTGCGCCAAGCCACCCGCAGCAGGGCCAAAAGATAAGGCAGCGAGAGCGATTTGTAATCGAGTCTCTGGCTTGGCACACCTATGAAGCGTGTCGTATGGGGACGAAGGGCATGACACTTCGGGCTTACTCCTTGTTCAGTAATATTAATTTAACGAAAGGATAAATAGCAGCGCTAAAACATTTAGATAGAGCCCAGCGACAAGCTGCTATACTTGTCTGCAATGTCTAATCGTAACATGACTCATGTGAAGCTGGGCGCGAGGAATTGGACGCCGCTTGTCCTCCTAAATTACTACTCCCTATGGGGGTATATATGCTGCTATCTAAAAGAACACGTTTTCTCTTTAAGATCCTTATTTCCTTGCAGTGGATAAACGTGTGGTGTAAGGGGTAAGGCTGTAGTGTAACAACTAACTGTAATAAGGCTGAAAAACCGAGAGTTATCGGAGTGATCCTGGCTGACAACTCATGATAAACTGATAAGGACCTGCTATGGCACTCACGACTACTGCGCTGCCAATTTGGGTTAGCGCCAACTTAGTTACGCCCTCCTTTCCTTCTTTTCACACTTTGTTCACTGCGAATCTCACCCCAACTCTAACAACCATGTCTGGCTTTACAGTCTTTCTGACTAACATTTTCTGAGGCGTTGACCGCCCCCTCCTGCGACAATAAGATCTAACAGGACTCGAGGACGGATGGGGCACTCCCCCCGACACCGTGCCTCCTCTTGAACCGAAGAAGTGTTCTGGGGACCAGGTGAGCACTAGAATGAGGGACCACACTTCCGTGCGTACTGACAGCTTCGCAAGGTCAAGGAGGTGAAGAAGCCAAGACAGTCAAAGCTCTAGCATCGCCAGCGGAATCGCGGTCTTACCTTGTCTGCCGTCGTCTGTGGCACGGATTCAAGCACTCTCGGACATGCAAATCGGTGGACAAGCCATTGGCGGCAACAGGGTAGTAAGTGGATTAAATCCTTCGTATGAGAAAGAACACGGTTAACAATCCTTCAGTGTCAGGCCCATTACCAGCGTTGCTTCCATAGATAGCCTGCCCAATCCGAAATAGGCGCATTCTATCCTCGTGCTTCTGCAATCTAAAATTTCCCCTCTTCTCAATGAATGCTTTCGCTACATGAACCTTCTTGGGCTGTCACTTCCATCATGCGCTGTGCCAACGACTTCATGACATGAAGCTTCTTACTGACATCGAATGCCTCCGAGATTTTGTCATGTCCTGGTCATATCATGACATTCATGCAATCACCCGATTTACCAATCCATAGGCAGCTTAACCCCATCGTTCCCCAATATACCCTTTCCAATTACGGTGGCAAACTCGTAAGACCAACAGTGATATAAGGCGCTCTGAGAACGTACTGGCCATTGCGATTGAAAAACCAGTTTTTCTATTTACTCTCTTTGGTAGTTACCGGCATCCAGACCTATATGGAATCGGAAGCACTGCCACCGGATACGAGAAGGAATTGAGCGTGCCGTTAGCCTGTTTGGAGGACAGTGCGGCAGTCTGTAGACTGGCAGGCAGCAATCCGCTACTACGGAAAAGGAAATAGGCATGTGGGGATCCAACACTGGGTCATACGAATGCTAGAAGTGCCCGAGCAAACATGAGATCAAAGCGCATGATAGAGTTCAGTGCTTCGCTTTGGCGGACTACCGGGCAGTTCACCGAATCCTCTATAAATACCAAGCTGGATCACCCATTGATGACCACCAAACACCTCTCAATTCAAACACAATCAACAACAATCAACAACAATCCTCATTCCAACAATGCTTTTCAGCAAGTTCCTCCAAGTCGTAGCTCTCGCAGCTGCCGTCAACGCCTTCACCATTCCCGAGGGCACCGAAGATGGCGTCTACGCCGTCAAGACCGACGCCAACGGCATCGACCAACACACCAAGCTGGCCGACGCCACGCCCATCGAAGAGCTTGAAGTCACCAAGCCCAACCGCTTCAATGGCCTGGTGCGTCGCGACAGAAAGATCACTTGCGGTGGCACCAAAAACCTCAACCACGCCGACACCGACGCGGCCAACGCAGACCTTGACCGTCAGTGCGGTGGTGCTGCCGGAAACTTCGTTGCATCCGGACACAACTTCTACGCCATCAGGGGCAACACTGTGGCTTTCTACTGCAACTTCGGAGGCGACAACCGGTGCGATTCGGTGACTCGTGCTCAGTATAGCTCGGCGATCACGTCGCTGTGCGGAGCCTACAACTCGGGTTGGGGTACTTCTAGTGGAAAACTTTCCTATGGCTATGACGTTAACTCGTCCAAGTTCTGTGGGTCGGGTGCTTAAATGGGCCTCTTGTGTCTATGGAGATTAAGTGTTGTTGCAACTCGAGGCTTTACGTTGCCTGTTTGATAGTACAAATACCAACACTGCTATCTCTGTTTTCCAATTTATTTGTTGTTTGTTCATGTATGTTGAATCTTGAGTGGTCTTGCCACCATCTTTAAAGAAAGAGGCAGTGCTCAAAGAAAGAGGTTGAAACAACGGCAAGCACGGATAATGGCGTGGTGGGGGCGGAATCAGAGATGCTGTTTATAGGCGCACTAACGAACACCATGTGGGCCAACGCCCGAGCATAGACCAGTTCCTGCCTTTACCCAAGCGAATGATTGGCGTGTGCTTGAAGTCTTTCGCCCCCATCCACCACGTCAAGCATCCCCCTTATCTCTTTTTTGCCTTAGCCGGATTTTCAACCCACGAACCAGCCCCGTGGGTCACTATTTAATCGCTTAAAGCTCCATGAATCCTTCAGAGCGGCACGAAGCGAGTCAGTAAACCTTCCTAGATAGGATAGTGTACTTACTACGTGGTAGCTAGCCAACGTATAGCTCCTACTTTGCGGCCTGGACCCGCCCGATAAGTCATGACCTAACTTTCACCTCCTTCAGCTCCGCCTTTGCATGAATCGAAGCTTTGATCGAGGTCTATAATTATCTGTCCTAATTGCCACTGCTTACTGTCTTGATGATCTCACATCCAATGATCTTTTGCAAGCTGACAATTCTATTTTGAAAATCCCTCCACTCGCCATACTGGACTTCGATCTGGCTAAGCTGATTTAAGCACGGGCTAAGACGGCAAGGATCCAGACTCCGCAGCGGGTTTAAGCGTAAACGGAGTACACTCTAGCCGGAGACATGTTCGATTATCCCGCGCGATGTTTTACTGTGATTATGGCAACCTTAACGTATTTCCGATAAAATCTACTGCTGATGATGGGTAAACCCTATCAGGGTTTCCAACTGTTACACTGAAGCTGACCAGGGTTTTAGAGACGAGGGTTCGGACGATCGCGGGAAAAAGACTGACAATGACGAGCTTTGTTACAGGTGAATCAGCCCCCACGCATTAGCTGCGTTAGCTTAATTCGCCTGAACGCACAGTCGCACAAGTCCAGGACAGCAGATAAGCATGATGCAAGAGCCCCGCGGGGGTCCGCATGTGGCGTAAGGCAACCCTCATCCGGTTAACGTCACAGACCTTTCATTCCATCAATCCTGCTCACACACCGTCCCTGCCGTACCACATACGGGTTTGCTAGCGTACAACCGCTCAACATTCGTGGACCTCGTGGTCTTATCAGTAAGCAAGTCTTGGAAAAGCAGTTTCTATCTATCAGCATTAAGATTGCTTAGTATAGGGACAAAATCCTTCATGGCGGTGATGAGCGGCTCTGGGAAACCTCCCAAACGACTTTGGAGCATTAAGTTACAGACATTGGTGGCCCTGAATCTGCTGTCTGACATAAATAAGCTGGAGTATGATGATTTGGTGACATAGAGCTCAGCTATATACTCTTGTAAAGATTGGGAATAACATCTTATAATTTAAATAGAGACTATTCTGGCACTCTTGGTAGATTATGAATTGCATGTTCTGGTAATCGGGCGATCAAAATTTGCAAGTCTCACAAAAGCAAAGAACACGCCGCAATTTTCCAAAACAGAAGCCTCTATAGAGTGCTTTCGATTTAGCACCTCAATTCGACAACTCTTCTATCTTGTTCACTGTTTTTCCGATTGCACCAAAATGACGTTAAGGTATAGCAGTCATCCATTCGAGTTAGTTGAAGGAGGGGTCAGTATTCGCAACACCCTTCAAGAATTCATTAGGAATTGATATACCGCACAGGAAGTTAAAGGGGTGAAGAAGATAGCCACTGTTGAGTGTTAACGACTTGTAAAAAGCAATCCCCCTTATCGTTTCCAGCCGTCGTATACTACATCTCTTTTCCACCTCTTCCACGACATCTTCAATATGGTTCGTAAGCAATCACCTTCTGCTCACCGAATAGTCACTGACTGAGGTTACAGCCGGATTCCCCAATACCATGCCAAAGAAGCCACCAAAGCTATTATACCGCTTTTGGGCGAATTATGCCACCAGGACAAGCAAAGGAACTTCTTACCGGCACTTTGGGAATCATTCACCAAATGCCAGTGGATTGACGCAGACAACGTGGCCAAGTCAAAGGAACGGGCATTTTGGTACAAAGGCGGGTCGTCACCTCCACCGGAAAGCTCTATGGGCAAAAGAGGCTGGTTATGGGCATTGAATATTATGGTAAAAGACTGGGTTCTTTCAGAGGACTGGGCATTTAGCTGAAAAGTAATCTCTCACTTTATAAACAAGGCCGCAGCAAACTGGAATTTATGGCTAGAACATATGATTGCTACTTTGTTCATCGTCACCACCTCAAATTAAAACGCTGCAATACCCCTAGCCGGCTTTTCATCGTCAGATACGCTTTATGTAGAGCTACTAAGCATAACTTGAGGCAAGCTTAAATAGGTGTCAGCTTAAGTCGTACACAATCAACCGGTTTAATTACCTTGTCTACATCAGACAATCGTGACAGTTCTTTGTCCTAAAGTGTAGAAATGATCGTTGTAATCTTTGGCCTCATTCTCATCGAAATCAAACACTCCAATGCGCTCATAGGTGTTCTTAAAGGCATCGTCAAAGCCAAGTAGAAGCCCGCTGACTGACTTATCGCGTTGCAGAACATATAACGCGATGACAGAAGCGTTTATTGGATCCAGGTCCTCCTGTATTTCACCCAGAAATTGCTTCCTTCTGGCTGTGGTTTTGCGTTCACCGTCCGTGCTGTTTGTCTCTCTTTCTTCTACAACAGTGTCTATCAACACCAAAGCTGGATTTCTAGAGCTGCCGAAGTTGAGGTGATAAAAACCATCCCTAACGACTAGGGATAGTTCTTCTGCTGGACCTCGTATGGTTATAAATCCTTCTATAACCTCACCAAAAACATCAGGTGAATTTTCGGGATACTTGCATCCTTTTTCCAAGATGGTAGCCATATGGTGGAGGTATCCGTCCCACCCTACAGCACCCTTGTGGAAATTTTCATTAACAATCTGACCACTCAGACTGGCCCAACTCCATGATGGATTCGGAATCACCCGAGGTGGGCTTAATGAACCAATTGAAAATATTTGGGGTGTCCAGCCAGTCGTCCAAAGGAGATTTTCAAGTAACTCATCTTCCCACAAGCCTGCAAAGTATTCACACTTCTTGATAGCACCAATGCGCTTAGCGAAGCCGGCGATCGCGGGTAAGCGATCATTGTTTCTCGTAAGATTTCGAATTGAATAACTGCTGAGAGTCATTCCCCAAAGTAAATCCGGATTGATATTTTGATTCTGTAAGGGATAGTTTATGCCGACTTGTTTTCTTTCTACGGGAGAAAGACCGTCTTCAGTGATTTCCTCTATAGCCTGGCATTCGAAGGTCACGTCTCTTTCTGCATAATGCAGAAGTCGTGTTGATAGCGCGCGTTCTTGCCATGCCCATCCGCGGTGAACGACGCAGTCGCGAGTGGTAAAAGGTTTGTGGCCGCGATTTTGTCGCACTTTTACCACCTCACTTCTATTAGGAACGTTGAAGTCTCTTCCTATCCAATTTTCACGGGAGACGTTGAGGATTGATTCGTGAGGGTTGAAACTTCTGTCGGCAACAATAGTCAAATCGGCGTGGCCATAATATTCGGCCATCTTGGAAGCTTCGATACTCCAGTCTGAATGGTTTCCCTGGATAATACAGAGTGCATCTATCCAGATGTATTCGAAACCAAGTTCGTGGGTTACTCGAATGGCGTCACGGAATAAGACTGGCAGCGATCCCCAAGGAATCTCCGATTTCATATCGTCAAATGTTTCTGGTTCCGTCTTGAGAAAGTCGGCGCCGCCCCAGCAGTAGCTCAAAGTTGTATAGCTACCAAGCTCGCCAGGCATACTTTCGTGGAGGCTGATGGTCCACGGTTCCACACTCATTATTCTCACAACTCTTTTTGGTAGCCTTTGGAGCCCATGAAGTGAGCAGGTATCATTATGCTGCGAAATGCATTCGTTAACATGAGAATGAACGAAACCCCAAGTGCTGTTGGAATCAGGACTGGGCGGTAACTCTTTGACTGAAGTAACGGTCTCGGTGTCGTTGGGCCAACGTAAAAAATCCTCTGATAAGAGTTAGCTTTATGACCCCGTTGTCGGACAAACGACATACCATGGAAGCCGTAAATCTCGACGATTGCCGGCAGGTTTTCGGGTGGCCTGGCAAACATATACCAGCCTGCTTCGACTCGTACAATGCCTTCTTTCTCCCCATATACACTGTGGTCATGCCCGCCTGTCCACATAATTCTTACCCAGCTTCCACTCCGTTCGAATACAACAGGGTGAAACTGCCTTAGGACGCTAATGAACAAGGCGCAAAAAATGCATTTGGCGATGTTCTGGAGCATATTGTCCAAGAACATGTTTCCGAAATGGTCCCAATTGGGTGCTAGGGAAAATGAATGTTCGGAAGGGGTTTGAACACCGCAAACTTCGCACTCCATGATGGGCTGGACAGAACCTGGGGGCGGCTTACTTCCGAGAGATTGCTTCTAAATAAGTTCTTGTGTAGTACATAGCTATGCATAACCGCGCGGCTTTATTGAAAATTGCGTACAAATATGTTGATTCCCACAGCTGCTGCCTAAAGATGTTGAGGTCATTCCAATCGGCGGGGTTGTTTCAGTCGTACAAGGTTGGAACACGGTCACCGCATGAATAGCTTTTGGAAGGGTTAGGGAGGGTAAGAATGCCTAGGAAGTAGACAGATGGCGCGTATGACGTTGTGCACGTGATAATTCTGCGTACGGGAAATTTGTAACTAAGTCTTTATTTATTCTCAGCAAATAAGTAAAGTGCTTGGATGCAATATTGGTTTCTGATCACATATCTTTCAAGCAATAAGAGGTATAAACAGACGGGACGTCTTAAAAAAGCACGTGATGAGGAAGCATTGACACTAAGTCTGCCCGTCCGTGCTGTCTCTTGCCGTCTTCAACTTCACATCAGGACATCCATCTCGTGAAACCTCATTTTGCGTCTCAAACATCTTCCAGCTCCATCTAATGTAGCTCCATCGACCTCGATCGCCGTGCTGGATAGTCGCAATGTTTCATTGCAACTTTTGTTGCCTTTTGTCGCTACTCCCATTGATACTTCACGTTGTTTGCTCGCCATGATGGCTACGTCAAAAGCGCATGTCTGCTTCAATTACGGTGGAAGGAGAACGCCTATCCACATAGGCTTTTGGCTCCGAAGTTGGCTCCATCGAAATAGACTCGTGTGCCCGCTGGGTTTATATCCCGACGTCTCCGCCCTCTGGCAAGGCCGCCTTCGCTCCCGCCCTGCATGAAGTCTACGACTTGTGCACAATCGAACTGGAATCTTCCTTTTGTGCCTTGCCTTGTTTGGTTATTGTCTCTGGTATTTCCTGGATTGTTCGCGGCGCAGCTGCCACGTTCTCGCCACTACACAACGGCTTGAATCAACGTCGCCTCATCTTTCTACAGCTTTCGACCGCGAGGGGGTATTGGACTAAGCGGCAGACGGCTGCAATAGGCGGGAAACCGCGTGTCTGCACGAGCAAAAACAGGTCTCTGCGCGCAGGCGGCAAGCGGCGGGCGACATGTGACAGGTTATTGGCTGGTTGCATTTCCATTCAATGCGACTCCGGTGAGGTTGAAAAAGTGCCATGTCCGGTTTTTGTTAATACCGGGGAGCCCTAGCCGCCATGAAAGAGGATGCTGTACGTGGTGGACCCCTACTCACTACGCCGTACCAGCCCGCCTATAGATAGCAATCACGTCGCGCGGTAAGTTGGGCCAGCAGGTTTTTACGCATGCATGACAGGATGCACCACAATAATCCAGAAGAGGCAGGTTCAAAGAATGCATAAAAAATCCTTGTATGTTAAGCAAATCCTACCCTTTAATTCTACGTGGTAACGCGCGCTTGGCGTTTGCTGATATCGCCATAGACGCCATCAATCAAAAGCGGTTACAATTGATTTAGCGGCGCAGTCCCAAGTTATGTGCCATCCATACTTTATCGATATGAAGACATTTTGGTGCAGTAAGGCTACCCAATAAGTATATGGAGTGAGTGAACTTGCGCCATGCATGCTAGCAAAGACCTACTCTACGCCGCCCCACGTAGTGCTTCCTTAATACGTGGTGGGCTCCGACGGCTCCTTGCACCGGCAAGCCGCATCTTGCTGTCGCCTAGTCAACTTTATGGCTTGGCAAAGCATCACTCTCCTTCCCTTCAACCTCCACCACCAATGTGTTTCACTCCATCTTGTTATACTCTTTGAACCGCACATCATCTACCCACGCGACGCGCCGAGTGACGAGCTGCCCGGCACCGAAACCGAACGCTAAGCTTGACGCGCCGGTCACCGATGGGCCTGTTCCTGGGCAACTGCTTGATATTGACCACGAAGTTGTCAGCGCCGACAATCACGATAACCGAGTCCAAGCCGTGAAAGACGGAACCTGTACCATTCTCGCAAGCCTAGGCCTCAAGCATCAACAGGCGGAACTTGAAGTGAGGCGATTCGTCGGTCGGCTTCGCTCTTCCTCAGAGACAAGTATTTCGTTTTCGGCCACACCGACCTTCGCCTGCGGCTACTCCTACTCCACCACGACGCAGTTCTGACAGGTCATCGCGCCTCTCCCACCCTTGTATCTCTTTCACCCCCAACCATCGTCAAATCAAACAGACGCCCCAAAGATGCCTCCCAAAAAGGCTTGCCGCTTCTTCGCCACGCCAGCAGGCTGTCACTACGGGAAGAGGTGCAAATTCGCACACAGTAATAGAGCGGAGGTCCATAACAACAGCACGCCTCAAGGTAGATCCAATCTTCAAGGTCCTAGGCGTGAATCCGCGCCTCGTGTCGGCTCAACCTCCGAAGCCGAGCTCCGTACTTGGAGGTTCCAGATCCCTAAAGATGGCGAATACGCTCTTCCTCTCGGTCCGGAACTCTCGCGATTCTTCCAAAAGGCTGCTGAGCTTGTCGCAAGCGAGCCGGAGACCCGTCAAGCCGTGGTCTCGCGGCTGGCATCGGCTGGCGGCTTAGTGCGCATCAGAGAGCTCATCGACAGAGACATGGAGGTCGATCCTATGCCGCGGAAGACAAGAAAGTTCAAGAGCCAGTACATTCCTTTTTTCCAAACGATTTCCCATCCCGATGTCCTAGCATCTATAGTGTTAGAGCAGTCGGTCGGCAGCATCTACAACTTCCTCTACGGTGTAGCTGGTCAAAGGTTCATCAAGCTAGCTTCTTTCACCGAAGAAATGCTTACAGCTCTTGTCGGTACTATTGAAACAAATGACTCGCAACCGCTCCCGGATATTTTCGACGTTGTCCTTCTGGTGTTTTCCAAAGTTGTCGAATTGAACGGTGGCGCTAAGATCCACCTGGAGATTCCGCCAATAATCGACGCTCTTCGCGCTACGCTTGAACAAGCTGTCGCGTCTTATGATGAGACGTCTTTACAGCAAGCACAGTATCACCTATCCAAAATCCAGCGGCGTCTTGGAATCGGCAGCGCTATTCCTGCACTTGAATCGAAACCCGAAGCATCAACTACCAAAGCCTCGTTCACCCTCTCTCGCGACCTTCCCGGCTCCCTCTCACGCCTAGGTCGTCGACACGACAATGACTATGAAGACATTCAAGATATTAGAATTTTGCCAACACTACAGGAGATCATGTCGCAAAGAATTGAGTACCTGCCGACTAAAGACTCATCAGACTGGCACCAACCTGGCGTTCAAGGCCTATTGGATAGGAACTTCCGACTTCTCCGTGAGGACACCATTGGGCAGCTGCGCGACGCCATACATACCGAGTTTATGAGGATGCAACAGCAAAACAATCACATAAAAACTCGGACAACCAAACAACAGGGTCTTAGGACTTACACGTATAGAGACGTGAATGTCGTCAATCTCTCGGTGGACAGGCGAGACGGCCTTCAGTGCGAACTTGGCTTCGGGCAGCTGCAGCAACTCCGAGGGGCGACTGCTCGTGCAAGGCAGGAGTGGTGGACAAACTCTCGCCGCCTCCAACCAGATGCTCTCATCTGCCTCCTCCATCAAGACGGTCTTTCCTTGTTTTGCTCAGTCTGCGATACAACCGAAAGGCTAAAGAAGAATGAGGAAAAACCCGACAATTCCAGTGCAACGCGCAAAGAGCCAACCAACCTCTATTCACATCCTGACGCTGCCTATCTTACGGTACGACTTGTTGAGCACAGCGATGAGTCGATCCGTGCTCTTCTTCGGAGATGTCCCGGCCGGGATTCAATGCTACTAATCGAATTCCCGGGCGTGCTACTTCCTGCCTTCGAGCCGACTCTTCAAGCTCTAAAGCAAATGTCGAAGACGGAGGATATCCCGTTTTCCGAGTTTCTTGCGCCAACGAATGGAACTCCGGGTGGGATTACACCCGTACTCCCTCCGGTGTATTCCAGAAAGCCATATTTCCGATGTAATTTGAAAGCGATCACGAAAGACAACAGAAATCTCTACCTATCGACCGATGGCACCAGACTTGATGCTCAAGTTCTTCAAGAGAACTCGTCATTGGATGAAGCACAGTGCCGCGCCGTCATTGACTCCCTCACAAGGAGCTTGGCGCTCATTCAAGGTCCACCGGGCACGGGAAAAAGCTATACTGGTATCGCCCTTATCAAGATCTTACTCGACAACAGAAAGGCTTCTGACATTGGACCCATCTTGTGTGTCTGTTACACCAATCATGCTCTTGATCAGCTGCTTGAACACCTTGTCGACAGTGGTGTTGAACAGATTATCCGCGTAGGCTCCCGATCCAAATCTGAAGCTCTCCAGGCACTCAACCTCCGTGTTATCGCCAGGAAAATGGAGAGCACGAAAACGGAAAAGCATTTGGCCTGGGAATACCGCACCGCATTGGAAAAAGATGAGCAGGAAATTCAAGGACTTACCGCCGAATATCTCAAAGCAGAGTCTTGGAAATCAGTCAGAGAATACCTCAAGACTCATTATCCTCGTCATCACAACCAACTTTTCGGTGTTGAAGATTATATGGAAGCTGACGGTTATCAAACCGTGAAACACCATCCTGAAACTACCATTCACAAATGGCTCCACCAACCATTCAGCAATCGGGGCCAGCAGCCGAGGGCACTTGAGGTTTTGCAGGAGAGCCCCGTACACGGAATGACATCCCCAGAACGTGAGATGCTGTATCGTTCTTGGACGAGACAGATCCGGGGCAAGCTTAGCAGGAACATTGTTACTGCTTTGTCTGAGTACGAGTCGAACAAGAATTCGTATGCGCGGAACAGGATGGAAATGGACCTCCGCTGTCTGCAGCAAGCTCAAGTCATCGGGATCACAACGAGTGGGCTTGCGAGAAATCTCGAGCTTCTCCGGCGTGTCCGAACGAAAGTAATGCTCTGTGAAGAAGCTGGAGAAGTACTTGAAGCCCATACGCTTACTGCATTGCTGCCATCAGTTGAGCATGCGATCCTCATCGGAGATCACCTTCAGCTTCGTCCACAAATCCAGCGATATGATCTCGGGAGGGAACATCCATCAGGAGAGCAGTTCTCTCTGGACGTATCTCTTTTCGAGCGATTAGTGCAACCTAACGATACAGAGGCGATCAAGCTGCCGTTCACCACGCTCGAGACGCAACGGCGGATGCATCCCTCCATCTCGCAACTGATCCGCGACACACTCTACCCTGCGCTAAATGATGCTCCTTCAACGAGTTCATACCCACACGTTCCCGGAATGAAGGAAAGGTTGTTTTGGTTCGACCACACAGAGCCTGAGGCAAATGCGGACGAAGATCAAGCCGCGATTGCGACTAGTCATACAAATGATTTCGAGATAGAGATGACTACGGCGCTAGTTTCTCACTTGATGAGGCAAGGCGTTTATCGAGCGAATGACATTGCTGTCATCACTCCTTACTTGGGACAACTACAAAAGCTACGAAAGAGATTGGGAAGAATGTGCGAACTTGTCCTCAACGATCGCGACTTGGATGAACTCGAGCAGGCGGGCTTAGTGCCGGAAGAATCATCTCAGGTCAGTAAGGCGTCGGCCTTGACGGCACTGAAAGTAGCGACCATCGACAACTTCCAAGGCGAGGAGGCAAAAGTCGTTATCATCTCGCTTGTCAGGTCCAACAAGCGAAACAAATGTGGCTTTCTCAAGACTTCCAACAGAATCAACGTTTTGCTCTCCCGAGCCCAGCATGGAATGTACGTCATTGGGAATTCACAAACTGCCGGCGGAGTCCAGATGTGGGCTGATGTACTCGACATTCTCCGGGAAGGAAGCCAAATTGGAAACCAACTCGAACTCTGCTGCCCGCGTCACCGCGATAAGCCCATTATCGTATGCTCGCCCGATGATTTTCCCTTACTGTCTCCCGAAGGCGGTTGCAATCAGGCTTGTGACAAGAGACTACGTTGTGGTCATGCTTGCATCAACAAATGTCATTCCGACATGCTACACGACGCGGTGGAGTGTCTGGAGCCCTGCCCAAGGCCGATAAAGGGATGCGATCACTCATGTCCTCGTACCTGTGGACGGTCTTGTCCCGAGAAATGTACAGTCAACGTCCACGACTCAACCAGGACATTGGCTTGTGGCCACTTGAAGCCCGATCTTCCATGCTGGCAAGCTCAGAATCTCTCTTCAGTTACCTGCCAGGTCATAGTCACCCGAGACATACCGGGCTGCGGACACAAGTTACGGCTTCCTTGCTACATCAACTACACTACTGACGAATTCAAATGCTCCGCATCTTGCGGCGCAGTCCTGCCGTGTGGACACACATGTAAGCACTCCTGCAGTTCTTGCAAAACTAGAGTCAACGGGGCAATAGACACGGAAAACCATGGAATTTGCAAACAGGTGTGTGGCAGAAACTACACCACTTGCCGTCATAGCTGCAGAACACCTTGCCACGGCGACAAGCCTTGTCCACTCTGCGATGCACCTTGCGAGGTTCAATGCAGTCATTCGAGATGCAGCAAGAAATGTCGCGAGCCATGCGACCCATGCGCTGAAGCTGTTTGTTCTTCGAACTGTCCTCATAGCAAATGCAGCCTTCCATGTGCGGCACCTTGCGACTGGCTGCCTTGTTCGAGGAGATGCGAAAAGATTCTAAGCTGTGGACATCGATGTGCGTTAACCTGTTTGAAGTCAAACTTTTTTATTTACCATTGACCATAAGCTAACGTACATTTAGGCCCTTCCCTTTGCGGAGAAAAGTGCCCGGGCGCAGAATACTGCCAGAACTGCGCCACCGAAGACATCAAGGACCAACAAGTCGACTACATCATGATGTTAAAATACAGAGAGATAGACCTGGACGAAGACCCCTGCATCTTCCCGAGTTGCGGACACATCATGACTGTAGCCAACATGGATGGTCACATGGACATGAACGCGCATTACCACACATCTCCCGACGGAACACTTTCTGGAGTCAAGCCTGTCGAGCATTTTTCGAAGAACGAGGCGATCAAAGTGTGTCCGACATGCCGAGGCCCTCTTCGAAACGTTGCTAGATATGGACGCATCGTCCGGCGGGCACTCCTCGATGAGTCCATGAAGAAGTTCATCGTCTGGTCCAACGACGAATACCTTGCACTTTACCAACGCTTCCAGGATGCTCATGAGTACTTGGTCAATACCGCCGAAAATGTGAGCCCTGCACCAAGTGCCCCTGTCAAATTATCCATCTCCGGCAGTGCAGCCCACCAGTGCATTTTGATCAGACAGACTGCCGGTGAGATGCTACTATCGGGTCGGTACCAGAACATCCTGAGTCTGCGAAATCAGATCCAGAGGTATGTCTACAAGGTCCGGAAAGAGGAGCAGCCCTTCAAGAAAGTTTGGGACTTGTGCGAAGACGCACGTCGGCGACGGAACGCAACGGGATCCTTTCACTTCGACAACGAGGTTCTCCAGACGAGGGCATACTTGATGGCATCGGCCCTCCTCATCCGTTGCGACATCGGTATATTGACTGATGTCGTCGCCGTTTGGAAGGACAAGGTCCCTCGCGAACTACGCGCAGATGCGGAGCTCGACTTCTCAAAGAACCACAAAGTTTGTACGGGGTTACTGAACGAAGCAGAGAAGATGCAGAATCCCCTTCAGGTTGTCGAAGCCCACGTCTTCATCGCGCAATATAATGCCATTGAGCGATTGAGCGCGCCCGCCGAAACCGCAGAGACGTTGCGCCAACAAGGTATGGAGCACATCTCAACAGCCAAGCGTCTCTGCGAGCAGCATCCTGGCTCAACCAAGGGCATGGCCAACGAGACCACGACAGTGGAGAAAATGCTCAAGGAATCGACGTTCTTCAGCGTGGTGACCTCGGAGGAGCGTAGAGCTGTGCTTGCGGCCATGGCTACCGAGTTCCGCGGCACCGGACATTGGTACTACTGTCAGAACGGACATCCCTTCACCGTGGGCGAGTGCGGCATGCCGATGGAGCAGACGCGTTGCCCGCAGTGTGGTGCGCTTGCGGGTGGAAACCACCATCAACCAGCTGAGGGTGTTCGTCACGCAACTGATTTGGAGGAAGAGCTGCGGAACTTGCGGATGTAGGGGTTCGTAGCAGGGTTCGTTTCCGAGGGGTAGTGGCTGCGGTTGATGGTCTTGATGTGATTGTACATTAGAAGTTGGATACAATCAAACAAAATGTCTTGTACAGGTTGGAGATCAGAGACTTACTGTGAGTTTGGGGTAGTTTCTACCTCAATGAGTGTTTTTGATAAGAACATGCAGAGGCCAGGCCTGGCTTAGCCCTGGCTCTCGAAGTTTCCGTGATGGTATTACTCCAACTTTGATTCGCGGAATCGTAAATTCAATAATTTCCGTGCCTGTGAATGGATGGGTCTTTTAGAAATGCATATGCGGAAAGATGCATGTAAAATTTTACCTGCAGAGGTTATTTTTAGATGCAGTGGTTATCACTGAACTGAATATGCGGCTCTAGACTCCCGGCAAACATCTGTCCCGATCACGTTAGAAAATCACTTCAAGAAGGTGCATGTCGCCATCGATAAGCCAGACTTGCCAAGCTTATTTGATGCTACCTAAGGTCATTAGCGAGAGACATCACTGGCCTCGACAAGTGTGCTCCGAGGGTTCGTGTCGATGCGGCGACCCAACAACGGCTCCGGTTGCCACCATCAAGGGTACTATGTCGTGCGATGAGGTGCTGGCGAGTAACTTGTCAGGGTAAGCGATGTGGGATTGTGTTTGACATTTGGGTGGTATATGTAGGCGCACCCCGCCCATATCCAATTGCGTCATCGGCGTGCGACATTGCACGATCAGTTAGCCGCATGAAAGACTGGAGAGTTGAATAAAACTCCCAGCCGAGGCCTTTAAAGCGCACGGTCTCTTCAGAAGCCCATGATAGCTCTCTCACGATCGCACCGCCAAAAGCTTTGAGCTAGTGGCCCGTTTGCTAGCGTTTAACATGGCTGACGCGCATGATGCCGAGAAGTTCGACCCGGCTGTTCGCGTTACCTCGCCTTCGTCCAACGTCTACAAAACTGGGAATTTGGCCTTTGTTGGCGAGCAAGGCGGAAATGGATCGCTACCAACCTTCCAGGAAGCCACTGGTGCACCTGTCGAGCAACATTCCCCGTTGGGGTACAAAGTTCAGTGGTTCACCATTATTTTCCTGAATATCGGGCAAATGATTGGAACTGGTGTTTTTTCAACCCGTGAGTACATTCCAAATTCCATTGGAGCACGATCAAACCATACCTTTATCGTAGTCCTTTGTTTTGTCATCCCCCAAGTTTAACAAGAAAACGTAGTACTGACTGTGCGTAGCGGCATCAATCTTGACAAACACTGGCTCAGTCGGCTTGGCATTGATGTACTGGGTCATCGGATTCGTAATTTCATGCTGTGCTCTCGGAGTGTACCTCGAGCTAGCCTCCAACTTTCCATCCCGTTCCGGAGCCGAAGTCGTCTACCTGGAACAAGCTTATCCGCGTCCGCGATACTTCTTTCCAACGACATTTGCGGTTCAGTCGGTGTTGCTATCTTTTAGCAGTAGTAACGCAGTTGGTAAGTTGACCTCATTTAAAGACCATATACGATTAAACTAACTGGTAGTAAGTCCTGGTGAGTCAAACAATCCAAAATAGCAAACCGTACCTTTTCAAAGCCTAATCTAACCCGAAAAGGCTCAATATGCGTTTAAGATGAGTGATTACAGCCCCTCAAACTGGGAGCAAAAGGGCGTAGCTGTTGCAAGTTACACACTTGCTGTTGTCTGTCCGTATTACATAGAGTTTTATGAAAACTAAGGCTGATTTTTATAGTGCTTGTTTTGAGCGATAAGCTTGCCATTTGGCTTTCGGATATCTTTGGATTCATCAAGGTTTTGACTCTCATTTTGTAAGTCTGCAAAATCTGAACAGAATCCTTCAAATATCTGATGAACGACAGTGTCAGCATAACCGGCCTTGTCGTCCTCGGTGGCCACACTTCTGTTCCCGATCCACACGCCAACTTCCGCGATGCCTTTGCCGGCACTTCCAGCAATGGAAATGCTATGGCAAATGCTTTGGTGAAGATCACATTCGCATATGAAGGATTTCAAAACGCTTTCAACGTGATGAACGAAATCAAGGTATGAAAAAATGATTGAAAGTGCAGGCAACAGACCTGTGGGCTTAGCTAAATGCTTTCAGAATCCCGTCCGCACCGTTAAGAAAAGTGCACCGATCTCGCTGCTGATCGTTGCTATTATGTACATGCTTTGCAACATCGCTTTTTTTGCTGCTGGTAAGCATACCTTTCCGAACTTCTCCTTCTATCTGCGAGGACCAGCGATTGCTCAAGAACTACATTAACAATCACACGACAGTTCCCAAAGATGAGCTGAAAACTGCCGAGCAGACCGCCGCCACACTTTTCTTCACCAAAGTCTTTGGCAAAAAAGCTGCCCAAGGGCTCAATATTCTGGTCATTATCAGCGCGTTTGGAAACCTGATTTCGGTGCTGATCGGTCAATCACGAATGATCCGCGAAATTGGACGGTAAGCTGTTCACCCTTGCCAGTATCCAAAATGGACTAAAAAATACGGGACGATTGAAGCTGACAGCTGGTGTAGACAAGGCGTCCTGCCTTGGCCTAAGTTTTGGACTACAACCAAACCTTTCGGAACACCAATTGGACCATACTTGTTGAAATGGGGAATGACAACGCTCATGATCGTGGCGCCACCCGCTGGTGATGCGTTTAACTTTGGTATACACCCACACTCTACTCGCCTACACTCGTCTTGAAATCACAAGCTAACCCATGTTTCTAATATGTAGTCGTTGATCTCCAAACATACCCCAACTCCATTTTCTACTTCCTCATGACAGTCGGCCTGTACTTGATCCGACGCCAACGCAAGCGGATTGGAATCGGACGGTCCGAGTTCCGTTGCTGGGACCCTGCTGTGATTTTGTTCCTGGCCGTCAACCTTTTCCTCCTGATCATGCCCTGGTATCCTCCGGAAGGCGGAGCGACTGGCGGCGATGTCAGCTTCTGGTACGGTACCTATTGTATCGTTGGAATCGGAATGTGAGTATATCTCTTCTTTCTTTCGGCCTGGAACGGCTTAGCAAAGATTCAACTAACGGTGCTCAGTATTCTTGTATGCGGCTTCTACTACTGGATTTGGATTTACGTACTGCCATACTTTGGTAAGTATGAGATGAGGCAGACTGTTTTAACCTTGGATGATGGCTCGGTTACACATAAATTGGTCAAGGTGCCGAAAGACCAGTTGGAGCAGTGGGATGCGGAACATGATGTGTCTGGGCATTCAATTCACCGGGACACTATGGAGACTGCAAAGGAAAGGTAGATAGCAGATACTGTACTTGCTAGGGCGGCTTATTTTGGTTCGTGAAGCGGAACTAGTCCACTGATAGAATAAAATAACTAAGCGACCTTGGTCCGTTTGCCTGTAGTACATGTACAGATCTCCAACGGCTTTGTCGGGATGTAGATATTGAATTCTTATCAATATCGCTAGGTTATTCTTATACCAGTGCTGGATATTTCTTTTCCTTTTCACTCATCATCCTGGCCTCGAAACTCATTTCTTATGAGCAATTGATGGCTGCACTCGGAAAAGACTATCAGTGCCCATTACTCAAATGGATGGACACACAAACCTTTCAGCATCTTTCTCAGGGTCTTCCAGCCATAACTTGTCGTGACTCCACAAAGAGCCTGATGATGTGGATGTATGAAGACGAACACGGCCCTTGCTGTCGTTTGATTTGTCCAGGTTGTCAGTGTCGCATAGGCCGCTTTGCTCGTTCTCGAAAATCGGCGTCGGGTCCAACATTAATGCTGTTCATTTTTGCAGTTGTCAGCTGCGGATCACTTTCTTCCTTCTTTAAGGAGCGACTTACCTGCGAGAACAGGCTCACGGACCACTTGCCTTGAGCATTTCTTTTGGAGAATACACACGATTATGCCGGAAAATGCAACGAGTACATTGAGTGCTAGCCATGTGTAGACACGCCAGAACTCTATGCGTGCTTCGTTGGCTTGTACGGGCTCTTTGACTAATGTACGTTGTCCTCTTGGGCCCTTGAGGTCTTCGACATTCGCGCTCCATGCACCGTGGTATGTCAGGGTGAGGATGTTTTGGAAGTAGGCATCTGTGTTCTTCTCAATGTCCAGGTTCACGGTACTCATCCACATGACGTTTCGTACCGTCTCAGGTATTATCTGTAGTGTAAACTCAACCAGAGGATCGGCATCGATGTGGTCCATGTTCTGTTCTCGGCATTCCAGAAGCGTGTCTGCGACCAATATTGGATCCTTACAGCTGATCACGCCAGCTTTCCACTTGAGTTTCGCCATGGCGATGCAGTATATAACATTGTCGAATGATATCCAGAGGTATTCCTTTACTGGTGTGTCTGTGTTTGAGCATCCTTCGCTCGCCATGGTCCCGTTTCCTGCATCGTCGTGATAACGTAGATAAATAGCCCCAAAAGTCTCTTCCGCGACTGTACTTGGCTTTGGGAAACTAGTTCCGTTGAGAGGGTGGTCCTTTTTATTTCGTACCAACAGGGCGGTGCCGGCTGTAGATAATAGTGAGTTCGTAATGGGTCTTCCAGTGTTTCCGAGGGTGAACCAGTCTGTCGTTCTGTTTTGAACTTGCTTCTGTACTTCTTTCGGTATCAAATCCAGCGTTTGGACCCACTCAAATCTCGTAATTTTGAAGTGTGGCATAACAACATCCGATAGTGAGCTGTTTACAGGTATCCCGTTAAGCTGGGGAATAACTCTGCGTGGATTCCGTACAGATTCCTTTCCATTGTTGTACCATTTGTTGAAGTTGAAGTACGACGCGCCCGCCGCTATAAGAACGTGGTCTTGGGCTCCCAACGGCCCTGCCACAACGCTGGCCCATCTCGGCGGCATGGCCTCGGTCACCTGCGATATTGTAACAATATTCCCCTTTTCTACTTTGACCTTGTTGTTGGGTACCCATGAAACGGACCCGGTCAGCACAGGACCCGCCATCAGTGCTGGCCACGGTAAAAACAAGGCTGTCGATATCCAGAAGAGAAGGCTCTTTCGGGGTATCAGAGGTCCCGAGCGCCAGGATATTTGTTTCGCTATCTCCGAGAAAGAAAGCCCCGACAGTTCGATAGCGATGAAGGTGCAGCGCCAGGCAAGTATCCCGTGCCAGGTTGAACCAAGGAGAGAGGTAAGTCTGAGTCCGGCCGCGATCAAGGTAGTGATATCTGATTGGCTGATGCGGTATGTAGAGGTGCGGTCGACGGGAAACACTTCTCCGTTGAGTAGGATTACAGTGACTGACAGAGCGGTTGAACAGATAAAATGAAGTGGTATATACCACCATGCTCTGGTTAGTAACAGAGGTCGTGAAGGGTCCTTTCTCTTTCTGCATATGTGACCGGTTGGTTGTGACATGGTAGTATTGCTAAGCAAGGATTATTGTTCGACCACGGTTGTAGTTGATCAAAAATTCTTCCTTCAATGTGGAAGGCTGTTTTCTAAACACTGTATCTTAATCGACACTGCAGAAGGTCAAAAAAGAAATAGTTGGGATTATAAGACCTTTCGTATAATGGTTTTCAAGCCCAAAAATAGTGAGCGCATTGGCTACCTCTCACATTGCGCACTCACCATCACACACCTAAAACCATCATCTAGGCAGCAGCAGTTTCCCCATGAGGCTGAATGAAGAAAGGACGATGATTTTTCCAGGGTTTGATCCATGTGATGTTTTTTAGCAGGACTTCAAATGAGCAAGAGCTGATGAAGTTGAAGGATTCAAGTTTGTATGGATGACACGTCATGATAGTAAGATACTGCCTTCGTGAATGCCGAAATGCCTTATTTCCATGATATGAAGGTACAGACAAGGATTTAATTCAGCCTCGCCGTTTTGCTTACAAGTTTGTCCTCTACTCATTAAAATAATCCGGAAATGACCAGCAAGCTACGTGACTATGAGTTGGCCCACAACTTGATAATGTAATATAGTTTTCAACATTTTATGCCAAATGAGCCGAACTTCAGATTGGCACAACTATTCTGAACCATTCGAGTTTATGCTAAAACCGAGAATCTAATGGTAAATCACGAAAAGTGCCCGAGTGATTTTACCCTGTCACTTCTTCCTCTCCGAGTACTTGAAGACTCATTAAATATATTTTTAGGTGACTGCGGTAGCCACAACCAAACTGGAATCACGATCCTAATCCGGCTTAGGGAGTTTCTGGATCTGTGTTTCCATTAACGACCCCAGAAGCGTCATGCCGGGATCCGAAACGGTCATGCACTGATGCAGTAAGCTGACCAGGGTAGCTGCTTAGTGGCGGCTTATCCACCAGCAGCTGATCTCCTACATGCGGCCTCCGCAAGGCTTTCACGTCGCAAGTGAGGCCACCTCACCTTAGCTGGCTGCATGTCAGATAAATTTGGGGTTAGGGCGGAGGCTAACGTTTGCAGCTGCTGTTTTAGGTACTGTTTGACGCATTGTGACACGGGTGGTTGTTGGAAGTGTGTTTGCGAAAGATGATTGGTCTCAGCCCCCATATGTGACTTATCAGATGCAGTGATTGGCCGCTAATGTCATCTCACAATTCATCTGTAGATAATGTACGGTGAATAAACTTCTATTATTGTTTGAAAATTAGGTGACCTCATATAGTAACCTTCCAATTTATTATACCATTATCTAGCGCCCGTCACCGCAAACCGAGATCCACCGACAGATGAAAAGAGCCGTAGTAAAATATTGTTTAATCGATATAGCTTTTTCTGCCTTTGCCACGAGTAGTTGTAAACCCTCTTGATCCACAAAAACGCCATTAGTATAGATGATTCAAGCAAGAAAACTCTCCCAGCATTATACGAGCCGTTGACAACCACTAACCTCACCATACTTTAATAATTGCTTCATTAATCTTACATATTTTTAAACCGCCAAAGAAAGCCTCTAATCCCTACTTCTCAGCTTTACCACGAGGTTCAGTAGCAGCGGAGTCCTTCTCCTCGTCCTTGAAAACCTTCTCATCCAGACCATATTCAGTCTCAAGGTCCTTTCTCAACTCGACCTGCTCCTCCATAAACACGAACAGGAAGCCCAACCCGACGAACGTAATACCAATCTGCCACGTCCGCTTCAGGCTATCACTGAATACGCTGATGACTTGGTCTCGCACACCATTAGCCGTGGGAAGAGCACTGACGAACGCCTTTGTCGCATGCTCATACGCATGCCCGCCGGAGAGCTGCTCGCGAATAGCAACGTCGCTGATGCGCCCTGCGAGCTGGTCGAAGCGGTTGTTGAAGATGGAAGAGGGGATGATGCTGCCCCAAACCATGCCAAAGGCCCGGATGAAGCCCCACGTGGCCGTCGAGCTTGCTGAATCTGCCTCGGACAGCTTGGCCTGTAAGGCTGGGAGTAGGGCTGCGAGAATCAAGCCAAAGCCTATGGACTCGACAATCTGGAATATGACCCATTCGGCTGTCGACGAGTTCTCGTCAAGCAACGTTAAGAGTCCGTATCCGATCACCATGATAGCGAATGCGGCGAGGTGGATGGGCTTGTATTTGCCGTACTTTTCCAAGAGCTTGCCACCGATGCCGCCGAATGGGATCATGACGACGACCGTCGGAAGCAGCTGAACACCTGAGCGAGCGGGAGTAGACATGCGCACGCCTTGAAAGTAGACGGGCATGAAGTAGAGCACCCAGACACTCGCCAGGCTATGGAAGAAGGTTATGATGAAGACAGCGGAAGAAGTCCTGTTTTTGAAAAGGTGGAGAGGCATGATAGGCTCAACGGCAAACCGCGAGCCTTCGTAGAAGAGGAAGGCGGCGAAGCCGGCGAAGCCAAGAATCAATGGCACGAGGATGCGGAATGATGACCAAGGGTATACGGTGCCAGCCCAGCCCAATGCGATCAGAGTCGAGACGCAGGAGGCAATGAACAGGGCGTTGCCAAAGTAGTCGATCCTCTTGAGGCTTTGGCCAATGCTGAGTTTGCGGTCGTACTTGACTTGTAGGAAGAGAGTCAAGACGACGAGCGCGACGCCAGCAACCGGTAGATTAAGGTAGAAGACCCATCGCCAAGTCGAATATTCGACGATTAGACCTGCAAAGAGAGGACCAAGGGCGGTGCCGAGGGTGATGGCTCCGAAGATGATGCCCATGAACGTTCCGCGCTCGCGCAAGGGGATGATGTCGCAGATGATGAGCTCGACCAAGACGTTGATGCCGGAGCCGCCAAGTCCCTGGATGGCACGGCCAGCGATCATCATGTTCAAGTTATCGGCACCACCACAGAGCCCGCTACCCAAGGTGAAGATAGCAACAGCCAAGATTGTCAAATAGCGCCTTCCAAAGATGTCGGCCAGCTGGCCGTAAAGAGGCTGAAAGGACGTCATGGTCAAGAAATACTGCAGGCAGGGTCAGCTTGCTGTGTTTTATGCGCGCGCGCGCGTCAGAAAACTTACGGCCATGATGACCCAAACGTAGGAATCGGCGCCACCGAGATCGGCAATGATGGAGGGAAGGGCAGTGGAAACGATAGTGGCCTCAAGGGCTACGAGCAAACCGGTGATGGACAGGCCAGCAATGATGAGCCAGAAGCGAACGCCTCTCTTCTGAGGAGTAGGCGGAGGCTTAGCCGGAGCATCGGCTGAAGTGTCCGAGGCGGGCTTGAGGGCGGCGGTAGACATATCGGGCAGAAGCAAAGGAGAGAGAGGTGCATGCGAAAGAGAGGTGAGGCGTGGGGTACAAGTAGGCTGATTCGGCTTTGTCGAGTTGACCGACCTCACCGAACGTCGCCGATGGGGCCAAAAGGAGCGCGCGTTGTCGGGGCATTGTGGGCGGGAGAAGACCGAATGCGAATTGGGTAGTGATGGCACAAGGCAACAGTCGGAGGAGATGGGCACTCCTAGTGTTGATGATGATGGAGGTCACCGGCCATGATGGATGATGGAAGAAAGTGGTGGAGAGGCACGTGACCGCAAAGCACCAGCCGCCATTGGCACAGTGGACAGCGGATGTGCGCCCTTCCCGCCGCTACTCCGCACCTTTTCTCCACCACCTCTCCACCACGCTCCACGTCATGTCGACAACGACACCACCCGTCAAACAGCATCGTCTTGCGTGCAACCGTTGCCACCAGCACAAGCTGCGATGCAATAAACGCCCCGACGCCCAAGTCTGCTCCCGCTGTCAAGCCGCAGGCGCAGAATGCCTCTTTAGCGTTTCGAGGCGAGGCTGCCGCCCGCCAAAGCCAAAGCGACAGCAACTCCCTCCGCAGTCTCAAGATGACGCTATCCTCGACCCAACTCTCTTTTCCCTCTCTCCCACCACGCCTTGGGATGCATCGCTCCTAGCTCCTCCCTTCGATCCGTCGTTCTTTGACACCGCTCTCGCTGCCAACCCGCAGCAGCTCTCGACAACGTCGCCCTCTGAATCATACTCGGCATCTGACGATTCTGTCACGGCGCCATCCTTTACCACAGTCGACCTTGATTGCCAACTTGCAAGGCTGTCGCAAAGCCTCAGCTGCCATCTAGCAACCATACCATCGCTATCCATCTGGTCTTCGATGCCCGAGAACCCACCGAAGGACCTGCACTTCTCTGTCGATGATACCTTCGCTCTCACCCAGTCTCTTGTTAACACTTACCGCGATGTTGCGTCGATACAGAATCGTGGGACCCTTGACGATTCGTCTACATACTTGCTGATCGCATGCCATCGTCGCCTGATTGATATCTGGGAGCGCGTCTTTTGTCACATGCGGAAGTGCATCTCCCAAGGCCCCAACGACCTTTCGGTCAGCGTCCCTTCCGTGAAAATGGGCTCCTTCACGGCTTCGTCATCTGCCGCAATCACTTTGCATTTGACCTTGATCACGCAGTTTGCTCAGCAGCTTCAGCACGGCATACAGTCACTTCTCCGCGTTCTGACGGAAAACTCGAACACGTTCTCCGAGCTTCTTCCTGCTGATGCTCCGGATGCTCTAGCTACACTTCACCACGCACCGTGTGGGATAGATCCTGTAAGCTTGAGTTGCCAGGCTATTTCGGAAAAGTCCAACAAACTTGTGAGCGACATTGAAGACATCAAGGCTTTGGCTCGGGATCGCCACTTATAATCAGAGGGAAGTTAGGTTCCTGTGCCTGGTATATTTGACCAAATACAAGATGAGGTTGTCCACGGGCAAGGCCAGTCTTGACGACGATCCTGAAGGGTACAAGAACCAGCATCGCAGCATCGATGGGGCCATCGAGATTGGTGCGACCACGCTTGTTAAGGTGGTATTAGTAATTGTTGGCATCAGGGTGGCTGACCCAAGTGACTAAAACTCATTAACAAGGTGCGGGAGACTTGACTTATAAACGTTCATCTCAAAGTAAGGACGACCTAGAGCTTTGTCATACTTCATAGGAGTACCTGTCTGCGACAACCCGAACACCGCCGTTAGTTGCCTGCACGGGCACTTGGTGCTAGGACATGTGCATAATCCCGGACTCATGGGCCGAGATTACCACGTCTGAGCTGACCAGCAACTTCCGGTCATTAAAAAAGCGGTCTCATATCCGGATAAACTCCACATACGGTCAGATTTTGTACCAGCGTCCTAGTGTGTCAGAAGCTTTATGCCGTTAAAGGCAGTTTCACCATACCCACCTAGGATTCGCATGGCCGTTTGCATACCTTTACGGTTATGAGGGAGTAACATTACAAAGAGTCATTGATAAGAGACCGGACTGTTTGTCAATGAGTGCATTGGTTCTAACTAAATCAAGCTAAGAAGTTTGACAACGCCTTAAACTCCGCTACCTACTTCCAGTCCTCATCTGATAAGTCTTTGGAATGTCGAAATTCCGGCACCTTTCTCGGCTTCTTCTAGGTAAGCGGCCACCAGTCCGTTCATACCGTGCTGCTTCGCAAGCCCTATCCACTCCGTAAATGGCACTTCTCGGTACCTTTCCCCTCCGGTTTCCTTTTCCATGTATTCCCTTAGCCCGTTCATCGGCACCACAACCTCAGAGCTCTGGTGCTTGAACATCATTTCTTTATGTCCCTTGTTGTTCATGGCCTCTTTCAACACTCCGTTGGCGACACTCTCGACCGAAACAAAGTCAAGGACACCCTTCCATCGCTCAGACCGTGGAACAGTCCTCATTTGACGAGAATACGACATCAGATTGTGCATGATGTCGTCCTCCGGCACTTCTGCTCCGGTGACGTTTGAAGGTCGATGTATGCAAACTGGGATGCCGAGCTCCGCATTTGCCTTCTCCAGAAGAACCTCGCTGACCCATTTGGATGTCCCATAGCCATCGGCGTAGTCTTGTGGAGGCGCAAAGTCCTTCACCGAAACCTCAGCAAATGATTCGGCGAATGGAATCATGCGACCCACTACAGCAGACGAGATGTAGTGAATCGGTACTTTCCGAGGCGCAGCTAGGCGGACCAGGCTCTTTGTGCTACCGACGTTCGGTGCGCGAAGGGAATCGTAGGTCTTGAGGAACGACACATCGGCACCGTTGTGGATGAAAAGATCCACAGTTGAAGCCAAGGAAGCCGCAGTCTCTTCGTCCAGAGATAGTGTTGGATGATTAAGATCGCCCCTGTGGATAACCAACTTGGGAGACTGCGTGAAAGATGACAAGCGCTGTGGGCTTCGCACAGCAAGGCAATGGACTTTTTCGACCTGCGGCGAGGCCAGCAGTTCGCGAAGCATGGTACGGCCAATGAAGCCGGTGGAGCCAGTCAAGGCGACGCAGCGAGGGTGACGATGAACTTTGCGGCTCGCGGCTGCTCCGGATAAGACTAAGGTATCCATTGGGAGGGTTGTCTCTGCTTCCCAGTTGAAGGAATCTTTTTCGGTGTCCAGGGCGGAAAGGGTATTGGCCGCCATTTTTGCCAACGTGCTACCTTTGAACAGATCAACCAATGAGATGGATGTGTGAAGCCTGTCTATAATGGCCGCTTGTAGCTTGATCAGTAGCAAGGAATTGCCGCCAACCTGGAAGAAATCCGCATCCGGTCCAATTGTAAAGAACTGCAATGCGTCTGTCGGCAGGACCTCTTTCCAGGCATCGAGCATCTCCGTCTCTCTCTGCGTTAGCTCAAATGACTCCTGCTTGTTTGATGGTTGATAGCCGTCCAGCGAAAGGCTCGCGATTGCCCTCCTATCTACTTTGCCATGTGCACCTATCGGAAGGGACTCTATCGGGATGATTGTGGCGGGAAGCATGTACTGTGGAAGAGGTACACGGCGAAGAAGCTCCTTCAAGAACCGAGAGTCGTTTTCTTCAGCACCTGGGGAAGAGTTTGAGCGGCTTAAGACTGCGTGGGCTACGAGGAATGTCGGTTCTCCTCGAGCAGTCACGACGATGCTGCTCAAAAACCCGTCTGCTGCCTCCATGATGGACTCTTCAATGTCTTTCAGCTCCATCCGGATGCCACGTAACTTGATCTGGCTGTCTCCTTCAATGCGCCCCAGGACAACGACGGCGCCGTCATCACGGAGGACACCCCGGTCTCCTGTCCGGTAGAACGTGGTCCAACCATTGGAAATCTCGTGTTTCGAGGCGAGCTTGTTTGGCAGGAAGCTCTTGCGGGTCAGGTCATCCCTTGCCAGATATCCTTTGGCTACACCAGCACCGCCAATGCAGACCTCTCCTGGCATGCCCACCGGTAGGGGTGACAAATTCTCGTCGACGATGAAGACCGTGCAGTTTGGCAAGGTGTACCCAGCCGGTATACGATGAAGGCCAGAGATTTGATCAGCTTGCAGCTCCATCTTGGAGCACGAAATCGTTGCTTCCGAAGGACCATAGGCGTTCAGCAACCGCAGGTTTGGCAAACCAAGCTTTCGCAATTCGTGGTAAAGGTTCAGGGGATACTGCTCCCCGCCGGCGTAAGCTATCCGCCATGTGGCACTCTGCGAAAGCTCAGCGCTTGAACTTTGGAGCCACGACAGATACTCCGATGGCGTTGCCATCGTGCAAGTCACATTGTTCTCGAGAACAATCCTCGAAATTGCACTCGGGTCTCCACGCTTGCCTTGTGGTACAACGACAAGAGTGCCTCCGTTGCCGAGCGCGACGAAAATTTGCTCGAGCGACAGGTCGAAGCTGAACGCTGTCTGTTGGAGGACCACTTCTTTGTAGAGACCGTAGACCTTGGAGAAGCCTTCTAGTCCGTTGCGGAAGCCGGCGTGTGAGAGCCTGATACCTTTGGGCTTACCGGTTGTCCCGCTGGTGTACAGCACGACTGCCGTATCATCAGCTCGAGCAGCGATGGGGATGGCCGTATTGCGTGCGGACAGGACGATCTCCCTGGTGTTGATAGTCTTGCCAGAGGCGCTGCCCAATCCTCCGACATCGGGTTGTGTACTGTCATCGACTAGGGTTACAGTTGGGTTGCAGTCATTGACAATATTTGCCAGTCGAGCCTGAGGAGTACGTAGGTCGAGCGGGACGTAAGTCGCGCCAACGCGCATGGTAGCCAGAATTGAGCATATAAGCTCCGCGGATGGTTCCTGGAACACAGCTACGACTGAGCCACGACCGACTCCAGCCAAGTGCAATGATGCCGCGATTGCGGCAACCCGCTCAAGCATCTCTCTATAGCTGAGAGCCCTTCCAGAGCCGTCTTTGAGCGCCGTAGATGCGGAATGCACCTTTGCCACGTCTTCTACACGGTGGATCAAAGTTTCGGGCCATTCCGGTTTCATGACTGGACCTCTTCCGAGCTCGATTGCTCGATCGATTTCCTCGGACTTGAACAGTGGTACCTTGGTTATATTGGCTTCCGGTGCCTTTGATAATTCTTCCAGAAGGATCGCGTAACTCTTCATCAACACCTCGGCGTCTTCGGTTGAGTAAAGTCCCTTCTGGACGGAGATCATCAACAAAGTCTCGTCTCCAGGGTTCTCCATAACATCCAGCGTGAAGTCATAGGCTGTCTTGCCGAGCGAGTACTCGCCGCTTTCGCCTTCACAATTGCCGAATGTCCGCTTCTCTCTCACACCTTGCCGGTAGTTGATCAAAGCCTGGAAAATCGGGTTATAAGTAGCAGATCTCTCCACGTTGACTTCCTGGAGAATGAGATCGAACGGAAGTCGCGAGTTAGCCATGGCTGAGTAGGCCTTGCGACGAGCAGCTTTGAGCACGTCCACGAACTTTTGGTCACGCTCCAGGAGAAGGCGTAGCGGCAAGACATTCAAATACATGCCCATGCTGTTGCTTACATCTCCAAAGCTCCTGCCCGCATCAGCCATACCGATGCAGAAGTCCTCGGTGCCCAGGAATCGATAGAGCAGGACCTCGTAGGCGGCAAGGTAGAAGTGGAACATGGCAACCTTCCGTTGACGACACAAATCCTTGATCCTGGCGGCTAGACTCGTATCAACTCTGAAGTCGACGCGGTTATGCTCGTATCGCACGAGCGGCTGACGTGACTTGGTTGCTGAGAAAGGCAACAACGGCAACGGAGGCGCTGGGTCTTTGAATTCTGCGCGCCAGAAATCAACTTCTGCCTTCATTGAGCCATCGGAGATCTCGCGCCGCTGGAGCATGGAAAAATCGGAATACTGGTATGGCCGTTTCGTGAAAGGTTGATGTTTGTACGCCTGCTCCAGGTCTGCGAGAAAAACTTCGAGACTCACGCCGTCCATGTTGATGTGGTGGTAGCCGATGACGAGGAAATTGACTGTCGACGACAACGAAAGCAGCACCACTCTCATGGTCTCGCCGTGCTCGATGTCGTAGTCGTGCTCTTTGACGGCTTCGAACGCGCGCATTACATCATCCTTGCTGGAAACGTTGTTCTGTTCTAGCTTGAGGCGCGATGTTCTCATGATGCCTTGCATAGGCTTTTGATCCTCATCAGCGTAGAAGCAAGTCTGCAAGGACTCGTGTCGATTGGCCACTGTTTGGACGGCTCGCTCTAGGTCCTTGTGAAGCAACGGTCCCTTGAACTCAATGGAAAAGGTCACGTTGAATGCCGTGCGGTCCTCGAGGTATTGGCGGAGAAACCAGAACGTCGATTGGCCGGGAGACATGGGCAGGCGCTTCTCGATGACGGGTTCGGTGAGCGAGACCATTGACGATTTGGTAGACAGTAGGAAAGAAGAGCTGAGTGATGACACGCCAGTCTCCTCGGCTGCAGGCTCGTCTTCGTTTGGCGTGTTCAATCCTGATACGTTCGAGGATGAAGTAGAGTCGTAAATCGGTACCGAAGAAACATCAACGGAAGGTAGAGGAGGCTCGGTTACTTCGACCGCTGGAGCAGGTTGTTCTTCGACAGTTGATCCGAGGCTTGGAACCATGTTTGGCGGCAACTTGTCTACGGCGAACTCGAGAAGCTCTCCGATGGACGCGCCTCCAATGACCCTCAGGACGGGCATGTCGACCTCCATCTCGTTCAGGAACCACGATCGCACCTCAACCGCAACGAGCGAGTCCATACCGAGATCGTCAGCTCCAGATTGGAGGAGCTGAGACCTCGCAGCGACGGTTTCGGGGCTGAGCTGCAAAGCATTTTTGAGCTTGACGATGAAGGCATCTATCAAACCGTCAGCGACTCGCTTTTCTTCGGGATCTCAGCCAAACTTGGATCAACTTACCTGTAATGGCTTCAAGGGCTGTTTCACGTGTCCGTGCTTCATGCAGGCGGGTTTGCAATGGAACCATGCCATCCGTTGCGGCGTCGTCAGTCTTGCGGCTGGCAGTATCGTAGATGATGCAGTGGCTGAACTTGGGATTGTGCTGTTCGGCTGGTTAGTACGTTTCTATACCGTAGTGACAAACTTACCATCCAAGGAGCGCTGTCGTTGTCTTTTAGCTGGATCAGCCGCAGACCGCTCACAACTTCCGGAGTCGATCCAATAGCTGGTCGACCAGCCAGCACGCCCTCCGCAAAGCAGTGGTGGAAATCTCTCTCGGACATCAGTGCGCAGCCTGCTCTCTTCAATCCTGCAAGGTTGGCCTTGTTCATTTCTCGCGTCACGTAGCCGACGCCTACAATCGCACCAATGTGGATGACGGAGGCCGCGAGTCCTCGCTTGTGTCGCTGGGCGGCCAAGCTCGTCATGAACATGTTGGCTGCGCTGTAGTTTGACTGCCCGCGGTTGCCAGACACAGCCGCTATAGAAGAGAAGAAGATGAAGAAATCGAGATCGTCATTGCGGAAAATTTCATCCAGGTAGATGCTACCGTTGACCTTGGGCATGAGGACCTGGTTCATCGATTCTACTGGCATTTCCATGAACATGGTGTCTCTGAGAACCATGGCGCCATTGGCAACACCTCCGATAGGGGGCATCGAGAAGCGAACTTTCTCCACGACTGCCCTTACCGCCGCTTGGTTGGTGATGTCGTTTGCGAACAGCTTGATCATTACGCCGGCGGCTTCCATATGCTCTAGCCACCGTGGATCGAGCTTAGGGTTGCGGCTCGTAAGCACCAAATACCTGGCTCCATGCCGGACGGTCCACTCGCACAAGGACTGCCCTAGGTCACCTGTTAGGCCGAAGAACACGTAGGTCTTGTTCTTTGAGAACGAGATCTTGTCTTCAATTGGCTGTCTGATAGCCGGTACGGCTGTCGATAAAGCCCAGTCTATGATCAAAGAGGACGGTTCATCCAGATCTTTTGTAAGATCCAGCTCAGATGCTCTCTTCAAGTGCACTGATTGGACCTGCTCAATCTTCTCGATCTCGCTTGGCAAGTTTTCCAGGGCTGCCTGAAGATGCGTCGAGGGAATGCCCTCTGTAGGAGCGTCAAGAATGTCTTTCAAAGTTGTCTGCCTACAAGAGACTCCTAAAGCTTGCGCTATCGAACCGCTCAAGGGGTCCGACTCGGAGTGCAGTGGGCAATTGACGAAGATGGACACGTCCTGCGGCAAAATCTTACGAGCTACTCGGCTGGTGACACGTGGGTGAAGCTTGATCCATGGGGTCGAGGTCCCAGGCTCCCCAGAGGTAGTGAAGTGCGCTGTAACGCCCTTCTTATGAGCTCTCTCTTGGATCCTTTGTGCCAAGGCTGGCTCCGGCTCGTGAAGAAGTACTTTGGACCCAGCAGGAACCTGCGACAGAATATCGGCGGCTTGGAGTTCAATGACCAGCCACGACATGAGCGAGGGTGCTTTGCTAGATGAAAGCTCAATGTCGATTGCCGCGTCTACCGGAAGCTGCACAAAAGACCCGTTGTCTTTCGTGAGAGCAAGGGTTACCTTGTTTTCACGATCGTCGACTTGAGATTGGAGATAGTAGCCTCCAAAGAATGATGTAGCTGATGAAATGCTGACCTGCAGTGTCCTGGACGTGGCTTGGGTTGGCTCCAAGGAAGGAACGTCATCGGAATGGAAAAATGCCCACGACAAGCCGGACCGGCCCAGCGTTACAGTGGAGGCCCGAGGAGACTTGTTCTCGACAATGTGGCGGCGAGATGCGTTGTGTCGATCTATTCGTGGCTTGTTCAATACCACTCGCTGGATCATGAGTCTCTTGTTTTCTAACAGCAGCTCTGTTTCGGTTGTCCAAACCAGATTCTCAGAGGTACCTTGCTTCTCCCAGACGTCTACTGCACGGAGCCTGACGAGAGCTTCTGCAAGGATCTGAGCGCTTGAGTCATCGAGGACATCAAAATCCAAGAATTGGAGGCGTGTATCGGGCAACTCAAGCGCCACAGTCCTGCCGAAGCCGACAATCATGTTTGAGTACGGTGAATCAGCCCTGCGGCCCTGGGTTACCCAAAGCACTGTACGAGCCTCGGAGAAGAGGTCTTTCAAGCTCTGCATACGCTCCTCGTCCAGGTCCTTGAACGTTGGAGAATCAAGCTCGGTAAGGCTCAGAACAACGCTTGTTGGGGAGATACTCGAGGATAAATCCTCGAGCGAGTTGATCCGAGCCACAGAACGGCACCAGGGCTTAAGCAGACTGCTGACCGCGTTCGCAAGTCTCAGGGTTCGTAAGGTGCGACCACCAATAACCACAAAGTCTTGCAGTCCGCCGGCCAGGCTTGACTGCAAATGTCCAAGCGGTTGGCGCAAGAGGTTGACCCTTTCATCTACGGCTTGCGAACAAATGATGGACCATGGCCGAGCCAGCGTGTTCGTGTCTGGAGTGATTGAGTCGATTCCGGCGAATCCGGCGTCCGAAAGCAGTTCATGCCATTGCAAGGAGGACAAACATGGCGAGAAGCGAGGGCCATCGTCACGACTGGCCCACAACTCAGGAAGCCCGCTCATGATGAATCCGGTGCGAATGGAGTCGTTTGAAGTGACTTCAAGCAGGACGAGGTACCCGCCCGGCTTAAGCAGTCGACGCACTTTCTGCAAAGTCTTCTTCAGGTCCGCGTCCGCGTGAAAGGCCAATGAGGCGACAATCAGGTCGTAAGAGCCTTCCTCGAAGCCTTGCTCTTGAAAGTCTTTTTCAGCATCCAGCGATTTGAACAGCATCTGCTGGTCCTGTCCCTGGAACGTCTTTTGGGCATTTTCCAAGGATTCCATCGAGACATCCGTGAACGTGTACGTGGAGAAGGATTTGCCAATCTTTTCCATTACGTTCCTGGTAGCATTCCCAGTACCAGCACCTGAAGTTGTCAGCCTAGGTCCGCAAGATATGGGTTGAGACCTACTAATTTCCAGGATATCCATATGCGAGTAGCGATGCACCAGTTGAGATACCATATTTACAAGTGACTGGATACTTTCCGCCAGCCCAAGGGCCTCGGTATAGTACCGGTTCAAAAGATTGTTGGCAAGCAGAGAGTCCAGTATGTTTGCTAGGCCTTGCACAGCCGCAGGTAAGTTCTCACCCACCGTTTTGATGAGCTGAAGTTCAACGTTGTCAGGGTATCTTTTTGGTCAGCATTTGATCTCGTGGAAGAGGCTGTACGCTTACCGATCAATAAACTCCGTTATCACATCGTGGGTATCTTCCAACCACTCTTTCTTTGCGAATGGCTGTCGATCCAGCCGGAGTCGGCCAAGGACGTGTGAGGCAAAATCAAATATGGCCTCAGGATGTGACTCTAAGTTCAGCCTGTCCTCTCTGGAAATGGAGGCCTCTAGGTTCTGGAGGTAGAATATAGCAACGCGTTCCAATACCGTTGCAAGCTCATACTCTTCCGCAGTTGCAGAATCTCCGGTTGTCAGCTCGCCAGTAGGAATTGCTGGTCCCCACACATGCTCGGTGAAGAGCTGGCGGTCAGTATCAGCACTCCCCTCTGTGAAACGTACAACACTAATGTTTTCAATCTGGAACAATGCGAACTCAGAACCTGGCGTAAAGACGTCAACATCTCCTCTGATCTCCTTGGCAAAGCTGGATAAGTCGCTTAGGTTCGACACGAATGGCAAGGAAGTGCCCTCCGTCACCTGTCGGCACAGTGGAACGTTGACGCGAATGCTTTCAATCTTTGTTGGGACGTGCAGCTCCAAAAGACTACCATCGTCCGGCCAGCAATGCGCCAGGAACACCGCTTGGAATGAAGCGTCCAGCAGCGCAGGATGCAACAGTAGCTCGTTGTCTTGCGCCAAGTTGCCGACAAGACCTGTGCCGTAACCGAGCTTCCTCTTCATCGATGTCAATGCTTTGAACGGCCCGGTGTATCCGTACCCCACGGCAGCGAGTGAGGAGTAGAACACATCATCGTCCAGTTCAACGAGATTAGGAGGCTCCGGCATACTTCCAGGAAGCAGGTCATGCGAGGCGTCTCCAAACACAACGTGGATGGAACCGGAAGCGAGCAGCGTCAAGCTTGTTGCATCCTTGTGCGTTAGTGCATGGTAGGTGAAGTCCGCCGACGCGGCTTCCTTCTCGCGTGTCTTCACAACTAGCGTGAATAACGTCTCAACGGAGGCGTCATCGCTGTCGAATGTCAATGGTTTCCCAATAGTAAAGTCGCGGATCTCCACAAGCTGAATTGGTTGTCCAGCTGCCAAGGTCTTGGTGGCTTCCAAGGCTGTTGAAACGTATCCGGCTGCGGGGTAGACCATCTGGCCCTGCAGTTGGTGGCCGCGTACCCATGGAACCTCGGATGGCCGAAGCAAGTTCCGCCAACTTAACTCCTCTTCGACTCCGCTGGCGGTCCTGTTTCCCAGAAGAGGATGCGGTGCGTCTTTCCGGGTACGGTACGCCTTTGAAACCCTGGATTCATGCCAGAAGAGACGGTCATGTTCCCAACTATAGGTTGGCAGGCCCTTCAACAATTTGTCTCCAGTCACACCGGATACGTATTCTTGGAGGCCCTTGAAGTCTACGGTGGCTCGACTGGTGTAGGTCCAAACTAACCCAAGAGCCGCGGAGAATGCTTCAAGATCATCTTGGCCTCGCGAGAGGACTCCAGTGTAAGGAATGGTGCCCGCGCCTATTTCTGACAAGGATTGTAAAACAGGGCCCTTGAGAGCAGGGTGAGGACCAACCTCGATGGCCAGCCCGAATGGTCCATGATTCTTCCATGCACTGCTCAGCGCCTGGTAAAAAAGAACAGGCTGGACCATGTTGTCTCTCCAGTACTCCCCTGCGAGGTCGGCCGACGGACGTTTAACAACGCCCTCCTGTACGCTAGAGTACCACGCGCAGTCTGAGTATTTGGCACGCGCCTGTGGCTTAATGTTACAGGAGTGGAGCGCGCGTGTGTAAGATCCGGATGAAAACACCATGTGATGGGAGTGGTATGCCTTGTCGACCTTGAGAAGTCTGGCAAACTTCCTTTCGTCTTCGAATACGAGCTTGGCTTGCTCTACAGCATCGGCGTCACCAGAAAGAGTAATGCTCGACGGCGAGTTGCATGCTGCAACATGCAAGCGCCCCTCGAAATCGGGCTCGGCACACAGTTCGTTCCCATCTTCGAAGCTGGTCCCGACTGCCATCATCGCACCGCGGGCTCCGCCACCAGCGAGGTTCGAAAAGAAACCGCGGTAGTACGCAATCTTTATCGCCTCGTCCTTGGTGAGGTATCCGGCTGCGTATGCCGCGGCTATCTCACCAGACGAATGGCCAACAACTGCGGCAAATTTGATGCCGGCCGCACGCAGAAGATCGACCAGCACAACTTGAACAGCAGTACACAGCGGCTGTGCGTAGATTGCTTCCCCAAGCTTTGACGAAGAGCCATCGGCAAGAAGCTCTTCTACCAAGGACCACTTCGGCCTCTCCCCAGCCGGAAGCGATTCCAGCGCCTTCTCGAGGTCCTCGAATTGAGCGGCAACGGCGGAGGAGGACTGAATAAGCTGGCGTCCCATGCCAGCCCACTGAGCTCCTTGGCCGGTGAAGACACCAAGGATGCTTTGAATCCCAGCCTCTCGAACACCAACTGGCGCGTTCGAGTTGGACTGCTCTAATGCATCGTCGATCTTGTCGGTCAGCGCCCTGACAGAGCTCGCTCCAAAGGCAGCACGGACAGGGAGCAGTGAACGGCGGAACTGAAGCGTGTATGCAAGATCGTTGAGTTCAAGCGAGGGATTGCCCCGCAAATACTCGACGTACTTGGCAAGAGTGGCCTTCAACGACTGCTCCGAAACGGCAGAGAAGGTGAAAGGCGTGAGCCTCGCCAGTTCTTGCGATGCAGCTTTTTCTTCCGGTTCATAACTCTCGAGGATGGCGTGTGCATTCGTGCCGCCGAAGCCAAAACTGTTAACGCTTGCTCGACGAGGCTGGCCATCGGCCGTCGCCGGCCATGGCTGTGCTTCCGTGGCGATTCTCAAGTTGTGGTAGAACGGAGCCACACGAGGACTCAAGCGGTTGAAGAGCATGTTTGGAGGCAGTACTCCGTGCTGCAGGCCAAGTGAGGCTTTCAGGACACCGGCTATTCCGGCGGTGCCTTCGGTGTGGCCGATGATGGTTTTGATTGAGCCAACGTACAGCAAATCGTCCGGGTCGGCACTCTTGGACTCTGGCCCAAAGAAAGCTTTGCTGATGGCTTCGGCTTCCACGGCGTCTCCAGCCGAAGTTCCTGTTCCGTGTGCTTCAAAATACTGGCAGCGCTCTGCTGGGTTCTCGGGATCCAGTCCAGCTTTGGCATAGGTGCTTCTAATGAGGTCCGCTTGTGCTATCTGGCTAGGCATCGTAATGCCTTTGGTCCTACCATCTTGGTTGACGCCAGTTTCACGGATGAGGCACTCGATGTGGTCGCCGTCTTTTAGCGCCGCACTGAGAGGCTTCAGGACCACCGCGGCGATTCCATCACCTCTAGCGTACCCGTTTGCGTCTACATCCCACATCTTGGAGCGGCCGTCAGGAGACAGCATTTTCAGCTTGCTTTCTCCGATGAACGGCTCCGGACCAAGGATCAGATTCGCTCCTGCCGCAATTGCGACCCTAGAGTCTCCACTGCGGAGCGTCTGTACCGCTTGATGTACCGCGACTAAACTGGACGAGCATGCGGTGTCTATCGTCATCGAGGGACCATGCCAGTCGAAGAAGTAGGAGACGCGGTTGGAGATGATGCTTCGGGCCGTCCCTGTGGCCATGTATTGAGGAACGTTGTCGACATCCCGCGTAACGTGATCGTTGTAGTCTTCATTCATCAGACCAACATATACTCCTGTCGAGGACCCTCGAAGCCGTTCGATCGGAGTGCCAGCCGATTCGAGGGCTTCGTATACCGTCTCGAGGAGCAGGCGTTGCTGTGGATCGATCGAGTGTGCCTCGACAGGCTTGATGCTGAAAAAGTTGGAATCGAAATGGCGGTGGTCCTCTTCCAGGAGGTACGATTGGGTGATGTTGCTCGAGCCATGATGCAAGCCATCCGGGTGGTAAAAAGCGATTGGATTGAACCGTTCCTCTGGAATGGTATTCAGGACGTCGCGAGGCCTCTCGAGGAGCTCCCACAACTTGGAAGGATTGCTTGCTCCGCCGGGGAAGCGGAAGCCGCTTCCGATGATGGCAATTGGCTCTCGACCGGAGGAGGCCTTGCAACTGGGCTTCGGGCTGTCCATGTTGTTGTTGTTGGTCGGGGAAATGAGGGCATGGGGTTTGACAAGGTACAGCTTGATGCCCACGAAGATCAGCAGTGCAACAAGCTGATCCCAGAGACTGCGAGCGAGATGGTGCATGGCAGGTCGACCTTGGAAGAAGAAAATGGCCCAAACGTTTTAAAGGCGCGTAAACTATAAACGCAAAGAAGCATACCATCGGTACTACACACGTGATTCGGGCGCAGCCTCCGACTGAGGTCCGGCTCCGAAAGGTGCGAGTCCGATCTTTGTCTCCGAATCCTCCGCTGATCGGGTTGCCACAGTGGGGGCGCCTTCCGGCCCAGCTGGGGGCGAGTAAGCGAGCAAAGGGTCTAGAAAGGCGTTTTGTCTTTCTTATGCCTGCCAAAGGCTTCGTATGCCTGCACGTCATCACGGCAGCCAGCTTACGTGCGTCGTAAGGTAGCAACGCCAATGCAATAAGCGCCAGCGCGCAAGGGATGCGAACACCCCGCCGTCAGCTATGCTGTCTTGGGTGCCTTGTGTCGTGCTCCGTGGATATCCCTATTCTAGTATGCTGCAAGGTGCCTTCCGCCTTTGGCGTGGGGGCTGCGGCGCTGTCTTCTACGCAATCCATGTTGCGTTCATGATGACAGCGCAAGCAGCTGCTTAAAAAGATGGTAGCCGTCGGTACGGGTAGGGTGTCGAGGAGACGCCCCCTTCCCAAAAGATATAGACATGCTACAATCACCTTCCCCGCTGTCCTCGGTCTCCAACAAACACCGGTCGGCGTGCGAGAGGTGTCGCAGGCAAAAGCTTCGATGTGAGCGACGCAGCACCGGGCAGGAGGTCTGCGACCGATGCAGGCGGGCAAATGCCGAGTGTACGACGTTCCCCATTAGCCGCATGGGCAGGCCTGCGCATGTAGGACGGCAGCACCCAGAATGTCGGACGCGTAAGAGTTCTGCGGCATCGTCGGGAAGTGAAGAAGACCAGGTCAGTCCATGTATGTACATAGACATACGGCACAGTACGGCTGACGAGCCGTAGTTGTTAACTCCAGTGACCGTGTCGGATTGGCTGGCCGTCGACTCTCCACAGCTTCCGGAAATGGATTCGTTCCTCTGGCTGGATGAAACGCTCCGAGCCTCGGCAACAGCCCCGTTTCCCCCTCAGGACCTTGAACCCGGCTTGTTGGATCTTGGTGATCCCACCACCACTACCACCACCTCCACCGCATCGCTGCTACCTCCAGACGATACGCTCTTCGCCACCGACAATATTGGCCAAGCCGACTGGACTCGCCAGCTGCTGCAGCTCAACTTTCACCTTCACCACCTACGGAGTCACCACTCCGACTATCACTCGGCGCAACTGGTGACGAGCATGGTAACCCAGTCTCGGCAATTCCTCTGCCTGATCCGCAAGCTCCCCAGACGCTTGACCGATCTGCCGACTTGTCTGTCGGTGCTCGCATGCTACATGAACCTCGTGCGCTTCTGCCAAAACGTCTTCGCCCGCGTGCACACTAGTCTCCAAGTTGGCGACTTTGCTACAGTCTCGTCGGCAGTACTGGAACTCCACATTGGCAGTATAAGCCTGGGTGAAGATATGGAATTGCAGATATTTGTCCTCATCCAAGTCGTCACGTACTTGCTCGGCACGCTCGGTAAAGAGCTCGGACTCCCGGCTGAGCACAGCATCAATCGCACCAAACCCGGCGATAGCCGTGTGCTGGCTGAGATTTTGACACCTGCCTTGGTAGGCCTGATCATTTGCAAGGAAAAGTGTGATCCGGCCGGCTCTGCTACCCCTCATTGCTCCACTGGGACAGCAATTGAGGCGCTGAGAGAGGAAATAAGGACGTTAAAGAGTGCCTTGAGCAACATGATGCACGGTGTCTCTCCCATACTTTGAAAAATGCTCTTATACAAAAGACGGACCATCCGGGGTTGTATGGTGTCATTCATCTCGCACGACCAAACCGACCAGATTTCAATCACCGATTTAAAAAAAGAAAAGATTAAAAAGGCTCCCGTCAACCCGTATACGTTTCAATTTTCATCACTTTAGGCAAAGACTGTACACAATTTGAAACCTTTAGGTTATCTGAGTACGCAGTCAAGATTTGATTACAACAATCTTTAAGCAAGTCTGCAACTCTAAGCCATTAAAAGTCATTTATCAGTGTATTTAGCTATGTTTTAAATGCACCTTTGCATGCATTCACCGTTCAAAAAAACAGACAATTTTTAAAAAAAACAGTCAGCACTGAAAAGGGAACAGACCGTAGTTATCTACAACTTTCCTTGCCCTAATAATAGAGGTAGAGTTGGACAGCCAATTTCCATCAAGACTGACTGAGACTCGAAAAGACCGCAGCAAAGACGCAGCACCATCCAGGAAGATCAACGAGCAAGAGTCTCTGGATGTTGACCTTGCAAAACGTGCCCAAGAACTCGACTATCTCCGGCTTCGAGTACTTCTTGTAGCCGTCGTTCCGGAGGCCCATCAATTTCATGCCCCAACGGAGAGGGTAAAGGTGACCAAGCGTGAAGGCGAGGCCCGCCAGCCAAAGTTTGGTGGCGGGTTGATCGACGCCATCCCCCGGGCCAATGGCAGCATTGGCCGCGCAGAGGACGGCTGTGCTGACAAGCGCGGACCCTGACATCAAGGAGATATTGGCGAATGATTGGAGCCAGCGGGGAAAGACGACTTCGCGGCCTTCTGGGGGCACGGAAGGATCGAAGAAGCTGGTCATTGTGAACTGCTGGGTGGCAGAGCACATGACGCTATTCATGCCGTCAGTGACGAATTGGTAAGGTAGATGTGGCTTCGACATACAAAGCTGACGATGTCGCCAGAGGTGCAAGGCGTAGGAGGCGATCCATGCTGGTTAATTGATTATTTGCGTCCTCGTCGCGGCTCTCTCAACCATCTTTATGGGGGGCGTCGACGAGTAAAAGCTGGTGGTCGGCGTGGAGAAAAGTGTCCGACCGATGTCCCCGACATCCGAACCGGGGGGTCAAGACTCAGCTCAGCGCACGTTAAATAGTGGTGTGATAATAATCGATATTCCCACGGGCAGTAAGCCGCATGGACAACCTTCGCGCCTCTTTCGTCTTCCAGGCCCTCCCGAACGGCATCATGCATCGCTTCTTCTCGTCGCAATTCTTCAACTTTGAGCTGACGAGGATCCTGGGCACCGCGCCCTACGGTGGCTGCCAGGTCGCCGAGTTCCTTGAAGCGGTCGGCAAGATCAAGAAGCACGACGCCGAGAGTTGGTACCGGGCATGGGCAGAGCAAGGGGAGAAGACGGAACGCTTCGCTGCAGAGGCGGCGGAAAAGGGCCTTGACGCCTACGCCCGTGACGCCTACCTGAGAGCGTCAAACTACTTCCGCGCCGCACCTTACATGCTCACTGCGCCCGACGACCGAATCGTGGACATGAGCGAGCGCAGCGGCCGCAACTTCCAGCACGCGACGAGCTTCTTTGAAGGCCGCGTCATCGACCTCAAAATCCCCTACGAAAAGGGACTCGTTCTTCCCGGCCGTCTGTTCCTCCCCTCGAAAGCCAAGCAGCTGCCAAAGCAAAAGACGCCCGTCATTGTCAACTGCGGGGGCGCCGACTCGACGCAGGAAGAGCTCTACTTCATGTACGGCGCCAAAGGCGTAGAGCTCGGGTACGCGGTGCTCTTGTTCGACGGACCGGGCCAGGGCGCCACGCTCAAGCGGCACGGGGCCTACCTGCGGCCAGACTTCGAGGTCGTCGTGTCCAGCGTGCTGGACCATGTGTGGGCGCTGGCCGGACAGTCGCCGGAGCTGCAGCTCGACCTCAACCGCGTTGCCGTGGCGGGCGCCTCACTCGGCGCACACTTTGCCCTGCGTGCGGCCACTGACCGTCGCATCGCCGCCTGCGTGGCCATCGACCCTTTTTACTCAATGTGGGATCTGGCCCTGACGCGCATGCCGCAGTGGTTCGCCCTGTCCTGGCTCAACGGCTACATCCCGGACTCATTTGTCAACTGGTCCTGCTACGCCCACATGCGCACCGACTTCCCCTCGTGGTGGGAGTTCTCCCTCACCATGTGGATCATGAACCAGCCTACGCCGGCCGACCTGCTCCGTGAATTCACGCGCTACACGCTCCGCGACGCGAACCACGGCGAGCTTCTGGACTTGGTCAACTGCCCGGTGCTGGTTGCTGGCGCAAAGGACTCAATCTATACGGACCCGGAGGTAAGCACCCTGAGGATTGCGAAGCTGCTCAAGAAGGTTCCCGAGGAGCAGAAGGATGTGTGGCTTCCGCAGAGCGCTGGTGAAGGGAGCCTTACGGCCAAGGTGGGCGCGTGGGACCATCTGGCGGTCAAGACGTTTTCCTTTTTGGACAAACAGTTTGGCATTGACCGGGCTGGGGATTCTTCTTCCTCTACTTTTTCCTCTTCTTCTGCTTTTTAGCGTAGCCGATTGTGTGTTGTAGATAAATAGTTATGAAATTGTTTGTTTGTTTGTTTGTGATTGCTGTAATACGTAATACGCGACGTACATCTCAATAAATACGATACACCATCTTCGCGCCCGACACTCCCTTCCTTCTCATCCCATCAACTGCGTCGGGAAGCGCAGCCAGGCCTCCCTCATTGACCCTTGGCGGATGCGGCTTGAGGAGCCCGCCGTCAATCAGCACTTGGACCTTTTCGTACCAAGCCTTGCCGAATTCTCTCCGCGCCGCGTTGGCCTCGCTGCCATAACCTCCGCCAAGGTCGATTTTCTTCCCCGTCAGCGTGATTCCCAGCACCCAGCTCCAGTGGATGGCCCTACGGCCTCCGCCGTTCGTGATCTCGTCTGGGATGCGCTCGAAGCCGACGTAGCGCCCCCCGGCCCGGCCAATGGCAGCTTCGCACACCCTCAACGAGCCTAGGTCGGCTATGATGTCGAGGACGTACTTGAGCGAGCCGGACGTGTACGCGCGAATGTCAGCCGCACACGTCGGAGACGAATAGTCAAACGCCTTCTCGGCGCCGTATTTGGCCACCAGCGCAAAGTTCTTGTGCGAGCACGTCGTGACTACCCGGACACCGCATCTGCGGGGTAAATTTTTATTTTTAGCATAAAATCAGCTCAACGAACCGACGGGGGAACAACTGACAGTTTCAGCAGCTGAATCGCCATGGTGCCGCTCGCACTACTGCCTCCGTAGACTAGCACGAAAAACGGCTTCTCGGCCGGCTTGTCCAGAGTGGCGGGCAGCTTCAGGGCATCAAGAGCCAGGCCGAGACTGCCAACAACACAGCCCCCAATGGCAGCGGCCTGCTCCCATCCAAATGCATTGGGCACTTTCCAGATCAGGTCGGAATAGGCAGCAGTATAGTCGGAGAAACAGCCGGACTGGGGGTTGAGCGGGTCAGACGCATGAACGGCGCCAGCGACGCGGTCGCCCACGGCAAAGCGGGTGTTGGACGGATCGCCCAGGGCCACGACGACGCCGGTAAAGTCGGAGCCATTGCCCGCGCCCGGTGTGGGGAAGTTGGAGGGCATTTTCCAATCGCAGGGGTTCAGGGCGACGCCATGGACCTTGACGAGCACTTGGTCAGGGTCCAGCGTCGGGAGGGGCCGGTCATGGACAAGAATAAGCGAGCCGGGGGGGTCGGTGGCTTGGATAACGGCGCGTTGGGCGGGGGGGAGCTGAGCTGCAGCAGCCATGATTGTGAACTTGTGATGGGACAGAGAGCGAGAGATGGTTTCCTTGACCTTCATATCAACGTACAGAATGTGTCCGACCCTTCCGACCTTCCGATGCTCCGACTCCGACTCCGACTCCGACTCGCAATGTTCCTTCGCCTTCATATTCTTCCTGTTGACATCCCAAATGGACAATCACCATGATGCTGCTCTCTTTCGCTTTCCTGGCAGCTCTCGCCGTCGCCGCCGAACACAACCAAGACCCTCTTCTTCTTCATCCGTCATGTACCCTTAGCCACGTCCCCGCCTTCGGCACCGTCGACCACGCCGTCGACTTCTCCACGTCGACGTCGGAGCACCTTGACTCGCCCAAGCTGTCGGCCGTCAACGCCACGGCGTGGGAGCAATGGGAGTTTGACAGCGTCTCGGACTCGGGCCGCCAGGGCATCATCATCAGCTTCAACCGCGACGCCGTCCACTCCTTTGTCGGCCGCGGCAACCTGCGCGTCGAGTTCTACGGCTCCTACGACGACGGCTCCGCCTTCGCCGAGCTCGACCACGCCGCCGACTCGTACGTCTTTGACTGCCCCGACTACGTCAAGGGCGTCTGGAACAGCTCCGACCGCGAGTACATATTCGTTGTCGACAAGGCCCTGCAGCGCGCCTCAGTCAGCTTCAACACGCCCCGTGCAACCGGCCACTTTGACATCCTGAGCCCCCGCGCTCCCGCCCACTTCCCCGACGGCTCCCACTTCCCCTTGCCACGCGGCGAGACCGCCGGCTCCAGCGAGCTGCTCCCCAAATACCACATGGCGCACGCCATCGCCGCCGCCGACACCCACGCCAACATGACCGTCGCCGGCCGCTCGCTGCACTACAGCCACGGCATCGCCGGCCACATGCGCCTCTGGGTCCTCGACAGCTGGCTCCGCCTCGTGCAAGACTTCCGCTACGTCCGCGCCGCCGCCGGCCCCTACGCCCTGACCTTCTGGCTGCCGACGGCGCGCCAAAACCCCACCGGCGACTATGCCTCGGCCTTGCTGACCAAGGACGGCAAGGTGCTCGTCTCGACGCGCTTGACCGCGTCGGCACCAGGAGACCAAGAAGCCGACTACGCGACCTTTGTCGACGAGCACGCCGGGCTCGGCCTCCGCGGCCGCCTCGGCAACGACGCTGCCGGCCACGTCGTCGAGTTTGTGTCTCCCACGCTGAACAAGCGCTGGCGCTTCCGCCTCGAGCACCTGCACAAGAAGTTCGAGATGGGCATGGGCGGCCACACGGGGCTGTCGGCCTTCACGAACCGCGTGCTTGGCAGCGAGGTTGGCTCCGACTGCGTCTTTGAGGGGAGCGGCTTCTCCGAGCAGGGCGCCTTCCCGGAGGGCGTGCCCATGTGGATGCGCTGGGTGCTTAGGGGCGTGGGGAAGTTACAGGACGCGACGGGCTATGTTAGGGGGGTTGTTAAGCGGGCTTTTTGATGTGAGCGGTTTGAGGGGGCTGGGCTCAGTAGAACCATGTTTTTCTTTGGCTTCTTGAGCTGCTTTACGCGCTCCATGGTAGAAAAGTATAAATCAGACCGTTTTTATTTGGATATACCTGGGCGGGTGCTTTTTTTTTTTTTTTTTTTTTTTTTTTTTTTTTTTTTTTTTTTTTTTT